ATGGATTGGACCAACTTCGAAATGTGAGTTTGAACAAGCTTTACTGGACTCTCTCTGAATTTCCGTTGGATTCAGAACAAGCGGACACAATCGTCGAGCTTTTACGGGTTGCGAATGGAATAGGCACCATCTATACGCTAATGATTCACTATGTATCATTGCACCTAAAGACTTTCATACGTTGTTCCAGTTTTATCTCGTTCTTGGAAGAAGACCATCTTGTCAGTTTCCACATGTTCACTCTCTTATGTGATTCCTTGTGATATTCTCCTTTAGTCCCGTTCCTCAGTTTCTCCTGCAGGCCATTTATTACTTTGCATTTCAAGACAAAGTTTATCAGCCCCCTGGAAGCTGATCATTAGCCAGATGGAGGGTCTGAGCTCTTTTAAGGAATATCTGTACTTGATCTCAGTTTATGAAGCCCCGCATCAATTCAAATTGTTTGAAGAGATACCCCAGAGGTTCCTTTCGGTTCTGAACTGGCGTTGGAAAGTAGGGACCCTATTCAGAATCTAGAATCAGCACGCTTTCGGTGCATACAAGTTGAGGACGAAGAAAGGACCAAAAATTCCCATCTCTACTTTGTTTGCCGTGGGGGAGATCATTGTGGCGGAAGTCTCACGACACCCTTGGTTTTCGCTGTTGCGATTGAGGGTCACTTTAGTCATCTTCCTGGAAGCCAATCAACAACCTAATGTAAGGAGCCTCACCTAGTTAGTCTGATTTTTCAGGAAGCTGACTAAACACACAGGTACCTCCAGATTTGGGAATTGATCTGAGAATGATGTTTAGCCCAATTGCCATCCTATCATTCCTTAAACGTTTTCGCTTGACCACCATAGGTCATTACTTATTTTACGACCTGCTAAGGGAGAGATAATAGTTGAAGGCTAAATTCATTGCATAACTGGGAAGCGATGTACGATCTACTGAGACGTCCTGGATTGCACTCGAATATACAAACATAAATAGACCGAGTCCACGAATCACAGGGCTCGTAATCGCTTTGACCGACGTAGTGTAGGTTTGATCATGGAAGATTTCAATTCGCCCGACAGCCTCTTTCCCTCCAGTTCTCCCCAAGGCAGCTCTTCTGGGCGCCCGCGTTTTCGAGATGAGCGCGTCCCATGCTGTGATGAAGACCCCAGCTTAGGATCAGGTTCTCGATTCGCCGCTTTTGCTGCTCCCCTCGTCACTCGCCCGCTAAGAATCTCCGCCAAGTTTGAACCGGTGCTCGTCATTGGACATCCAGCAGAGGGGAGAACTTCATTGCTAGGAGGGCAGGTTGATGGCTTCGTGACGGTGATAGGAACCGGTCCCATCAATCGAGGGTCTATATTTGCCATATCAAAATCAAGAGAGGAGGCGGGAGTTTCGGTGCCCTGCCGAGTCTCCGGCTCCGTAGACGCGTCTCTGGAGGAACCGTCGCTACGGTTAAACTGTGGCATTCTGGGGAGGTGACACAATTTAATCTTGATATCGTACATGTGCTCATTGTTGGCGTGGGCCAAAAATTCAGTGATTTTGGTAAACGTCGGAAGATTGCGACAGGCCTCCCAGGTGCAGCTGATTCCGTCGTGAGCATAGCGCAGATGAGAGTCGATGAGATGACGACGAAGAGAGTCTGGACGGTTGGTAGGAAATCTATGTGGAGGAGGGTTTGACGCCGAGCGACGGGATATACCATAGCAAATGATGCAGACATCCGTTGGACATTTCATATTGTCTTCTTCAGGAGCCGAGGGATCCTCTGGCTGGCCCGATGTGTCATCATCCTCGTCGTCGAATTTCCAGTCAACACGGTTGCCTCGCCTGCTGGGCTCGCAAAGCCTCAGGAGCGCGACCATGTCCTTGGTCACCTGGATGCGACGCGCGAGCAGCTTGTCCTCGTCATAATTCTCCGCTTCAGGTCCGTAAAAGTTCTCCACGAGGCGAGCCCGTTCAAGGAAAACGTACGTCGGGGTAGGCAACTCCCAGTTCTCATCGTCAGAACTGTCCGCATCGCATGATTCAGTATCAGGGTCTCCAAGAAGCTGTTTGATCTGTCGGTCGACTTCGAGTACAGGTGCGTTACGGAAATAATCCTTTCTGGCGGTCTCTCGAGTATCGGTTGCCAAAGTCTTGCGAAGCTTGGTCATTTCTCTGTCGACAGCTTTGTGACGTTGATAAAGGTGTGGAAAGGGCTTTTCGGCATTCTTCACAGTGCCAGCCAGAGATCGCATCTCCGCCATAAGCTCTCTCTTTTCTCGTTTCAACTCAAGCATTTCCGGATGTCGGCAAATAGCACGTTTATGTGTGTCGGTAAGCTCGGACGGCGCTAACGGGTCCCTCTTCCTAAGCATACTGCCAGCGACGCGCAATAAACCCTCCTGAGGCGGCCGAAGGAGAACAACATGTTGGAGATCACGTGCAATGAACTGTGACTGGTAGTGTCTTTCAAAGACCGCGTCACCCGACTGGCCAAGCACTCTCTGCCGCTCCTGGCTGGTGAAATTCCCTGCCCGCTCCCAGTCAGACCTAATACAAACTCTGTAGAATGGTGGTAAAGTTTCCGGAGATTTGGCACGGGAGTGACTCACGATTGACTTCATTTGCAACCCAACGGCGAAAATTGTAATGTCCAATATCGTTTTCGAATCGAGCATCTCGACCTAACTCTTGAAGTGCCCGTCGACTAGACTCATAAGTCATCGGCAACAACGGGTGAAGCTCATAGCCACACGTCGTGCGATTAAACCGCCGAAGGAGGGGCGTGTTAAGAACCTCTGGCTTCCAACGGAGCGGGAGGGAGGAACTGCGTTTTGGGACTCGGAGCCGCCAAATGAGCTCCGGTGTGAGTTCGGCATTAACAAATGCTCCATCTCGAAAAGCGAAAGAAATGATTTGAGTGATCGGACAATATGCCAGTTGGTAATCGCCATGCATGAAAAATTTGGTTCTGGCGGTGACTGTCAGTAGTGAATCCGATGCTCCAGCATTTGAGACTATAACCACGCTTACCCATCAGCACCTTCCGGCCGACCTTTCAGGTTACGAAACTCAATGACCGCACAGAGAACGTCACGTTTGCTCTGGGGGTCGCGTAGATAAAAGAGCTCAATGTCGCGATAGCAGACCGAGTCTGGAAGGTCTGTCACGGGGATATGTTTCGGAAGATCACTCTGAAAAGTGGGATATTGTTTGCGCTTGCTCAGGGAGGAGTCGCCGGGTAGAGAGGTGTTCTGTGGAAGTAAGACGCCAGGTCGGGTCCCGGTAATGGCGGACCAGAGTTGGATGGTAGCAAATTGGACGATCATACTTCCGTGACGAAAAAACCGCGAATGGACCCAGTGATGTCGATAGATCACACAAAAGACATCCACATCTAGAGTATTCTTGTCCTTCGTTCGTCTGGAAATTTTGCGCTCAGCCGGAAATACGCCATTAAGAAACTATACTCTAGTTAGCCCAATCCCCTTCAGAACTGAAGAAGCAACCGTACGCGTCGCATCTGCGTATGAACATCATCATTAACACTGCGACGGGCGAATAGTTGGAAGTATTGACAAAGGCGGCGCCAGTATTCGTCGTACGATTGAAGTGCTTTCTCTCGCGATGTTTTGAACATCCAGTCGAAAAAGTTCATGTAAATAGCTTGATCTTCCAGCAGAAGGTAGTTCACGTAGTCCTGGTTCGATTGAATGCAAAATCTATTTCAGTGTTATTCCCCAGCCGCAAGGTTTATTTCATTAGAGTCAACTCACTTCCGCCAGTACCGTTCGACCGTGGCGATTCCTATCAGCGTTCTTGGCTTGAAGTTTGGAGGAAGCCATCCAAGGCTCCGAAAATGTTTCAGTCTGGCTCGAGTTTCCTCGCAAAGGATGGGGTCGGTCCAGTACTGGTGCTCACCAACTTGAGCTGGAAGCATGGACACAGGCGCCATGAGGAGAAGTGGGATAAACGGCCAGGGATCGGGTTGTACGATAGGAGTTTTGGGAGTCAAATATGTCAAGGTCAATCAAGGCAACGGACTTGAGACGAGAGGAGGGCGTTGAAAGACCCCCCAGAAGAGAGGGCGGACGAAGCATCTTATAAGCGCTCGACCAGGCTGGGCAAAAAGGAGGGGGCATTTGGTTTGGAGGCAGAAGGGAGCCATTTTCGGCGTCGTTTGGTCGCCAGTGGAAACGGGGGGAACAATCGTTGAAGTCAAGCGCCAACAACAGGACGAGAGGAGGATGACTAACAGTCCTGGTTGGGTGCAGAATAGCGGGCTGTACAGGGCAGCGGGCGGTCAAGCTACGGCTGGCCGTCCAAAGTTACGGGTGGAAAGGCGGCCGTTTCTGGCGCCAGAGGCTGTCATTTTCGGCGTCGATTTCACAGGTCCCTATATTCTAGTTGTAACATCCTGAAGTAACATGGTTACATAGAGGTAACTCTGGAAATTAACCAGAAGTATTTCGCCAGGTACCCGTTGTGACGAGCAAACGGCAGCTTAGAGAAGGAGCAAACGACGGCTTAGGGAAGGAGCAAGCATGACTGCAGAACATAAAAAGGAGTTCTTCTTCGCAGCTCTTCTTCTTTCCTCTTTCCTTCTCTTCTGAGATACCTCTTCTGCTCTTTTTCCTTCTGGCTTGTAACACCCATTCTACCATGGTTCATAGTCCCACAACTCATGACCATTGTCCTAACAAGCATGAGTGGATTGGATTGGACTGTTTCCGGTATGAAACAAATCCGGTGACAGTCATCATACGTGTCGATAAAACGTGAAAATTCGTTCACTACCGCTGCGCGATATGTTCACCGTATCCTTGCAGCATCTGGTGAAGCAGGAGTTGGTGTTTTATTCGCAAAGGACGGCACCAAATCGTTCGTCCTAAATCCCACCCTGCCACTTGAGGCTACCACTGGGTCAGTGTACCCCGGCGTAAGCATCGATATCCATCAAAGCTCTGCTAGCTATTCTACCTTGGGTGGCCTTGTGCAACTTCAGTTCAAAGGCCAACAGGAATGGAAAACGTATGCACTTACCTGCTTTCACTGCGTCATCCCGCCGGAGAGGTATCACGGAGACCGCAATCTTCGACGAGCATGCCAAGAAGGGTAAGTGACCACATTTCATGGGAAACACTTTAGCTAATATTGTAATTCTAGGGCTTGATAGATGGGTGCAACACCCATTGACAGTGCATGATGATCCTGTCTATCTTGATATCGCGAAGCGTGTTCTTCGCATCGACCACCCAGCACCTGGAGACCTCAGAACAAACATTGAATCCCTCAATGAGTCCATTGACAATACAAAGGACTCTACTTTCTACGCTGCAAAGGCCGAGATTGATAAGGGGTCGGATGGGTGGCTGCCAGGATCCGCCAGGGCAGAGTATGAGGCTGCTGTGAAGTGCATCCGACACTTCGAAACAGAACACGAGGCATATAAGAAAATGCTGAACAGTGGATCCTACTACCTCGGACACGTTATTGCCGGAAGTGGGATGAACCTGTGACGGTGGACAGGAACAAGTCATGTGAGCCAGTGGGCAATCAGGAAGGGAAGGAGCAGGGATCGCGGGGAAGAGTGTATTTATTGTTTACCTCCTGTTCTTCTTCTTCTTCTTCTTCTTCTTCTTCTTCTTTCTTTCTCTCAGACTTGTTACTTTGTGTGCAGTACAGCATAGGATCGATCTCCTTCTTGATTTCTTTTTCCTTTTTAGCTTTCGACAGTAACAGAACCGCACGCGACTCGGTGTGGATAAGCGTCCAGTGGGTGTCGACTGGGCTCTTATAGAAATTTCGAGAAACAGAATCCGCCGGCAGATTCATGGAGATTGTGTCTCTGGGAACAAGGTAAGTTGGATGTTATATGTGGCTTTCCACGTGCTGATTGATGGATCTTTAGGGGTTCCCGTACTCCCACAAGCCGACCACCTTTCCATATCATGGTGGTTCATTCACAGATGCCCCCAATGGATCGATACTTTACAAGTCCGGGCAATCTACTGGCATTACAGCTTCTATGTATGCCGACTTGGAATCCGTTAGGCTTGATCAGCTCGAAAGCAAGAAGGGACCCGGGTCCCGGACACCAGCTCGCCATCACCTGGGTTAACAAGATTGCAACTTCCGAGAGTTCTATCCCATTTGCAGAACATGGAGATTCTGGGTCTTGGATAACCAGAGCGGATGGCAAGGTTCTTGGGATAGTAACTGGAGGTGACGAGCGGCAGGAAACGACCTACTTCTGCGGCGGAACCAGGAGTCCAGGACTGTGAGGGAAAGAGCTTGTCATGTGATGGGAGGAGCTCAGCCGTAGTGCTCTTTGCCTCTTTCTTTCTCCTGTTTCTTTCCTCTTTTCTTTTCTCCCCAGTGGCCCAGTCTTGTTCTTTTAGGCCAAGAAATTAATTCAATTTTGTTTACCTTCGTCGTCTTAGTGGGGTTGTCAACCCTTGGAGGCTCTCGTCCAATCACGTGCGACCATTACCATTCCATTCCAACTCTAGAAGCTTACCCTGGATCACTATGGCTTCACCGTCCGTCCCCAGCTATCACGCTGATTCCGATTCCATTCTCCTACCTCACAAAATGGCCGAGAGCGACCAGAACCTATCTTTCACTTCCCTCATGTCCGCCCTTCCCCCGGAGCATATTGTGCGGACATTTTCACACTTCAAAGGCCTACGGCTTGGAGCTGAGCAGATACTGAAGTCTCTAAGAGAGAAAGGAGATGGGAACCAGTTTATGGTCATCCACAATCTGTTGGCACGAATAATCGAAGAGCTCGACGAAGAGCACCATAGCAGCCTCGGGGATATCAATTATCGCTTTCAATGGGAGGGGACGACTGGACTGATTAAAGTGGTCCCTTCAGAACGCCACGACGCAACCTCGAATAACCTCGGTCGAGCAATCGACAGGAAGCTTACTGCAATGGGAATTAGGTGGTCAGATATGGTCTGGGCTGGAACATCAACCTATAAGCCCACTGCTGGTGTAGGTAAGCAGGGGGACCAAGCATTTTTACCACCAGCTCGCTGCCCTAATGGACTTCCAAGTGGGTCATGGCCGACGTTTGCCATCGAGGCAGGCGTTTCAGAATCCATCAGTCGGCTTCGTGAAGACGCTAGGAGATGGTTTATCATTTCCGAGGGTCTGGTGCGCATTGTCATCATCGTCTCGATTAAGTCGAGCCAGGTCACGTTTGAAAGATGGCAACTAGCTCCTAGCAATGCTCCACGCCCACTCACTCGAGCATATCTTAGTACACTCCGCGCACAAACCCCCAATATCCCTCCCCTTACCATCCAACCAAATACCAGTCAGCAGCCATACTCAGTACAGGAGGTCTACGTCGAGCCTAACAGAGTTATCGGGGCCCCGCTAGTCATCCCATTCGTCGCTATTTACGACCGACTCCCAGGACCAGGCGAGTATGACATCCTTCTTAACGCACAGGATTTTCTTGAAATCACGGAGAAGTTATTCTGATGTGTTCTGGTTTCCTGTCGGACTCACCTACCCGCCTTCCCTAAATGCTTCTCCAATTTTCGCTGTATTTTTACTATAACTACCACTATTGACCTATTACCTATTATCTATTCTATACTCCAATGGAACCTTGCCATGCGTCACATACTCTACCTGTGAGCTCTACCTAAGAGTAAAGGGGAAGAGAAAGACCCCCCTCGCTAGCCGAGAGAGAACCGCGATCATCTATAAGAGAGCTGTGGATTATATCGTATGATATGAACCGGACAGCAGCTTTTTCTGTTACCTATAGAATTTAATCAATGTTATATCTGATGTCATTCGGAATGAATAGGCGAACGATAACAAGAGTTGAGCAGATCTTAGTACCTAGTTCCTGGGGGGTGCATCAGACGCTGACTAGTGCATTCAGAATTGTTAATGTTCGTTTTGTCTCTGTGACAAAAGGCTAATTTATGGAAAGAACAGAGTCCAATTTGATAGAGGGCGTCCGCACCGCTCAAGATCGTCAGCCTCTCGATGTGTGACAGTGTGAACAAAGAATTTCTGGTGAACGGAGGTACTAGGCGAGAAAGGAAGTCAAATGAGCCATATAGTAAATATCTTAGAACTGAATGAACCAGAACAGCCGAGCAATATTTTGTCATTTCCACAGGTACGCCAACATTTTGGAGGTGCTATGAGTATCTGCATTCTGCACCAGGCGCTGGAACGCTCCAAAGTGGGGTGCAATTGTCACATGACATGAGGGAAAGCAAACATGTCAAACAAAATACAATCGTGGAATGGGCTGTTCGACTGGAATAAGCACTTAACGTTGCACTGCCAACAAATCCCGATGGAAGCCTGCAAGTATTTGTACGAACTAGGCACAAGATATCTATAGAACCACGCTGACGCACGGGGAGACATAAGGATAAAGACCGCTAAACCTAACGGGTCCGGGTTCTTTGAAAAATTCTGCTTCAAGCCGCGTCAGCCAAAGACCTACGTCTACATCTCAATATCCTTGTACACGAAATTTTCAATGGATGGCCAAAAACGACGCGGCGGACGCGGGGGATCACGCCCCTCCCACCCACGCGTGCCCCCCTCCAGAGCCATCAACCCGGGAACATCTGTCAATGTCATCCTCAAAGCCGACCAGCCCACAGGGCGTACAGAATCAGGCACAGTGAGCGAATTACTCACGCGTGGCGATCACCCACGAGGCGTCAAAGTTCGTCTTACCGACGGGCGCGTCGGAAGGGTGCAGAGCCTCCGGAGCGGTGGGCCGCAGGAAATAGACGGAGGGACAGAGAGCACACAGGAGAGCGCGCCCGGGATTCAATTAAGAGCAGAGGGAGGTGATTTGAATGGGAGACGCAATCGTTTTACCTCGCGTGATATGCGTCTTGATGGGCCGGAGGAGCCTTCAGCTGAACCCCTTGGGCTGGACATGTACATACGCCCCGCGAAGGGAAAGAAGAAGAGCAAAAAGACACAGGCTGGACGGAATGAGCAACTGGAGGAGAGGCTTGAGGATACAGGCGGTGCCACTCAGGTACCGGGCTCTCTCAAATGTCCCGTGTGCGCTGATTTCGAGGGCGACGAAGCCGCTGTGGCGCACCACGTTGCTGGTCATTTCGGAGAGTGACTGGTCAAGAGTACCGAGCAAACCATACAATAAGTGCAGCATAGTTCAGCTATCCTTGCAAGATCACGCAAAGTCATTGGACCTTGGAAGTGCTGCTGTCAAGCCTCGGAGTTTAGAGCGGAAATATCGTGACAGGAACTGCCATTTTTCTCACTGCTTCACTCACTGAGGCTGGAACAAGGTGATCGACGTCCTCTGTGTTCACTATCTCGGGCGTTATCCCATCCAGACGCATCAGGCCGCTCAATATCTCTTATGGCAGGGAGGAGCTCCTGCTTCATGACTTTGAGGCATGTCGGTATTCCCATGGAGAATTTTGCCAAATCTGATCCCATACTGCCGGTCAAATTCTCAACACCCTTCTCCCCAAAATTTGCTTCCTTCAAAAATATCCATCCTAACCCGACAACCGGAGCTCCCGACGCTAGAGCCTTTAGTGGATAATCTCTGCCCAAGTACACTGGGCATTCACCGGTGAATGTATTATTAGAAGCAGTATTCCCATCCTGGCATCATAGACCCTGTTTCCCCTCTATATGGAGGACAGATAAAAGACGCCCGCGATCACACCGTCCCCTCGTTCTGGGGTAGAAGACTCTATCGAGAACTTGCTGTCCCAGGACCTCGACTCGGCGACCCGTCGGCAGGCTCAGCTGCGCCAGGTTTGCTTAAAACGAGCGAAGGACGGGAGCACCAATGTGGAAGAATTGTTATCTGTGGGCGGTCTTTCTTTGCTGGCGATTGATCCCGGTCGGCCTTCGCCGGCCTCTAAGAAGAAGCATCCTCGTCATGTTGGGTCCAGGCTTCCCGGCGCGGAAAATCAACCGCCTAGCGCTACCGAGTGCTACCGATGAGTGATCGAGTCATCGGCTGGTACAACTAGTCCGCACTACTTTTAAGACCGAGCCGCATCTGATAAAGGACTAGTACTTGATGTCGAGAGTCACTAAGACCTGTCACCAAGCTGGACGGACGAGGCCTAGCACCATTGGATCGAGGGGTCCTAGTCCTACATGATAGGGTCATACAGGGATTATCTCACTTAGTGCCCGTAAACACCGTCTCCCTACCCCGGACTTTCTGAAAGTGCGTTGGGTGCAAAAGTTCTGAGATAGCTGAAGTAGGAATGCTGTCCGCCTCGTGAGTTGTTGTTGGGCCATGATTCGAAGAATATTTCTCTGCTCAAGGGAAGATGGTTCACTGATAGAAGCGGAAATTATTTCAGCCCTCGAATGCCTCAAGCTAGCGGGGTCTGAGTGCAAAGCCAATGCATCATGCTGCCATGCATTCCTTAACCCAATCGGAAGGCAACGTTATGCTGCATTCCTGCTCTGGAAAAGGCATTACTGTCCAATGATGGGCAAGCTTTACTGCTCGTTGAAAATGAAGTATAATTAGCCACCAATCATAGCTAGGACAGTATCGATCCTCAAGGTGTTGACCAATCGGTCGACCCAAGTGATAGGTCCCCATCACTCTTTGGTGTCCCTCCAGCACAAAGCTGCAGCTTGATGTAGTATCTCTGCTGTGAACTCCTCGACAGAGGGACTCTACGGGTTTTGCCCGAGAGAGCAAGGGGTTCCATATCGATAACAAATAAAATGAGCCTAAGAAATTGAGTTTCACGAGAGTGTAGATAGGAGCTGGGACATAACGTCCGGACTCCGGCGTCGTTATCCACCTCGCGCCAACCAAATCAACCAGATTCACTACGTTAACGCCAAATTCTAATCTCGAGGTTTTATGTGTCCTTGGAAATGCATCCTTGGTTTGGACGTTTGGTACATATCGTAGCCTTCGTAGTCGTGTTCGTTTAGAGTCGTGAGGTCATTACAATGCCTAGCCATCATTCCCGGGCAAACGGTATGACTTCTACTGGATGCAGTCTAAACTCTGTATCCTGGAACGAATCCTTAGCCGCTAGGGCCATCTGCCGGAATTCCCCAGCCCCCCACACCCTGGGACTGAAATATAAAAAAAGCTACCGGACCCCAGGCCACATGCATATCACGTATCTATCATAACAACACAATTACACTAAAGATACTATACAATTTCTTCTAAAGTTTCCTTTGATATCTATGCACAATGGAGCTACCAGCTGAATTGGATACTACCAATCGTCCTGATGAGTGGAAGATTGAACAGGGCATGGCCGGCCACAAGCTACCTATCCTTGACCAATCTGGAAGTGACACCGTCCACATTTACCCTCCGCCAGTGACGAAGTTGGTGAAGGATGAAGAGGCAATCGCATCAGTGGGTGATCGTGCCAAGCTTTTCACCCGCGAACGTGATGGTTGGAAAGGGTATTGCTGCCCCTTGCATCTATGACATGGTACTACTGGCCAATAAGCTAATGACTATCGTTGCAATATAGATACGTCGAGTGGGAAAACTATCCCGAGAAAAAAGCCAAAGCGCACAAGATCCTCACTTCGCAGACATTTAACCCGTCCCCTGACTTCATTTTCGGTCCAATTCCAGGGACCAACCCCGTGCTTCCGGGCGATGATTTCAAGGACTGGCATACTGCCCTCGGGGGTGAACTCACCACCGCTGCAGATGATTCCTGGAGATGCGTTCTCCGTGAGAAACACGCAGATATGCTGCATCTCCTCCAATTCCCTTACAATGGGGAGCCTCCCAAGCGGCTGGTCACCTCGAAGGCGATAACACCAAATCCTCTCCACTTCGTGCGAAACCACGGCGGCATTCCAATCATCGATAAAGAAAAGTGGGAACTGTCGCTAGATGGGCTGGTGAATCACCCAAAGACTTACAAATTGCATGATCTCATGGATGAGACTAAGTTCCCACGCATGGAGAAGACGGTCACTATCCAATGCTCGGGAACTCGTCGTATTGAGCAAATTTCCCTGTATGGTGGTCAGGGAGATGAAGTTCCCCAAGCACCATGGGCTGAGGGTGCCATTGGGACAGCTCGTTATGTCGGTATCAGCTTGAAGAAGCTGATTAAAGACTGCGGGGGTCTGGTCAAGCCAGCTAAACATCTCGAGCTTTACGGTGCTGAGACCTACGTCAAAGATCTTGAGGTGGGCAACTATGTTGTTAGCGTCCCTTGGTCCAAGGTGAAGGCCAACGAGGTCATCCTGGCCTGGGAGATGAACGGTGAACCTCTGCCCAAAATCCATGGGTATCCGTTACGAGTGGTAGTACTAGGATACATTGGAGCCCGGAGCGTCAAATGGCTTTACCGCATCAAGGCCATTGAGAATCCATCCCTCGCCCCAGTTCAGAGCAGGGAATACCTTTACTTCAATCAACAGGTTGGCAAGTACAACTTACGACCCACAGACGGCATCCAAATCCAAGAAATGCCAGTCAGCTCAGCTATCATGTCCCCATGGACAAACCAAGCGGTCGTGCATGTAGGAAAGATTCGATGCAAGGGCTGGGCCTACTCCGGCGGTGGTCGATGGCCCGAAAGGGTCGAATTGTCCGCAGATGGCGGATTCACCTGGTACGACGTGCCACCGGAGAACCTATCCAAGAAGGGAAAATGGACCTGGCGTACCTGGGAATTCGATTTGCCTTGTGACGTTGAAGGATGGATTGAGATCGTCTGTCGATGCTGGGATAACTCCCTCAACACGCAACCACTCAATGTCCGCGCGGCGTGGAACTGGGGTCTGCATGTCACGTCTTCGGCTCATCGGATCAAAGTTTATAGCATCAACAAGAGTCGGGAAACTACGAGGAAACGTTTGGATAAGTATGAGCAGCTGGGTATCCCCTTGGCTCCTCTTAGCCGCTATGAGATTGTCTCGGGTCAGACACCGGAGGAATACGAGCAGTATTGGAGGGAGCATGAGCCACGGGATGTCGATGACTAGTTCTGTACATATTTTCAATCTGCTTGCGGTGTGGAGTTTCAGACATAGTTTTTGTCAAAAAAATAAGGGCTAAATTAAAAGAACTTATCTGCATGTTCGACGTTGGCAATGGTACTACAGGCTTCTGGATCGTATGCTCGCTTTATTCGGCTTCTTCGGTCTTTTGGGGCAATCTTTATATAGTAAGAGAAGAGCAGCAGAACTATCGGAGAGAAGTGAGGGGGTTTCCAAAGTCGTTCTGTCGCGACTTTGCAACCTATGACAATGGACAAAATCATTCACGGATTGCCGAATCCTTGTCACAGGGCATATCCGACTACTGTATAGGTATCGATAAACTACTAGGCTCGTGGTGACCCTGTGAAATATCTGGACGGAAACTCAATTCCTCTGGAGCTTCGATTCAAATGGTACCAGAATAGTGAACAAGACATGCGTACAGCACCTTTCGAATACCTAGGATATCAAGAAAAATATTCTGTCCAGTTGTCAGTATTCATTTGTGAGTGCCGAGTTCCAGTCGGGTGTTAGCGAGCTTCCAGCCAACTGGCAAGCCCCCAGCCAACTGGCAAGACTATATCCCTCCTACCCCAATGATTCACAGCGACAGCATGTATGTAAAGCCAGCTAAATCGGGTTAATGAAACATCATAATAATAACCATCCCAGAGCGACATGTGCCGCGTCTGATCTGTTGTTTAAGAAAGGCCGTGACTCTTAACCTTGTAGACGTTCCTCGTCCAGGAGGTGTACCCGAAGGGTATACCTATGGATCATCGAGATCCACCTTAGGTTTTGTCAGTTCTTGGGTGAAAGAGCGCATTGAGACTAGAACAACAACTATGAAAACGAAAAGAAAAGAGAAGACCAAAGAAATTAGTCAAGAGGCCTTTCAACTCCCCTCTCGTCATAGGATTCGGACTCGAGAAACGTCAATCATCAACCCAACCACATGACTAGTCTCACCCGCTCACCCCTTTGAATCCTATTCATAAACGTCTGATCGTCACATGAGCAACGACGAACACAACATATGAACGTCAGAATTACAGTTTATGTTGCTTTCTTGGTCATATGACCTCTGCTCCCTCCCATATATATAGGCTGCTTCTCACCTAGATACTTCTTCTCTCCTTCATCCATCTTCTTATCTCTGATTCCATCAGCCTCTTCATCTCTCATAGCACCCATCATCTTTCTGGGCCTATGCCCCTTTTTATTCAATCGATGGCTTTGCGGGTTCCCCCTCCAGTAGGTGTTTCTTCGTGTGAGGTTGTAGGGCTTGGGCTAACATGGTCGCAGGCAACAGGCACCAATCAGAGATGCGTTCCGGATGGCTCGGCGAGCAGATGTAGGCGACTGGCTGGTTGACCGTTGAACTGGTCAAAATCGGAGAACGGCACGGAATGGCCCTGATGAGGGCCATATGTCGGTAATGTTACTTGAGGAAATCGATCCATTGCTGTTTGGTAGCTAATATGATACAGAAGTTTCTGACACAAAGCAATCCGTGGCCCACCGCAAACCCTCCCACGACCACCAAGTCCCTGCCTCAGCCCGACGACTGGGTCTCCCAGCTGGAGAGATTGGTGGAACTGGCCGAGCGTATCGGCTGGGCCGGCTGGGGAAAGTTGCTTGCGGCCTTGTCTATGCGAGAAGACCCTGAAGCACCTCGGAGGCGGTAGCGGCCACGGTCTCGCGAAGGACGGGAGCACCAATGTGAAGGAATTATTGTCTGTTACCAGTCTTTCTTTACTGGCAATTAATTCCAGTCAACATTCGCCGGCGTCTTAAGGAGAAGCATCCTCGTCATGTTGGGTCCAGGCTTCCCGGCGCGGAAAATCGCCCGCCTAGCGCTACCGATGAGTGCTACTGGTGAGTGATCGAGTCATCGAGTGGTACATGGAAGTAATCCGCACTACTTTTAAGACCGAGCCGCATCTGATAAAGGACTAGTACTTGATGTCGAGAGTCGTTGACAACAGATGAATGCAATAATTCTAGTGATAGTCAGAACAACTCCCTCTTGTTCACAGTATCCTGCTCAAGACTGGCGTGCAGGATCCCATAATTCACTATCGTCGTTGACTGACGCTGCTGAAAGCTTCATGGTGCGGCCAGTCGCGAGGTCCGGCAGACGTACTATGGGCTATAATTGACTTCTAGAGCTCTAAATCATGTTTGTGGTAGACGAGTAAACGTTGAGCGTTTATGTCAACTATTGCGTCATGGTAGGCCGAGATTATCAATTTTTCCTTCCATGGAATCGATTTGGTAAATGCGTCCACTCAGGTTGCGAGAATCGTAGTGAATCACTAGTGAATAGGTCTTGGGAAACATATCATCCCATGTTGTTTTGGCACGCAAGATTATCAAAGGCGATGAAGAATCATCATGAAACTCGTAGCCAACTAGTCGGTTCATTATTCTGCGGGCCCATGCATGGCCGGCTTTAGAACTACACCACACACTCACTCGTGAGGCATCAACGCCGCGACAAATGTAATCCACAAACTCGAAGGTCCAGCCAGACTAAGCTCGAAAGTTTCATAATGTCAACAAAAGAAACCATATTATGCAAGTATCCGATATGGTGTAGTGGCTAACATCGCCGTCTCTCACACGGCAGCCGGGGGTTCGATTCCCCCTATCGGAGTTTATTTTTTTCTTATCTCTCACCCAACCATATTCCACCTTTCGAGACTAGTTATGTCTTTTTCACCTTTGCTACTGAGCAAAAGAAATGATAAACACAAAGCCAAAATGAATGTCATTCTACTGGTCGTCGCGGGGACCAGGGTCTCACTTCAACACACACCATTTCCACCACCTTCGCTCCAGCCGTCCAGTCTTGTCGGCTAACTACCGCTTGCGTGTCAGCTTGGATCAAGGGAGTACAATGGACCTGCCACTGCATTCCTAATGGGCGCCATCCTTCTTCTTCCGTAACACCGTCGATGGAATTAAAAATTGAATATGGAGATACCCGCTTCCGGACTACTACAACTACCTTACAATGTGTGAAAGTGGGAGCTACAGCGGAATTGCACATGATGGAACGTACCAAAATGGATGAAAATGGAATCTTGGCATCCGCTAAGACGTATCTAGACTAGCGTATGCACATGACGGTGACCCACTATTATCGCCACAATGCATAAGAAAAAGAAAAAAGGGGTCAAAACCCCCGGAACCCTCAGATTAAACAAAGATCCCACAATCAATTCCACTTATCTACCTTCCACAATACTTTTCTCTGCTTTAATCCTCCAAGAGGTTATTGGCCTGGCAGAATCCCTGCTTCGGTTTCAGATCAATATCCAGCTGAATTGCACCTTGGGATTCATTTTGATCAAACAATCCACCAAACCATGGCTTCTCTTATAGAAACCACAGTTTCAGTTCCGATGCTCAAAGGCTCTGAAAATTATACCACATGGGCTATTCGCCTAAAGGCTATCCTTCGAAAGGAAGACCTTATTTCCGTGCTTGAAAATGCCCCTACAACTGGGAGAAAAAATGACGAGGCCCTCTCAATTATACACTCGCTGTGTGATGACGGCCCATTGCTACAAATCAAAAGTATCTCAGATGCAAAAATGGCATGGCAAGAGCTTGAAGCCTGCTATGATCCAAAAAATAAAAATGAATACGATATCTTGAAGGAATTCTTCAATACCTCTTTGGATGATTTTGATACCATCGAGGGATATCTCAGTAAGGTTCAAACCTTAAATGATGAGTTAAAATCCAAAAATATTATACTCCCTAAGCAATTCATTGTTGCATGGGTTTTGAATGGTCTAAGTGACAAGTACCAAACGTTGATTCCACGGATTGTATGGTCACTAGAAAAAGTTGAATCTTACTCAATTGAGTCCGTATTCGCTGATTTAATGGACAGACTAGTTCCGGGCAGGAACAGGTACTGATCTGATCAAAATGCAGAAAATCTGCTGTGTTCTCGAACAAAAAGGAACTACTCGTATGCCTCCGATAGGGGGAATCGAACCCCCGGCTGCCGTGTGAGAGACGGCGATGTTAGCCACTACACCATATCGGATCTTGCTTGATAAGGTTTCATTTGTTGACACTATGAAACTTTCGAGCTTAATCTGGACCTTCGAGTTTGTGGATCACATTTGTCGCGGCGTGGATACCCCAGGACCTGATCATGTGGCTGAGAGGATTGTCGTTGCCGTTCTGTCTTTTGTTTTCTTTCTTCCTCTGTTCTCTTCTTTTGCCGATCTAACTTTGTTATGGACTCTCCCACTCTGTCATTTGTACAGACTTGCCATGTATCACCACTATTGCCTTTACTGTTTGTTTTAGGGTGCGTGACTCGCTTGTACGAGGATGGTGCTCCACTCCGGGCTTGCGTTCCGCGATGTTTCTGTTAGCGCACCATCCGTCAGAAGAAAATGTTATACGATTCTTCCTCCCTTCCTGACTCTGAGAATCCATGGTATGACTATGGGCTTTGGCTAATTGCGCAAGACCTCCTGACTGATGATCAATAACTATCCTCATTCAACTTAGCGGAATACGTATGATTGGGCCGCTGCTACTCCGAATCCGTTCGTTTCGGCGGAAAGAGACTACGATGAGGCGTCCGAACAACGTCTATTCAATTCTCTAGAATCTTAGCTGAGTCCCGGTCAACGTGTCGCATTCGATGCGATCCCGGCTGCAATGCAGAATCACCCTGAGAGAGCGTCCTTCCATCTGCGTGGCACCGGTGGTACACGCACGACGCTCGTCTATTGCGCTTTACGTGCTCATTTTCGAGGACGTCATCGTCGCTGACGCCCAACGCATTTCCAATGAAACGCAGGCGCAGTCGCTGCTGCTCTGGGTACTGATGTCATGCAAGAACCTGATCTGAAATCTGCCCGAGAAAGGCGCATACGGCAGTGTGCTATGACTACTGTTCAAGTACCCATAGCTGGTTCTATTACTGACAAGGAAAGTATACCCTTTCTGTTGTGTTGTCTGAGAAGGAAGCTCCCAGGGCATCAGGCTCTTGGTTGTGTTTTGGCGAGCTTTGTGGGAGCGTTGCGAAGAAGAAGCTCTTGAGTTAATCTACGCAGTAGGTAGACTTGGCTTTCCAAGGTTGATGGAACTAAGTTGTATTCAACCTATGTCATCTATTTATATTACGGGCTGGTCAGGAGATGGTTAGAATCCTTTAGAATAACCAACTTTGGCTCTGCCGTTGCTACAGCTTACAGATAGATACCTAGGCACAAAGATAAATTTCTCCCGGTCTCTTACACTCTCTTCCTCTTATCCACCAAATCGATACGCAAGATCCGTGTTTGTTCATGTGACCTTTGCCCCTTCGCATCTATATAGGCTGCTTCTCACCTATATAGTTCTTCCCTCCTTCGTCTATCCTCTTATATCCATCATCTTCTTATCCCTCATAGCTCCCATCAACCCGACATCCGGTTTATCGGAGACACACCTCAACAGACCCTGACCATGATCCCCTCTGTGGTGGAAGAAACGCTTCATCATTTGCACTCTTGATCCCAAACCGAAGTCACCAACGAACATGACGGACCACCCAAGCCTGATCAGCGCCATAATTACCCCTGGTGGAATCGATAGCAACCGCCCCAGGATGACTGATCAACTCTCTCTTGAGAGGAAGCAGCCTCCTGTGTCCTCTCGATCACCTCTGGTCTTCAGAGGGAGGTTGCAAGAAGGTTAGGATGGTACCGAACTGCCTCAGAAGCCGCATGAGCGGCCCTCCTACCCCCATCGGTGGCGTTCGAAGCTGAACCATGGACCCAAGGCTTCAAGAGGAGACGAGGATGCCCTCCAGATGTTAAGGGAATGTACACAGTACATGTACGTATACAGCTCTGTCTCATACTACTAAAATGGAATGGCTGTGAGCTCAGTCTGACTCAATGCATCAAAGCGACTCTTGCGACCAACAGCGTGAAGAATGCGGATGCTCTGTTCATGAAAGACGAAGCCATTCCCCACAGTGATTGATTCAACTGCGACAAGCTTGGAATGGGGGAATGCAGTCAATGCGTGCAACTGGGAGCCAGCATTGGGATACATGCGAGTGACGCCGGCTCTTCGGTCTTGGGCTCAAGAAAGTGTGGTACGCACCGATGTTTACACATAGCCTTATCTCCATGAAACAGCTTGCTACCACAGGTGCAGTGACTACATTCTACAAGGACCATGCAGATATTAAGGATCTGTCAACTGGTGAGACCAAAGCTTATGCTACGATGCAAAGCAACCAGTCCTGGCTTCACACATACCATGGAAGCATTGCCCAACTATGTCATTTTGTGCGGGTCGATTCTATCACGCATTCATCTGGCTCTCCATCTCTAAGGGAGAAACCCAATCAGGATCTCGACATGCTGTCTCCGGAAGACAGTGATCTTTACACAATCGCCCAGAGTGGCTTCCTTTTACATTGACTTGTTTCCGCTGCACCCCTACCAGCAGCACATGATCCAACCTTCCTGGCATGGAATTTTCTGTACGAACTGGTCAGTATCCCCACATGGTCCACAATGAAAATGCTGACCTGTCATCTCCTAGGACTCGACTCATGGGAGTTTGCACCTGTCCCATGCAATAACAAGAGAGTCAGGCAGTTCCTCCAGATTGACCAGCCATCTCAAACGGATCTTCGTGCCACTATAAAGCATGTTCAGGGCCAAATCAGAGACCGGAGGGATAATACCGCCATATCATTTCGACGTCTGGAAAGGACAGCTCAAGCAGGCGAATACATGACGCCTTATGACGAAAGGAGGTACACTAGGCGCAAGGAGATGATTCGGGCCTACGAGCATGAGCAGGAACACTTTGAAAGGTTTTTCAATAGCGGTGTTAGACTGGGACATGTCTATGCTGGCAGCGGAGTGAATCGAGTCTATCGCCCACAGGAACCAGGGCCAGCAATCGTCCGACTGGGCCCTGCAGTGACGTTCCAGTGTGTATCGACCAGGTAGACCAGGCAGCTTTAGAGTAGGTCGAGAGCAGGTATGGACTCGTCATGCGGTTGGACAACCTGTTGATGCCTGATGGTTGTTGTCTTGAGTCCTGTGACAGGAAGTGGGATAAAGAGCTTCTTGCCCGATTCCCTTCTTGTTCTTCTCTCTTCTTCCTTCATAGTTGTGGTTCTAGTTCAATGCACTCTTTTTCCGAAGGACCTGGCCGGTGACACCTGCTACAGATTTTGCATGGGCGTTTGCCGGCAAGTGGAAATCTAGCTGATCAAAATAAGGCAAGTCCACGCTCCTTGTCGTGACCAATATTCTAAACTAATAATCTGCCTCTAAACAGCCATTCCGATGCGGTTCTCATGAGCGGTTCTTCGAAAGCGTCAAGTCATTTGAGCCCTTTCTCCACTGCGGTGTAAGGAAAGCTGGAAGATCAACCGGCCTCATGAACGAAAGATTGAATTCGATCAGAGGCATAAAGATCGCACGTGTCCGAGATCCCAGAGGGCCAGGAACACAGCAATACGAGCCCTTCGAGTATCAAATAGCGGGTGTTCACTAACTTCAGTGCCCTGGCGACTCCGGAAGTTTCGTCATCGACGTGGCAGACAACGTGATCGGCATGCTGATAGGTGGATTCGAACGCTTGGGCACCTCCTCCATTACTCCCATGGTCGATATCTTCAATGATGTTAAGGTCATAACCCACGCCGAAGATGTGCGCGTATTCTGCTGTGAAGGGGGGCAGGGAGGTATTGACGCGAGCAAATAATCGATGCTTTGTCTTATAAGAAACCAACCAATTGACTGAGGCCCGGATTAGAATCAATACAGGTGTGGTATTATACCGTAGACAATAGAATATGAATACGGAGCGACAGAGTGAAAACATAGCCTCAGAACATGAAGGTATTCGAACAAACAGCGGCTGTGAGGTTCATTCGGGCAAGTGAAGGAAGAGCTCCAATGCGCAGATCTTCCATCAACAGGAACACATTCGGATCGGGGAGGTAGTGCGACTAGGATCAGGCACCAAAGATGGACCGAAACATTTCCAGGGAAACCATCAGGCGTTGTGGAGAGGTGGCACCGGATCGGCATACCATACCGGTCACATAGAAGTTGGTCGACCAGGCTGATCTCTGCTTCATCTTGTAGACAGATCTCTCGTCCAAAACCCCCAGCCTTCCCGATTTTCTTGCGCTCCCACCCCGACTAGCTGGTTGATACCCTGAACGCTGTCGGCATTTTCAAACATCGTCTGGTCAATCTCTCCGCAAGCCTTTCCATCAGTGCCTCGGAATACAGCAGGCCAAAGCACCCCCACTCCGTCGGCACCTAGGATAGTCTTATGTATTTGGAATCCTTCTGTAGTGAACTTCTGCTCCAGCTCTTCAATAGTTTGTTCTTCGATACCTGATCGGAAAAGTGTGATGGCACATCCACCACCTCCAGCGCCGGTCAATTTTGTCCAACCAATATTCGCATAATCCACGAGCTCGCGAATACGCTCTAGCCGGGGATGAGACACTCCTAACGAAACCAAGAACCCATGGTTCATACCAATCAATGCTCCCCAGTGTCCGAGAGCATCAGAGTTGCCACTACCAGAGGGAACAGCCGATGACATTAGCTCCAGTGCAGAAGTTGCAATTTTGCCAATTCCGTCTAAGATAGTCTCTGTTATTTCAGGGTGATTAGCTTTTAGTGTTTTCACCTTGTCTACCTGTGTAGCGGTGGATCGTTGTTGTTGAGTGTCGACGAGAAGGAGTGGTAGTTTCGGGAACTTGGTGAGACGAATAACGGATGGTGGTCCAGAGGCATTTCTTTGGAACATCACAGCCTTTCCACCCGCCGAGACCGTATTATCTACCCCACTAGGGTCTCCATGTATACACAGCTCGCCCACGAATGCCCAGCGATTGATGTGCTCTATCTGCATCTCTGCTTCGTCAGGGGGCTGATCAGGATGGGGTCCAGCAAGAGCCCGTATCTGAAGGAGCAGGGCTGCGCTTAAGCAGACGCAAACACTGGCACTACTTCCTAGACCGGCGCCGATGGGAATAGTAGATCGAAGAGTGTAAACGAAGCCAGGGCTTTTCGAGGAGCCTAAGGAGAGAAAGAGATAGAGGAAGGCGGTTGCAGATTTTATATGAATTTTTCGCTGCTTCTCTGGAAGGTGCTTCGACACGGCCTCCGCATGTGGCATGATAGCTTCGAGAAATTGGGGGTCGAGTGAGTCGACGACAGAGTAATAGGACCTTTTTTTGGAAGGTTGCTGGAAAATATCCCATGGCAGATTGTCGATTTCCCAAGTATGGTTTAAGCCAATGTCCCTGAAATTCAGTTGGACGGTACGTTGGGATTTGGAGAGCGTAATGACGAGGAGATAGGACCGGAGAGAGATAGCTGCGGCAATAGCGGGCTTACCATACACAGCGGCGTGTTCACCGAAGACAATGGCTTTTCCTGGCGCAGACACCATGAATGTTGGTGCCATTGGCGATGAGAGTTTTCTCTCCATGTTGACTGAATTACAGGGGGTTTAGAAGTCGGGCTGCAGCCTTGCGAAGGCCGTGATGCTGGCGATTTGTCGTGTTGTTTGTTTGATCAGGTGACCTACCACTAACTTTTTCTGGATACTAGTATTGTTAACTGAAGTCATCTCTTTAGACCGTATATCGACTGATAATTCCCTTTATGTCGTTCAGTTGTTGAGATCAAATATTCTGGAATCTTCAATCTTTCAATCTCAGATTCATGACAGATTGTTGTACTTTTTATATGGGGTTAGCATATAAAAGGTACCTGATTACCCAGAATTACCAAGTGGTGAGCCCTGAAACACTAACACGCGCTCCCGGGGATAGAGCGGCTTGAAAGTGGTCACAATCCACGCGAAACTCCAGGAATTCAGGTTCAGACACCCAAACCAGCGCATTTGACCTTTGCAACATTCCTTCAGCCCGTAGAACGCCAAGAGGATGGCCCCACTCTCTCACTTAGGCGGCACTCAGGCCTATCATGAAGAGTCCTCAGAGATTTTGGTGATGGACTCTCACTATTTCGCATGACGTTCGATCGGCCCCTACCCATCTCCGGGGTGTGGGAGAGCCCCGATGCCTACATTGAGGCACTCCTCGACTTCTCTACTACGTCGGTGCTCTTTTTGAACTTATGCGGTGGCGTGCATATGGTCGATTTTCTGACCCGGGAGCCCGACCTCTATACGGACATCTTGCCGAAAGATTGGATATTTTTTTTCGAACAGCATGATATTCAAGATATCATTCGTCTCCTCCTACGACAGGACATCGAACAGCTGCGAGGCGCAGGCGAGCCTTCCGTAGATCAAAGCACCCGTACTTGGAATGGAGGAGCATTTCCTCCCCAGAGCCTCTTGGACTACATTTCCAACATCCGTCTCCTGGCACTCCAACGAGACATGCACACCTCATCTTCGATGAAGACTGAACTACCAAAGCAAGTTGCTATGCATATGAAACAGAAAAAAAGTACACGAGGTTGAAAGATTTTCGCAACATGTCGCATCCCTATCAGAAACTGTGAATATGCGCCGGGGAGAGCCAGTCACTCATATCGTGGATCTGGGGTCTGGACAGAACTACCTCGGACGGACACTGGCCAGTTCGCCTTACTACAAACATATCATCGCGATTGAGCGCAAGCACCAGTACATCAGCGGTGCCAAGAGCATGGATGTTCGAGCCAAGTTGGCCAAGAACCCGAAAGCTCAATATCCGCAGACAACTCAAGTCTCAAGTGATGTTTGCAATGGAACTTCGGAAACACCTGTTTCTGAAACGACGGACACATCCCAACCAACGACAGATGACTCGCAGGCCTCTGGCGTCCCTTTGGTTGAGATGCTGGGCAATTTTAGCCTCCAAACTGACGAGCTACTTGGGATCCCCACCAAAAGACCATCACGAGAACGGCTGCCAAAGCCAGAAATCCATACCCGGGGTACTCTCAGTTATATTGAACATGAAATCCAAGATGGCCACTTAGAGCCCATCATCGACCACATCATCAATCCATCACCTGCTGAATCTTCAGACGGGAAAGAAATAGAAGCGAGCGATGCCAGATTGATGGTAGTTTCCCTTCACTCTTGTGGAAACCTTGTTCACCATGGTCTACGATCCCTGGTTCTAAACCCCTCAGTTGTGGCTGTCGCTATGATCGGCTGTTGCTACAATCTATTGACCGAGCGCCTCGGTCCAAGCACACACGACCTCCCTATTCTTCAATCCCTCCACCCTCGTCTCGAAGCAATGGGGAAAACATACGACCCGCATGGGTTCCCTATGTCTAGATACTACGAGAACTACAGGAGTCCCGGAGCAACAGCCGGTGTGAAGCTTAACATCACAGCTCGTGCACTGGCCGTGCAAGCACCATATAATTGGGGCCTCGATGACAGTGAAGTGTCCTTCACCCGACACTTTTTCCGTGCTCTGCTCCAGCGTATTCTCGTCGATCAAAATATCGTTTCTAAGCCCTCTGTGCTGGAAGACGACGCTAGAACCAACTCCATCATCCTCGGGGCATTGCCAAAAGCTGCCTTTAAGTCTTTTACTGCATACGTTCGTGCTGCGACGATCAAGATGAGTCGGGACCCGATATATGGTTCCCTGGTGAAGGAGCATATTGCTACCCTGACTGATGAGGAGATTCACTGCTACGAGACTCAGTACCTCCATGCAAGGAAACATATGAGTGTTGTATGGAGTTTGATGGCATTCAGTGCTCAGCTAGTCGAGGCTAGTATTGTCGTGGATCGGTGGCAATTCCTTCGTGAGCAGGACTCGGTTAAAGAGTGTTGGGTTCAGCCGGTCTTTGACTACAGTGAGAGCCCGCGCAACTTGGCGGTCATTGGACTAAAAAAGTGATGATTTTGGCGTGCATTAGATTTGAATTGATTGTAAATACATATATCAGGACGGCACAGTAGAAGAATACAAGTTCAAAAAAAGAATTAATCGATATTCGTCAACGAGACACTAAGATTCTGGGGCTCTATTGCTCTAAGCTGGAGGGCGAAGCCATCACATCGAAATGGGATCGACCACCGGATCCCACTGCGGAAAGATGACCAAGAGATACTGCCGCCTTATTCTCTTGATTAGTTGGTAGTTAGGAGGGCATGGCGTGTAGTTGCTGTACATCAAGTGCAAAACTGACACCTCAGGCGGGAACTTTCCAAAAATGGAATGAACCGGTGATGATATCAGCAGCGTTACATAATCAACCTGACCCACCAATAAGAGCATCCAGACTAACCGACCAAGGGCTTAGGGCTCAGCTCAGTCACGCCCCACTCCCTTTTCGCACTTGAACGGCTCCTGGACGTCGCCCTCTTCCTTTGAACATCCACCTCATCCGACAAAATGGTGAGTTCCCCAGCACCCCCATATACCAACCCGGGGAACACCCAGACTAATTGAAATGTGACAAATAGGCGCCCGCAGCAACCGGAGGCAAGAAGCAAAAGAAGAAGTGGTCCAAGGGCAAGGGTACGCAATCACCATCACCATCCATGCGACCGTGACGATTTCCGCCGAGTCCCTACAAGAACCGAAAGAAATCGTTGAACGAGCTGGGGGGGTAATCCGCAAAAGACGAGAGGAGATCTTTCTCGCTAACATATTCTTTGCGCTACAGTCAAGGACAAGGCCCAGCACGCCGTCGTTCTCGACAAGAACACTGCCGAGAAGCTCCAGAAGGATGTGCAGTCTTACCGCCTGATCACCGTCGCCACCCTCGTCGATCGTCTCAAGATCAACGGCAGCCTTGCCCGCCAGGCTCTGAACGACCTTGAGGCTAACGGTCAGATCAAGAAGGTCGTTGGTCACTCCAGCCTGAGCATCTACAGTGCGTTTACACCATGATCCCCTTGAGCGACTTCCAGTATAACTAACTGACTTGCTTAATAGCCCGTGCCGTCACCGCCGAGTAAACGTCTCGTCTCTCGTCTTTTCTCGCGGTTTTCTTTTGCTACGAATGATATCATTTACCATGGGAAGCCCGGCTGGGCACGATGCATAGTGGATTAACGTCTTGACTCTTGAAGAGTGTGGAACATTCGCATTCCTGGTTTTTACGTCAGGTAGTGCGAATTGAATACAAAAAATCTACAAAACTTCATGAAACGACATGCTTTTATTCCGTAGACTCGACTTCTACCACCGACTACCACAACACCCATCTATGACCAGAAGAACAAGAACAGTAGCCTACGACTTCCCCAACGAACTCCTCTTCGGCCTTTGCTTCTGCGCACTCTCACAAAGCGGCAACGACTCCCCTACCTCCCCTCCATCACCACCATCAACCACCCTCCCCGCCTCAAAATATTTCTCATTATTCGCAAAAAACCCAACCCAACCCCTCACAGTCCCCTCAACCTTCGCCCTGGCCGCCCGTAACTCCCTCTCGCGCCGAATCTTCCTTTGCGCAGCCGTAATCCCCTCATCCTCCACATCCTCAACAGGCATGAACATAGTCTCGACACCGCGAAGGTCGGACGTAAGATCCTCCTTAAAGCAGCCTGTCACGAACGCGCGCGTCGCGTCCCGTCCCGCGAAGAAATTGTAGCTGCCGCCCGGTCCGTAGATCATGCGGTTGGCTGACACGTCGAAGATGGTCCCGTTTACGGCGACGTAGATCGGTAAAGTGCTGTCTGTGCCGTTGTAGAGGGATAGTTGGTTTGGTGTTAGGGTTACTGGTCCTTGCTTTATGTATTTTTAGTCTTTGCTTGGAATTTTTGTTTTTTTTTTTTTTTTTCAATTGGAGGTTTCTTACCACCCACTGCTTCACTACCGGCCATCGTGTGTACCACGGTCTGTACCCCCAGAGGACGGACTCGGAGGATGTCATGTAGTAGGAGAGACCGAATGAAGCTATTATCAGTGTGACGACCACGCGGATTATATCCAGGGTGCTGATGCCGTGGTCGTCTTCTGCGATGCGTTTCTCTCGGCGTTTTGGCTCGGGTCCATTGCTGGACTGTGTGGCTGTCGGTCTCTGGCGGAGTTCTGACATTTCTTTTGAATTGAAGAGATGTGGAGGTCAGACGGTGACCGGAATTGTTTGGAGTTGGGTTCAGCTGACTGAGTCTGGGGAACATTGCCACGTTGCCCGGGTGGGACCGAACTAAGTCCACACTTGTGATAGTTGATAGCACTGCAGCCATTGCTGCTGCCCTCATTTTTATTACGCAGTATGTACAGACAGTTACGAGAAAAAAGATATGAATCGCAGTTTGCTTGTTTATCTCTGCATTCGTTAAAAGATGAATTCTTTCTTTGGATCTCAGGCTTTGCCATTTTCCTTTACTTGCTTTCACTTGCAGCCCCTTGTGCCGTCCTCTCTTCCCAGCTTCGCGAGAATACTTCGTTCAGCGCGTCTTGGAAAGTACGACAGTTCATGTCAATCAGACCCCGCTTGTCTTTGGCTTCGGGGTTGCGGATCACCGAAACTAAACAGAGGTATCTGTGAAATAATGTCAGTATGTAGAAGTAGATGGACACTCGAAGCCATACTTGTTCATCTCCATCAGATGGATCATAGTCTGATCATGTAACACCACATGGCTTTCAGCCTCCGGGATCTGATCGCCTAGTCGCTTGCGGACTGGGTGATCCCATGAGTACAGCTCGGAAATATCGACAATCACGTCAATGTAATCAGAGCACATCTCGTAGCAAGCCATGTCGACCGGACGGGTATCGGAGGCGATATAGATCTTACTCAGCACATCGAAGAGATATGTCTTCTCAAATCCACAATTATTGGCGAGAGTGTTGATTAGATTCTCCAGTGTGGATAGGTTGGGGATCAGCTTCTGAATAACCTTGCTGAACGCTTCGAAGACGGAATAATCGTAGATGGATGTGAGATAGTAGTGCACGGGCGCGTTCTCGTATCCAGCATCACTGAGTTCGTCGGATATGCGCTGCACAATGTCCTGGAAGGTATCGGTGCGGTACTCGTCGGAAAGCCCATCGACCTTGTGAATGAAGACCTCGATATTGATGCCGGGATAGAACTGCTGGACTGTCAGTATAGTGCGGTTGAGCCGCGCCACCGAGTCGAGGTAGTCGTCCTGTGCGTCAATCACCCAGACTAGGGCGCCCAGGCTGCCGAAGATATCCTCGAGATCAAAGGCGGATTCAAAGTACTCGAGCTGGCCGGGGAAATCCCAAACTTGGAAGTCCATAAAAGAGCTACAAACTTGAGTCAGCATAGAGCGCATTGAAAATTCTCTGGTCCTGTTAGACTCACTGGATGGAATCCTTCTGAATCCGAGTCGTAGACTCAAGGAAGAGAGTCTCATTTGGGGGCATTTTGTGGAACACCACACTGGCAATGGAGGATTTCCCGCTCCTGTGACACAATTAGCATGTCTACTATGCGAGAGCTGGCCGAAAAGAACTTGCCGGCGAAGTCCCATTAGCAGCAGACGAGGTTTTACATCGGGTCCCTTGGTGTTGGGCACAGAGGCCGATCTTGCCTGGTTAGGCGCGGCCACTTGGTTGGTTCCCTGTAAATGTTCCAAAAGGCTTAGCTGGGCTGCAGTCTTCTGGAATGAGTATTCACGTCGTGAGGTCTCGCGCCCTATAAAAGGGCCATGAGGCCAGCTCACACGGGCTACCAGTGAGTCGGACATGCTGAGTTAAACAAAAGGGGCAGGCATTTTGGGCAAAACGGGGAAGCAAAAGACACGCTGGGAGGATCAAAACGAAAAATTCAAGGGCCAGGGCACGGCGCAATAAATCAACACATCACATGCTCCGGAAGGAAACAAGGCGACAGGCAGTCAGTGAACCCAACCAGACCTTGAACCATGGGACAACAAATAAATGAAGCCTGAGGCTGAAGACGGAGGTCATATATCCAAGACGGCGATATCTCGCAGGGGCCCATTGCGACAGCGACTAACGCCCCAGAAGTGGTGCTTCATATTTCTTGCCTATACCAGAGCCCAAACGGGCTGTTTTGAGGGAAATATGGCTCCTTTTCATCCCCTGCGGAATCAAAAGAAGGCCCCGGAACCAAGCAGCTGTCTCACAACGGCCCGTGCATAGACGCAGCGGCGCGCAGTAACTAACCGGTTTTCGCCAAATGGCCCAGCCGTGTTCGAGGCATTATAGAGAGAGTATGGAAAGCAAATCATTTCTTACCTCCATTGGACGAGCAGACATCTAAAAGCAGGTATTAGAATCTGGGGTATGCATTGAGGAATGTGAGCTCACTTACTACGTAATCTAGCGTAGTAAACAGGGACAAGGAATCAATGCAAGGTCAAGGCCCCTCGATGATAACAAAGAATAATGACAAAAGGAACTGGTCGAGCTCAATTGAACGGTAAAGACGATGTTGGCATCTGCATGTGTTGATTTCGGCCGGGGTGAAAGCGGATGGATCCCAATTTGTCTGGGATGGTGGCACAGAGTCGGATATCTGCAGTCAGACCTGTATCATCATCCCAGGGTTGGGAATTGAGTCCACGGCGGGATATGTTCGGTTGGCGATCGGGTGAGTGAGTAACCGTGCCGTTAATGTTCTATGTATGAGGAATGCGGGGGTTGGAGTAGGTCGGAGCCGCGAATCGATGTGGAGCGTGACGAGGGGCAATTGGTACCGGTATGCAGATGCAGACAAGAGTGTAGTAAATGAGTCGAGCAAGTTTTGTTTGAGAGCTTTAGGGGATTCTTTTATTGAAAGGACTCGAGATTGTGGTAGAGGAGAAGATGGGGAAGAGAGGAGAACAGGAAGGCGGAGTCGTTATCGTGATCTCCAATCTTATCGCTAGCCGCCAATCTACCGCCCTTTTATTCTGCCACCATCGCCCGACAGCTAGTACCGCTGCTCAGGTGATTTGTGTGGTGTATTTCTCACGTAGCTTCAGGATTCTTTCCTCTTACAACCCATCTCCCGACTCTCGTGAGATCCCCAAGTCCTTTCGTCTTCACACCAAATCAGTGGCTCCTTTTAATATTTATTTTCTTCTCCTAGTGTCAGAGTGTCTTTCCCATATTGTACTCACACATTGGAGTCGTGACTCTAGCCACACTAGCCCAGCCAGCTGCTCGCTGACCGCTCAGAGGCTCATCATCAGAGTGAAACTTTAACGGTCATGACATGTCTCAGATCTGGTTGATTGAGGCAAGATCCTGACGTCGTTATTTCTAAACATATAAACATACAGACGTGGCGATGCCGGAGGTTGTCGTGGATCAATATAAAAGATGGAAGATGATTCTATGGACTAGTTGAAGGAAAAGAGAAAAGGCGAGCGCGTGGACACGTAGGGCTGGGGTGTCTCGCCTACATAACATGATAGGAAAATCTTGACATATGCTAAGCCGTACCTAGTTATCTAGTGTGGCGTCTTTCTACGATGAAAGGTTAGGCATTTGTGGGGTAGGGCCATGGGTGTTGGTTGCACCGGGAATATGGACACACACGTTGTAGTCCAACTGCAGGTTCGTGCAAGCTAGAAAGAGGAAGCATCAGTTGTCCATCTCATGAATTAACGACTTTTCTTCAGAATATTTCAAACGTACCAGAGTTAATGGCGGGGTTCCAGCTGATGAATTGTTCGTGGGTGATCTTATACTTGGTCTGGATGGAGTCGCACTGATCACCGGAGACAACCTTGTGGAACTTGTCGCAGTTCTTAGCAATGCCTGTCTGGGTGGGAGGTTTGCCGTTGTCGGTGGGCGCGGGAGCAGCAGATGTCGTGGTTGCGCCGGGAACATGGATGCAGACGTAGTAGTCCAGCCAGATGTTAGAACACTCTGAATATGTCAATTAGCTAAGTTTCAAGGCACGAAAGGACAGGCGAAGAATTTAAAAGCATACTGTCGTTGATGTAGGGGTTCCATTTCGAAAATTGCGAATGGGTGATTCCAGCTGATGCTTCAATTATATCACAGCTATCTCCATCCGCAACCATATGGAACTTGTCGCAGTTCTTAGCAAGACCAGGCTGGGTAGGTTCATGGTCACTGGCCGAAGACGTCGCGGTGGCAGTCTGAGTAGTCTTGTTTGAGCTGGAGGTCGTCACCGCGGTCGCGGTCTCAACAGCCTTGGTAGTTGTGGTAGTCGTGGTGGGCTCGTCATCACTCGCCTTACCAGAGACACAGTACTCGGCCTCAACATTGAAGTTCGCACAGTCTAGGCCGGGATTGATGGACGTCAGGTCATTGACTGTGATGCCCCAGCTATCGGCAAAGGTTTCACAAGTGTCCCCAGAGCTAGGGGCGATAGTGAAGCTGCAGTCGACACCACGAGGAGAAAAAGTATTGCCGATGGAGCGTGCAGCAAGCAACTCCGGGAGAAGGGCCAAAGTAAGAGCAGATTTACCGTACATAGTGGATAATGTAAAATTTGAGCAGCGATTTTCAGGAACGAGGTCGATCTGATCCGGAATGGGTCATAGTGCCAGATAGTCGGGTGTCTTTTGGTTATATACACTTCGGCCCGAAGGCTTTTCAACACAGTTCGCCCCCCGGCGAGGTGTTTCAGTGCAATCTCTTCATCGTCGCTGGAGATTTCGTTGACCCGCATCTGACTTTACCAGTGCGATCGATACGAGTAGTGCTGTCTCACTTGCGACCATCGTGATGAGGGAAATAGCAGTAGTATACAAAATTAGCCCTACTGCTGCCCGCATTTGATAGTCCCAAATAAGAAGCATGGGGCGGAAATACTCGCACAGTACTTCGTACCGAGCACGATCATTCAATCAAAGTTCTATTAACCTGTTGGAGCCTAAGTAGTATCGTAATGGCTATGCAGGCGTTCGGTACCGAGCACTTACAAGTTACAGACTGCGACGTTGAGCATGTGCCAAGGCACTAAAGATGCTCAAGCAACCAAGGGTGGGTCACAAGCCCAAGCCAAGCCGAGCCCAAGCTCAAAATTCAGCTTAGCATCGGCCTATCGCAGATCTCGGCTACGATGCAAACAGGCTAACCTTGGAGATCAATTTCAAAACAGCCCTGTACCGTTGTACGGGCTGTAATTGAACCAGATCTCCAACCGCACTCAAGTCCCGATCTTCCGATTGGTGATCCGGCCCGGCCCGCATAAATGGGATCGGATGAACTTTTCTGCCTTCTTTGATTGGGCATCCGATGAGATTACCAGCCTTGGACCCACTCTCCCCTGGGACGCCTTTGACCAACACTGCGTAGTCCGGCTCTAAGGACGGACAATACCAGCCTTTCAACCGCACGTGGATTGTCCAAGGTGCCTGGGCCCTGGGGTGCCAAAACATGTTCACAATTTCAGGATAGGTGAGGTTACATGACTAGGCTTGTTTTAGTACGGAAGCCGACGGGGCGAGGAACACGGGTCTTCGGAAACAGGAATCAACGAAAACCCGACACTGTATCCTCAATTCTACTCGCATATGCAGCCTTATGGAGCTCAAGTAGACCCGTACCATCCCATTCTACTACTAGTACTTGTACAAGTGCCCCTTGAAGGTTCACAGAAATCTTGGCAAGCCACAGACCGGTACAAACTGGGGTGACCGAAGGTTGCACCACTAAGCTTGTTCCAGTACGGAAGTTGGCAAGTCGTGGGGTTCCGAGGTTACCATTACTTAACATGTTCACAGGATCCACTTGAACAAAAAATAAAACCGAAACATATTGGTTCTGTAATCTCCAACCCTCCTTGTGACAGTGACGCTTCCATCGCCCGTACATGTAGAATGCTCTAATACATCGGAAATATGAACAAGGTCGCCGCATCTAAGCCAAGAGCGTTCCCATAATCAATACACCAGCAGTCCACCATTTCAGCGAAGAAGCCATATCGGTGACAGCAGCCCCGCCGTTCTTAGGTGGGCAGCTCACAACAGGGTCAATGCCGTCGCACTGAGCTGCGGTAATGGCAGCTGCTATGCTCGAGGCAGCCGAAGGAGCGATGCTGACCTTGCAAGGAGAAGGAGTAGGCGCCGGAGTCTCGAGCTCGGCACATTTATCGCCTTGATGAGAGCCCGATTGAGCTATGAGAATTTTCGTGACGTTGAATGCCGTAGCGGAGATGTCATCGCACTTGTCATCGGCAGTAAGAGCGGTCAAATTGGGCTGACCTGCCCCTTTTTTCGTAGCGAAGCGAATAGAATGGGAATCGGACTGGTCGTACAAGTTGACCATGGGATCAAAGCCGGAAGTGGTTCCCTTTGCCGGTGTAGGGCAGTTTGTCCATTCAAGTCCCCAGACAAATTCCCATTCGTTTTCTGTGTTTAGATCCTCGGGATGCAGAGTGCTTGGTATGCTACTCGTAAGGTATAACACCTCGTCCGTCGTATTGAGGTGAAACTCACCGTCATCAATATAGGCGGCCATTGAATGATTCCCATTTGGGAGATCTGCCGGCCACACACCGTACCTGAGGTATGGATAGAGTCCATCAATCACTCTAGGGTTCTGGAATGCAAAGATGACGGGCATGAGCACCATCGGCTCAAAGGTGCCATTTCGTGGGAAGATCAGATCGACCTCTCCGAAGCCCAGGTCATGCGTATTGGCCGCTGCTAGGGACGCCATAAGGCCGAGGGCGAGAAGTTGCGCCTTGATGTTGAACATCATGCGAGTTCAGCAATAATGGAATGGAAAGGTGTGGTGTCGTAAAACAATGGTGACTAGGGTAGTCCAAAAAAAAAACTGATGTCTCTAGGCCAAGAGAAGAGATTTTGAAAGACGGGGAAGGTTTGATGCGGTAGGGCGAAGTACCCCAAATCGTTACGTGCACTAGGGAGACTAGTAGAAGGTTTCGAAGTTTGGGACCGCAGAAGATGATCCTTTTAAAGTGGACCACCCCAAGACGCAATTACATACAGATACACAAATACTCCATAGATCATATTATGTACCTGCATTTGATAAGGTACCTAGATCTCTCGGTGCAGTGGGTCGAGCCAGTGCTTGAGCCTTTGAGACATTTGCTACTCTTGGCGGTCCCTGTATGATTCATAGAAACGCTGCAATTGGGTTTAAACCCAATATACCTCCCATAGCATTCTACGGAGATTATGGTGCACTTCTCCGAGACACCGGATGGATCTAGTTCTCGGCCTCGAACAAAGTATCCGCGTGGGTATGTCTTCGTGATACAATCACACCCGGGGGCCATAGCAGATGGATCCGAAATTCTGTGCGGAGATTTGTAAAAGATATCACGTTGTGTCCGAGGTTGAGCTCGAAGAAAATAGTATAGCTAGTCGACTTGCCGGACGCTTCTTTCATACAATTCATATCCTTCTCGGCCTGAGCAGTTTCTTGGGTTTCTCGCTCTTCCCAACAGTCACTCATTTCATTTGTCTATACACTCTTTCATCAGTCCTTTTCATTCTATCACATTCCACTCTTTAAACCTCTGTCACGAGGGCTGCAAAGCCATGGCATCCTTTTGGAATGGCATAGCTGCTGGCGTACTGCTATCCGCTGCGGTCGTCTCCGGGCATGAGGGCTGGGTGCCAGTCCCAGCTACCAAGGGTTTAACAACCTTTGCCCTGAGCGATGCATTGTCACGGGACCCAACCCCTCCAAGTGGTCAACCTACCACGATATGAACCAGCTCGCAAAGTGTGACAGGAGTATGCTTTACAGCTTCAATCTGTACGACGATGTCGACGATAAAAACTCCCATCACCGTATCTTCGCATGCACAACATATGGAAATGATTGGAGTGATGACTTGCGGGCTCATGCACCACCCTCACGCCCTGTGACCGAGCACAAGGTCAACTATGACATTGGCTGGTCGTCCTATTCTGAGGGCACTGAGTCCGAGTACCGCTCTCTTATCAAACAAATGCGTGATTACATTGCCCATGGTCACGTTTCCCGCAGCAAGACCGCCATGCTGTATGCTCAGATTGGTGGTACTACAGCCGGTATCTATATCGGTAATAGCCTACAGAGCAAGGACATCAGCGAAGTGGCTCTGGGATCTCTTATCGACGATTCCCATGATTTCGATGGACGTCGAGAAAGCTTGGCCATGCAGCTCTGTGGGCCACACTTTGACTCTCAACACGTCTTTGGATTCATGGCTCTGAGCAATGGCACCTTCAGAAACATCCAGTCTGCCTTCGAATCCTGGTCCAATGCCGAGTGCCTTGACTTCGAACACAGCACGAATTTCACAGCTAGCACCCACTTTACATCCCCTATGTTGTCCTCCATCAAGCCCGGAAACACGACCGCAAGCATCCAAGCCTCCGGTTCACCTCTATCCACTGAGTCTTTGACGTCGCAGATGGGGAACCACCTATCTTCTCGGGGGGATGCCGGATGAAGACCGTCCAGCCAGGTGATGACTGCGCTACAATGGCCGCAAAATGTGGTATTCACAGTGCTGACATCCTACGATACAACCCTGCGCAGGGCTTCTGCTCTAAATTGACGCCCGGTCAGAAAATCTGCTGCTCCTCTGGTACACTTCAGCAGAAAAGAGATCTGCTTTCATCCAGGGGCGAGTGTCGAACGGAAAAGGTCCGGCCAGGTGACATATGTGGTGAAATCGCTACTCGGTGTGGTATCTCTGGTGCCGACTTCACCAAATACAACTCCGCGAAAGGCTTTTGCTCAAACCTGAAGCCTGGTCAGCACGTTTGCTGCTCTTCTGGAACACTCCCCGACTTCAGCCTGAAGCCCAACAAAGACGGATCCTGCGCAACGACCACAGTCGGGGATGGCGAAAATTGTTCAATCATTGCTGCAGCCAATGGTCTCACGGTGAAAGACATTGATGATTTCAATCAAAAGACTTGGGGCTGGACTGGGTGCAAGAACGTCTTCAAGGACTCTGTCATCTGTATCAGCAAGGGCATACGAGTGAATAACTTCCTGGGCGCAGGGGCTATCAACAGTAAAAGGATGGTCAATGTTAGGTGGATTTTTAGTTGCTGGCGCTAGCATCACAGAATAGATGGCTAATAAATGATCCACATGTCACGTGGTTAATTTGTTCTATCTCTGCCTTTATTTTCAGGCCGTAGAGTGTGCACTCAGGCCGTGCTCACTGAGCATACCCTGAGGGCTCACCGAGCAGACCCTGAGTACTCACTGAGCAGACCCTGAGTGCTCACTGAGCATACCCTGACTGCTCACCGAGCATAACCTGACTGCTCACCGAGCATAACCTGAGCATTATTTTGACATTACTAAGCATACCTCGAGTAGCACTGAGTAATCACCCTGTGCTGTGAAATACTCAGTGAGCATGACCCTGAGCCCCCTCATAAAGCGGCGGCACCCCGATCGGGAAATGCGCATCCGCGGCCTAAAATCTGGTACATACAGGTACATACATGAGGCTTCAGGAACTGAGTCGATGTTGTTTAATAGACTCCAAGAAGCGTACGAGCGCACTGTCGCTGCAAAAGGGGGCTTTAATAACCTTCTACTTACAGCGTGGGAATTAGCTAAGACAATGTGTCTCCACCCGGCTGTTGAAGCAAAATGTTTACTCATAAACCCATCCATCGTCGGAGGTTTACGCGATAATGAACGGAAACAGCCTGTCAAAGTCTTTATCTAACGTTTCGACATTGTTGACCAACAAATTGAGTCCTGCCTCTTTCAACATCCAAATTAATCTCCGTTGATTAGTTACACAAGGTTTATGCTTAGTTAAACTTGGTTAGTGGCGCATCATCAGAATGGAATTTAGTACCGAGCGGGTTAATTTCGCCATTTGTCTCTCACTATTTGCTCTATGCATGCAGCATGGTTCTCTACGCCTTCCTTTTTGGTTGCCCCATGCCGTGTATGAACATATGGTATGGCCTGTCAAAGCTCAGTCTGTGATCTGAGGTAGGTAAATGGAAGTTGGCCGTTCCCTTTTCATCCCATTTTGGCTACCTCCACTTCGCGCTTGAGCCGAGGCATATCACCCCGATCAATACCACTTTCTTCAAATGCCATGTCATTAATCCACCGTCCGTGTGGCCGTACAGGCTCACCTTTGGAAAACTTCGAGAACAAGTACATCCAAGACAGCGCATGTCCCACTGTACTAACCTCGTCGTAGACGTGACTGACTGCATAGGTTGACATGCGGTCATAGAGTGCCTTGTCAACCCACAGATCATACAAATGTCCCGCTACAGCATCGGTGTCGCCGACATCCACCAAGAAGCCGTTCTTCATATGCTCAACTTGAAGTGGGATGCCACCAGCCCGGGTGGCAATGACCGGCTTTCCCTTGTGGATCGCCTCGGATACCTTGACCTCGAATCCTTCTTCGACTGAAAGCTGCAGTGCAATTGCAGCTTTTGAAAGAACCGCATTCAGAACTTGATCCAGGGGGTTTAATCTCATCACGCAAATGAATTTACGAAGATGTGGAACCCTGTGCTCGACGTATTCAATCACTTCATCGTAAATCATAGCTCCATCTGGATCGTCTACGGAGCCGTGTCCGCAGATCAAGAGCTTTGGCGGTTTGAGATCTGGCCGATTCTCGATGAGGCGGTTATAGAATTTCTCGTACGAGGCCAACACATCAAAGATCCCTTTAGCTGGGTCGAACCGTGCGATCTGCACAATGTAATGATCTGTCATACGTGAATCAGTATTGTCTCATGCTTTCGGATTGCCTGGAAGTATACCGTCTGGGTACTCGATCATCGGCATGTCCGCATTCCTGCACGCTGCATTGAAAATGCGACCATAATGTGCCACATCCCAATCACGCATATTTTTGTTCAATCCATCCAGCCTGCGCCAGTTAGTAAGATTCTGCGTGTTTATGGGCCCACTTACCAATCGGTCGAGGCCGGCATGTAGCCCAAGATCTCTGGTGGCACGTCTTGAGGCACAAACGCCTTGACTGGGTGACTGATAAAGCAATCGGCAAGTTTGATTTGCTTCCACAAAAACTCCCATGCTTCTGCTTGTGGAGTGCCCGGCGTGTTGACTAGATCACTTCGTATCTGAATGTGACTCCGAAAGATAACCGGTCGGTCTGGAGCTGCTTTCTTGGCGATAGGAATCAACCCTGGCATCTGAGGATCATCTATGACTATCACATCTGCTCCCCCTTCCGATGGTGAACATAGAGGACCGTCAGGGCAGGACCAATACCGTTTTGTGTTCTCGTCGATCCATTCCGTCAACAACTTCTGGTCGTCGGGGCTTAAGCGCTCATCTGGTTTTGCAACGCCTTGCAGGATGTTGTGATTGTTCTTGGTGACACGAAAGACGTCTGGTTTTGGTCTTGGCACGTACCTACACTAGATCAGCGTTTCTTCGCATCACCGTAGTACGGTATAGACTCACCATTTGATATCCGTGCCCAATGTATGCGAAAATCGCACAATGGAGTGCCGCATCAAAGCAACACCACCTCCCTGCGGCGTCGCACTAAAGAATGCAATCTTGACGTTCCGTCTCTTTAGGTCCGAGGCATAATGCTGCACAGCTCCCCAGGTTTCGGGAGACACGGTGTTTTGGAAATCTTCGAGGTTGGAAAGCCGCACGTGGAAGTTTGTGTCTACCTGCACTTGGCCCATAAAACCAACTTGCAACAAGGGAACGTTTTCTGGTCCAAATAACCTGCACATGCGGTTAGCATCTTGGGTCCACATCTCGCCGAATCTCACTCACCGAACACATCTCTGTGACATGGCTTCAGCCTGTTCATCTATCGATTTGATCTGTGCCCGCGTCTCGTTCATATCCATCAAGAAGGAATCGGGTAATACTAGTGGGATGATGTCGAGTTCGGCCCACAGACGGGAACATAGTTTAGGGCAAGAGTCCGCAACATGCTGGGGCATTGCCGCTCCCATAATCTTCTCCAAGGTTCTCTCTGCATAAGCCCGGAGCTGGGTGATGAGGAAATCGGTGAGGATTTCGACAGATGGTCTTTCCCCTTCGGCGTGTGATCTCTCGATAAAATCGAGCAGGTAGGTGGCATTTCGAATAGAGACAGAAATAGAGGAAACCTGATCGTTTTCGAAGCTGGCAGAAATCCCGGCGTAGATTTTCTGGGGTCTGTTAGTCTTTGCTCAAGCTTATACTCATACTTGGAGGAGCAAGGCGTACATCTGACGGTGGTGCCAGCCAGGCATTCCTTCTGAACTGCTGCGATAGCCGGCGCTGTAGAGTGACAGATCCTTGGCGCTGGAAGCCATACTTTTTGTTTGCCATGATGAATTATTACAGAATACTGGACGATATAGGAGAAGGGCAAATACAACTATACAAGTGAGAACTAATAGTAGGTAGAATCCAGAGTAAAGTGTGCGGAATACCTATGTCCCCGAGGAAGCTTGACGCAGTATAGATCATGACGTAGGTACCTAGACAAACCGGTTCTATCAAATCAATCAAACAATACAAAATATGTACGGAGTAGCGGAGATTTCTAATTGATATCCTGGTGAGATAGTCAACCATCTCATTCCATCTCTACTGCCTCGCTGGGATCTGCAAGATCCTAGCCCTTTGGATATATTATACGAGATATATCATACAGTCAGGTATTCCCAAGGTTACTCTCAAGAAACAAATGTTGGTACATACTACTATGAATCGCTCAGCGTAGGTGACCTCCATGTACGGAGTAGCTCGGAGTCGGGGGTAATTGAAGGCCGATAGCAGCTTCCCCACTCTTAAGGACTCAGGACTCAGGAGGTTATAAAACTACGCCTACTCCGTATGGGAGTAGAGAGATAAAAGCTCAAACTACTTACATCAAGTATAGCTCAGTGATCCAGTCCCAGGACCAGTCTCAACCCTACACCCCAACACAACCATCGTTGTCTATCAACCACATGACATCATAACCCGCAACAACACCAACACCACTTCCTTATCACACCACCACACCACCACCCCCAAACCGATACCAGTCATACCACCAAAATGCCCCTCGACCAGACATACATAAAACCCCTAGCCTACCTAGGCCTCCTAACCCTCACCAAAACCCTCCTAACCCTGACCCGCCAAGCAACAACCTACCTCCTCCCCAGCACCCTCCGCAAAACCTACAACCCAACCCAAACAAACTGGGCCTTCGTCACCGGCGCCACAGACGGAATCGGCTTCGGCTTCGCCCAAGAACTCTGCTTACGAGGCTTCAACGTCATATTACACGGCCGCAACGCCCAGAAACTCGCTCGTCGGCGCGACGAGCTCCTCGCCCAATTCCCGAACTCACATGTCGGGGTCATTGTTCGCGATGCGCAGACTCTTAGCGCGGACATCGACCATGTCGAGCAGGAAGTGCGCGATATTATCGGCGCTGCTGGTCCGGGGACTGGGACGTTGACGGTGCTGGTTAATAATGTCGGTGGGGAGGTGAAACCTGTTACGTTGTTGAGGGAATACTCGTTTGAGGATGTGCAGAGGACTATTTCCTGTAATGCGGCGTTTGCGATTCAGATTACCCGTGTGCTGGTGCGACTGCTGGAGGAGAGTGATGCGGGGCTTGTGTTAAATGTTTCTTCGCTTGCGGCGTTTGGGATGCCGTATCTTAGTGCTTATGCTGCGTCTAAGGGGTTTGTGGACTCGTTTACGAAGTCGTTAAGGGCGGAGTTTAAGGCGGAGGGAAAGAAGGTTGAGGTTATGGGGTTGCGCGTTGCGGAGGTGAGCACGGCTGGGTATGATGTTAAGAAGACTTTGTTTGTTCCTGAGGGGAGGGTTTTGGCGGCGGCGGCGTTGGATCGGGTGGGCTGTGGGCAGGAGATTGTGTGGGCTTATTTCTGGCATTGGTTGCAGGGGCTGTCGTTTGAGTATTTGCCGCGTTCCGTGTTGATGAAAGTTGCCGGGATGAAGTTGAAGGCGCTTAGGGCGGATTTAGATGCTAAGGCGAAGACGAGCTGAGGGAATGTCGGTCTATTGTGGTTTCTCTGTATACTTAGGCTATGGACATATCGTACAAAAACATACAGAAGGAAGATAGGCGTTTATTGTGTATTGAAAAACACCATTATATAGTCTATGGGTTCTCTAGAAGCCAGCCGGTGACTTTGCCTGATCGTCCGGGCCGTGGAGCCCTGCACCAAGGTTGGCAGTGCATTCGGTCTGCCAGTCCTGGGGCGTGAACTTATCAACAATCTCCTTGAACGCATCCAAGGTGCAGAAGGTCTCATCGCCGGGCAGGTGGTTCTCGGGTTTGGCGGCACAGCCGGGGATACGGACAGGTCGGTCGTTGTAGCGAATACGGACATAGTGCTTCTGAAGAGACTTACGAGCGCCCTCGGGGAAGGATGCAAGAGGTCTGCGTGCGGTCTCGGACGTGGTGGTCTCGTTCGGTGCGGATTGACCGAACAGCTTAGCGAGAACGCCAGGCTTCTTGGCTTCGACGGAAGGCTTCGAGAACTCTTTGAGCATGGCCGTGCGGGGCGCCTGGGAGAAGAGCTCAATTGCAACAGAGGAAGTGAAGGGAGGCCATGACTCGTCCTGGAAACCACCGACACTGGACAGAATCGCGGCAAGGGTGGTGTCATGGCAACCGCTCATGGCGAACTTGATAGCCTTGCCAGTCTCGGGATTATTTGACCCAGAGGCAGCAGTCTCACTGCGCCAGCCACCTCCAACAGCGGTGCTGACCATGCGATCAACCACATCGCCCATGAGAGCACCAATGCCCAGCTTGCGGTACTCGCTACTCTCGCCGTAACCGGCAAACCACTCCTCGACCGCGATCCGGTCCAAAACAGCGCGACCCTTCTTGTCGTAGAACTCAGCTGGAAGCTTAGTAGCTGGGCCATGGGCATCAGTTGCGTTGATGGTGTCCATGATTCCAGACAGACGAGGGTGAGCATCGACAGCAACCTTGGGCGATTCTTCAGGCATATGCTTTGACCAGAGGCTGTTCAGATACGCCATTTGTTCCGAGTCATTCCCTGAATATCAAAGTTAGCATCATTCTCTAAACATGATCTCCCGCGGAGAAGCTCATACATCGTGTAGCTGCGCGGTCGGCGAAAAGCCGTGCCAGCTGTCGGAACCGTCTACAATTCGACTCATTGGGGAACAGTGTCTCCTCATTGACCTGACGAGCCACAATCACCGGCGGCGGGAAGTCGGCCGTCCGCGCGCTAGGCGGGTACATGCCCCAGAAGGCCTGCTGAAGCGACTGTAAAGCACGAGGGATCGGCGTGGCGCGCAGGTACATGTCTTCGGCATCGGCCTTGATCTGGGGCATAAACCCGAGCTGATCGACATAGAGATGGCGCAGCCGTTGTCCGAGCGCATATGTCGTTTCACGGCCCTTATCCGTGAGCTCACCATGCAAGCTACAAATACTCGGTTTAGTTTCTCTGCATGTACTGATAAGAGCTGCACAGCAACTTACCACATCGAGTCGACTAATCCTCCCGGTCCGCTGGCTACAACTGCCTGGTCATTTGTGCCAAAGGATTCCATCTTCCGACGCCATTCGAATCCGTTCCATGTCGAAAGGTCTTTGCTGCTGGACGCCATCTGCACCATCCGTTTTGCGACGCCGCAATATGGCCAGTCTTCCGAAGGGAGCTTATCAGTACATACTCGGCCGATGTCGGCATTGGGGGGATTGCATACATGGACTTAGGCCTGTCTTTGGGGAATGTTAGCGGAGACCGTCGGAGTGCGGAGATGGGACAGAATCAATTGCGGCATACATTTTCGAATCGCGATGAGACAGGTGTGCGTTCACCTGCAATTCAATTAGGGAACTCGACTGAATAGGAGCATACTGAAATGGCTTTCTCACCATGGCGAAGGAACTGTCTTGGTTAGCTGTGTCTCGGTAGATCATGGTTCACGACACTTACCACTTGGACCAGCTGGAGCTTCAAGCCCGGTGGATACAGGCGAGCAAGCTCATCCTGGGTATAGGGATCTCGGGGAATGAGAGTGGACATCTTGCAGACCGGACAAGAGGTATCCAAGAATCTATAAACTGGTGAAATGGGGTCGGGGAATAGATACGACTCATCGGGGCGGTGAGGGGATGGGTCATTTGTTGGGGTAGAGTCTAGACGGCCAGGCTCTTTCGGTGCGTTAACTGTTACTGTTACTACTGCGTACATCTTTGGAAGCAGATTGAATGAGCGTAGATATTGTTCTTTTTATTATTTATTCGGCCTATATGTATGAAAGACATCCATGAATCTCACTGCTCAGGTATGTTCCTGGATGTTTGATCTCCGCATCTCGGCAAGTTCCCCCCAAACCATCTCCGTGCCTCGGGCTGGTATCTTCGGAGATACAAATCAACGAACTCCTCCAAATGCATGTATTGTACAGCAAGATAGAATATACAATGATCGATATTATCATGCCTCGTAGTCACTCGTTTCCCACCCTTCCTCGCTTTCACTTGCACTCCAAACAGACCGAGTAGGTTCCATCTGTTCCTCGGTCTTGGTGGCAGCAAGCGCAGCCGTCGCAGCGGTAGTAGTAGCCATTTGCTTGGCCCACTTCTTATTATGCTTCGCCTTGCGAGCATTCTCTTCTTCTTGGCGGTCTTTCTTAATACGCTCCGCTTCCGCTAAGGCTGCCCGCTCCAGGAGCTGCACATACTTCTCCACTGCCGGTGCATATGCCTGCGCAAGAGGGAAGTCCCCGACCTTGATACGCATGAAATCCATCGCGCTACTGACGAAGCCCTCGTACTGGCCCCATTGTTGGCGAGATCGAGAGAGACTGATGTCGTCGGATAGCGGGGCTCCTTGGGAGATCATGGGCTGGTCTTGAGGGTCATCGAAGGGGATATCTGCGTCTGCGGGCTCATTCACGGTCACATCCGCCCGGGGCGGGGCGGTTTCTGCGTTTTGATTCTCCACAGAGGCAAACTTCTGGTAGCGCTGGCTGAAATGGGTGAGCAGGACAGCGCGCGCTTCCATGCGACGGCCAATCTCGATCGCCTCAGTGGAAGTCGAGTGGCGCTTGGCGATAGCCATTCCGCCCATGTCATGTTGGAAAGTGGCCTCGTGAATGAGCACGGTTGAACCCTTTCCGATTTTGGCGAACTTGTCTGATGGTCTACAGTCGCCAGAGTAGGAGAGTTTGAAGCCATTGGAGAAGACAAGAGACACGGCGAGCGAGCCCTTGCAGTGCTTAACACGGCAGGTAAGCAGATTTTCAAGGCCAGTGGCAGACTTGAGGAGAGGAGTGAGGGGGTTGGATTCGTCGGTGAAGCTCAACTGAATCCGACGACCCTCTGTTAGGCGTTGGGAAAATTGAGTGGTGAGTTCAGAGTCTTTGGAGTCAGGATGCGCGCATAGAGCAAGAACTTTGTCAAATCCGATGTCCTCAACCTGGGAATACTCTTCCAGCCAACGAAGCATTGCATCGTCGGACACAACACTGAGTGGCTTCTCTTGGAGGAACTTGGACATGTTAGTCTCAGGGCTGGCCGACGAACCAGGTCCATTCTTATAGACCTCCTCGTACCAAGCCTTGATGACGGTGGCCGTGCCTAGGTGGTGATCAGCATGCAAATGGCTGATCCAGATCATGCGCAGGTTCTGGAGCACTTCGCGAAGCTCTGCGGGGTTGAAGACTCGCTTCAGCTGGCCGAAAGTATTCTCGCCACAGTCGAGCAAATAGTAGCCGTACCCAGGAACCTTGACCAGTGTGGCGGAGACATTACGGTATTTGGATGGGACGGAGGATCCAGTGCCCAGTGCGATAATCTCTGCATCTGCTCCGGGCCAATCTGCCCGTCGCGCTTGCAACATCTTCTGGAAAGCGGGCTTGGCCACGCGTTTGCCTATGACGTCCATCCGTTGCTGGATGGAACGCGGGACACTATTCAGTTCTTTGGCTGGGTTGAAGAGCGGCATCACCTCTTCCGTGTTGATGCCGAATTGAGGCTCCATGTTGATGATGAGACCGGGTTCAATAGGCTCTAGTGGAGAGTTCCCGCGGGCAGCGACTGCAGATTGTGAGCCGGTGTTGGGGGCACCGGGTTGGGGTAGTGTCACATTGTCGTGAACTGGAACGGCGTAGTTATCGGGCCTCAGACGAGCAAGTCGAATGGTTGAACCAGCAGAACTGCCTAACGCCAAGTAGTTCGGACAGTAGTCTGTACTCGACACGGTGTGCTTACAGTGAGGCATGCTGGCGACGAACTCCTGGAATTTGGGATGCTCAGCAACTCCCGGTCCAAGAATCCAGATGAAGACTTGCAGGCCAGTCGTCACAGCGGGCGACTTCCATTCAGGCCGGCTAACCATGTCCTCAAGGTACTCGGACGATGGAATTTCCATTATGGCGGTGCCTTTGCCCAATCGCGTCTGCCCCAAAACCATATCTGGAGTGATGGTCTTGCCATCCAAAGATTGAACGCTCTTGCCCATCGTTAGAGCTGCGTAATTGGGGCCCTTCTGAACCTTCAGTTCTTGGGCCTTCTTTGGGTCAAATTTTCCACGGATGTCGTGGTTCCGCACAATATAACAAACTGCCTCCTTCGAGGGGGATGTGGGCGGTAGGTTCTCGACCGCCGCACCCGGCCAAGGCTTTCGGACAAGTACCCTGATATCGGGGAGGGGTTCCTTGTCTCCCGGCACGGGGCCTTTGTATTGCTCAAGATCCTTGGTCTGCGGGTTGCGAACAAAGATGGCTGCAGGCATTTGAACCTCAGCCAGTGGGGTCTCATGAAGGGTGTCCATTTTCCATGTTGAATTGAACATATCCTGCACAATCGCTTGCCTCACCATCAGGTCCTTGGCACGTTGGTTTATGTGATCCGCAGGCTGTTCGTTTCCCTGGAACTCGTCGAGGCTCCGCTTCCGCGGACTATGCGACCGCGTAATTCGAGGGCTGGCTGAGGGTTGAGGCTTGAGAGGCAGGGCCCAGACCTTGATGTTAGAGTCGGACCACGAAGGATTCGCAAATGGATCATCGGCGCCGATAGGCGTTTCCTGCGCGAGTGTCTCCGAGTCATATTCTTTCAAGTACACAGGTGTTCCTTTGCGGAACACAAACCGCCGAGCCGTAGCCAGGGTGTGCGTGAGATTGGTAGCACCATGAATCGTCAAGTGACTTCCCTGCTCCAAGACCTCGCCGTCCCGCTCGTAGGTCTTGCCGGGTCTGAGTGTAGGTGGGTCTTCTTTGTTTCCCTTCCCTTTACCCTTATTACCACTCTCGATTTCTGCCCTGCGTGTGGCCTTCTGCCGTCTGTCCTCTTCAAGCGCCGCATTGGAACTCGCCAAGGTATCGGCAAGAGTCAGAATGATGCCCATTAACCCGCCTGTATTCGCCCACTCCGTCCGTCCAGTGATAAACACATCGGTAAGGAGACCGAGCTTAACTCCACGCTCTATGCATGCGCGCTGTAGTCCTTCTGACACTTGACCGAAAAAATATCGCTTATCAGGGAAATTGAGGCAGATGGCGGTGCCGGGGGTATCGGCCGTTGGGGTCGTGATGACTTGGTAGAAGAACTTCATGCTGGGAGCTCCTGTTGTATAACTTCGGACCGATGGAATGATTTCGAGTTTAGAGGGTTCGCAGACTAAGTAGTCGTCGAAATCGGAGCGGTGTCTGCTCTTCACGGAACCAGCTGGTATCACGTATCCTTTGAGGTTGACTGCAGGTTGTCTGATTCCAAGTGGCGAGGACTTCTGTCGGTCTTCTAATTTGCTAGGGTGGTGGATCTTCCTCGGGCTCAAATTGGGCCTTGAATCTCGCGGTCTTGGTGGATCACGGGTTCTAGCGCTGCCGTACGATCGGAGCGTGGATGGCGAAATTGAGGCTCGTGGGAACGCGCTCCAGGCGACTGCACGAATGGCTGCGGTTGACAGAGCACCGCGCAACCGTGATGAAGCCAACTTGGTGGAGTATAGGGATAGGGGTGAAAATGCAAGATGCAGCAAAAGAATGAACAATCAGAGCATAGGGAAGGAATAAATTGAGTTGATAAATTGGCGGACCGCGGAGAAAAAAAAGAGATCGAAATTTGCGTCATGGCCGGCAGAACAGCAGCTCATAGATTCTGCCAAGAAGTACGGAGTGCGCAGTATTTGAGTCGATCTTTCCAATTATTAGATACATAGAGGGTCAAGTATTGTCAAAGAAGATCACTGTCTGGTCAATTTGTTTGGTTTTACGGATTTTGGACGTGTTGTAGGTCTGGTCAAGGCAATCCACAAGCTCTCCTAACTACATCCTGAAGTCACTACAGCAAGATCTCTTGAAGAAACATTGTATTTGGCTGAACTACATCCAGAGTATAGGCTATGCACTAAAAAGGGACAATCATATGGCCGTATAAAGGTTTGGACTTTTACTCCACACGGCCTTCAAATACGCCAGGATAATAGTCTCAAATTCCAGCGAAACAGGTTATCGTGGAAGAATCTCGATAACGGAAAAGCAAAAGGCACAAACCAAAAGAGTAGACGCCTTGAAACACCCCGGGGCATCTGGAAGAGATAATGGATGACCGGCCAGTCGCAAAATATGGCGGGGTTTCATCAGAAGTGTAAGAACCACTGGACCATGACAGAGCAGAAGAGAGAGACCAGAATGCCGATGAAGAGAACCACATGTACAAAGAAAATGAGGCTTAGAAAAGCAAGACGCTGGTGGGGGAATCACTGAAGGTGGGATGTGGCAAGTGACACACGCTCGAAGGCGGCGTCAATGCTATTGCAGAGGGCGACAAAGGTTCTCTTGGCGGAGGTGCTGATTTCGGAGTTGTCAACGACGAGTTCAAAGTGGGTGGCCTTCTCGCTTGAAACGCCTTCGAACGCAGCGCCGGCACCGATGGGCGGGGTATCAATAAAGAGAGCAAAGGCAGGATCAGACTCGTCAATCTCGACATCGGGATTGGCAACACCAATGTCAGACGGACTGGAATCGAAGGTAGGACTATCAACAACGGGAGCCTCATTCTTGGAGCTCTGGGGAATACCGAAAGACGAAGACTTCCCGGACAGAAGCTCAGCATTAAGGGCCGGACCTTCAGGAACTTCCGTGACAGCAAACACAGGGGTGTTACTATAGTTCATGTCGATCCCCGAGTTCCAGCCAGCGTTGGTCATGCCCATGGTGGTGGGAACCATTACCATGTTGGGCTGAGGGGTTTGCTGCATCTGGAATTCTTGGCCGTGGTTGGCGCTGTTGTCCTTGGGAATGGCCTGCATATTAGGCTGGGGTGCTTGCTGGGGTTGGGGCTGTTGCTGAGGTTGCTGCTGGACCTGCTGCTGAGGCTGAGCGGGCAAAGTATCACCCATGTCGTTCAAAAAGTTCGAGAAGTGAGGGGATCCCAAGAGCATCCGAGCCAAGTCGTTCAAACGAGCATTCTCTTCATAAAGAGCGCGGTTTTGGAGGCGGACCTCGTGAGCCTCATTGGTTCTAGCGGCCACCTCGCTCTCAAGCTGCCCAATGTATTCTGTTGAGAGGCATTAGCAAAAAGAGAATGGCTCCATATCGAGGTGATCAAATACATACCCTTACGACGAGATCGGAAAGCGCGGGCGGAGACTTTGTTTCGCAGCTGGCGACGTTCTTTGCTGCTGAGCTTCTTGCCCTCCTCGCTAGCGAGAAGACGCTCATCTTCGTCCATGTCGGCCTCATCCTTGCGGGACTTGGCCATATGCGGCATACCATTCGAAGGAGTGGGGGAGCCCTCGCCATTGGCCATGGCGTTCTTTCGCATTTGCTGCAGTAGACGAGAGATACGCTCCTCCACCACCGGATCGGGATTGCGGAGACCACATGCTTGGGGTAGAGCACCAGGTCCTTGATCCGGACGTTGCTGCATTTGATGGCGGACCATTTCACTCTGCTTTTGTTGTTGGGCCCTCGCCATCGCAGCCTGCTGCTGATGCATACCCGGGTACATACGGCCAACCTGTGTGGATGGACCAGCCTGAACCAGCTCATTGCCTCCGATAGCGGTGGGGTCGACATATTGGTTCTTGTTTCCTGGGTTTGCCGGGTAGAAAAATGGCGCAGCATTCATCTGTTCGGGCTCAATATCCATCTCCGACGGGTTCCGGCCCGGTGCGGTATTGAAATCAAATGGTACATCTTCTCGCTTCAGGTGGTGACCAGCATACACTTCAGCGTTCACGGGAAATCCCGGGCCGTTATTGAACCCCATCGGAACCTGGTTATACGACATGGAAAGAGCACCAGGGGGTAACCCAGTCTGTTGTCTGTGTTCGTCGTATTGATGGCTCGGGGCCTGGAAAGCGAGAGGAGACTGGCTGCTCGAAGCGAAGCTAGCACTGCGGGCATCGCTGGATGTGAAATCGGTACTTGCGACCGACGGTTGGCTAACCATGGCGACCTTTGATCGGGAGGGGTCGGATGTGTATGTGAGTTGATCGAAGTTGATGAAGGAGTTAAGCTCTTGGTCGTAGTTTGCCGGTGGCATCGGATTTTCTGCGAGAGTCGCCATGTTGATATGGGTGGAGCCTGTCCCTCGACAGCGTAAGGATATGCTAGATAGCGTTCGAAGCGGAATACGTGGTATGGATAGTATAGGAGGAAGTTGAACGAGAGATATGGATTGTTTTTTAAAGAGGGAAATATAAAGATGAAAGTGATCCAAAAAAAAACGAAGGTCTAATAGAGTATGGAGTTGGATCAAGATGGAGATGAAAAGGGAAAAAGGGAACCAAGGGCACAGGGGAAGGGGACCAGTGTTCCGGAATAGCAACGGGGCTTGCGCGTCCTTTCTTACTCAGCGGGGCACGAAGAATGTAGCCAATAGCGGGGCTGCATTGCCACTTGACGGGGCTTGTTTACCATACTCGTACGCAGCGTATTGTGGGACACAGATTTTATGTTTCAAGATTCAATAATGCCAGATCTACCTACACAATGCTCTGTACCTGATATACAGATACTGCGTACTCACTCAGCTCTCATATACTCCGTATGCCAATTATTTGGGTCTTTGGAGCGTGGTTTCCTTATATGTCTTGACCACCTGCCATACTACCTAACACCTATGCTCTTTCTCCCTGGGGTTCAGAATGTGGACCGATCTCAGGCAGCCACCAATCAATCCCATTGGCTAAAGGAAAGAACTTAGGGCTCGGAGTTACTGCTCACGTCTCGTATTGTAAATAAACACAGTTTGTGCCCTTTTCCCGTACACGGGCACTGTACTCCGCAGGAATCTCCCTTCATGACGCAGGTGGCTGTGTCATGTCTCTGTTTATCAGAGACGAACGATTTGACAAAAGTTACATTCCTCAGGTGTTGACTCGCATCATCTGGAATTATGCGAACAATCTCCCGGTAGGGAGTACTCCATACGGAGTACATTTTCCTGGGAAGTTGGAACTCCGAAGTAACCTACCAGCCTCTTCCAGCTAAGAGTGACTATCCTTGCGCTTAGCGGCCTCGTAGCCAACGAAAGTTCTCGATACCGGCTAAACAACGGCAATTTCCATGTAGGCTTCTCAAGTACGGAGTGCAATAAGCTTTCCTAGAGTTGAAATGGGCAAGGTGTCTAGGCTTCAACTGCTGCTTTCGCCGAACTTCCGTGCACGTGATGGAAGGAGCTAATACACGACAGGCTAGCTTGTCCGACTCTATCAAGCGCTAAGTTTTAAGTTCCTCACTCTCCAAATGGGTTGGGTCGATCCTTTTCCTCTACGGAGTACATGTTCTGCGTTGAGCGCATTTTGGTCTACATGAGACGTATTGTGGCGGTTTAGGACATTTGCATTTGTCTCTATGTCTTCCTCTCAGATCACCCCTGCAGCTTAACCAAATGTCAAAATTGGTCAGACACAACAGACGTGGTAGAGTGATTAGAGTCTACAACACCCGCTCTTTCGAATTCGAGAACGAATACGCCCCAAGTTTCAGCCATTAAGCCACCCGCTTTCCTGTCTCCACTGTCCAGTGATCATCTAGGGCTGAGGCGGATACAATATCCGCTTCCTGGGGTGTCAACTGATTCTCTGCAAATACGATACGATTATACGAGGCTGAACTGATCCTGCGCCTCAATCCTACACAGGCATTATAGTATTCTGTGTCTTTGTATGTCTGCTTGCTCTTAAAATAAACACTGGAAGTCTATTGCGCACTCATCTAGTGTCGGCTGTGCACTGTAATGCAAAAGATGCTGCCTAAATTTGATAGCAATGAGCCAATCATTCTATTCTGTACACTGGAATTCCAATCAGAGCGGCTCTTGTAGGTATTACGGCCGGGAGTCTAGACCAGAGCCTTCTGCCAGATATCAATATCTGGTTGTCTACTGTTCTGAAGACCTGTCCTGCTCTCATCTATGCACCTGTCTATGAGGTCACAAACCTCTTCATTACAAAACCTTCAACCGCATTGCAGTTTGTGTGGCTGACGATTTACCTTGGAAGCAGCTCTAGTCCGAGCTAGCCGTGGACATTTATAGATGTTCCAGACTTTTGGGGTGAGAACCCCGTATGAGCCGATCTGAGATCCATATATCCGTTTATTCCGTAGTCCAGGTTCACTAACTAACTAGTACTCAATCTAGCAGCTAAGGCACTGCCAATTTGACCTAAACCCTAATCCCTCCTAGCGAGGCTGAGCTACTTCTACAAGGTGCTGACACGATTGTTTCCCAGCAATTAGTCTCAGCTAAAGATTGTATTTGTACCTCGAAGTAGCTGTGTTCTAGCTTGTTTCCCTGTGACTTATGCAAAATGCGCTTTTCAGACTTTGCGATGTTCTCATAATATCGAGAGCCGAGACAAAAAGAAGCCATCAGGTTCTCTGACTCAGAAGACTTGTCTTCCTAGGTAAAATGCGACTTCGCCAAGGCCCAAAGGTCAAGCGCGGAATGTGAATGGTTGCCTCAGGCGCTAAATATTCCCCTTTTCGGACCCCGACCGCGGAATATCTAATTTCTATGTGTCTTCTAATACAATGGACTCGCTACATTAGAGATACTTAATAGAGTCATAGTGGCACAGATCTGATTCTGCACGGGGCTTGAGAGTAGATGCGACCTCTCCTTGCTGTTCTAGGTATTCGAGGCTGTCCGAACCGAACTATATATCCGTGCACATTCTCTCGTGGCTTCAATAGCACTGATTGGAGACTACCTCCTGGACAAAGCATCCAGAACGCACCTGAAGATCAACCGGATTCCACATTCTGAAAGTCATGACTTCTGCCCCGACAATTCTGGCAACGTGCAAACAGACACGGTTCCATCTGCTAGATGATAATCCTTCGCGGGAGGTATGAACCAGAACAGCTGCGAAAACGGCCTCACGATCACTGACTGGAATGAAACTGATCCATCCGACAGATTGACGTGGAGGGGCTGAACATTATAGTTACATCTTCTGCTGGATCCACAGAAGATGCATCGAAACCAAAGGCAAAAGGGAAATCAAAGGCCAAGCCTGCAGGAAGAGAGCTTATCTCGGATGCCCACTTACGACTCAAGGCGGGCGTCCACTACGGACTGCTAGGTCGTAATGGGACTGGGAAGTCAAGTAAGACAGTCCTCCGTGGTATCTACAAAGCTTGTTTTATTAATCGTTACAGCGCTCCTTCGAGCAATGGCCGAGAAACTCATTCCTGGCATCACGCATGCGACTCGGATTGCAATTTTGCAGCAGACCGATGATCAGGACGATGGTTATCTTGGAGGAAACTTTAGTCAGGACAAAACTGTCTTGGAATCAGTCCTTGGCAGCGATGAGACTAAGAACGAGGCTGTTCACACGGCAGAATGTAAGTAGGTCCTCCTGAATTAAGTTGGACTTGGATGGCTGACTAGTTCACAAGTTCTATCGAAGAGCTTTGAGGCCGAAGACCCGATGCAGCCCGTACGAGCAATTCGCAAGCTCCGTCATCAGAAAGCCGAGAAGCAGCTTTTTCTGGCACATAAGAATGCAAGCCTGAAGAGCGGCGCACGAGGTCTACAGGCGAGAAAGGAGTTGAAGGCAGCCGAGGCAAAATTTGAAGCTGCATCGGAAATGTAAGGATGAAACCTCCCGTATTAACGACTATAGCTTACCTCTGCTAGGCTGGCCCAGGATGTAGATGCCATTGACGCAGAGACTGTGCAGTCAGATACCCAATCCGCCGTTGAGACATTACAGAATTTACAGTCTCAACTCGAAGACGTGAGACTTTGCAAGACAACCATCCTGTGCCCCGCTAACACGAAGCTAGATGAAACTTGCCGATCTGGAGCAACAGGCCCGTCGGGTTCTCCTTGGTCTCGGTTTCAAGGAAGATGGGCTGGGGAAGAAGGTCTCCACCCTCTCAGGTGGTTGGCGTATGCGATGCATGCTGGCCAGTGTTCTGGTCCAAGATCCAGACATCATGATTCTCGATGAGCCCACCAACTTCTTAGATCTTCTGGGAGTAGTGTGGCTGGAAACCTATCTCAAACAGCTCCGCGAGACATCGGAGACCACAATCGTCTTGGTTTCACACGACAGGGACTTCATCAATGCTGTCTGCGAGGAGATTGTGATTCTACGAGATCAGAAGCTCACGTACTTCAGAGGAAACCTGTCCGCATACGAGCAAGATTTTGAGGAACAGAAGCTGTACCTTGGACGCATGAAAGAGGCACAGGAGCGGCAAATTGCTCACATGGAAGCTAGTATCAGGGAGAATATGAAGATCGGGAAGAAGACCAACGACGAAAACAAACTACGGCAGGCGAAATCGCGGCAGAAGAAGGTCGACGATCGGATGGGTCTTCAAGTAAGTGCGAGAGGCGGCCGGTTCAAATTAAACCGTGATCTAGTCGGGTGGCATGAGCATAACCGAGCAGAGATCGATGTTCCGGTGGATGAGAAAGGCGCGATTATGAGTTTACCCGATGCAACGGAGTTGCGTTTCCCGGGTCCCCTGGTATCGCTCGAGGATATTGTGTTTCAGTACAAGAAATCTGATCGGATTATCTTGGACGACGTGAACTTGGTAGTTCACCTGGGTGATCGTGTCGGGATCATGGGTCTCAATGGATCCGGGAAGACAACTCTACTGCGCGTGTTGACGGGACAGGTACTGCCTTCCAAGGGCAAGGTATCAACTCACTCCCGGCTAAAACTGGGCTACTATAGCCAGCACTCCGTCGAGGAATTGCAAGAACGTGGCCGAGGCGAACCCGGTCTAACTGCACTGGGCTTGTTGACGATTGAGACCGAGGGGTCCTTGAATGAGGGTGCTATCAGAGGTCTACTTTCTTCAATGGGGCTATCAGGGCGTACTGCATCTGATGTACCCGTCTGCAAGTTGTCAGGTGGACAATTGGTAAGTAGGGTGCATCAACAGCTCAAACTTGCAGCAGGCTAATGCTCTCAAAAATAGGTCCGCCTTGCATTGGCTCGAATTGTCTGGAGCGCACCGCAGCTTCTCATTCTCGATGAGATCACCACTCATTTGGACTTCCACACAGTCACTGCATTAGCTACGGCTCTCTCCTCCTTCAGCGGCGCTGTGCTTCTAATTTCCCACGATCGTTTTCTTGTTCGGTCTGTGATCGAGGGCAAGCGAGACACCGAGCACAAACTTGATGAGGATTTCGAAGGGGTAGAGGAGGAACAGACCGAGGAAACGCAGAGGCGGCGGTCAGTCTTCGTGATCAAACAGGGTAAGATGACCGAACAGAGAACTGGCGTGGAGCAGTTCGAGCAGAGTCTCGTGAAGCGAGTGCATAGGTTATTACCGGCTCTATAGTTTAAACTTATTTGAAGGAGTTTCGTTTATGACCATGTTGAAATGTTGATGCAAGCCGCAAGGGACCCTGAGTTCGTAGCCTGAGGCCAGACACCATGACACATGACGGAGACCGCCGATTACCTCCGTTTCCTTACACCACCGCCTATGATTCTGCCGAATTCTCAGAATTCTGCCACGCTAACCTGATTGCGGTTCTTAGTCCCCGACTCAGCACGCTAGAAGAGGCAGGCGGTATAATCCGAGGGGCGGCTGAGGGAACTGAGGTAAACCGCCGAGAGTCTCCAAGCGATACGAGACCAAGCGATACGAGAGACATCCCCCTCCTTCCGAGGACTTCCTGCATATAATCCCGGCAAAATGCCATATTTGACCCTTTGCAAAGAAAATACCCTATAATGGCTGGCCTGTGCAAGCGGATTTTGTCTTGCCCCAGGATTACCCGTCAGTCCTGGGGCTCAGTGGCAATACAGACGCGACCACAGAGCACTCACGCTGCACCAAGACCCGACGCCACCGTCGCCGCCTCCCCTGAATTGACCCCTCCGCATAGCTCCACGGAAACATCCAGACTGTCGACACTCAGGTCCGCGAAGCCCTTCTCCGAGTTCCTGACCGATACCTTCAATCGCCAACACGACTACCTCCGCATTAGCGTCACGGAACGATGCAACCTCCGATGCTTGTACTGCATGCCCGAGGAAGGCGTAGATCTTTCACCCTCTGCGAAACTACTTACTTCGCCTGAGATCCTGTATCTGTCGTCGCTATTTGTTTCACAAGGTGTGACCAAGATCCGATTGACGGGCGGAGAACCGACTGTCCGCAAAGACATCGTGCCGTTGATGCAGGACATCGGCAAGTTGCGGTCTAATGGGCTTCGGGAGCTGTGCTTGACAACCAATGGAATTTCACTGCATCGCAAATTGGACCCGATGGTGGAGGCTGGACTGACGGGAGTCAATCTAAGTCTCGACACGCTGGATCCGTTTCAGTTCCAGATCATGACGAGACGCAAGGGCTTCGACGCTGTAATGAAGAGCATCGACCGCATTCTGGAAATGAACAAGGCCGGTGCGGGGATCAAGTTGAAAATCAATTGCGTCGTTATGAGGGGAATGAATGACCGAGAGATTCTTCCGTTCGTGGAACTGGGCCGTGAGAAGCCCATTGAAGTGCGCTTCATTGAGTACATGCCCTTCGGTGGGAACAAATGGAATCAACAGAAGATGTTTTCCTACCAGGAGATGCTGGCTGTTATTCGCGAGAAGTATCCCACGTTCGAAAAAGTGGCGGATCACAAGAACGACACCAGCAAGACATACCGTGTTCCTGGGTTTGAAGGCAGTGTGGGCTTCATCACGAGCATGACGCATAACTTCTGTGGTACTTGCAATCGCCTGCGCATCACTAGCGATGGGAACCTCAAGGTTTGCCTGTTTGGTAACTCCGAGGTATCCTTACGCGATGTCATTCGAAAGGAAAACGGCGGAAATCCAATTGATGAGGATGCAATGAACAGTTTGCAGCTATTGGAAACAGTACAAAAAGCCGCCCGTCTTAGTGACGAGGGCGGTTTAATGAACGAGCGAGAACGTGAGATTCTCGATATCATCGGCATGGCGGTGAAACGCAAGAAGGCGAAACACGCTGGCATGGAACAGTTGAAGGATATGAAGAACCGTCCCATGATCCTGATCGGTGGGTAGCCTCTTCTTTCACGATTGGAAACATTTTATGACTTATATACCTGGATGGACATCTTTTGTACACTGGAAAATTGGCGAGATCTACTTGATACCATGTACACATCTTCATGTATTTGGAGGAATGATTCTTTGAAGCACCACGCTGATAGCTGCACTAGATAAAATACCGAAACTATTGAGTCCAAGGACTGCTTGGCCAAATATCCCTGTACACATGCTTTCGCACCCCCCTGCATCTTCCCAGATTCGTCTGTACCATAATGGACGTTCTCGCCCATCGCCCTCTCTCCCAACCACCTCAGATGCCGACCTCCCTCACCTCACTCCCTCTAAGACGGTGCACATGACTCAGATCACCGAGAAACCCGAGACAAAACGAGTCGCCACAGCCGCCTGCACCGTTTCTTTCTCGAACGCGCGACCCTGGGATATCCTACAGAAGGGACAACACACGCACAAAGGCGATGTGTTCAGCGTCGCCCGGATCGCAGGCATCATGGCAGCAAAACGGACCCCTGACATTGTACCTCTTTGTCATCCTGGCATTGGCATCACTGGGGTCGAGGTCAGTGTGGATTTGGTTGAGCCTGGGCACAGGGATCACGGTGCCATGAATGTTGTGGCGTCGGTCAGCTGCTTTGGTCGCACGGGAGTGGAAATGGAGGCTATGACGGCTACGATGGGTGCAGCTTTGACTATTTATGATATGCTCAAGGCTGTGGATAAAGGCATGGTCATAGGCAGTGTTCGATTGTTGGAGAAACAAGGGGGGAAGAGTGGACATTGGCTACGGGAGGAAAAGCTTGGTGATGGAATAGACTGAGATAGAGAAGAGTAGTCTAAGTCTGAGTAGAGACTTAATCTTCATTCTTCTATGCGGTAAAATACAAGTCTTCTCTCCTTTTGTTCTTTACTCGGTCTTCAGCCCTATACTACCGTACACCGTTGGAACGGTTAAATCCCTCACCCACTTTTCTCGGATCTTTTCTTTTCCCTCTTTCACCTCTTTCTCTATCTCCTGGTGAGAAAGCAGACTTTGCAGTGATCCAGTTGGATCATTTCCTCTCGACATTCCTCTAAAAGCCAAGTATGTGGTTATCGTGAGAAGTCTCCAGCCATAAAATTTCCGCCTAACAATTTTAGGTCGGTCAAGCTACGGCCAAGCTACGGCCAAGGCTTTCAGCTGTTGGCACATTCCCTCCTTTACACAGTATCACAAAGACAGAAGAAAAATGAATTAGATACTTGACTTATCTGTCGAGGTCGTGTCGACTTCTCGACTTGTGTGTCTCGTGAAAATCCTGCGGACCTCTCATCATTACGAGGGAATACAATTGTGCCGTTATTCACTGGAACTTGGCCAGGCCAAATCTTTAACAATGAAGAAACTGATCCGTATGTACTTCCTTCTTACTGTCAGAGATATCGCTAACCACTCGATACAGCCGGCAACTGGCGGCGGAAGACATGGGACATCATATTGGCGATGCTGCCACCTTTGAACTTTCTGACGCTGCACTATTTCTACTTCATTGCGACCTGTCTGATTACCAGCGTCATATTCTATTTGACATCGACGCCATGGCGCAGTGTTTCCTATGTAAATTCAATATTCATGTGCGTTAGCGCCATGACTGGTGCTGGTCTGAATACGGTAAGAAATTGCTTCCCAAATACCAATGGCTTTGATTTGAGACTAATGACTCGATCATCAGGTGGACCTGTCGACCCTGAACTCCTTTCAACAAGCAGTACTGTTTCTGCTGCTGATTCTGGGACATGCTATCCTGATATCCCTCACTGTACTCCTAGTACGCAAGAGAGCATTTGAAGCAAAGTTCAAGGGTGTCTCCGATGCACGAGAAAGAGAGCGGTCTAGTCGCTCTTCAGCAGTTGATTTGCACGTGGGAGTATCCACTCAGAGGAGCACCGGGACTGATAACGAGGCACGGGGAGAATCAGATGATAAGCGCTGGATTGACGATGACCAGGTCACAGTTGGCGGCACACCCCGTCTTCATCATCATCGAGTCTTTCCGATGGCTGGTATCGGGGCGAGGCCGGACCTCAATAATCACCCCCGCGACGCTGTGCCCGTGCCGCTCTCTAAAGAGGACTCGGTGTCTGGCTTCAAGGGTATTATCCGTGGTACGCAGAAGTACATGGCGTCCAAGGGACTGGTATCCCGCAACTCGCAGTTCCACGATCTCACTGCAGCTGAGCGTGAGGAACTGGGTGGCGTGGAGTACAAAGCTGTCTCATTTCTATCTGTGATCGTGTTCCTTTATTTGGTCTTGTTCATTCTGTTCGGTGTGATTGGGGTGGGTTGCTGGCTGGAAATTAATGATCCGGACGTGACGCGATCGAATGGGCTGTCGCCTTTTTGGACGGGTTCTTTCTTTGCTGTTTCGGCTTTTGTGAACAGTGGAATGTCTCTCCTGGATGCGAATATGACTGCTTTGCAGTTGAGGTGGGAGATCCCCGGATTTACTGCTTAAAGATACTTGCTGACTCGCGATAGGGCTTACCCTCTCCTTACAATGGGGTTACTGATTCTGGCTGGGAATACCCTATTCCCTTGTTTCCTGCGGTTTATTATCTGGACGATGAGGAAAATGCTGCCGAATCGGCCGGCGTGGCAATCATGGCGCATAACCCTTGATTTCATCCTGGAGCATCCCCGTAGGGTGAGTTGCCTGATTCTAATGAACTGCATATGGAAACTCATGCATCCAGGTCTATACAAATCTCTTCCCTGCTCGCCATACTTGGTACCTACTCGGCACGATTATTATCTTGAACGGTATAGACTGGGCAGCCTTCGAGCTGCTTTCCATTGGAAACAAGGACATTGAGAGTCTTCCCACGGAATTCCGCATATTGGATGGACTGTTCCAAGCTCTAGGTGCGTCAAACCATACTAACAAGACGAAGCGCAGATGAGCTAACAAAGTATTCCGAGTGAAGCGGTTCGCGCTGGTGGATTCTACGTTGTCACAATCGCCGACCTTCACCAGGGGCTCCTGGTTCTCTATGGTATGTCTATCCCATGTCCCCCACCGAAAGATACAGCTAACCCAAGTTACCCTGCAGTCCTCATGATGGTAAGACGAGATCACTTCAACCCTCCCCGAGACCCAAACTAACAATTCCCTCAGTACGTCTCCGCGTACCCAGTCACCCTCACAATGCGGTAAGTACACAGTCCACCAATGAACCCCAACTTCAATCCAAACCTAACAAACCCACAGCAACACAAACGTCTACGAAGAACGCTCGCTAGGAATCTACGCACACGATGAAACCCCAGACTCACCAGCAAACACCAGCCGCAGCAACCTAGCAATGAATCTAATCCGCCGCCACCTCAACCGTCCCGGCTTCCCCGAGACTTCCCGCGGCTACTTCGTGCACCAGCAGCTCCGCTCCCAGCTCAGCCATGATCTGTGGTGGATAGCACTGGCGGTGTTCTTCATTGCTATCGCTGAGGCGGACCATTACAGTGCCCAGCCTGTGGCGTTTTCAACTTTCAACATTATCTTCGAGGTTGTTTCGGCTTATGGCTGTGTCGGTGTTAGTCTTGGTTTCCCCGGGAAGAATTACTCTTTCTGTGGGGCGTGGCGTGGTGTTAGCAAGTTGATTCTGGCTGCTGTTGCGTTAAGGGGGAGACATCGGGGGTTGCCGGTTGCTATTGATAAGGCCATTATGTTGCCTAGTGAGTCTTTGGCTTGGGCAGAGGAGGAGGATGCTGCTTTGAGGAGGGATAGATCTATGGTTTTTCAGGAGCGTGGGCCTGTTGGGTCTGTTTAGTTCCTACTTGAGTGCTATTAGACTAGGTATTAGACTGAATTTACGAGATTATGATGATATGAACTCTTTGATGAAATGATTCTTTTCATGGGATGACTACCCCATTTTTTTAAACAAAGTAGACATATGCAATAACCGTGGGAAGTAGATGGACATGGACATAGAGATATACAAATTAAACAGAGCAAAGCATCTACTCGTCCTCCATCTCCATCTCGTCTTCATCTTCACTCTCGATCTCGTCCTCATTCTCGCTCTGCAACTCCTCCTCATCCTCATCCTCGCTACCCTCATCACTGGCAGAAACACCACCCATCGCCTCATCATCATCACCATTCTGCTTCGCCTCCAATCTCCGCTTCTCTTCCTCGCGGCGACCTTCTTCAAGAACGGCAGCACGCTCCTCACGAAGCTTGCGCTGTGTCTTGACAAAAGCACCGACAGGTGTAGTCTCCCAGTCAACGTCCTTAAGGAAAGACTCAACCTCATTCCGGTTGCGGGGAGAGTAAGTAACGTTCAAACGACGCTCCTCGATCCAGCGGGCGTTGGCTTCAACCTTCTGCACGATCAGCAGAATCGACTGGTTGACCTTGGCATTCTTGTTTCCACCGCTACGGGCAGAGACCTGCTTCAGCCAGCGCTTGAGAGATACAATGACCGGCACGGACAGTTCCGGGAACGCGATGTGCTTGGACCAGAGGACGAAGAACTCGGAGAGGAGCTCGGCGACCTGCTCGCCCACGCCGTCCTGGTAGGTACGTGAGCGCAGGTAGGATTTGGGCGCGCGGATCGCAGTGTTGAAGTCCAGAGGCTTGAGGGTGCTGGACTTGGGGTGCTTGCGCATCTCTGCGGAGGTCAGGACCTCGAGGAGTGAAGACGCGAGCGGGATGTAGGTGCCGGTGGCGCGGGAAATGCGGAGCAGGGAGCGGGTCAATTGGAAGCGCAGAGGGAAGTAGGTGGCGGTGGGGATGAGACGCATGGCGCCCAGAGTGATCTGCACAACGGGGTAGATTAGGGGACGCAGAGCGGATTGCTTGCCGATTTGAGCCTCGACAAGGCCATCGCAGTGCTGTGAGAGTACACGGGACCAGAAGTCCAGTGAGTGCGCGTATTGCCAGTTGTAGATGGTCTTGTAGGACTCCTTCGAGGTGTTGGTAATGCTCTTGCGCAGGTGCATAGCCAGCTGACGGATGAAGGAGAATCCTGCGGTGTATGAGACGTTCTGGTCAATACCCCAGATTTCAGCTGCGGAGTTCTTCATCAGGTTCACGCCTGCAAGCGTGTGCACGGTGGTGTTGCGGCTGCCCTTGACCACACCTTCATAGGTGGCCTTCAGGACAGTCTCCTTGATACCTGCATCTCCCAAAACCATGAGGCGGCGCAAGATCAAGAAACCGGTGATACGGGTAGCGTCCGCGGTGGAAACATCGGCCCAAATGCCGACGACAATCTTCACGAGGGTCTTCAGGACCTTACGGAACTGAAGAAGGTAGGGCAGCATGGGCTCAATGGACGCAAGGGTCAGCTTGAGTGTCGATGCGTCGGACAAGTTGACCAGAAGCTGGTGGACGGAAGCAGTGTGCGATTTGATCAGAGGTGTAAGGGTCTTGAACTTCTTGGAGTCTAATGACACTCTGATCTTGCCTGAAGCGCTCTCCTTGACGGGAAGGTGGTGGGCCAGGACCTTGGGAACAGTGTTGAGGGCCGTGACGAGAACCTGGTGGTAGACGTTCTTGTCGGAGATGGTATATTTCTGATCGGGGGCGTCGGGGTCGTTGACATAGGCGGCCGCGCGGAAAGCGAGCACAGCCTGGCGCATGGCTCGGATCGAATTTTGCTCCTCCATCAACTTCTGCCATTTCTTGACCATCGCGATGGTCAGGGTATCATCTTCCTCGGGCTCCTCCTCCACATCCTCCTTCTTGGACTTCTTCTTTTTCTTGGCGGGTTCCTTCTCTTCTGGCTCTTCACTTTCGCTCAAAGCATCGACCTCCGAGAGATCACCCTGATCACCGAACTCGAGCAGCTCCGCATCATTCTCCTTCAGATATTTGTAGAACTCGGGGTCCTTCTCCTTCAATGACTCCAATTGATCTTTGTGCTCATCGTAAGCATCAGCGCCGTCTGATTCTTCGCCTTCAGAAACCTCGGCTTCAGCCTCTGCCTTCTCTTCTGAGCGCTTGCGCTTGCCGATCTTGGGGGTGGTATCCTTCTTGCTGGCCTTCTTTCCCTTTTCCTCGGGAATCTCAAAGCCTCCAGCAAAGAAGTCGTCCACATTCATTTCGGAAAAGGCATTTTGCTTCTTCAATTCCTCCCGGAGTCTTCTCTGCCTCGAGGGCTTCGGCTTCGGCGCGTTTCGCAGCATTTTTTTCCTTGCGCTTGTCGTTCAGCTGGTGTCTTTGCTTGATTTTGGCATGTGCTTTGCGTTTCTCGAGGACATCTGGCAGACGGTTCTGAATGAACTTCTTCGTGGACTTTTTGCCTCCGACCATCTTGAGATATGCAGAAAAAGAGTCTGCAAGTTTGTAGCTTGGTCGGGAAATGGCTGATAAAAAAAAATTTGGGGAGGAAATCAGCGGGTCCGCCTTTCTCACCGCCTTCGGCCTCGAGCGATAACGCTCAATCTACTCCGTACAAGCTACATCTAGACAATTCACGACTGACGACTGACGATTGGCCTGACGATTCTCGCGATCCTTGTACATAGTGCTGCCTTACCCAGCATGTACTCACAGCGCCCACTCTCCTACGCGCCAACACCGTACAGCTACACACCTAACCCCGCTCGATCGGCCTCCATCAACCTTGACGAAGTATGGATGCCTGTCTCCGCAGTGATGGTCATGGCTAACCTCGCTCTAGGAAGTCAAACTAGCGTCGAGTCCAGCTGAACGTGATTTATACGAATCACTAGCCGAAATTTACAGCATCATCATCACTCTCGATGGACTTGAAAAGGCATACATCAAGGATGTGGTCACCGAGGCAGAATATACCGAGACATGCACACGGCTCTTGAAGCAATATAAGTCGAGTCTTGGGGATGAAACAGTATGGCGGGAATTTGTGGATTTAGAAACCTTCAAACGGACTTGGGGCGTGAGTATTTGCCCACTTTTACCCCGCATATACCAAGGCATCGCTGACAGGTAAACAATACAGTTAGAATGTCCACGGGCTACAGAGAGATTGCGCATTGGTCTTCCTGCAACAGTTGAGCAGGCTTCTCACGGTGCACCAACACCTAGTATGGGCGCCGCGGCGACAGGGTCGGTTGGCGGTGCTTCGGGCAGTTTGATTCTGGCGGCAACCGAGAACTTTATCACCTTCCTCGATGCATTGAAACTCAATATGGTATCGAAAGATGCATTGCATCCGCTTTTGTCGGAGGTTATCCAGTCTGTCAACAAGGTGACAGACAGCGATTTTGAGGACCGCGGCAAGATCATACAGTGGTTGATCGCATTGAATCAGATGCGCGCTACTGAAGAACTGAGCGAGGATCAAGCTCGGGAGCTTGCCTTTGATATTGAACGGGCTTATCAAGGCTTCAAGGCGACGTTGAATTGATTGTTGGAGTGTTCTGATGCATTGGCAAGGCGTTCATGGAGGGGAGAAAGATACCATTTTGCTTTAGATTTGGCGTGATCATCGCTCGCTACCTAGACATATACACCAACAACTCTAGCTTATTTCAGAACACTGGTGTTGCCCATGGGAATGCTTTAGTTGACTACCAGTTGTAAAATAATGATGCCTGAGGATCTAGGCCGCCATTGACCCGCGGAACGGCAGCGCCAGCCTTTCCTATTTGGGAATATTTCTTTTTTCTCCGCCACTTTTTTTCCGATTTCCCCCAGGTATCGGGCGAATTTGTTGCTTTGCATACTCTTCAAAGACACACTTAGAATAGACACCGACAGATATCACTATGATCAGTTCTACAGATGAGCCACTTCACGGTCAGTTTACAATTGACCCTCTGGTCCATCCGGTCCACAAAAGATAATGGAACTGATAAGCGCAGTGCTGGACCTGCCACAACTCTACCAGAAGCCATCTGGGACCGACCTCGTGAAAGCACTGGCTCTGCTGAGTCTGAAGCCGCGCACATTCGGTACGACTGCCGATGTTGTCAAGGGCCCCGCAGTTCAGCCTGCAGGGGTTACTCGGTACCTCACATCCATCATCGCCAGTCCGCTCGCATGGCTCGACACCGATGAACTGCGGGAGGCAATTTGGGATGCAGCCGCTGCACGATTAAGTGAGCGGTCTGGTCGAACCGGTAAGCAGATCGTCACATGTATAACTGTGTTGAAATATCATGCTGACCATGACTCATTTGCCAGCAATGCCGGCAATGTCACGAGTGTTCAACATCCCCACCTCATCCGGCGAGGAATGCACACTGACCCTCCACGAACCATCAATCACGGCTGACAACCTCGGTATGAAGACTTGGGTGTCTTCCTACCTTCTCTCGCGTCGGCTTCACACGCTCGAATCGCCACCAACGCTTGTCCCCACCGCTTCGGCCGATTCCTCCGCTTCCAACCCTCGGAAGTCCCTGCGGGTACTCGAACTCGGTGCCGGAACTGGTTTGGTCGGACTATCCTTTGCAGCTTTGCAAGGCAAGTCTGCCACAGTCCACCTCACCGACTTGCCTGAGATCGTCCCCAATCTCGCCCACAACGCTGCCTTGAATGTGGAACTGCTCGATAGGACTGGGGCGACTGTGACCACCGGCGTACTTGACTGGTCAGTCACACCGTCACCCCTGCCAACGGCTGAAGAGCGGTTTGATGTGATTCTCGCTGCAGATCCACTGTATTCACCCAAGCATCCCAAATGGCTGGTGGACACCATCAGTCCTTGGCTTAGCCGCGGGCTCGATGCGCGGGTCATGGTGGAGATGCCGCTGCGGGATGCATATCTGCCGCAGGTGAAGGAGTTCCGGCAGAGAATGGGTGATTTGGGGCTGGCAGTGATCGAAGAGGGCGAGGAAGTGGGCTATGACGACTGGGAGAGCGCGGATGGAGGCGCGCTGGCCGTCACTTGCTGGTGGTCGATTTGGGGATGGAGCGAGAAGGTATAATGGCGGTACTGCCAGGTCTGGATTGCGACTGAACGAGATGACGAATAAACGATACACGATAGATTAGAATAGGGATTCCTAGATTTTGGTTATTGAGCAATGCATCCATCTAGATCGGAGGCCGTTAGTTGATCTGGTAGATCCGTAAGCCCACGCGAGTGTGGGCGCATGCGAATTTAATGATGAGAACCCATTCGCAATGTATTTTCCCTGAGCTGGATCAATCTGATGGAGCAGCGTCGTTGGTCGACCAAAGGAATGAGGAGCAACAGGGCCATCACGTGGCGATGACGTCGGTGTCACCGCAGATTGGTTATCGCTTCATCCATGGATACTGCCCGCTGTAAAGATCATGGATTCTGGCGAAAACACGAAACAGATACCTACTGCCTACATGATCTGCAGCTCTATTAGACTATTTGGTTAATCAATCGTCCAATACTGTCCAGATCTCAAGCTGCCAAGCAACTCACACCAACGCATAAATCGACCTGAGTGACGAGTCCAGACCAAAACGCCACATGGATACGACGCTGCAACTTCCAGGAACCCAATATAAGAGGATGCGCGCATACCAAAATTGATGACCTGTACCGCGACTTACTATCCCTTGTCACCATTCGTTCGCTTCCTACCTATTCCACGAGAAATCCATTGCAGAAGCAACCACCGCATACCCAATACAGCTTATACCCCACCGAAGACCTGAACAATGATCGGACTACTCGCTATCACCTCAATCCCGGTGGTGACAGGTGTATCACTCGCATCCAGCGAGCAACGCAAAGCAAACCAGCGCAAGGAAGACGCCCGTCGCATGGTGAAGTTCAACATCGAAGCAGAATGTCTCGGGGATACAGATGATGACCGTGAATTAAATGGGATGACCGTTGTGGTGAGAGATGAAAAGGTAAGAATAGACACCCGAAGAGCACCGAGAATTCGAATCGAAAAGGAGATACAACTCCTCTCACTATTCGAAACTCAAGCTGATATCTTCGCCCGTTCCCAGGTCTACCTCGCCGACAAAGATCCCTCCAAACGCTCCCCTCCAGCTTTCACAGCCTTAGCCTTCTACATCGAATACCCAGAACCAGAGGAATTGAAATATCTCAAGCGCGAGCGCGGTCTCGGCCTCCCGACTTATGTGCAGGACAACCCGCCGCTGCTCAATTGGATATATGCGGATAAGGAAACGCATGAGTTGCGGTACGGAAACCGGTCGCAGAGCGTGGAGCAGGTGGTTGAGCCATGGGATTGGTCTAAGGATGAGAAAACTATTTTGCTTGAGGGGAAGGACGCTTTCTTTGCGATTGAGGAAGAGGAGGGTGAATGGGCGCTCTATTATGATCGGGATGGCGATGAACTTGCTCGCGTTCTTGAAGAGCAGGGCTTGTTGGATTGTGCTTTTGTGCCAGTTACTTTGGTGAGGAAGATTGTGGAGGAGAAACCACCGCCGCCTCCTACTGCTCAGGCTGCTCCTCGGGGTCAGGGTCAGGGCCAAAAGCAAACGGATGGAGCGGGACAAAAATAATGGTTGATACGATACGTATAATGTGTAAATAGTCTGCTATGATTTGATGCGTTTATGAATTCATGATTGATTATGGGAATACCGCGATATCAATGTGTTGTACAAAAACAAGACCTGATTCAGTCCAGTCCAGCCCAGCTGCCAGTGTCACTAGCATTACCACTTGCTGCCGCCGCAGCCTTTCTGTTGCGGCTGGCGGCGATAGCGCCCTTCTTTTTATTCTCCAGTCGACGCTCGAAACCACTCTTTGTGCTGATTCTCATACCACGAGCGCCCTTTCCATCGTCCTCTTTCTCATTCAATCTCGCAGACTGGCGCTCCTTGACGCCATGCCTCTTCAAGTCTTTCTTGCTGTTCTTGCTCAGATTGGGCAGAGCGTCGAGCAACCATTTCTGAATAGACTTGTCGCCTTCTGTCCCACGTAGCTTTTCGCTGACGTCGATAATGTTGGCAATGCTCTTCACGTAGGGAATATCTTCTTTGGTGTAATATGTCACGGCGATACCGCCCTCGCGACCAGCACGACCGGTTCGTCCCACGCGGTGAACATACACAGCGGCTGAGTTGGGGATATCGTAATTGACCACACCGTTGATGCCGCGGAAATCGACGCCACGAGCTAGCAGGTCTGTCGTGACCAGGATCCAGATCTCGCCTTTGCGGAAATCGCGCATGATGTCCGACCGCTGGCCGTCCGAGAGGTCGGAGTGGAGAACGGCAATACGTGAGGAGCCACCTGCTTCGGCGGGAATATCGTATTTGAGTTCAGAGTGCAAGGCCACCGCACGAGGGATGGTCTGTGTGAAAATGAGGAAAGGAGGGCGAAGACGAATATCTGATGCTGATGCTGCAGCGGGGCGGAGAAGTTGACGAAGTCCAAGCAGTTTACCCTGCTCCGTAGCGGCATAGACGAGTTTATGCTCAATGTTTGGGATTGCAGAGTCTTTCAACCCTACAACTAGACGAAGCAGCGGGTGTGGCTCACTTGGCTTTAGATTGAGATCTTCCAGTCGCTCTTTGATGGTCGACTTGGTAAGATCCTCGATGTTGGATCCCATAGTGGCCGACCAGAGGCCCACCCGAAGATCGGGGTGTGAACATGACTTCCAAATGTCGAGCGTCTGTTCCCGGAACAACGGATCCAAGAGGACGTCAGCTTCGTCCATAACCAGGCTCCGCACCAGGGGCAATGTTGCCATGGTGGTAGTCCGATTCGCAGATAGAGCGTTGACCAGCGTCAGGGGCGTGGTGACGAGAATATCACTTTTCGTGACTGGAATGTTGGCTCGGTCCTTGGTTGGCTTGCTCTCGGTGTTTTCATCTTCGGATCCAGATGATTCTTCGCTATTCTCTTCGAGGACATTGGCATCACCGCTATCAGCAACGCGCATACCCTTTTTCATCAAGGTTATCTTCACGCCAGTTCCAGCCACTAGCTTGCGACCCTCGTTGACAATTTGGCTGGCGAGCTCCCTGGTAGGGGCCACAACCACACCTAGGATACCGTGCTCGTCGGGATTTGAGTGGTGGTGTCGAACGATTTTGTTGATCATGGGAATCAAAAATGACAGGGTTTTTCCGCTGCCGGTGGGAGCGACCACCAGAAGATCTGGCTCGGAAGACTTCCCAAGGAGCAACGGAAGGGTTCCAAGTTGAACCTCTGTAGGTACCGTGAATCCTTGCTCCGCGACGTTCTCTGCAAGTCGCGAGGAAATCTTGTACTTAGAGCGGAGCTCCTTGAAGCTAAGCAGCGGCTCTGGGAACAAGCGTCGGGCACGCTTTTGCTCTTTCTTGCTGAGAGTCGGCGCCTCGTCTTTCTTTGACTTCTTCTTTTTCTTCTTCGATTCACTGGTAGGTGTAGACTGGGCCTGAATCTCATCCAAGCCACGCATGTCTGTAACCTTGATCTTGTGTGAGTTCAGGATGGTGCGGCGCTGTACTTCATCCATGGACTCGTCGTCATCATCTGATACGGCATCCTTCGCAGGGACTTTTTCATCATCACCCTTGGCAATAGCAGCAGTTTCCGTCACGCTGGCTGCAGGGCGTTTGTTTGAACTGAAAAAATCGAGATCAGGTAGATCTTCTTCATCCTCTTGAGGGGCAGCGCCTCTTTTTCTTTTTTTACCACTCTTAGCAGACTCGAGCTTGTCGGCCTCCGCAGTCCGGAAGAGCTGCGGGTTGGCAGCTTTCCCAGTTGACGGCAGGCGAGACTCCGAGGCTGACGAGGCGGGCTTCAATTTCTGTCCTCGTGTCAATAATTTGAAGGCATCCATTCTTTTGGTTGTTGAGTTGAAAAGAAAGCTCGTTGAGACTTCTTCGATGAGAAAAAAAAGTGGGTTCGTCGACTTTCCTCCCGGGCCAATCAGCGTTGCGCCTTGCACGTTACCATCGGGTGAGACTGTAAATCACCAAGGGGACCATTATGTGCCAAGGTGGAATGGTCTGTACGTAACAGAGATAGAGAATGAGGACGATAAACGGTAATAAAGCAATCCAATCAATCATCGCACAGATCAGAGGAAAGAAAAAGGAAATTAGCGGAAAAGAAGTACGGTCAGTGGACTTTTGAAGACTAGTACATGTGACGGGGCAAGTGCTATGGTTTAGTTGCCAATGCCAGTGATTCCTACATATGACTCTGTTCATGGAAACGGGGAATGTATTGCAGTAACAAGGTCTATCTCAGACAACAGTTTTGAATTCCATCGTCTATCATACACAGCGCAAGAAGATTAACATAGGAAATAAAGGGAAAGGACGATTCTCTTCTATCCACATCCACTTAGTGCGCGTGCGCAACCTCACCACGGTATCCAACCAAGTTCATGCGACCGATGATCTCACCAACGGTGAAGAAGCCAATGACCTCAGCGGCGGTGACACCGGCAAGGGCAAGCTGCTTGGGGCTGGCGTTGCGGACACGGGCAATGATGGTCGAGGGCGAAGGGAGAGTCTTGAGGGCGGCGGGGTTGGTGATGAAGGGCTGGAAGTAGGATTGGAAAGTGGCCAGGTTGCTGTGAAAAGAAGTTAGATCAATAGCCAAGGGTGTCGACGAAGTCCAACTTACGGAGGAGCCATGTTCTGGCCACGGAACACCAACTTGCCGAGCTCAATGCCGACCTTGGAGTAGTAGACGGTAGGAGGAATCATGGCTAGATTGATTGATGGTTAGCTGTTGAGCTTGATGCGATTGGATTGAAGTCAACAAGGAGGTCGGGATTGAGTGCAACTCCAACCGAATCAATCGGTTGATGGTGGGAGATTTTGCTTCCATTGAAGACCCAATCACCAAGCACATCCTTGAAGCCATTCAAGAAAATTCAAGATATTTCAGGTGTGTCCCTTACAATCGACGACAGAGATGACCTTGCCGACGGGTCCACCGATCTTGCGCAGGGCAGTGGCGGCGTTGGTCATGGCAGGACCAGCGGAAGCGGAGACCTTGGACAGACCCTCGGAGGCCTTAGAGGCAGCAGAGGAAGCAGTCTCGCTGGCCTTGGAGGCAGCCTCGGAGGTGGACGAAGCGTGTCTGACGGCGGTTCTCCGGGTCAGGAACTGCGATTGCCGCAGGACGGCACGGGTGGCGGCGGGCATTTTGAATACTGCGGAGGGAAATAAGTGAAAAGGAAGGAGGAAGCGAAAGACACCCGAGACAGTCGCTGATAGATGGCAGTATGATCTAATTGATCTGGAATCTCGCGCAACGGCAGAAACAGATGAAGATTTGACGCTCGGGAACTTCAGGAATTGGAGGTCACGTGATGTGGTTTACATCAGTCCAAGTCAACAATGGGAACAATACATTTGTTGTAGAGAAATAGATCGAAGAAATATGTGATCATAGCTGTTGGGATACCTCTAATTTGTAGACGTGAATTTGAGAGTACATTGGAACTCCAGCGCGCATCTACTTGTACCTGCATCCACCCCTGTTAATCAGTTCATTATGTAGCTGGGCGAACAACTTGACAGTACCGAGTAACTATAGCATATTTAGTTCCTTTCGGGGCGTAGCAGCTGAGTCTGCTGCAGCTAGTGTCTGTAGAAATTCTCGTGCTTGTGGAATGAATATATTTCGGCTCAAAGGAGCACTGCCCTTTCACATAGATGTTGCACCAATGGAAATATATAGTAGAGCACTACCATAAGGCTGTACCTAATTCTTGACTACGTCCTAGGTACCCTAGGTTCCATCCCGTCCTGGATCAGACCTAGGTTGATCATGCTAGTTGATTCCCGAACCAAGAACATGTGACGGAGAGAGATCAGAACCTACTCCAAAGAAGTTGAACTTGTCTTATTCGAAACCTGGATTCATACTGTGTAGACCGGACGGACCTGGCATTGAAGCATGAGCATAGATGTCTCTATGCAGGTTGGTTTCTACAGTAAATCCTCCAATAAGACCCCTACAGTATATTCGATCTGTATCACATATCATGATGTTTTTGATCATGTGTGGTATTCCCACCAGGTATTTCGTATATCCTCGGGGAGTTGTCGTTGTTGGTCCAATGCATCATGCATAGTACTCGAAAGATTCGGCCAGGTCAGGCGACTCATCTATGTTCCACATATTATGCATCGTAATACAGCATCTTCATATGTAGGCCCTCAGATGACTTGAACTGTCACACAGTCTTGATTCGATGTTGGCAATGTGAACTAAACTGGAGGAGGATCGTGATAGAGTCAAGATGGTGTTGTTCACAAGTAAGCAAAAGCTGGAGAGAGTGTGCATAGAAGTCTCCTTGTGTCTATCCTGGATCCATACAGGACATAGTTTAGCTCTTATGCTAGGCAAGTGTAAGAATAAGGAGAGGTGAAGAGCAACCTCCGGATGAATGCAAATATCATGCCTGAATGCCTGAGGATTTCATGTTTGCACTGTTTGGCCCGGAAGAAGGCGTTTCCTCCACATGAAATCCATCGGACTCCGCCGGAGAATTACCATTCTTGTTGATTCAAAGGAGCCCTAATACTTTGGCTCCAATACTGTGTACATTGAACGAACATGATGATATTTCAGCTCTCCAAGATGGATCCAGATATGCCAACATAAGAACTTTGAGAGGTTGGATTTGAACATCCCCATCGAGAATATGCCAATTTTAACCGACAGCCGATTTCAACATTCGGCCCGAGACTGAAAGCGAGCTGCGGGCAAAGATTGCCTGCCTCATCCAGCCGGAGCGAGTAAGTGACCCCCGCGCGGTTAAATCAAGTGCCCCTCCACTCCACTTTTTGTCACATACTCCATGAATCGCCGTGGGGTTGAATGCGCAGCGGACGGGGACCATGAGATCACCTGCGCGCAGATTTTTCGGTGGGAGTATTAAAGTGGCTGCTCCCTCCTTGCATCCAACGTATTGACCCCTCTATTTCCCTCCTCTTCCTCCTCCCTACACAATAATGGCTTCCGCAACCAAGACCAACATTGGTGTGTACACCAACCCCAAACATGACCTCTGGATCGCCGACTCCACTCCGACGGCAGAGGACATCAATGCTGGCAAGGGCCTGAACGCCGGCGAGGTTACGATTGAGGTGCGCAGCACAGGTATCTGTGGCTCCGATGTTCACTTCTGGCATGCCGGTTGCATTGGTCCTATGATTGTCACTGGCGACCACATCCTCGGTCACGAATCGGCCGGCCAGATTCTCGCCGTCGCCCCCGATGTCACCCACCTCAAGGTCGGCGATCGCGTCGCTATCGAGCCCAACGTTATCTGCAATGCCTGCGAGCCCTGCTTGACCGGTCGCTACAACGGCTGCGAGAAAGTCGCATTCCTCTCCACCCCGCCTGTCGATGGCCTGCTCCGCCGATACGTCAACCACCCCGCTGTCTGGTGCCACAAGATCGGTGATATGAGCTTTGAGAGCGGTGCTATGTTGGAGCCGCTCAGTGTGAGCTTGGCGGCTGTCGAGCGCAGTGGTTTGCGTCTCGGAGACCCCGTGCTTATCACCGGCGCCGGTCCTATCGGTCTGATTAGTTTGCTCAGCGCACGTGCCGCTGGCGCCTGCCCGATTGTCATCACAGATATCGACGAGGGTCGCCTCGCTTTCGCTAAGAGCTTGGTCCCCGAAGTGCGCACCTACAAGGTGGAGATGGGCAAGTCGGCCGAAGAGTGCGCTGACGGTATCATCAATGCTCTGAATGACGGCAAGGGCTCTGGCCCCGACGCTCTGCGCCCCAAGCTGGCCCTGGAGTGCACCGGTGTCGAGAGCAGTGTCAACTCCGCCATCTGGAGTGTCAAGTTTGGTGGCAAGGTGTTTGTCATCGGTGTTGGCAAGAACGAGATGACCATCCCCTTCATGCGTCTCAGTACTCAGGAGATCGACTTGCAGTACCAGTACCGCTACTGCAACACCTGGCCCCGAGCCATTCGCCTCGTCCAGAACGGTGTGATTGACCTGAGCAAGCTGGTTACTCACCGTTATTCACTTGAAAATGCGCTCAAGGCCTTTGAGACTGCCTCCGACCCCAAGACTGGCGCCATCAAGGTGCAGATCATGAGCTCGGAAGAGGATGTTCAGGCCGCCACTGCTGGCCAGAAGGTTTGAGCGAAGCATGGAAGCAAGATGGATGGCGATATTTGAGAACATCAGCGGGTTTCTGGTTGGGATCAAGCGTGGCCATCGGCGTTAAACGATTTTCTTTGTATATCCATAACGAGTGATGTTTAGAGGACGCTTTAGGGCAGAATAGAAAGCCCGTGGAATGTCAATTCCTTCAAAAGTTGCTAAATTATATAAGAAGGTGTAGTGTAGTGATCCTGCAACGTCATTATCGAGTAAGCTGAAGGCAGGCCCAGGTAACTCGGCTTCGTACTCGGCAAATCAACGGAAAAGAAAAGAAAACAAGAAAAAGGCATGTCAAAAGTAGTAAGATCAGGTCCAGATGCAGGGACCTAGAGGAACGTGCGGCTACTTTGTATACATCGATCTACATCGTATGGCCCGAGATGAGGACGGCCCAAAGCCAAGAGGATGTCTCCCGATAATTATCCGTTTCTCCACAAATCGGCAGCCCTCCAGCTGGAAGCTTCCCCATTTCATTGTTATGCAAACAATCATGTGGTCAATCAATGCCTCGCACTTTCCCTGTTGGTCTGTTGGATCATTGTTCCCCCGCACCTTCCATAATTGGGATCTAGTGGCTCTGTGGCTCAGCGTATCCTGACTTAAAAGGGTCCCTGACTCCCTGGTCCCCTGTTGTGCTTCTGTCCCCTGTACTCGCCCAATTTCAAACATGCGCTACTTGTTTCTCCTGGCTCCCCTCGTGGGTGCTGCTCTTGTGAGACCCAGATCGCAACTGGATGCTTGCCCTGGATACAAGGCTTCCAACGTGAAGCAGCTGGGTCAGACCTTGACTGCTGATCTTGAGCTTGCTGGGGATGCCTGCAATATCTATGGCACGGATCTTCCCAGCTTGAAGCTCCTTGTAGAGGCACAAAATGGTATATCTCAGCACCCTGCCCATCAACTATAGCATATGCTTATCTTCTAGAAAACCGGCTCCATGTCATGATCTATGATGCGGATGAAGAGGTTTATCAAGTCCCGGAATCCGTCGTTCCCCGGCCCGAGAACGCCAATGGTCGCCAGAAGAAGTCCGAGCTTGGCTTTGACTTCAAGGAGAATCCCTTCTCATTCCGAGTGCTGCGCGGTGAAGAAGTGCTCTTCGATACTTCCGATACCAACATTGTCTTCCAGTCTCAGTATCTGAACCTGCGCACTTGGCTTCCTAATGATCCTAACCTGTATGGTTTGGGCGAACACACTGATTCGCTGCGTTTACCAACGACTAACTACACTCGCACGATCTGGAACCGGGATGCTTATTCCATTCCTGAAAAGTCAAACCTCTACGGCGCTCATCCTATTTACATTGACCACCGCGGAGAGAAAGGAACCCACGGAGTTTTCTTCTTGAACTCCAATGGCATGGACATCAAGATTGACAAGACTGAGGATGGCAAGCAGTATCTCGAGTATAACACCCTCGGCGGAGTCTTGGACTTCTACTTCCTGGCTGGCCCGACCCCCAAGGAAGTCAGCGAGCAGTATTCTGACGTTGTTGGTCTTCCTGCTATGCAGAGCTACTGGACTTTCGGAGTACGTCGCTTCGACTATGGATTATCGAATTCGTGTGCTCATTATTGTTCTTCTAGTATCATAATTGTCGGTATGGCTACCAGGATGCCTTCGACGTCGCCGAAGTAGTCTACAACTACAGCCGCGCAGGGATCCCGCTTGAGACTATGTGGACTGATATTGACTACATGGGTGGTCGACGGGTCTTCACACTGGATGCTGACCGATTCCCGCTCAAGAAGATGCAGGAGTTGGTTTTGTATCTTCATAAGCATGACCAGCACTACATCGTAATGGTCGATCCGGCTGTCAGTAACTCTGGTAGGTGTTCTAATCTCTCGTTTTCTCTAATCCTCTCTAACGGTAGCATCACAACAGATAACGGCGCCTTCAACCGGGGCTTTGATGCCGGCGTGTTCCTCTACCGTGACAGTGACCAGAATGAGCTCTACGAAGGTGAGACACTGACAAGTGCAACGTATCAGCTATAGCTAACATAGTATCTATAGGCGCCGTCTGGCCAGGTGCCACCGTCTATCCGGACTGGTTCAACCCAGACACGCAGAGCTACTGGAATTCAGAATTCAAGCGGTTCTTCAGCGCCAAAGACGGTGTCGACATTGACGGTCTATGGATTGACATGAATGAAGCTGCTAATTTCTGCCCGTACCCCTGCGACAACGCAGCAGAGTACGCCAAGCAGAATAATCTACCTCCTGCGCCTCCGCCCGTTCGATCTCCTCCCCGCAATATTCCCGGTTTCCCGGCTGATTTCCAGCCGGGGTCTTCCTCGCCTGACCATTCTCCGCACCACGTAAAGAGAGGTGACGCCCCTGTTGGTGCACGTGGCGTTACCGAGAAACGGAAACATGGTCACGCAGAAAAGGGGAAGAAAGTTGGCTTGTCTGGTCGAGATCTCATTAACCCGCCTTATCAGATTGCCAATGCGGCGGGTTCGATTAGCAACAAGACCATTGATACCGATCTCATCCATGCTGGTGAGGGCTATGCTGAATACGATACTCACAACCTCTATGGCACAAGTAAGCTCACTTGTTCCTCGCATACCCATATCTTTCTAACCAGCACATTAGTGATGAGCTCGGCATCCCGCGAAGCAATGTTGAAGCGCCGACCCCATGTCCGGCCCTTGATCATCACGCGCAGCACCTTCGCCGGAGCAGGCGCCCACGTCGGACACTGGTAAGAGCAGACAAACATTCCCAGACCAGCGCGACCACCCGTGGCATCCCATCTAACCCAGTTTCACTGCAGGCTCGGCGACAACGTCAGCCAATGGGACAAATATCGCATTTCCATCGCGCAAATGCTAGCCTTCGCCTCGATCTTCCAGGTCCCCATGGTCGGCAGCGACGTTTGCGGCTTCGGAGGCAACACGACCGAGGAGCTCTGCGCCCGTTGGGCGATGCTGGGCGGTTTCTACCCGTTCTACCGGAACCACAACGAGTTGGGGGCCACGCCGCAGGAATTCTATCGCTGGGCAACTGTCACAAAGGCTGCGAAGAAGATCATCGACATCAGATACCGTCTGCTCGATTATCTCTATACTTCTTTCCACCGCCAGACGGTGACCGGTACTCCGTTCCTCCAGCCGCTGTTCTATGTCTATCCAGAGGATAGCGACACCTTCGGTAACGAGCTGCAATTCTTCTACGGCGACTCCATTCTCGTCTCGCCGGTCTTGGAGGAGGGGGCAACCTCTGTCGATGCGTATTTCCCAGAGGATATCTTCTACGATTGGTTTACTGGTGCCGTTGTGCAGGGTGGCGGGTCTGTGAAGACGATTAGTGATCTCGCTGTCACTGATATCCCGATTCACATCCGTGGCGGCAGTATCCTTCCTCTCCGGACGGAGAGTGCGAAGACAACGACAGATCTGCGCAAGCGCGGCTTTGAAATTCTCATTGCGCCAAGGGCCGATGGGTCGGCGGAGGGAGAGCTGTATTTGGATGATGGCGAGTCACTCCGGCCGGACAGTGCGGCGCAGATTCAGTTTAGCTTCCGGGACGGCAGGCTTAAGATCCAGGGAGACTTTGGGTTCCACCCTAATGTGGTGGTTGAGGCCGTTACGCTGCTTGGGCAGAAGCATGAGGTCCGTCGAGATGATGCATCTGATCAGCGACAGAGTGTTACGAAGAAGGTCCAGATTGAATTGACTGAGCCTTCTGAGGTGACTCTGTAGTTGCCTGCGGTGGTATTTTTTTTTCTAAAGTTGGTTGCAGAGCCTCTCTTTAGATCCGTGGATGCCTGTGAGGTGCACGTGTGCGGGAGGTGGAGGCTATTTTACGGCACACTAGCCGGGGCCCCAAGCCGCCCCATGCATATGGCGCATTTCCCCTCTTTTACTCGCTAACTAGTTTTGAACTGTAATCTCAGCTAATTTAACAAGCGAGTTCGTTTTACTCGGCGTCAAGTAGTTCATCGCGTTGATTGGATCTTGGCCCGAGGCCGCCCGACTAACGTGGTTTCTTTGTCTCTGCATGTCAGTCCGCCAAGTAGTAGTCGGTTTGGAAACTCACGTGTATCTCTGTTATCGAACGGTTTCAAGGGAACTTCGAAACGAGACCCCCTTGCATGAATTTTGACTGAGGGGGAGACGTTAGGAGACCGGGGTTGAGGGGTAGACATTGTCTTGCGAGATGGAAAGATCTCTGTCTGATAAGCTGATAGAAAATTTTCTCAGCGCTAGAGGGAGTTCCCGAAGACAATAACTCCGTAAACACGAATGCGAGACTACCCTGCCATACCCAGTCAGGTACTAGCGTACTAGTCTAAAGACAAAAAGAGAGGCTCAGCCGGGGAGGCTCGAGGGTAACCTTGGGGATTTTGGGATGTGTGCTCAGGTGGTAAAGCCGCTAGTCAGGCACAGGCTAGTTCCTGAGTCATCTGATTGGAAAATTCGTATAAAAATCGGTTGCCATGGATCATTAGTTTTTCTCTTTTGAAACCTTGGGCACTCGTATGCGCGTATTTTAATCCAATAAAGAATTACGATGAACTAATGACATTTTGATGAATCACAGTCTGGAGACGTACTGTAGGCTACGGTGGTCGCGGTAGGATCGTGTTCGAGTGACCCGCCCTGGTTTCACAATAGACATGGTGCTGCGTCCATGATAGGGTAAAATAATGCATTTGCATGGATGTTTGTATTCACTGCAATTGCTATTTCCAACGGTGTGACAGAGAAATATTTAACTTCTCTGAATCCATGGATACTGCCTGGTCAAAATGGCAATATAAAATTCTAAAAAGTCCTAAAAAATAGAAAAGTAAGGCAACCAATGGCTTGGCGGTCGCTTAGAGGGTGTCTTATACGATGGTTCACCTATTTCTGGTCGGGTTTTAGTCGCTTTCCGGGTTAATGGAGGATTTTTTTATTCTTTACTTTTTCGTACCGGCAATTTAGCTTATGTATTCACCTGGTTGATATTATGCTCATACGGTTTCTGTGATCACGGTCACACTGAGCTCACTCTGTAACATATGATCGGCAGATCTGGCCGATCAGCCAGTTGATCTGCGAGCGGAAGAGAGTCTTTATCTTGTGGAATTCACGTCAAAATTATATTGCCTACAGCAGTACACTGTAAGAATACTCTAATCTGTATAATTCTGCATATCCATCCACAGGGCTATCCTGATATCCACCAATGTCTCACCTCTCACAGGGCGACAAGCTTTAGGTTTCCACTCACTATGTACGGAGGAGTCTTCCCCAGCAGCTCCCTGGTGGGGCCTGATGAGGGTCTGATGAATCCACTTGACCAGTCTTACTTCTCTGTCTCAGCGTCTTCGGCCTTACCACCCGAGGTCCAATCATCGCCACCCTTCTAAGATGTCGGCGCATCGGACAATCCCGCCTCCTTTTTTTAGAGCTGTTAGCGTGGGCAGTGTACACCCCGTGGTGTGTACTGTCACGATGAGTTTCTGGCATAATGTGGAGATAGATAAAGTAGCGTGCAATCCCACCTGGTGGACTGGTAGTTCCTTCCCATCAATCCACACTCGTTTCCACTTTCCTCGTTGCCTGGGACATACTTAATAACTTAATACTTTTTTCTTCACCCTTCGTGTTGTTTACTTTTTCACTTCCGTCACTTTTGACTTGTACCATATCACTCACTATGCCTTCTTTCATGAAGCTTGCTGCTACGGCTCTCGCCGTGGCCGCCCCTCTGGTCTCAGCTCAGACTTACTCCGACTGCAACCCCATGAAGCAGAGTTGCCCTGCCAACCCTGGTTTGGCTCAATCCGATGCGCACTTTGACTTCACCCAGAGCAGTGCCCTCGACCAGTTCAAGATCACTGGTGGCAGTGTTCCCACTGGCGCTGATGGTGCCGTCTTCACTATCAACAAGGAAGGCGATGCTCCTACCATCACCAGCAAGTTCTACTTCTTCTACGGTGAATTGGCTATTGTCATGAAGACTTCTGCTGGCCAAGGCATTGTCAGCTCCGCCTTCTTGCAGTCCGATGACTTGGACGAGATTGACTGGGTATGTGATATTACAACTCAACCTTATTTCCCCGCAATATGGGGTAAATACTAACTGAATTACAGGAAGCCATTGGCACCAGAACTGATGCCGTTGAGACCAACTACTTCGGCAAGGGTGATACTACCACCTATGACCGTGAGACCTGGCCCGCTGTCGCGGATCCTCACAATACCTTCCACACCTACACCATCAAGTGGACCGAGGAGTCCGTCGTTTGGTTGGTCGACGGTGCCGTCGTTCGCACTCTGAACTACAACGATGCCCAGGGCGGCAGCCGCTTCCCCCAGACCCCGATGAACATTCGCATTGGTATCTGGGCTGGTGGCGCTCCTACCAACGCCCCGGGTACTATCGAATGGGCTGGTGGTCCCACCGATTACTCCAAGGGTCCTTACTCCATGTACATCAAGAGCATTGATGTCAAGAACTACAACCCCGCCGAGTCTTACTTGTGGACCGACCGCTCCGGTTCCTCTGCCAGCATCAAGTTCACTGGCTCCGACGCCGTCAAGCCCGGAACCACCAGCACTACCAGCACCACCACCTCCGATGCTACCACTAGCTCCTCGACCAAGACTTCCACCACCACCACCAAGTCTGTCCCCACCACAACCGAGATCTCTACTTCCGTTTCCACTACTCTGGCTACCAAGACCTCGAGTTCTGTCGAGTCCACCGTGGTCCCCAGCACCACTGCTTCCAGCTCTTCTACTGCCACTGCTACTACTTCACCCAGCCAGACTACTGGCTCTGGCTCTGGCTCTAGCACCATCCCTCCCTCGGATACCGGCTCCTCCACCAGTGCCAGCAGCAGCCCTACCTTCAACGCAGCTGCCACTGTCGCTGCCAGCTATCTGGGCCCCGTCTCCCTGCTGGGTCTGGTGACTGCCCTTCTCCAGCTGTAAATGCCCCTTCGAGTGCTTTGATCCTCTGAACGCACTAATGGAAAACGCGTCATGAAATCGAGGATACTGGGGCTGGGCCGGGGATGGTAATGAGTGATGGATGCGACTTGACATTTTTAATTTTTCTGGCTGTATCATTTTTTGCCTCTTCGTCCTTGTTTGCTTGAATTGCCTGCGATCTATTTAGATTGCCTGGATGTGCCTTTGAGCACTTGTCTGGAAAATGGGCGGATTTCTTTGGGCGAACATCATGTATCTATCAGCGTCAATACCACTGCACACATTCTTAATTTCATATCGATTCACTTTCGTAGTTATCCTAGGTAACATGAACGATACACTGCAATCTACCACATTTCACCTGAAACACCACCAATAAGGAATCTCACCGAAACCTTAAGGCTTACGAGTTGTTGTATACCATGGTTGAAGGATGGATTCTGTGATTCAAATAGAAGTTCCAAGGTTGTTGGTTGTGGATGCTTCTTGCTTTACTGTGGTAGAAGGGGCTGTTAAATAACTGTAGTGGGATTGGTTGGAGCAGGACATCTACACTGCCGAACCATGGATGGAACTGGAGAAGGTCCGGTGTTGTCCGGTGGGTGTTCCATGGTTGACTTGGCGCCGGGAGTTACAATGTAAACCGGAGGGCCATGTTATCGCACCTCAGAGAGGGTCGATTACTACGGAGATGTCGATCAGACATGACAGCGATTAAAGTGTACGGAAAATATGAGAAAGATAAAACTCAATTCGTGACTCGTTACTGCATTTAGCTCGTTTCGTATTCTCTTTGAAACGCCAGCCAAGACCAAACCCATGCAAAATCCCAAAAATGAATCAGAAAGAATCGATCGTAATAACAAAGGCTGTAACGGTGCTTACAATCCTTGAAAAGCAAAAGCAAAAAAGGTCAAAATCAATATTCGACCTCCCGGCTCCCAGCCACCTCACCAGCCCCTCACCTCTGTGGAACCCCTTTCGATTCACCAAGTGGATCCCGTCCCCGTCGCACGCCGCAGATCGCCTAACTGACGTGACAGCCGCAGAACTGAGTCTGCCACAGGACGGTGATGCGTAGCCGCGACGCGGAGGAGGGCAAGAGGTGCAGGCTGGGGTGTAGATTCTGGCGAGCCAAGAGAGGCCACGGCAGACGATGACGACCCTGCCATCATTGCAGCATTGGCATCTGCAGCTCCTGACGATCGCTTCCGGAGCAAATATGCTCCGAAAGGTCCTAATGGCAGGGATTCAAGCATCGAGTGCAGCCGGTCACTGCTGTCGTCTGACGAGGATTTGTACTTGTGGAAGGATGGACTCCGTCGCTCCTCGCGTGAGACGATCCCGTCTACGGCTTCGAGGTGGTCGTCTAGTGTTGTGAAGCGCGTGTTGAGGGAGTCGGCTTTGCTGCGGATTTGGGCCCGCAGTCGGTCGAGGTACTCTGAACGTCGGCGCTGTTGATTTGCAAGTCGGGTGTCTAGTGCGATCGTGCCGCCGATTTCTGGGGTTGGTGGGGATGATAGGAGGCTGTCGATTGCGGAGCGGAGATCTGCTCGTAAAGAGTCGAATTCCCAGACTGCGGCTTGGACGGCTTGGTTGCTGCCGGTGAATTCGAGGTCTAGGGCGTTTCGAACGTCCGGGAAGGTTGACTTTAATTGGGATTCTAGGTCGGCGAGCATGATTTCGCTTTGCTTCAAGATAGCGGATAGAGGCGCGAGGGTTTCAAGGGCTGTGTCGAGGATGGATTCTAGTTGTCGCTGGGAGGTTGCGAGAGTCTCCTCCTGCTCCTGGGGAACTGAGGGTGAGTGAAGGGAGGTTCGAGGTGGGTATGTTGGAGAGAGAATGATGCAGCTGCTAGGGTAGAGTGTCTTGATACTTGGGAGCTGGCAGAGCCCTTTGGCTTGGTAGACGACCTCTGGGAGAACCAGTAAGTGTAGGATGAGGGCGATCAGTACTGCATTGATTGCCTTGCGAGCCACAGCCGTATAGTCCCGGTGGATGGGCTGGGCTTGTGCAACCGGACCCTTGTTGGCGGTGGGTTCCTCTGCAGACGAACTAGCATCTGCATCAGAAGCTGCGATGCCGGTGCGATCCTGCTCTGGCAGCTTTGTGCTGTCTGGCAGGGGAACTTTGCGTCTTTTCCTGATGATATTCGAGCCTGATTTCTTCGGAGTGGGTACGTATTCTATCCATGACCCTTCTGCATTCCGCGCCTCGCAGATCGAGGGCATGATAAGCTCCGGGCCTGATATGGTCCATGACGATGAAGTGGAGGATGCCGGCAACTCTGATCTTGGGGCAGGTGTGTTTGTGAGGTTTGTGCTGTTTCCTTTGAGAGAGGCTTGAGGATTTGTGGAGTCTGCCTCATCATTCTTGAGAGATGGAGTTGATGTTATCATCCAGGATTCGCCGAGAGGGCGATCTGGGGTGCGAGGTGATGCCATAGACATGACTTTAGTATTTCAGCAAGACATGATAGAGCTGGCACTGAATGGGATGCTGCAGTTGACTCGTTGAGCTCGCAAGTCAAGAATTACTTGAGTTATTTTGAATGTTTTGATTGCGACTGTCTCAAGCATAAGAGTGTTTGCGCAAAGCGGTGGGGCAGAAAGATCGGAGAAATCGCGGTGCCCGGGAATGGAGAATCTTCAACAACCATGCGCCCACTGCTTCGCCTCAGACCACGATTGACGCCTAGCGTTAAGTCTTCATGGCAGCTTGCACGGTCGCGGCCACTCACACATACCGCAATTCGCCGTTGTTCGTGTTCTGACCCAAAATCGGAAGCTCCAACGATACCTCCTACCGACCACCGAGCCCTTGGAACCGCCCAAGAGCTCTTCACATCCTCCGTTTACAGTCCCGGATCTCCTCTCTTTCTCCCCAATGGCACACACGTCGTCAATAAGCTCATATCCTTCCTCCGCACCCAATATCTACAATATGGCTTCCGTGAAGTCTTAACCCCGACCATCTACAAAAAATCGCTCTGGGAGATATCGGGCCACTGGCAGAACTACAAGGATGATATGTACGAGGTGACAGGCCGAGGAGCCAGCGGCGATGTAGAGGGTGAAATTGGCGAGGACGAGTCATACGGATTGAAGCCAATGAACTGTCCGGGCCACTGCCTACTCTTCAAGTCACAGAATCACTCCTACCGCGACATGCCGGTGCGCTATGCGGATTTCAGTCCACTGCACCGCAACGAAGTGTCAGGGTCGCTGACTGGTCTCACGCGCGTGCGCCGGTTCCACCAAGATGACGGTCACATCTTCTGTCGGCCGCAGCAGATTAAATCGGAGATCGCATCGGCGCTGGGGTTCGTGGAAATGGCTATGAGGACATTTGGACTCGGTCCCTACCGATTGGTTCTGTCGACACGACCCGAGACGGATTATATCGGAACTCTGGAGATGTGGGATAATGCCGAGATGCAGTTGCGCGAGGCGTTGGACAGCACCGGACGCGAATGGGCGCTGAATGAGGGCGATGGTGCCTTCTACGGGCCAAAGATTGATATCCAGCTCCAGGACCAAGCTGGCAAGTATCACCAGCTGTCTACCATTCAGTTGGATATGAATCTACCTCAGCGATTTGAGCTGGAGTATCAGGTCGCAGAGGGTGAGCCTGACTACAATTCAGCCACGCCTGGAGTAGCCACTCCAGTGTTGATTCATCGCGCTATCTTCGGCTCATTGGAGCGGTTTTTGGCATTGTTGATCGAAGAGCACGGTGGCCACTGGCCTTTTTGGCTTTCACCGCGTCAGGCTGTCATTTTGACCGTCAACCAAGACGATGCCGTTGTGCACCGGGCCAAGGAAGCGGCTGCCAAGTTTGCTGGATTCCGCGCTTTGGTGAATGATGGCACTGCTGAGACACCTCGTCCGCTGTCTTCTGTCGATTCTACTTTCTTGATCGATGTCGACACCAGTGCACAGACCCTAGGCAAGAAGATTCAACGTGCCAAGCAGATGAAATATAACCTTATCTTCATCCTCGGATCGCGGGATCTGGCAGATGGAGGCATCACGGTCGATGTGACGGGCCAGATGCAGAGCAAGACAGACAAGGATGCCCAAACATTGCAGGCGCTGATCAAAGCTAAACTAGGCGATGATGCTCTGAAAAATCCTCGTGCTGTCAAGTTGAGTGTGGATGACGTTCATCCTCTATTGGTCGACCTCGAGAAGAACTTTGTATAACGTGTGTCTTCATTTTGAGCGTGTTTGACTACACAACATATTCCCAATGTACTTTTATTGTATAACAATCCAATGTTCTTCTACCGAGTTCACACCCTTTCCATGTACTGACGCACATCGGCAGTTGAACGGCTGTGAAGAGTCGCGTCTGCCAACGGCTGCGGTTATCCTCGGAGAATGGGCCTCAGGCAGAAACACCTCCGATCTTCGGGGCCCTTCTTGGAGCGTGTGGGAGCGGATATCGCCTGGAAAAGGCTATGATCAGCTTTGAAAAGTTGGATTATTCGATTCTGGTCATCATTGACACTTCGGCAGCAGACAGCCTGCCTTTAATCCATGTTAATCGGGAATCTCCTCGGAACGCCTCCCGCCAGCACGACCAATATATAGATCACGTGACTCCGCTGTCGGAGCCGAAAACTCGGCGTCATCGACGAGCGGAATTTGAGTCACAGCATCTTCCCCATTCTTCATTGGTTTCTTTTTTTTCTCTTCTATATAGAATCGCCTTGTTCAAATTTCTGAACACAAGTTTTCTCCTTTGGCCAGATCACGCCGGAGTCTGCTTGGTCTAACGCCAATACTTCCTTCTACCTCTTATCCACTTGTCGCCCCGCGGTACCCCGCCAAACGCCGCCATGCCGATGTATGTTATGATCTGAACTGGAAGTTATACCCATGCTAATAGCCCAAAGGCTCAAGGATCCCTCAAAAAAGTACAAGGCATTCAAGCCTCTGGACCTGCCTAATCGCCAATGGCCTAACAAAATTATCGATAAGCCACCGCGCTGGCTGGCCACCGATCTGCGTGATGGCAACCAGTCCCTCCCCGACCCAATGGTATGGAATACCGCACCGGCTTAATGCTGTTCAACTCATTGACTTGATTGCCTCTCTAGGATGGCGAGCAAAAATACCGTTTCTTCAAGATGCTCGTGGAGATCGGCTACAAGGAGATCGAAGTTTCCTTCCCGTCCGCGTCCCAAACCGATTTCGACTTCACCCGCCGTCTGGTCGAAGAGCCCGGTCTTACCCCCGACGATGTCGCCCTACAGGTCCTGGCTCCCTGCCGTGAGGACCTCATTCGCCGCACAGTCGACTCCCTGAAGGGCGCCAAGAAGGCTATCCTCCACATCTACCTCGCAACCAGCCCTTGTTTCCGCCGCATCATTTTCAACATGGACCGAAAGCAGAGTCTGGAGATGGCTGTCAAATGCACAAAATACGCCCGCTCTATCACCAAGGATGACCCCTCTCAGGCCGGCACTGATTGGCAACTCGAGTTCTCCCCCGAGACCTTCTCGGATACGGAGCCCGACTTCGCTGTGGAGGTCTGCCAGGCTGTCAAGGCTGCCTGGGAGCCTACGGCTGAGAAGCCCATCATTTTCAACCTGCCTGCCACGGTAGAGATGTCCACCCCCAACGTCTTTGCCGATCAGGTCGAGTACTTCTGCACAAATATGACCGAGCGTGAGAAGTTCGTTGTCTCGGTCCACCCGCATAATGATCGTGGCTGCGCCGTGGCCGCAGCCGAATTGGCTCAAATGGCCGGTGCCGAACGTGTAGAAGGTACTCTGTTCGGTAACGGTGAGCGTACTGGAAACGTGGACCTGGTTACTCTCGCCCTCAACCTGTACACACAAGGTGTCTCGCCCAAGGTCGACTTCTCAGATATCAACTCTGTCATCAAGGTAGTAGAGGAAAGCAACAAGATCCCCGTGAACGAGCGCTGGCCGTACGGTGGTCAACTCGTGGTTTGCGCATTCTCTGGAAGGTTCGCATCACTCTTTTTCTCAGTTGGATTTTACCTTGTGCTAACTGCTTTTCACACAGCCACCAAGATGCAATCAAGAAGGGCTTCAAGCTGCGCGAAGGTGCCGACGACGAAACCGAGTGGGTCGTCCCGTATCTGCCCCTCGACCCACAAGATATCGGCCGCACATACGAGGCAGTCATCCGCGTCAACTCCCAGAGTGGCAAGGGTGGTGCCGCCTGGATTATCCTGCGCAGCCTGGAGCTGGATCTCCCTCGCGCTTTGCAGGTCGAGTTCAGCAAGATCGTGCAGGAAAGGACCGAGGCTGTCAACCGGGAGCTGAAGCCCACCGAGATCGTCAGCCTCTTCGAGGATGCCTACCACCTCAAGTCAAACCCGCGCTTCACCCTCATCGACTACAGCATTACCACCGACCGCTCTCAATCTCCTGCTCCCCCCGAGCCTGGCAAGGCCCTCAACACCAAGAACCTCAAGCGTCGCTTCACCGGTATCATCGAGATCGACAACGTCCAGCATGCTATCACTGGTGTTGGCCCAGGTGCTATCTCGTCCCTGGCTACCGCCCTATCCACTCTCGGCATCGATCTAGACGTCCGTGACTACAAGGAGCACTCCATTGGTCTCGGTCGTGACGTGAAGGCTGCTACCTACATCCAGTGTACAGCAGCCGGCAGTGACGAGCAGGTCTGGGGTGTCGGCATCCACCAGGATGTGGTCCAGGCCTCTCTCATTGCGCTGCTTAGCGCCGCCAGCTCGGTAAGTTTCGATCACTGACTTGTTATGCGTACCTCTACTGACTCATCTCCAGTTTCTCGCCTCTCGCGCTGGCTCCCCTGCTCCTTTCCGCCCTATCCGCTCTAACACTCTCACCGATGACGACCTGCAAGCCCTCGAGCAGCTGACCGGTGAAGGTCCCGTCGCTAACGGTAACCTGAGCGCTAAGGTTAACATTGACAACCTGACGAAACAGGCCGAGGGCATGTAAATGTATAGAAAATTGAACGAAACAAAAAGGAATGAAGCGGCAAAAGTGACGATAATGCATATACCATGATCAATCAACATCAGTTTACATCTTCATCAGTCTCTTGCTCGTAGACTTTGAACACAGACATGAGAGCTCATAATCATTGTCGCTAAACGCATATCAAGATACACCACAGCGATATCAACTCCAAACTTCAACCCCGGTAAATACTAAAGTTCTGGGGTCCCTCCGCCGAAATGATATACCCATCTTCACAAGACGAGAACGACACCTTTGCCTGTTCCTTGTAGAAAGTATCAAAACCAGAGTCCAGCGCATCAGCCAGACTATTCACTTCGCCCGCCGGATGCAGCTGTTGCCAGGGATACCGACATGCATCGCCTTGGCACGACTTAAGCACCAACATCAACGCATCCAGACGCGCAGTTATCTGCGGTAGCTCGCGGTTGGCAATCATGTAGGTGTGTTTGGCTGGGTCTGTACCTAGATTCACCGTCTGATGGGGGTCATTCTGTGTTCTCCAATTAGCCTTGTGCGATATAATATGAATAGTTGAATACTACGTTCCCGGCTTACCTTCAGATCGAAGAACTCTCTCTCGTTTGTGCACCAGACTGCGTAGTAGAGGCTGTAGTCGTTTGCGATGAGTCGGATGGCCTTGTATGTGTTCCTTCCGTAGCTGGTGTGTGGCTCGTCGGGTTTGTCGCTGGTGTATCCGTATATCCCTTCCGGTATGGCCTGTAGCATGATTAGCGGGCAGTGTAGTGTACTTGATATGTGGTTTTAATTACCCAGCCCCAGTACTCAATGGCAACATGCTCGGTCCTATTGTCCGCTCTGCTGGCAGAACTGGTAGTAGGAATCTTCTTGCCATCTAACCCGTCTCGAGTCGTCCCAGCCAAGCTCAAGAAGGTGGGTGCTAGATCTGTATGGGAAGTGATGACATCCAAGGTTTGGTTTTTGCCAATATTAGGGCCTCGGACGATAAGAGGCACATTTATATCAGTTTCTACGAGTGTCAGCATGTTTCAATAAAGAGTATGTACGGAGATCACTCACCATAACCACAATTCTTACCAGGCTGCAGCCGATGTTGACCGAGGTGATACCCATTATCCGTCGAGAAGAAGACATAAGTATTATCCAGTTCTCCAACTTGCTCCAGCTTCCCAATCAGCTTCCCAACCATCTCGTCAACAGCCCGCAAAGCCCGTAGCCGACACCGCTGGAACTTGTCAATATACTCAACATGCGTCTGGTTCAACTCAGGTACACCCCCAACCCAACTAACCGCATCCTCAATCGGCGTGTTAAAGCTCTCATCCCGCGGTGCCTGGACATCCTTGAATAACTCCGCATGTCGCGGCGCAAATTCCGGCTCCCCAAACCACTCTGCGTCCCGAGTTGGATCATACGATCCATTCGAATGCGGCGCAATCGGCGCGACTGTCAACATCCACGGCTGATCATGCTTGACAGCCTCGTCGATGAAGTCTTCGGCTTTCGCGCTGATCACGTCTGTCGAGTATTGACCGTCGTACTTGGCTGGCGGTGCCCCGTTGCGCGTCATCCGGGCGAACCAGTACCGGTATGTGTATGGGTCTAGAAGGAAGTCCGAGCCGTTGAAGCCCCGTATGTAGGGATTGTTGTAGTTACCTTCTGTGTGGGCGTTCCACATCTTGCCAACGTAGTAGGTGTTGTAGCCTGCTTCTTGCATCCACAGTGGGAGGTAGTTGTCGTTCCAGCCTGCTGAGACTACTTTGGGATATCCGCCGTAGGGGAGGTCGACGTCTGTTACGTTGGTGTTGTGTGGCATACGGCCGGTCCAGAGGTTCGCTCGTGAGGGACAGCATAGTGCGGTTGAGCAGAAGTGGTTGGAGTAGCTTGTTCCTTGTTGGACGAGGGTTTCCTGGTGGGTTGTGTTAGTATGGGTATTCAACGGCAAGTAGGTAACGCCTTACCTGCAGCTTAGGCATGTGCTCTAAGCCGCCGACGTATTTTCCTTGATCGTCTGTCAGAATGAAAAGGATGTTGGGCTGCTTGGCTGCAACTGCTAAAGTCGCCAATAGCAGGTGCCCTAGCAAGTTCATGGTCTCTTCTGCGACAGTGGAGTCGAGGTACCTCTAGGTTGGGGTTGGAAGCTAGAAATAGCTAAGTGAATATAGCCCAGATTTTGCTTCTATAACCTGTGTCGTGGTGGGCAAATGCAGATAGACGGAGCTGTCGTGTGATTTCCCCACGGGATTGCACAGCCCAGCGATAACTTGGTCATGAAGAGCGTGCTGTATTACTAGGTGCGTCATCGGTGTGAAAGGATGTCCGATTGCGAGCTTCTGTATGTCGGTGGTGTTAGGTCTGATCGTCATCACGTCGTCGTGGGTTGATATCATAGGTAGCTCGGCATAGAGGTCGATCGTAGCCTCGTGCAGAAAATCTATAGCAATGTCGGAGCTGTGGAATCCAACCAAATAAAGTATATGCAAATGAAAATGGACTTGGTTTTATCTACGCGGAGAATTCAAAGGGAAGTAAGATATGACGGGTATGTACAGCTCGCAGACATGGGATATGGAAATAAGGTATTGGGGCTCAAAGACAAACAGAAACGCAATGCTAGACAATGGAGGAAATGAGAGGTATGGACACCGAACACACTCTAGGCAAAGTATTAATTGGCAAGAGGTAACTCAAACCGGCGCAATTGGGGTTCAAGCTTCGGATCAGCGAGTGTGTCCGGCATTGTTATTGCTGTTCAAACGGTGGAAGTCATGGCCATCCTCTGCACCTAGTGCCGACTGGTACATGAGAGCTTCTTGAGGCCAATCTTCTATTACGCCGCTGTCCTGTGTGCGTGGACGGGTCGGCTCGGCATGGGCTATGCCAATCGCCGGGTCGCTAGGGTGGTTCCATCCCTGCTGATTGCCAAGTGACTCTCGCGATTCACCACCACGATATCCATGTGAGGGAGGTTGATTGGGCGTATTTCCCATGTCGAAGCTGAACCGGAAGTCACGGTTAGCGGGGGGAATACCCTCGACGTGCTCCGATGCGTCATACGGGTGGTCATCAAACTCGGTCAAGATGGTGGCGGACTGCGGCTCCTTGATGTAAGGAACAGCCGGGTTGGGCTGCGGCACAGGAGTGGCAACCATATCATTGTCCGTCGCAGGCTGCGGTTCATGCGGCATGGACCCAGCTCTGTCGGGGTTGTAACCAGGTGCTGAACGAACCGTCTCTTCCAATGTCAGTCCAGCTGGGGAGTGGGGGACGCCTCCTTCAGGAGTGTCCGGATTCACCGAGGATTGTCGGACGCTGTTGCCCATAGTGCTTCCAGGCTTGGAAACTCTGCTCATACGGTGCTGGGGCACATCTGCGAAGGGGCTGTCACCTTCCAGGTCGCGAATGCTGAACTGAGCGATGGTCCGCAGCTTGCGGGTCACCCAAGAAGCTAGAACCTTTCCGCGCTGCTTCTCACCCAGACGAGAGCGGGGGAAATCGCCGTGAGAAACAAATGCAACAATATCAGCGACAACCTGATGTTCCATAAGGATAGCATCAACGATGACGGGGACAAGGGCAGCCAGGTAGGCCTTCCGTGTGACCTCGACAACGACGACAACCAAGCCACCGGCTTGGAAAATAGCACTGAAAATCTCATGTTAGCCTATGGCCGAGTCTCCAAATGTATCCTTTACTTACCATCCTCCATTCACAATATTGCGATGGCACCTCTCTACAGAGTTTTCAATGTCCATGGGGAAGTGGTTGAGTCCGTTGACCTCGAAAGTCTCGCCTATGCTGCCAAGGAGGAACAGCACTTGCATCTCGACCGGCTGGCCGTTAGGACCGATCGGCCGAGTAACAGTGTGAAGGAAACCAAGATCACCAGTACGCACGTAAGGCACGCTGGGATCACCGTCTGCAACTCTGCCGTTCAACCGCTCTTGGTCGAATTCTTGCTTTGATTTGTAGAATCCCTGTGCGCAAGCGTCGGACTGAATCCAGATCTCACCGTACTCTCCCACATGCGCAAGAGTGCAAGTTTCTGGGTTCACAATCGCGATCTGCGTATTGACCGGTACCATACCAGAGTCCTGCAACAAAAGCGCAGTGGGATCGGCATCAGGATCCACGGGGTAAATTAAACCTTGACGAAGGCTCCGCAGGTCCAGCCACAGCTCAATCGGCTCAATGCACATATACGATCTGGTGGTAACCATGGGGTTGAGAACGTGCGAATAAACGACGTTGATAGAGGTACGATCCAAGCTGGCATTCGCAAAATGCAAGCGTACCTTTCCGTCTGCGCAACCCAATCAGCCTCACTTCATATCGGTTTGGGAGGTTGTACTTACAGATGTCCGTTCTTGGTCGGCCCTCAGAGGAAATCATAAGGTTCTTCAATTCTTGAAGCTGGAAGCCCTTCCCAGCCATAGCACTCATTGCATAGTCCAGCATTTGGCTGGTGGCATAGGTGTCCTTGATCTTGTATCGAGCGAGAGTGACAAAGAGAGTCATGGGATTTTGAGCGAAGTCAACCGGCGAAACAAGGTATGTGGGGGCGCCTGGGCAACAAGTTAGAACAAATGCCCCGAAGAAAAAAGGGAATAAACTTACCAACAAAGATTCCCATCAAGCAGGTGTGTAAGAATCCAAGACCTAGGGTACTTCGAACACTTCCAAGCACTGGCCTCGAACTGGTCATTTGGCAAGTTTCCTTCTGAACCTTGCACATGCCCATGATAGTCTCATGGGAAATGTTGACCGAAATCCTTCGCTGATCTGGGGTCCAGTAAGTCCAGACCAGAGCAGGCTGCTTTCCCTGGAGCCAAGTGTCCTTCACGGTGTAGCCGAGCTCGCGACATCCGTGGGATTGCTTCGAGGGCTTTGCAGTATTGTATATGGCAGGGACACCGATGCGCAGGACTTGGGCGGACTGCTTGATATGCTGGGACACCAGCTTTTGTCTCATGACATGGTCGACCTCTGTATTTACAATGATGGCTTTGACGTTGAAATCGCTGATGATATGCAAGAATGCTGGCGCATCCTCTGAAAGGCGATTTTGGTCGATAGGGGCCATCGGAATGACAACAACACCCAAACACAGACAAGCGTGAATCGCATAGATGTACTCCTCCGAGTGTGTGTACATCAGTACGAGGTGGTCTCCGGGTCGCACCTTCACCTTGTTCTTCAGGTACGTTGCCACCGCAGAAACCTTCAGATCGAACTTTTTCCAGGTGACACCTTTTCCTTCCTTGCCGCGGCCGTCAATAGAGCAGTAAGCCAACTCTTCAGCCTGGCGAGAGACCCGCCAATGAAGAAGGTCGACAATTGTGTTGAAGTTGTTCAACGGCGTAGAAGTTCGGTCATCCATTACCACATCGCGATAATCCACGCCCGAATATTGCTTTTCCTGATAGGCAAGCATCTCTTGTCTTGATGCCAGAGCGGTGGGGGACCAGATACCACCCTCGGGGTCGATGCCAACAGGCAGATTCATCACTGCTCGTTCAACCCCAAACTTGACATGCACAGCTTGCAGCATACCGGATTCGAAATCTTTGCGACACAGCATGTTACCGATCTCTTGTCGGCCATTTTTGGTGACCCGCGGTAGACTATTCGGGGCTGTGAGGAGAACACAGTACACCCGTAGATGATGCTCCTGGTACAGCACCTCCATACACCTGTCCGCGAGCGAATCAAGGAGTACAGAATCAAGTTGCCTCGGCGGGCCACCCGAAGTCGTTGGCGCTGTTGAGGCCGAGTAAGACTCCAAAACGATAACCGGAAGATGTTCGTCATTGACAAATACATCGAACGCAGTGCAATCATGAATCTTCGGCACCTTCTTCAAGATGCTGACAGTCAGGTGCTGGACGAAGAAGTAGCGGTGTTCAACAATCTCTTGGCCATGCTCAACCCACTCCACTTTTTGGCGGAGGCGGTCTTCGTAGAGACCAAGCACGAACAGTCTGCCCTCAATCACACATCCGAGCAGACCAGTGCGCAGGAACTCGGGTTCCACAAGTATCGGAGTCGGGTTAGATTCCTCGAACTTGTAGGGACGGGCATGGAAGATGGCCTCGGTGTGTTTCGGTAAGGCCCAGAAGCCACCAGAAAGCGAGGGCGAATCAACCCAAATCTCTCCAATCACGTTTGGCGTGCAGAGAAGATTGGTCTCCGGGTCAACGACAGCCAGGGTTGCGTCAGGAATCGGGTAGCCAAAGGCGCCAACGCGTACAGCATGTGGCATGCTGCTGGCGTACTTTCGTGCATCCTCGCCCATGGCCAATACAACCACTTCATTGCTCTTCAAGGCCTCCTTGTCCAGGAGAACTTCACTGAGTTCGTTCTTAGGGCTCTGTTTGATCGTAGAAACTCGTGATCCGCCACCCAAGAGACTGCTTCCGAAGCCAGTTTTGGTCTCGGACTTCGTCAAGTTCTCATCTTCTTTCTTAGAATCACCACGACTAGCGGGATCCATTTCATGGGTCAAAGCACATCCCATTCGCTCTTCACCACCGAGCCAATCGCGCATGCTAATAACCATACCTCCATGCTCCGGCAAGCAGAGCATTGGAGCCACAATTTCCCTAGCCCGTGGATTCCTCATTGGACGAAGCCATCTGTCTGCCAGGATTTCGTGGAACTCGGGATCGAGAGTAAGGGTATCGATCAGGCATATTTTGACACTACCGAAATTAGGCTCTGAATTCTTCTTGAAATGTCTCGTTGACATCGGATCTTGCTGGTAGTTGTAGGTGGCAATCTTCAAACCAGAGTAATCAGCCGCCATGACTGATGCCTTGTACTTGGTGATAAGGTGGGCATAGAGACCGGGGGTCTCCACCGCCCGGTCCTCATGCCAAACCGTTGTGTGACCACCATAAACAGTGAAGAGAATGGCGATGATCATGCCAATTCCTTGTCTCGGGTCAAGATAACTGATTATAGTCTCTCCTTTGCTCGCATACTGCCTGGCACTCGAATCCGTTGGTACTGTGGTAATTATCGCACTCAAACATGCCATTTGGTGCATGATTGTCCGGTGGCTCATCACAACGCCGCGCATATCACCCGTTGGAGCCCGCGCAAATTCTATGTAGGCCAGATCAGGGACCTGCAGCGGGGGTGTGTCGTCCTTCTTCTTTGGATGGAAACTGCCGAACTCATTCGTCTTCCACCATTCAACTCCTCGTGGCCAACTGAGCTTCTGTGCGGTGATGTCGCGCTGGAAATTCTTCAGGTTGTTCTCCGTTGTCAAAGCGAGATGTGCTTGTGTTGAAGTGAGCACGAGATTCAGACTTGTGTAGTCATCCAGACTGTTGATCGGCACCGCCACAACTCCTGCAATAAAGCAGCCCAAGAGTGCGACGGCGAACTCGATGATCTCCGCTTCTCGGTATATCAGAGCAACCCGATCTCCGCGGTAAAGATTACTCTTATCACGGATAACTTGGGCGACTTTCTCCGCACGGCTAGACAACTTCTCCCAGGTGATGGAAGCAACTTCTTTGCCTTTCGCATCCAGTACCCAATAGGCAGCCTGTTTTGGGTGGGCCCGGGCACGATGGCGTAGAACAGTTGGTAGGTTGTCGAAGTTAGACATGGGAATATTCTTGTCATGTGGATCATTCAAGGCGAAAGGAATCTCTCGAGGCTCGAGGGGAAGGAGGTGTTCGATCGCAGGTCCATGCTGAAGTTCCGCCGCGTGCATTAATGGCGGTGCCATGTTCGCTGTTGGCGAAAAGGCTTCCCCGGACTGAGAGTACCGATGAAAGCCACCACCACCATAGCTGTCCCTATAATCATCATGCTGTTGCCCTGCAAAGTCAGAAAAGTATGCCTGTTGAAGATCAAGCATTGTGGACTGTCGGGTTGGTGCTCCGGGGACAGGATCGTAGTATCCCATGCCATCATCCGCGTACTCGGGCTGGTACTCCGCTGGAGGATACTCGGCTTGTGCGTATTCAGGCTGATTCGCATACTCAGGTTGGGAGTTCGGGTTGAATGCATAGTTCTGACTCAACAGAGTTGCAGTTCTAGAGCCATCCAAGCCTTGCGACCCGGGAATTGGTGGTCTAGGAAGGAACAAGGAGTCGTGGGAGCCAGCTGAAGGCACTCGATCATGAGCGTGAAGCATGCTCTCTCTATCGTGAGACCATGGCAATGCCTGTGGCTGGTCCTGTGTATGTGTTTCGGCGCCATGGGTGAATCCGATAGCTCCGCTGTCCTGCTGGCCACTGTGGCCGTCTGCGTACACGGGGGAAGCCGCGCTGTGTAGCGAGGATTCGGCGGTTGGTGGGCGAACCTTCAGAATAGCCGGCGGGGCAATTCTAGGGCTGGTTGGGGATGCATCATACCCAGAACTAGCATGGGTATTGATCTCAAGGGGTTTATTGGGACCGAGGTATTGCGAGAGTAGGACGGTCCGGCGCTTTTGGTATCTTGTTGTTGTTAGCTCGCCAAATCTTGCAAAGCCTATAGCTACTGGTCGAAATCCCGCGCAACCTGTTATCCTCCGTGGTGTTTTGGGTAGGGAGGGGTATATATTGAATTGCATCGCTTACCCTTTCTCGGTGATATCGCCCTCCTGTTATGGACCTTGCATGAGCATAAGGATTCAACATGGGACCAGAGCGCACATACCTCCAATTCGCGCTCTAGGTTCCGCAAAGCGGCCTGGAGCTCAGGGGACTCTTCCGCCATTTGGACAGCAGGTCGCAAAGCCTCAATTCTGGGGAGCGTGACAAAAGCGCGGGGGAGGGATGAGTGAAGGTAGTCAAGAACACCTCATCGCAATGAGCGTCTCGAGGGCGCAAAAGAGATGTGGCAGATATGCCGGGCAGCCTTGATAGCCGCAGGTTGTAACTCTTTGGTGGGGTGTGATTGACCAACAATCAATAGTCGCGGGTGTCCGTGTCTCTCCTGGTCTCCGCGCGAGACATTCCCAACGTCACCCGCCAAGGGCGGTCAAGGCAGCCGAGAGCTGAGACATCTTGGGGGTTTATAGTAACCGTTTATAGTCTATTTATAACAAAAATGAGGCTAATTATGAAGTAAATCCTATGGCGTACAGCCTACTGGGCCAAGTTCAATTGAGAATTGTGGCTGTTCAGGTACCGTCTGACTCGGTGTTGTATGCCTCGGTGCAGGCTCGGAATCGCAGGAAATGAGACACTGGTGAGAGATGGTGTAAATAGGTATATAAATAGTTCGTGTTATAGACTATACTAGAGTAGAGTAGAGGAAGCAAAGTATCGATCTATCACACTATGTGATGGCAATGTTGAACTCCTCGACTCGACTCGCACTGCATAAGGCTGGAGAGGAGTTTGGTTCTCCCCGGCTGATCAACCGAGATTAGGCTCCTCAGGCAGTAAGGCAGTAAGGCAGTAAAGCATCATGTGACACGCACTAAGGTGGCAAGGCGCCCAGTGGCCAGTCTAGGGGGCCCACTTCCCAGCGTGCCCTAATCACATGATTCCGTTTCCACACTACACAATTTTAGCGAGGGGGGCTTTCTCCCTGGGATTACTGGAACCTCATCGACGTTCAACCACCAACGACAACCCGGTCAATTTCCCACGAACCCCTCCCGCACAGTCAACATGTCCGACAACGGGGACGTCGAGGTCGCCTATTCCACCGTCCTGCCCAAGGAGGTTCTGGCCGAGCAGGGCAGCATCAAGCTGTTCAACAAGTGGAGCTACGATGATGTCGAGATTCGGGATATCTCCTTGACGTGAGTCTTTTCTATCAGGTCCTCTATGCGCCGAGTGAATTCCTGCTTTGTGCGAGAAACCGAGTCGAATTGGGGGAATGGCAAGAACTTTCGACGAGGATTGAACGCAATATCGAAATTCTTTATCGGAGGAACACAACATTTCATGGGACTGGTTTCGGGGTTTCATCGCACACGGCAGGAAAACAACAGCGCATACGAGGACCGACAATTGTGCGCCTATCAGTTTTACAGAGGTGCTGACCCGCCATCATAGCGATTACATCCAGATCCGCTCCCCCGTCTACCTCTCCCACTCTGCCGGTCGCTATGCCGCCAAGCGTTTCCGCAAGGCTCAGTGCCCCATCATCGAGCGTCTCACCAACTCGCTCATGATGAACGGCCGCAACAACGGAAAGAAGCTCCTCGCTGTGCGCATTGTCGCTCACGCTTTCGAGATCGTATGTGCAACTTGAACCAATTCCACCACTAATACAGACGTTAATATTCAACTTTACAGATCCACATCATGACCGACCAGAACCCTCTGCAGGTTGCCGTTGACGCCATTGTCAACTGCGGTCCCCGTGAGGACTCCACCCGTATTGGTTCCCAGGGTACCGTCCGTCGCCAGGGTATGTACCAAATCTTATCTCATCCAATGTGACCTCCACTGACTAACCCATCTTCAGCCGTCGATGTGTCTCCTCTCCGCCGCGTGAACCAGTCCATCTCTCTGCTCACCATCGGTGCCCGCGAGGCCTCTTTCCGCAACATCAAGAGCATCGCTGAGTGCCTCGCTGAGGAGCTGATCAACGCTGCCAAGGGTTCTTCCAACTCCTACGCCATCAAGAAGAAGGACGAGCTCGAGCGTGTTGCCAAGTCCAACCGGTAAAGGGGTTGTGTTGGAGTTGCTCTCCGTTTGGTCCTCTGTTTACGTATACTGGAGTGGACGGGGTTTTAACCGGGATTCAATGGATTCGCATGCATCTGCCAGGCTGTACATAATCTGATACAGCCAAGGAGGAAGCATGATCTTAAAAGGGAACGTATTCGGACGGCTTTCTTTGTAGTTGACATGCGACCATGAAGACCTTGGGTCGTAAAGACCTATTTTCTAAAAAGAAAAAATTTCTTTTATTTCGTTTTTCAATGGATCTAGCATAGTAGCAATAAGCTGAAATGGGTCAGAACATTCGTAGTATCGTATATAATCGTTTTTCAAATGCTTAGGGTGTTTTTATCTCGATAAGAGAGTTCTGAGCCATATGATATGCCAAGGTTGAGATTTTCCATCGCTTATCGATACGGAGAATACGGAGAAAAAAAGTCTCGGACCTCGAGACCCCAACATACCCTTTCCAACCACCACCATTTGAATTCCCATACCTTAATAATGGTGAAGAGAAAGCTCGGAGCCTTGGAAAAGGTCGAGGCTGACTTGTACGTACACTTGGTCTGGATTTGATCGATGCGCCCGGCATCAATCGGTCGAGGGTTTCAGTCCGTCGAACTAACATATTTCCTTTGCGCTTCGCAGGCCCAATCTGCAGCACAAGATCAAGAAGGATCCCAAGTAAGTCATTTGCAGAGTCTTCCTGTAGCTTGTGGCACTTGATCGGGACTAATCAACGCTTTGCGCTACTCAGATCTTATATTGAAGATTTCCGTGCCCAACACTACCAATATGAATCCCATCGTGAAATTTTCATGGCAGCGCCCTCGTCCGCTACGGATACTGGTCTGATCTCCCTCAGGGATCTTATTGACTTCATTTCCCATGTGGCCGACTGCTACCCCGGGATCTGTAAGGATTTCCCGCAACAGCTTATCGATATGCTTATGGAACACCACCTGGTGTTGGAGACCGAATTGCGTGAGAAGCTGGTTGGAAGTCTGGTGCTTCTGAAAAAGAAAGAGCTTCTGGACTCAGCGACGTAAGATACTCCCTCTTCCTCAATACTTGTTTCCTCTAACCGCTCCTATAGCCTGTTGCACACTCTCTTCCCCATCCTTATCGCTACGCCTAGCAAGACTTTGCGCGCTCTACTGTTCCAAAAGATCCTCTCGGAGCTCCGAACGTCAAATGCAAAGACGACTAACCACAAGCTGAACCGAACTATGCAGACTGTTCTCTTCAACTTGGTTACGTCGGATCGCACATCAGCTAAAGGCCTGTGGGCAATCAAAATCACCAGAGAGCTATGGAAGCGCCAAATCTGGACCGAGGCTAAGGCTGTCGAGGTCATGAAGGAGGCAGCCTTGTCCCAAAACGAGAAGGTTATCGTCGGTGGAGTCCGCTTCTTCCTTGGTGGCGATAAGGAGCGCGAAGAATTGGAGGATGAGGACAGTGACGAAGAAGTCAACGTTGCTCAAGTTAGGCACCAACTTACCATCAACAAGAAGACCAGGAAGAAGGCTCGTGTTGCTGAGAGGGTTATCAAGTCCGCCAGGAGCAAGGAGCGCAAGAAGGGCACTAGTACTTCTCTTAACTTCTCAGCGCTTCACTTGCTCCACGATCCTCAGGGTTTCGCAGAGAACATGTTCTACAAGCATCTGCAGAACGGCAAGTCTAACTTGAAGTTGGAGCAAAAGCTTCTAGTGCTCCAGCTGGTCTCCCGTCTGGTTGGCTTGCACAAGTTGCACATTATGCCCCTCTATTCTTACTTCCAAAAGTTCCTTACGCCCCGCCAACCCTCCGTGACTTCATTCCTGGCGTCTCTGGCTCAAGCCTCCCACGACTTGGTGCCGCCTGATGTTCTCGAGCCTCTGGTCCAAAAGATCGCAAATGAGTTCGTCTCCGAAGCCTCCGCAGGTGAGGTTGCTACAGCTGGTCTCAACGCCATTCGTGAAATCTGTGTCAGGCAGCCTCTGGCTATTGAAGAGACCCTGTTGCAAGATCTTGTCATGTACAAGAAGAGTAAGGACAAGGGTGTCATGATGGCCTCCAAGGGACTTCTCAGTCTGTACCGTGATGTTGGTGCGCAGATGCTCAAGAAGCGTGACCGTGGCAAGGAGGCCGCAATGAGTCTGCGTGCTGGCGAAAGACAAGAGAGACGTTATGGTGAACAAGCTGTTGGCGAAATCCAAGGCTTGGAACTCCTGGCCAAGTGGAAGGACGAGGAGCGCCGCAAGAGGAACATCGAGAAGGGTCTCCCATCAGATGCCGAAGAAGATGAAGAGGATGACGAGGAAGCTGACTGGGCAGCGTGGAACGTCGAGGAAGACGAAGACAGCGATGTCGATGGTGAATGGATTACTGTGGAGGACGATGTTGACATCGTGCTGAGCGATTCCGAGGATGAAGACAAGCCTGCCTCAAAGAAGGCCAAACAGGACGAAGATGCCAAGAAGGACGCTGAAAAGGAAGACGCCCCTCAAAAGGTCATTGACTTCATGAAACTGGCTACCACCCGCATCCTCACGCCTGCCGATCTCGCCAAACTGACTGAGCTTCGCGCTCAAGCAGCAGCCGAGGCTGTTCTTCCCGGGAACAAGGGCCGTGTCGCTGCTCCCTGGACTTCCCGCCACACTGATGACCCATTGACCGCTGAGGAGATCGAGGGTCTTGCTGCCTTGTCTGCCGCCAAGGCTACTCGTGAGGAGCGTATCGCCCACGCCAGGGAAGGCAAGACCGACCGCTCCGAGCACATGAGCAAGGAAGCTCGCCGCAAGGAACGCAAGGAGGAGCAAGGCAAGAGTACTACCAACAAGGAGAAGGCTCGCAAGAAGAACTTCCTTATGACGCTGGGTAAGGCACGCAGCAAGAACAAGAGGAGTTTGGTTGAGACTCGTGCAGTGCTCAAAGCCCACCACGATCGAGCCAAGAGAGGCGGAAAGAGAGGAAATGTTGGCCAGTGATCTGGTATGAATTGTGATCTTTTAAAATATTGATTGTTCGTTACATAGACTGTTCTTGTCACCACACTGGGACAGTTGAAGATAGACCATCAAGCGTGTCGATTTTATTCGTGAATGACGTCTTCCATCTCTGAGGGAAAAAGCCCCCTCGAAGTAGAACAGCTCGTACGTTAAAAACAATCCATTGGCATCGTGCTTTATCATCTCATATGGCATGTACCAAGATACATGTATGTTACCTACATTTCAGCTCGCGTTCAAGTAAAAAATTGCAGTAGATCGACGCGGTACCACGTGATAGACCCACAGTTAGATGCGTGCATCTACGCGTAGCGCGTTAAGTGGCGCCCGTTGCTAGAGCAGCCTCACTCCATTTTGCATCGCTTCTCTTCTTTTCCCCCTCATTCCCTTGCTTCCCCTACGTCACTGCCTCGTGGTCATTTGAGCACACACCACATCTAATACTCGATATCTCATACCTATTTCGATTATCCAAAGACATCCCCAGGTCCTCAACCCCCTTTCCCACAATGCCTTCCATCAACCGGCCCATGCCACCCAGCAGCGGCGATCTATCGAAGCGCCGACGCTTCCAACCTCCTATCACGACATTCTTCACATCGGCCACACAGCCAACCGCTTCTGACACTCCTGCGGTGTCACACCACCACCACTACGCTGCGGCAACCTTCTCTGCCACCCCCGTCGTCCCGGCCAAAGTACAGTCCTCTCTTATGTCTGTCGGAATGCGGGTCCGCAAAGCCGTTGCCGAAGGATATAAAACCGACTCGAGCAAGTTCGAAATAAAGCCTGTCGCTCAGGCCTATGGCACTCAATCCTACAGACCCTCTGAGCTGCCTACATTTTCCGGCGCTAGTAAATCCTCATTCGGTCATGATCAATATCTCGTAACCGATGATGGTGATGCCTTCTCTATCCCATCAAGCAGCCAAGAGTCGAATTCCTCCCTTGCTCTGGGTGGTCAAAAGCGTGCTTTGGAATTGGATACGGATATTCTTGTCGACGAGGATGAGGATGAATCGAATTTCACTCAATCGTGGCATGAGAACTCCTATGGGCGAACTATCCTCTCTCCGAATATGGGGCAGAGTCGTCGGATCCTTCCTGTTCGTCACAGCAAGGTTCAACAGCCCACCATGGATTTGGACGAATTTGAGGAAGCCACCTTCCTCCGCCGCCGCGAGGAAGTTGATGCAGAGGATTCGCGGATGTATGGTGCTTGAGAGTGTAGTCACGTTTGTTCTTCTCTTTCCTGTGCGTCACTGCATGGCATATTTATCCTTGGTTCTGGACATTACTGGTGTCTTTTCCAGATCTTTATTATACCCGCTGTTCTTCTATGTTGTACCATATTGTCTTGTATCATCATCTTTCTCGTTCCAAAGGCATAATGTGACTATCTTAGGCCAATAGTTTGTCTCTATGAATCCTCCTAGTACTACGGAAACTGTCGGCTCGTATCTCACTCGAGGACCTTCTCCAGTGGAGTCCTTGTATCCAGTATGCTATGCTACTTCTGTCTTCTGAGGTCCATCTCTAAGAACAGCCAGAAAGCATTTGGAAAATAGGTATTGTGATTAAACGAGGTTATAGACTTCAACCCCAAGCCAGCATGGACTCGGGAGTTGTGTCCTCGAAGTCAGCAAAATTCATTCACACCCAAGAAGCTTCCTTGGAAAACAAACCAACGAGTCATGATTCATGCTGTATTCATCAACCGAGCGGGCTATCAGTTTCATATATCAATATACACCTCCCAAGGGCCAAGGCTAGAGTCCTTAAAGTCTCCGGTATCTCCATTCCACCGATCTACCCCAGTACACTCGAAGTCTTAGCAGTTTCGGCCGTCGAGGGAGAGGACTGTCGTCGGATCCAGGTACGACGTCGACAGTAGCTTCGGTAATTCGGGGGCGAGATTGGTTGTCTTTGCAATATATGATGGTTCTTCTTAGTCTGGCGCCGAAATTCTCATCCACGTCCTCGAGATATCCCACATCAATGTCTTGGATATCTTCTACTTCTTCGTTGAGTGTCTCTTGAGACTCTTGTAGTATTCGATACCGAATGAGAGGATTGATCCAAGTATCGTCGGAAGACATTATGTTCGTGTTTGGGTCTGCTGGTAGTTTGTATAGTTTGAATGTTTGTAGTTCGAGTGGATGGGAGTGCATGGATGTGTAGGATTAGGGAGGAAGGGAGATGGGATTAGTAGGTGTGTCCTCCGATGCCCAATTTGGTCAACATGTAGCTTTTGGTTTGACTCAACCGGGATCTTGGTTCAGCATTAGCCTTTAAGGTTCCAATATAAGGTAAGATCTGGATCTGGATCTTCACTTTATTAATAGTTTCCTCGCTTCATTGTGACTTTGCCATTCTTCTCTAATACTATCCATATATTATCCTGTCATTTGTTGATGCCAGACTCCTGATAATCCCACATGGATATCCCATTGTCTGCCGACAGGCAGTCGATGTGTAGGCTCCTTTCCAAGGTTCCTAGTTCAATATCTTTCCCGGAGCCCAACCACGGCCTGGGGGAGGTCATCCTTATGTGCAATCACAGTGACGAGAGATCCCCAATATCTCCAGATAACATTCAAACTGGGTTATGTTAAACCCCTGGATGCTCTGTAACTTTGAGACTTATCATGGATGCTCTTGTAGGTCCATTCTATATTCTATAAATGGAACCCCAGTACAGCCCGGCAGTAGCACAGATCCCGTAGTTGGCCACATCTATGTACATGAGGTGTCCCTTGGTTGCCTTGCCCGTGATAAACCTGCTCAGGTCCGAGTCACTTTATACTTCGTTGATCTCTACCAGATGATTGGATGTATCGTCTAGCGATGAGTCCTTCCAGGGTTATTACCCGTCTTGACCCGGGGTAGCTCCTCCATTGTTTCACGCCCTCACAAACGCTATACGTGAAAAGTCCAATGCTTTCAATACATAACCACTGGTGGCGACAACTGTGGAAGATTATCACATGCAATAATCTAACTATACACCTATAACGTTACACGTGAGCTCATGTCCTATCATCCAAAGAGATATTTTTGCCAGCTCTGTTTCCATGGTTTCCAGGTTCCCCCAAACCGATGGTTGATACAGGCATCTTCATTGCTGAAGTCCTTGGATCCCGAGTGCCGCTGCCCATTACCCCAAGCATTGACGGGCAAGACACATAACCCTCCCAGCAGCTTCCCAGGCTTGGCCTCGGTCCCTTCGACACAGACTGGCTCTTGAATTGCGTGAAATGGCGCCCATGTTACGTGCTGTACAGGGAGTCCTGAAGAATCCAGAGTGCCACTGTCCGCATCCATAGACTGCCGGACTAACGGGTGAGTAGATGGCAATGTATCCGACAAGACATCGAGAATGGCATCCGTGAACACACCCGGACCGGTGATTTCCAGCGTGTCCATCTCGTTGTATCCACCACTCCATATATGTTGTTCCTCGACACGCCGCTTCGTGTGGGATAGCACGCGGACAATAATCTCCCTGAGCAGCGGGCTGAATCGCTGCGGCGCATACATTGTATACTGGATGAAACCATACCGCCTGGCCCAGTGCCAGTCGCGCATCTTCTCCGCCGAAGCGAAGGGCTCGTCGATCTCAATCCCGACGACTAATGAGACATTGGGGTTGACTGTGTGGTTTTGGAAGATTGCATCGCGCACTGAGGGGCAGAATTTGATGCTTCGTTTGGGATATACGTCGAGGTCGGCATAGTAGCCACCGTAGTACCATAGAATCAAGTATCGGAGGAGATCGCCGCGATGAACAGAATGCGGGTATGATTTATACAAGCGAGCGATATCTGGGATAGATGCGAGAGTCTCCGTGATGAATTGATCAGCCCAGTCGGTTTGTACTAGCTGGAAGATAACTAATCAGTTGTCATCGCTCGATTAAAATGCATACTCGACGCATGAAATGATTGATTTTTGGCTCACCTTGTACTTCCAGTCTGAGTTCTTCTCTTCGAACTGGATCGAGTCATCGCTTCGCTCATCGACACCGGGTAGCATGATCTGCCACAGCGTGTCTGTAGCATCTTTGTCGCTGCGTAGTTGCTGTTCTATTTCAATAGTGCGCAGTTCACTTGAGAGCTTGCTCTCATATTCATAATCTGGGTCTGCCCGAAAAGCAGACTGACGGAGGAACTGTGGTCGGTCTTCCCCATAAGAGCGCACATTCCGGGGATCGAGTGTGGATTTGGAGGGCAGGGTGTTGAAAAGAATGACCAGGCAGAATATTGCCACCACCAAGACATACTTGTGCCGGTTTGGAGACCCTAGAAATGAGCGACTCCTCATGGCGGGGGGTGTAGAGAAAGAGCCATTGTGGGTAGTATGGCAGGTCTTAGGGGATCGGCATCGGCAGTTGAGCATGCACATGCGTTGGAACGATTTCTTAATCTTAATTCTCTTTTGGGCCGTAAGCCTTAGACCTTAAACAGAAGGCTCCATCAGCGTGCTTTACACTGATTGGTGTGCCTTCCGGGACTAGCTCTACTGGGTCATAGTGCTGATCCTGAACCCTGGCTCTGATCATCATCCACCCCACCACGATTCCACACTTGGGGACAGGGGTATGCACATGTTCGTTTTGTATGTCGAAAACTCGAAATTTAGATTGGCAAAGATAGAAAAAGAACGTGCAAGGTCTTCAAGTCTTGGCCAGTGACAGATGTCACTGCTGCAGGTGGCCATTCTGCTCCTCTTCAAGGTGGGGCTGATAAACTGTGTGGAAATTGTAGCACCTTGGCAATTCTTACCTAGGGCCCGTATTCGAAACTATATCATCGCACGAATGGATCCATCTAGCCACTGCACGGGCACTTGACCGATGTCTACCTATTCTCTATGCATTCATGAGGTGGAAATGTAAAATGGCCGAAGCAACTAAGCTTGATGGGCTCTGTCAAGATGGAACTTCTGTCCCATTTGTCCCAAGTCTCAGCATGCTTGTCTTCATGGAAAGTCCCGCAACAGGACCACGATGCCTCAGCCATCAGTCGCAGCTCCTCAACAAGCCTCCCGTCCTAATCTCCCAGGAAGCTGCTGGTACCTACCTATACCCCCTGCCGGAGAAAACAGCAACCATGGATCTCAGGGCTGAGCAGACTAAAGAGTCAGAGTCACCTCCTCCACATTACCGTCACCTCCGACTATGACATGGATACTGACCGCCACACGTACCGAGGTGTCTCGCCTCCAGCGACCTCTGCTGATGCCGGAATTGACACGGACGAGGAAGATGGTGGGCAAGGCTAAGAGTCGGGACCATCTAGGTTCTTTGCCTACCTACCTAACTGTTTACCATTGGCCTTACCAGTAGTATACAGCAATAGCGCAGTTCTCGCTTGGTGTTCTCTTATTGATAATTTAGGGGTCACTTTGGAGAGCAGAAGAGAGAATATGCAGTGGTGTATTACACCATGTCCCATCAAATCAACCGTAATGTCCGGTAGGAACTGAAAACGCAAACAAACAATAGCCTCGTGGTCTCTATATCGCCACCGCAAACTCCCACAATGCAATTTCCGCCCTTCTGTGCGAACCCGCCAAACAACCTAACAATGCTGACCATTAGTCCTGAGCCGGACGCAAGGCCAGTTTGATTTCCGCTTTCTCGCAACCCTGCCAAGCCCGCTCAACATCCTGGATAATAGACCAAACCTGCTCACGAGCATTCTTCCGACCGACTCCATCATCGAGCAACTTGTCGTACGGTGTATGCACATGTCGAATATGCGCCTCCACGGCCAAGTGTGTCTTCTGCTCATCAGTGATCATTCCCGTGCGTCCTACACGCCCTGACCCCTTGAGGAATGCATGCTCGAGGATGAGTTTCAGCGTCTTCTTGGGCATGAGTGGGTACTCCTTTAGGAGGAGCTCTCGGTGTTTAAGTAGGTCTTTGGCGTCGCGGGCTTGCACGGCGCTTGCGCGTGATTCCTCTGTTTCGGCGGCGGATTCGAGGACTTTCTTGTGGATTTCCTCTGGCACGCGGATGCCCAGAGTTCTTTTGCCCGTGCAGTTCTGGGGCCGTTAGTTGTCTAGCTCCAGGATTGTGTCTTATGATTCGACTTACATAGACGACGTATACAATGCGCCCAGATTTTTTGGTTCTGCTGCGGCAGTGCCGGGTAATGTAGACATTGCCCTTGGGGACTAGAACATAGCCAGCTGGCATGGGTAGATGCTCGACGATGTTCTGGTTAGATGGTTAGCACAATGCCCTCTGATATCATTCAGATCTAAACTGACTCTTTCAAGTGGATCAGCAGAGTCCGGTACAAGTGCTGCCCATGCTCTCTTAGCCTTGGCTTTGCGACGCTTTGTCGCACGCTTTGTCGTCCCGTTGAGTATTTCGACGAGCGGTTGGACTGGAGAGCCTGCATCTGCCGGGCGCGCCTGACCTTCACGAGTACGGACACCTCGTTTTCTCTTTCTTGGACGTGGCTTGCGTTTGCGAGCTTTAGATTCAGTTGTTGGTGCCATGTTGAATGTTCATGGAGCAAAAGGAGGTTGTCGATGGTGGTTGACACGACGTTTGTATGTGAGTCGCTGTCACTCGCACACTGATTCCATTGACAACACATTCAGTAGAATCAGAGAATCAGATTTGGTTATCATCCATTGTTGCTTTTGGACCTGAAACGTCCCATGGTCTTTGATACATGTCCGTAGCACTTGCCAAGTTCACCATCAAAGCAGATCAGGGACGGTGGCTATGGCACTGTGGCTATGTGGCATATTTATTGGTGCCTGATCCTTCAGGTGTACAACGGTGCTTGTAACCGAAACCAACCACACGTTAACTGCTACTCCGTAGTCCGTACAATGTACGGAGAAGATGTGCAGCATATAGTACCATGTAACCATCATCCATGGTCCATAAGAAACCACATTCATTACATATAGTCTTGAGTGCAACCCTGAGCATACTACTCCGTACCTACGGGCATGAGGTACCTACTGTGTACTATCCGATAAGTAGGCTATGATGTGATTGGATGAGTCTTCAGGTGAACCATGTCTTGACTTCGCTACTGTATGTAGCGTAGCTACTGCAAGACTTTTTAGACTAATAGACTTGCTTGATCATATATCACTGTAAAAGCAGGCCCCCGTGTTATTGATTGTGTATCATGTGTCGGGCCATAGAACTCGACTAGTCAAGGGATGACGATGGACACAAGTACGTGATAGCATTGGAGAAGAGTAGAATCTCCGAGGCTCATTGGCTGGACGTATCAGCCTAAAGCCAGATTCCATGGGGTAAGATTAGGATCATCAGATTCAAGGACATCGGGGAGGTCTTTGTATTCAGTCAATTCGAATTGAAGATAGAAGATCATGCCTAGTCAGAGTGACATGAATCAAGGCAAGGAGTCTCGGCAGGGAGATAGATGTAAAGGGTCCACTGGAAACATTATGGGGTTTGGGCATAAAGAAGATGCCAAGAGAGTTGCCAGGGGCTAAACAAACCGGATTACCCCAGTTCCAACACGGCCCCTCGTTGTGTCGAGAGTTTCCCCCTTTCACAAGATTGGGGCAACTGCTCACTATCTAGCTACTACCGTGTAACCGTACTACATTCAATTCATTCAGATCTACTTCAGGTCCAGAGATCACTGCTTCCACATATTGTACTTTGTATGCAATGGAGTCAAATGTCCGATCTCCCATGTCGTCATTGGTGAGATTGTCGTGAACGAATGAGAGCGTTGAGAGTATTGCCCAGAAGAGCTGGACCTCCGGCTTCCCCGAACAAGGCTCGATCTCGTCTCCCTAATTGGGCCTGGATCGGCGTCTCCAGACCTCTGACTTTCCCCGTGAACTTTCACTGGAGGGCTGAACATCGCATGCGCATGGGGTCATATCCACTTTGACCTTCGGTTCCTGCAGCAGTCACGTACAACATATAGATAGTACACCAGTTAACTATGTATTAGATGTACTATGGTTGTACACATCTGGACATACTGTGTAGCAAGATGATGTACTGATGTAGCTCATACATCGCCAGTGGATCTCATAGTGGAGGCCTCGACGATGAAAACCTCCTAAAGAAAAAGCCGAGTCCCCACCGAAGAAGAAAAAAAGACGTAAAGAAATGCTTGAAATGAAAAAAAGAGATCAAAAGAAGGAAAAATATGTTCTTTTTTTTTTTTTTTTTTACCGTTTAAAGATACGACAAACAGAGCAAAAGAAAAACATCTCCCCTCTCCGGTTCCCTATGAACATTCCTCCTTTACCCCTTCTTGATCATCACCCTCTTCTATACTCCATATACACACACTCTCTATCTCTTATGCAAATGAATTAACTCTAATGATCTTCTTCCAATCCCCTCTCGTCTCTCACATTCTCGTCAATTAATGGCACCTGGACCTTCAATGGTTGCTAGGTCTAAGTTGCTGACATGAGTTGGGATCACCCTGTCCACAGGTATGCATACTCCCTTGACACCCCCTTCCGTAGCGGGGACTGTCATTTCTAGTCTTTTATCTATGTTTTTGCCAATCCACATTGCAATGCTCTAGGGGAGACAGTGCTCATGGATTCCTTTATGTTCAGCTTCAGTTATCCCAACGGTGAACCTCAAACTCCGACGAGGACTCCGCATACCTTCGGCGATTCCTTCCAGACCCCGAAACTCGAATCTAGCTTTTTCGACCCTAGGGTAACCTGGGATACTTCCGATCCATATGCCTCCAGCCCGGAGCTCCTCCGCACACCGCAGAAGATTGCCCTAGGATCATCGATCCCGAGAAGCCAGAATGGGGCAGAGACAGGTCACAGGGGACGGATGTCGGATGAGACCGATACGGCCAGAAGAATTCGTCCGGTGAAGCCTCTTCCGAGTGTGGACGAGGATTATCCTCGGGTGGTGGGCTCGGCCAAGTCAGCGGCCTCGATGCAAACACCGCCGCCGACAAGTGCATCGAGGCGGAAAATCCCCGAATTTGACCAGGATGGACATACGCAAGGAACACCGGGCATGGGAGGTCATTTGGAGACACCCAGTCGTCTCCTTGGACAATCACCTCGAATGTTCGGCAACCTTCAATCGTCGCCCGATCTTTTTCAGCTGGCTTCATTGGACCCTACGGGCTCTCCTTTCTTCCCCCAGCAACGACTGTTCTGGGACAATGATCTAGAAAATACGGCCAATGAGGTCCCCTTGCCCAGCAATGGGAGTCATCTCAACCCTCGACAGACCTCGACAAATGCACACCATGTTCCTCAGTTACCAACCATTGATGGTTCCCTCGAGCTTCCCGACTACCGCAGCGGCTTTGGAATATCAGTAGCGCCGCCTACTGATGCCGCCTTTTTCCCTGCGCCATTCTCTACCTCCCCCGTCTTCCAGTCACCAAAACCGAGGATCCAGCCCTATTTCTCAGTTCCCCCGCGAGGCGCTTCGGTGGGCCTCACCTTACACCACAGACACGGTCTCTTCGTGGCCCGCGGCAGCCTTACCACCACCAGATGGAAGAGTCGAGGCGCGAGGAGCTTCTCCGCGCACAGGCACCAGATGGACAGCGACGCAATTCCTCCGCCGTCTTCCCAAGTGACAGTGAAGAAGACGATGATTATACCCCAAGGGGCATACGACCAGGCCTTACCCGCAGTATGACATATAACGGTCTACCTAGTTCATCGCGACCGGCCAGTCAAGCGGGGGGTATGATGGCATCCGCAAGTGGGATCCGGAAAAGCCCCTCCAAAGGGCGCTCATCTCCAGCGAAGTCCGTGCGCCCTCCTCCCTTGACACGGGCAAACACGACAGCCACGGGCTCATTGACGCGCTCATCGTCTGTAGTCCTTCGCATAGGCCGAGACGGCCGTGCAAAGGCTGAGATGGAGCCAGTGACTGAGCCACACACAGGATTGACCGACCCCTTGACTGGAATGGAACTAGATGGCTCTACAACTGAGAGTGATGCAGACCTAGCTGAGTACTCAGAATACCCTGTCCTGCACCGCTCTCAGTCCTCTTTTCCGTTCTACGACGGGCCAAGGCCTGCACTGTCTCGGAGCGATTCGGATTCTCGGCCTCCCTCAAAGGGCTCATATGCGTCTTCCACTGTCGGCTCGTCTCATTCAGGACGGATGTCACCCTGGGCTGGTTCTTCTAGAGGAAGCGGGCGAGCAACTTATCGCGGGTCTCCCGAGCTCAAGCGAACTCCCAAACGACATTCTTCCCTATTGCACTCGGACTCGACATACACTCGGGGTAGCGTAGCGTCGGACTTGTTGCCAGGAGAGGACGACGACAGTGGTGACGCTCAATCTGCGCTTCGACAGGTCCTGAAAGAACGGGGGCGAGGCCCTAGGCTCTCCACGAATGGGTTTGCCAATCGGCTTTCTCGATCATCACACACCTTCCATAATCTCCGCTCATCACCGCCTCGCCTCGGTAGTGATTATGAGATCCATCCTCGACACAATGCATCGCCGACGACCTTGACGGACCCTGATCTTGGAACCCCTGGCACTGACCGCCACAGCAATCCTAGCAACGGTACACGGTGCGTCTGTCGTTCGATGGACAATGGCGGTCATCTCATGATCCAATGGTGAGTTCTGAACTCCGTTGGCTTCCAATTCCAATGCAATGATTGTACTGACTTTCTTAGTGAATCGTGTACTCATTGGCTGCATACCAGATGTGTCGGGTTGGAGCGAGGCAACCTGCCATCCGTTTATGTCTGTGTATTCTGCGCCCAAACACCATCGCGACAGAACCGTGTCCGAACCTCTTATGCCCCCACGGCGCAAGCCCCTCCCTCTCCCTTGGCTCACAAGTCATTCCGTTTCCGACAAAACTGAAGCGGTAACTTCCATCTTGGATGCATATATGTCGTGGAAAGACCGGTGTCCATTGTTTCTTTTGTGTGATTCTTCCCCAATCGGGCTCTTTTATACTCTGCATTAGCCGGGCCACCCTGCCCTCTTTCATAATCGCCCTGCTCAGAGTTCGTTCTGAGCTCCCCTTTCCTCTTATGATACCTATGTACTATTCCCATACAACCCTGGACAAATCCAGAATATGATAGAACTATTTCCCTGGTCCGCAGATTTGTCTTTTTATCAGAGTGGCCTGCAGAATCCCCCGCAAATCGGGCTGGTAACCGGTCTCGGGAGAGGAGCCGACAGAGATGTGCAGAATTACAGTGAAACCCATTGTGTTTACCTATAAGATCCCTATTCCCTCGACCACTGCTTACTTCCCTTTCGCTGTTCCTCTTCAACCAGCTTCTCTCAACATTTAACCTCATCGTCCGGCGTCCCCTGGCGTTTCAAAAGAAGATCGACCCACGGTTCGCTCATAGATCGGGTGCGAGCTGATTGGCCAATCGACCCTTATCGGCTCACCGCCCTTTTTATCGAAAAAAGTTGTTTCTCCCCGCGGAGTCATATTCGATCTCTCTTTCTTGTACGCGCCATTCACTCTCTTGGTCCCTCACTAGTCGTTTGTGCTTTCCCGTTCCCTCGCTCAGATGTCTGCCTCTCTCCCTGGTAGTCGGGACCTCCCCGCGTCGCAGTATGACCTGACAACCTATTGGGGTCGTGTGCGCCATGCCGCTGACATCTCTGATCCTCGGTATGTTTATGCACACGAGATTGATAGTAGTAGGATTGTAGTTGTATATGTACTGACCAATGTTATCTTGATAGGACGCTTTTCGTCTCATCTGCTGGTCTTGAGCAAGCTAAAAGCCTCATTGCGTCGTACAAGCAGAACCGCATCCCGGCCATGACCCCGGAGTTGTGGTCCGCCAAAAAGGTGGTCGATGCGACATTGCATCCTGGTATGGGCGACTCCAAACACAACCATGAATAGCCATTGGCTAACTTGTTCAATCAGATACCGGCACACCCGTTTTCTTGCCGTTCCGCATGTCATGCTACGTACTCTCGAACTTGGTGGTCACAGCAGGCATGCTGACCCCAGGATTGAAGGTGGGCTCCCCTCTTCCTGAACCCACCCGCATATGGTACTGACCATATATAGACCACCGGTACCCTTCTCTGGCAGATCGGTAACCAGTCCCTGAACGTCGCCATCAACAATGCCAACGCCAACAAATCCACTCCCCTCTCCATGTCCCAAATCGGCAAGTCCTACCTCATGGCCGTCTCAGCCTCTTGCTCCGTCGCCGTCGGCCTGAACGCCCTCGTCCCCCGTCTCAAAAGCATCTCCCCCAATACCCGTCTCATCCTCTCCCGTCTCGTCCCCTTCGCGGCCGTCGCCAGCGCCTCCGCTCTGAACGTCTTCCTCATGCGCGGCGAGGAAATTCGCCAGGGAATCGATGTCTACCCCGTCCTGTCAGATGCTGAGCGCGCCAAGCGCGAACTTAACGAGGACGCTGAGCCCGTTCAGAGTCTCGGCAAGAGTAAAAAGGCTGCTACCCTGGCTGTCGGTGAGACAGCCATCTCCCGTGTCCTGAATGCTACCCCCATCATGGTCCTGCCGCCGCTTATCCTCGTCCGTCTCGAGAAGACGGCCTGGTTGCGTGCTCGTCCTCGTATGGTTATGCCTGTGAACTTGGCTCTTGTTCTGGGCACGTCGCTGTTTGCGCTCCCGCTTGCGCTTGCGGCGTTCCCGTCTCGCCAGGCTATTAGTGTTACTAGCCTTGAGGAGGAGTTCCAGGGCCGCGGTGGTCATCAGGGTATGGTGGAATTCAATCGTGGAATGTGATTCTTTGGGCTCTGGCGTTTAGCAGCGTGCACATTACATTTTATCTTTTGCATGGGTCCGGGGATGAATAGACCTTGGTTTTCAGTCTATAGGTGTCTTATATCATTTTATTTCTCTACATTCGATTCAAGGCAGGCTTGTTCCCTGTTCCTGCTTTGGAGGATTCTTTCGGCTCGCTCTGCGAGGTCTAGCAGTCCGTCATCTTCCCAAGGCCTACCCATCAGCTCCAGGCCAATGGGGACGCCCCGTACAGCAGATGCAGTCTTAGGACTTCGCCCAGCTGTCTCCGAATTAGCTTATTGACAGCCAAAGAGAACCGATTTAACAAAACAAACCAATACTTACCGGGTATACAAATAGCAGGTCTCCCCGTTAACGCAGCCAACACACCATTCCGTCCCGGCTGCGTCCTCGCACCAATCTTCACAGCCAACTGTCTCTGATGCGGGTATGCCAGTGCATCGATATCGTATTTCTCAAAACATTCCTCCACACCCACTTTCAGCGCAGCGATATACTCCAGTCGACTGCGGTATGCATCACTTGTCGTCGAGAACATCTCGGGATCTTCCCGCGCAGCAGAGAAGACATGTGTCATGGCCTGTGCCTCGAACTCGCCGCTCTGAGCGATTGATTCGAGGGATAGATGCGGTGTAGATTCGATCAGACCTGACTGCAGGAACTCGTCCAGACACTCCTTGAATTCGAATGCCTGTGTATCACCTTTCGCGAGAAGCGTCTCAATGCTCCAGTCTGGATGATTGCATGAATGAATAGGTACCAATACGATATCTCCTTGATCCTGTATCATATCCAGACTTCTCCGGACAATATCCTGCACCGTCTGGTTTTCGGCGAGATACTCGGCCTTCACATCTGCGTCTGCATCTCCCTGCATCACAGGCTGGAAATAGTCCTCCAACACTCCAATCCGGATTCCACCACGTCGACCACCTCTCACCATATCCAAACTCTCCGCTTTCATAACCCCATACATCACCCGCACATCCGCAACACACCTCCCCATCGGCCCCGCCGTATCCTGCGTCTTGGAAACAGGCACAATCCCCACACTCGACACGCTCCCCGTCGACGGCCGGAACCCTACTATCCCGCACGCGGACGCAGGTGAGCGCAGTGAATTCATCGTGTCCGTCCCACAACCTGCTAAGCCAAAGTTCGCTGCCAGCGCCGCCCCCGTCCCGCCTGAAGACCCGCCCGGTGTGCGGGTTAGGTCGTGTGGGTTTAGCGTTTGGCCGCCCAGTGAGGAGAGCGTTGTGCCTTGTAAGGCGAATTCGTGAAGGTTGGCTTTTGCTAGGATTATTGCGCCGGCGGATTGGAGTTTGCAGACGAGAATGGAGTCTTTTGTGTGGAGGGTTTTGAGGGCGAGGACGCCGGCGCTTGTTGGTTGGTGCGCTGTGCTGATGTTGTCCTTCAGGATTATGGGGACACTGTGTAATGGTGGGTAGGGGGTGTTTGTTTTGTTGAGGAGGGTTGTTTCGTGGACTTTGGCCCTGGCGGTTGAAGTGGCTTCGGGGTTTATTGTTATGAGGGCTTTGAGGGTGCCGTTGTGTTGGTTGATTGCTTCCAGGTATTTGTTTACTAGGTCTGGGCCGATGGAGGGGTCTATACGGAGGAGTTTGTGGAGTTTGGCGATGGTCAGATCTTCTGCTTGCCACTGGGAGTCCATTGTGCAATGTGTTCTGGGTATTTTGTGGGTTTGTGGGGTTATGTCTAGATGGTGGGATGGATACCTGAGTGGAGGTTGAGTCCACGGAGATTGACGTTGCATCCCACCTGTACCACCTGGGCAGCGGGCTCATGCATAGATCTGCCCAATTTATACAGTAGTGTAGGTTTTGCTACCTAAGGCATCTACGTCTCAAGACCAATAAACATGATGAATTCCACAAGCAGCCTCGTCAACTGCTCTATATACGGGGTTGAGTTATTCCACCCCGAGGTATATAAAACATAGACAGGAGATGGGCAGTGCCACAGACGGGAATGCCTGGGTCTGAAGCAAAAAAGAGACCCATGTATATACACCATACGGATAATGGACGCCATAAACAATCAAATGGTATAAAATCATCCGGACTGAGCCTGATTCCCTCCGGATGTCGAACGAAAGAGGGCGAAAAATCGAGGAGGAAAAAAGAAGAATAACGTATGACCGACGCCTTTAATAGTGGAAGGACATAGGGATAGATGGAACAATGGAATAAAGAATAAAGAATAGGGATATCAAGTCCCCAAGGGGAGACGTTGTGCTCTTGGCGAGGATCGACGCCGCCATGTTGTGCCACAAGACTCGTATCACCGAAGCTGCATAAGGTACACCTGCAGCAATCGAACAAACCAGGGGGAGGTAACAATAAGTAAAGAAATAGAAACATCGTAATCGTGATTTCCCGAAGTGCAAACACCATTCCGTCCCATTCGCGATTGAAAAAAAAAGATAAAAGATTACCCTCAACATGTGAGCCCCTATCCATAGCTGGATCCTATTCACGCCGTGGATTTCCTTTCTGATAACGTTGAAAAAAAAGAAGAGTCGAACATTGGCGACTGTAACTGTGCAAGCTGGACGATAAGCCTAGGAACGCCCTTGACGGTGGAGTCCCTGGCCTATCCGGTAAGCCTCGGTGCCATCGTCGACGAGGGTCTCTTTAAACCACGGGTGTTTCAATGCCTCCTTGGCAGTGATCCTGTTCTTAGGATCGTACACGAAGATTTTTCGTAATAGATCGAGGAATGACCGGTTGAATGGGGTAGATGTGGGGATGAACTCCTGTAGTAGACTTGGTCAGCCGAGAGATCAACAGGCTTGAATAAGAGGGAGACTTACCGTCAGAGGTTTCATCGCACGCACGTACTTCCGCGAGGCCCGGGTAGTCTCAGTGTTGGGATAGTCGAGCTTGTATCGGTTGAAGTACCTGGGAAAGTCAGTTTCTGTCACAAACGAAAGGGAGGGAGATATTTACTCTGCAGCAGAGTTGCTGTTCCCATTTCGGCCACCCGCCATGACCTTCTTCACCAGACCAGTGTCGATCCGACTGCCAATCACGGCCTCCATCATTGCCAGATGTTCAAGGTTGTCATGTGTCTGGAACAGAGCATCCCCGGTGAAGAATTCAACCAGGATACACCCAATACTCCAGATATCACATGGGAAGCTCCAGCCTAGATTCAATATGATTTCCGGAGCTCGGTAGTGACGAGTGGAGACAACGGATGAGTGGTATTCGTCGTCGAAGGTGGCGGAACCGAAGTCGATGAGACGGATTTCGCCATCGAGAAGGACGCGGCGCTGGCGCGCATTGCGATTCGTGGCATGTGAAGAAGACGGGATGGTGCGGTTGTAGGTAAAGGTCTGGTAGGCGTTGCTGACGAGGAGGATGTTTTCGGGTTTGAGGTCGGTATGGATGAGGTTCAGATCATGGAGAACTAATTGGCCAATCAGTCAGTTTTGGGTATAGATATAGACATGAAGCGGATGACTTACAGGCAACGCTTGTAAACAGCTGGCGAGCGAACTGCTGGATTTGACTGCTCGGGAATGGCACAAAGCCATTGCCCTTGAGGAAATCGAACACGCTCTGTCCTAAAAGATCGGTGACAATGCAGATATGATTTCGGAAATCGAAGCAATCCCGTAGATGAATGCATTTGTTGCGGTTGCTTTTGTCGTTCGAAGCCAGAGTTGACAGGACTCGCAGCTCGATACGAGATGCATCTCGGTACTTTTGGATCGAGCGTATAATCTTGACTGCGCAGCGAGCCTTGCGCTGCTTATCATAGGCTTCGACTACTTTGCCGAAGGTGCCTTGTCCTAGAAGTTTGATCACAGAGTCTTGGGAGATGTTAGCAACGTCAAGTAGACATCAAGGGAGACTTCTTTATACTCACATCGATCTGTTAATGGCGTGTCAGGTGTGACAATGTAATGGCCATCGTCATCATCGAACTTCTTGTTCAAGGTACTTGTGTACTGAAAGAGCGAGATTTGTCAGTGTATTGCACGGAGGTCAAATGAGGGGAGAACACTCACATCGCGGATAACAGGCACAGGGACATCCTTTGCCTTGATCGGCGGCTTCGGCGGAGGGACATAACTTAGGAATGCGTCCCCGTTGGTCTCCAACTCTCGTCGCTTTTGCTCATCGCGGGTCGACTTCCGGGTGGCGCGTTTCCGCTTTTGACCCACTGTGTTGTCCTCATAATATACACCGTTGCTCGCGCCCGAACTGCCTTGTGAACCAAGCGATGTCGGGGCTGTTGTGTGTAAAGATGCGGTTCGATCGGTCGATAGAGAAGTAGCCGAAGATTCCTCGCCGTAATGTTGAGGATTGATTGAGAAGGACGGGCGATCATAGTGACCCAGATCGTAGGCAGTCTCAATCCCCGTGCGCCGCCTCTTTCCAGCGGGTTGAGGAGCCGCCGGAGGTTGTCTGGCAGCAGCGTATGCAGGACGAGCTGGGGCACCACTGGAGGGCTCTGGTCCGGGACTATCGTCGATCACAATGACTTCCTTAGGAAGGCCATTCTTGTAGAACTCGGTCCAGTCTGGTTTCTTCTTACGGCTCCCGCCAGAGGGAGCCGCACTGGAGCCACTTTGATGGGTCATGGCTGATGGGGTCGTTGCCGGGGGGATTCTGGGAGGTTGAGCGTAGGGAAGGGTGGTAGTTGTGGGAGAAGAAACCGAAACAGGGTAAGGATTCGCGAGGCGAGTTCCTGCCGCAGCGGTCGAAGTCGGGTAGGAAGGATTCGGTTGATACGGGGGGTGATGAGGGTATCCGTAAGCCTGGTGATGAGAGGGATGCGTCGCAGTGGCTGTAGACGGGGTTGACATTGTGCAAAGTAACCCGTCACACGAATGGTAACTAGAAGGTGTTATGCAGAGGAGTTCGGTCTAAATGATGACCGAAAGTGGATTGTCGTCACTGATGGCTCAAGGCAGGACAAGCCAGCCAGAGAGGAGCCAAGCCGACAGAAATTTGAGGTTGACGTGTGGAAGGGGATTGGCGTAAACGTGGAGATGACGGGGTGAGGCGGTCGGGGGATAGAAGGGGAGGATCAAGTGTGCATTTCCTCGACAGATTTCAAGACAAGGCGAGAAACCAAATTGAGTAGCAAGTTCGTCATGGGGAATTAAACGAGGTGGGGAGAAAAGACGTGGAGGCAAAGAGGTTGATGATGGAAGAGTCGGAGAGTTGGGGCCCGTTGCCGATCAACCTCTCGGATTTTCTCTCTCTCAATGTTCTCGACTCGACTCGACTTGACTATGATTATTCGGTCCTAAGTAGAGATTCTTCCAGTGATTCTTCTACTCGAGAACAAGTTAAAACAGCCTAAAAATCTCTATAACCTTACTATCTCCCCATATCATGTTAGGGGCTTTCTACTGCGTATGAGGTCTATACGGAGTACACGCGGTGTGCAGTTCCTCCACCTCAACCAATGAGGATCATGCGATTCAGGGAGGTAAAACCAGGCTATTCTGGTCCTCTCATTCCAATCATTCACCGTGACCTGTCTCTCCCCCGGAATGAGATCAAAGGGGATTTAGGAGGGGAGAGGGGGGGGGGGGGGGGCCGCCATGTCCAAGCCCTGGCTTAGCCGAATTCTCCACAGAAACGAGATACTCCAATCGTTTCTTCGTGAACATGGGGCATGTCAAACAATATTAGCGTGAGCAATGTCAGCAATGTGAGCAACTTGAGCAATATGACAATCTGTTACGCAGTAAATTTCTCTTATCGTCGTGACGGGCGACTGTGGGCTGCCGTATAACCTCAATATAACCTCAACCTGACATTCCAACTGACTCAGCGAGTCAGAGTTTAGGACGAATGCTTCAAGGGACTCTGACGTCTTTATCACGGCTTGATTCAGTTCTAGGAAGAAACGAGAAAGGATATAGTTACATGTTGGATCAATCTGGAAGGTTCGTGGTTACTATACATGAGAGCTATAGGTGCACTCTTACAATCGAGTATATCCTACCTAGCCAATCGATATTCGTTACGTAGTAGTAGGTGTAGGCGAAGAATCAAGTCGGGAGGAAATGTTTCATTACATACACTTATTGGGGCACAAGAATCCTCCTAGTTCTCTATCCTGCCCTCGTATGCTTCAACTGGTTATGAAATTAAGTCCACCAACGCCGCCACACGCAGCGAATGCAAGAACTCCTTGGACCCGAAGGGCGTGCACGGGTCCGAAAAATAACGAGAAATCAGAGACTGAAGAAAAATAAAGTTACAAACATTAATAGGAAGATCAGTTTCCATGATCCCGATCCTCTTTGGGATCCTTGAGGTAACCCTTCTGGACATGCCTGGTCGCCCGGCCATCGGCCTCTAGCATGAACAGGATATCTCGGACCTGGATCCCGGTCCCTTTCTCCTGATCTTCGCGCCACACTCCGAGACGACGTTGTGTCTGATTGGACGCAGGTTCCCCGACACTGGTCTTTTCGGGACCGGCGGTAGGAGTGGAGGGAATCGGACGAGAAGGAGATGAGAACCCACTGGCCTGGCCTCCAGGCTTTAGCCATGAGTATGACTTTTTGGCACCAAACATACTGCGACTGCCGCCCGACAAAGCCATGCGGGCCGTCTCGACAGACTGTGCATGCTGCTGGGCTTCGGTTGCCTTGGAGTCATGCATTTTCTTCGCTTCTTTCTTCGTCATGGACTTTTTATCGAAACTAGGCGCCCGTTCGCCGAGGGGAGTGGAAGGTGCAGATCCAGTCGGATCGACAGAGTCAGCTCGACCCGCCTCATCAAGGATTGCATTGCTGGTGCGTTTGGCACGCTTGGCTGCACGCTTATCCTCCACTGAACTCTCTCGGGTGACTAATGTTCGGTATCTTGGCGCATTTGGTTTGGCGCCAGAGGAATCAATGGCGGAATGAGGGCCTATCAACAAAGTTAGCGAGTAATCTCATATTGCACACGAGCGGTGAAGCCATACGTTTCATGGGGGTTTCAGTAGCTGTAGTCTGTTCAACAGGTTTCGCGACATCCTTCCACTCAGTTGGAACCACACCGTGAGAATGTGCGCGGCGACTTCGAGCCAGAGTCGAGGCGTAGTCGATGACGCCCCTGATTCGCTCTTCAGTTGAAATCGACAGAAGATTCAGGATATCCACAAGTGGAGCGCCTTCTTGGTTGAGAATTGTCTGACCAGTTCGCACCACAGAGGAGCCATCCGGACCAGTAACTTCAATGGGCTGTGGTCGACCAGGCACAGGATGGAAAAGTCCCTCTGAGGGAATCCGAACACCAAGGTCAAAGCCTCGCTTCTGAAGCTTCTGTTCCAGGAGTTTCGTGATCAAGAAGGGTTCCTGGATGTGATACTGCGCACGTCGTGCTGCAATGGTGTCCTCACGCGTCGGCTCGTTGGGATCTTTGAAAGGAACATGGGGATGCGGGGACTGAGCGTGGAAAGATTGCTGGGCGACTGCTGGCTTAGTCTGGGGCAAATCGCCAAAGCTAGCCGAAGCTGACGGAGTGCCTGGAGTAGAGCCCTGAGAAGTGAAAGATGTATTGATCTGTGGCGGATATTGCGAGTGTGATCCTCTTTGGGGAGGTTGCGCCTGCGCGGTCTGCCCCGAAAAGCTCTGTGTGAGGAATGCTTCCTCTTCCCTCACATCAATTCCAGACGACGCCAAAACATCTGTCAGCTCAGCAGCGTCCGTTGTTTTATCATTGGGTTTGTCCATGGCTTTCTCCGCTGGACGAGAAGGAGGACCCATAGTCCCCGGAGGAGCAGCGGTGGGCGTCGAAGGAACGTTCATATTCATGCTCATATTCATCGGGGTTCCGTTCATCTGTGACTGGTTTTGCGGCAGCTGCATCGCGTTGAAGCTGGGAGAACCGTAAGGAGACTGGTTTTGAGAGGGCGGCAGAGGGGAGAGACGGGGGCGTTTCGTTGGAGGTGGTGCAGCGCCTCCGTTCACAGGAGATGCGATCGAGTTTGGAGATGGCGAAGAGACAGGTGGGGAGAAAGGTTGTGAGAATTGCGGCGGCGGGGGTGGCTGTTGCTGCGGATGTCTAGCTTGCGCCATGGTGATTGTTGAGTAAAGGCGAAGCTGAAGAGTGAGAGATGAACGCTATTGCGCGGAGGAGTGGGGGGCTGCTAGTTGAATCGAGGTCCACGCGTGGCCGTAAAACTGAGCGGATTGCTCGCACCACCAGCTTCCACCAGCTTTGACCATCTCAATATTGAACTTAGAACATAGAGGCAATCTGATACGCGTAGTCAACTTTTGTCGAAAGCAGGACAGCAGTGATCGGGGAGACAGAGATGCGTGATGGGGTAAGGAGCTGTCCAGGTGGTCGAACTCTGCTCTCCGCGGATCGCGGATCGCGATGCACGTGACTAAGTTTGACTAAGCTCTCCCCCAGGTGCACCTGTAAAGTTTGTCTATTTTCTGAATGAATTCATTCTTTCAGTGGATCGCAATTAGGCCTACAAGGCTAGTCACGCTGCAATCTGCCTGCTAATTAGCGAGATCACGAGTTTGTGCCTTGCGCAAGTCATGGGTGTTGTGCCGAGCTTGTACTAAGATCTTGGACTTGCCCTTGCGACGTGCTCATAACTGTTCTTACCAGGCCACTCAGGTTCCTACAACACAATACCTCGATACTTGTCATCTACTCAACAAACTTGTGACACCATGGCAGCCAAGCGCAAAGCTTCAGCGATGGGCGCGGTGCTGGATGATGAACCCGTCGATCCATCTGATGAACTCGCGTTTTACTGTCTCGGCGGCGGCAATGAGGTTGGCCGGAGTTGCCATATCCTGGAATACAAGGGCAAGACAGTGATGGTAAGCATCCTATGAGACTAAATTGAAGCTGCAGATACTGATCTTTTGCTTCTGTAGCTTGACGCAGGCATGCACCCGGCGAAAGAAGGCTTCTCTGCACTTCCGTTCTTTGATGAGTTCGATCTGAGCACAGTGGATGTTCTCCTAATCAGCCAGTACGTTCATCTCCTGTTATGTCTAAATAATACACGGAAGCGCGGCAGGTGTGGCTGGACATTTTACGCATGCCTCTGCACAGTCAAATGCGAGGCACCTAGATTGTCTGGCAGTCCACTGCTGGATTTGGTTCAATGGAGAAACACCTGCCCCTGCATATATATGAGCAGCCCAATACAATTCAATGTCATGCATATATTCCTTGTATCACTGTACCTTCCCGAGCTTCGCATTCGAACGCCTTCGGCCCCAGCTCAGTTACATGGCTAGCACAGTCGACTAACATCCTGTTCTGTACAGTTTCCACGTTGACCATTCCTCGGCCCTACCATATGTACTCAGCAAGACAAACTTCAAGGGAAGAGTCTTCATGACCCCGGCAACACGAGCCATCTACAAATGGCTCATTCAGGACAATGTCCGGGTCAGCAACACATCCTCTTCCTCTGATCAACGCACGACGTTATATACCGAGCGCGATCACCTGTCAACTCTTCCGATGATTGAGACGATCGATTTTTACACCACACACACCATCAATGGCATCCGTATTACTCCATATCCCGCCGGTCATGTTCTCGGCGCGGCCATGTTCAAGATTGACATTGCGGGACTGGTAACTTTGTTTACCGGAGGTGAGTCTGCGTTGCCCACCAACGTTACAGTATCGATACTAACCAATCGTCCGGCTAGACTACTCTCGCGAGGAAGACAGGCACTTGATTCCCGCCGCGGTCCCGAAGGGCACGAAGATCGATGTCCTCATTACAGAATCTACATTCGGCATCTCTTCCAACCCACCTCGACTGGAACGCGAGGCCGCCTTGATGAAGTCAATCACAAGCGTCCTCAACCGCGGAGGTCGAGTCCTGATGCCCGTATTTGCTCTCGGTCGCGCTCAGGAGTTGCTTCTTATTCTTGATGAATATTGGGAAACCCACCCGGAGCTGCAGAAGTTCCCAATCTATTACATCGGAAACATGGCGCGACGATGCATGGTTGTTTATCAAACGTACATTGGGGCCATGAATGATAATATCAAGCGCCTCTTCCGGCAGCGCATGGCTGAAGCCGAAGCGAGCGGCAACAAGAGTGTGAGCGTCGGTCCGTGGGATTTCCGATTCGTTCGAAGTCTCCGCAGTTTGGAGCGTTTTGATGATGTCGGAGGATGTGTAATGCTTGCTTCCCCCGGTATGTTGCAAACGGGAACAAGCCGTGAGCTGCTGGAAAGATGGGCGCCAAGTGACCGCAATGGCGTTGTCATGACCGGTTACAGTGTCGAAGGAACCATGGCTAAGGGCTTGCTCAATGAGCCTGATCAAATCCCCGCTGTCATGTCCAAGGTTTCCGCTGGGCATGGTCGCGGTCGTGTCCCTGGGTTGAATGACGAGGATCAAAAAGTGATGATCCCTCGCCGTTGCACTATTGACGAGGTCAGCTTTGCAGCTCACGTTGATGGCGTTGAAAACCGCACTTTCATTGAGGAGGTAGCTGCACCAGTTGTGGTAAGTGTGACATCTACTGTATACTTGAAGTTTTACTGATTCTCCCAAGATCCTGGTTCACGGCGAAAAACACCAGATGATGAGATTGAAGTCGAAACTGCTCAGTCTCAACGCAGATAAAGCCGTCAAGGTCAAAGTCTACACACCGGCGAACTGCGATGAAGTTCGGATTCCTTTCAAGAAGGACAAGATCGCGAAAGTTGTGGGCAAGCTAGCGGAGCTTGCACCTCCATCCCAGCATGATGATTCCCAGCTTATGGCTGGAGTCCTTGTTCAAAACGGATTCAACTTATCATTGATGGCACCTGACGACCTCCAAGAGTACGCCGGCCTGACTACTACAACTATCACTTGCAGGCAGCATATCACACTCAGCTCCGCGAGCATGGATCTGATTAGATGGGCTCTCGAGGGAACCTTCGGGGCTATTGAAGAAGTCGGAAACAGCAGGAAGGCTGCTAAAAACGACCACGATGACCACAACGACACAGAAAGCGACGACACAGCGAAGCAAGAGGATGCCGATGAGGAGATCCCGTCGGATGAGACGCAGACATTCCTTGTCATGGGATGTGTAACTCTTCGTCACCACTCTCGGACCCGCGAGGTTGAGCTGGAATGGGAAGGAAATATGATGAACGACGGAGTGGCAGATGCAGTGATGGCTGTTCTTCTGACGGTCGAGAGCAGCCCCGCTTCGGTGAAACGTATGCCCCCGTGACTCTTAATTTGTAGGTGCCATGCTGACTGCTATGATGCTAGAATCCGCCAAAAACAAGCATCACCATCACCATCACGATGACGATGCCGAAGTGGAGATGCCCCCACTTCCAAATCCCCATTCCCAGTCAGGACCGCAAGAGAAACTCGCGCGCATGCTCATGATGCTTGAGGCCCAGTTTGGCGCCGACAATATCGGTCCGATTGAGCGTCCGCGAGTCCCGGCCGATCTCGCCATCGGTCCCGAGCAAGATGGGGATGAAACGAATGAAGAACGACTTGCCGATATCGAGGCTGTGGAATTGGATCGTCTTGTCGCCATGGGAATTCCGGTCCCTGGTATCGAGATTAGGGTGGACAAGCACATTGCCCGTGTGTGGCTCGAGGACCTGGAAGTCGAATGTGCAAACGCTGTCCTGCGAGACCGCATTCGTGTTGTCGTTGAACGGGCTGTGGAGACTGTGGCTGGCCTGTGGGCAGAGAGCTCAATCGCTCGGGATGCGGCGCAGGGTGACTCGGTCAATGGATCTAGGAAGATTGAACTGGCTGCCAGGCACAAGGCGGCCGCTATTGAGGCCCAGGGTTGATCTGTCTCATGTACTTGTATAATAACGAAACATTCCAATGATATGACTTGACTTGAGTATCCTACTTCTGCTTCGTTAGTTTTCGAAATTTTTCTTATGATAGTTGCCCTTTTAACAAATTGAAATTGATTACTATGCTTGAAAACTTCAAGTCTATTGTAGCGGACTCAGTAGATGTAGAATTAGACCTAGAGAGAGGCAAAGACATCCTTCAAGACCTTTTCAAGGGTGTCGACAAGGAGATCAATCTCGGTCTTCGACACGACAAAAGGCGGCGCTAGCACAAGATGATCACCCTTGATGCCATCGACGGTGCCAGAACAGCCATAAAGCGACACGCTGTACTCCGGCTCTAGGCCCTTCCCCTGAATCAGGGAAGACAGGCGGACTTCTGAGTCGAACGGCTCTTTGGTAGCCTTGTCTTTGACAAACTCAAGCTGCGAAAGGTTAGCCTGATACTGATAGCAAAGGAAGATACAACTTACGCCCCAAAACAGTCCCTTTCCACGGATATCTCCAACATGAGGGTGATTTTCAAATCGCTGTTTCAGCTGCGATTCAAGGTAAGCACCCATTTCTCGAACATTGTCCAGCAGCGATTGTTCTTGGATGGTCTTTTGCACAGCAAGCGCAGCAGCACATGAGACTGGATGGCCTTGGTATGTCTGTCCATGTCGGAAGACCCCGGTGCCTTTGTCCATCGTCTGGACAATAGAATCGCCGATCAGGATACCGGAAACCGGTGCGTAGCCACCACCTAGGCCCTTTCCAATGGTCTGGATATCGGGAATAACGTCCTCTTGTTCCCAGGCATGCAAGGTTCCGCAACGACCCATGCCGCTCATGATCTCGTCGAGAATGAAGAGAGCCCCGTGCTTCTCACAGACATCTTTCATTGCACGGAAATATCCTGGTACTGCAGGGACACAGCCGAGAGCCTGAGGACCGCAAGAATATTAGTCGAGTGTCTTCGAAGAGCAAGAAATGAAGGTATAAGGACATACCGCGCCGACGACCGGCTCTGCAACGAATGCGCACACTGTCTCCGGGCCGAGCCGTTGGAATTCAGCTTCCAACTCAGCTGCAAGACGAACTACATAGTCTGCATCGGATTCACCGTCCCGCTTACCACGATACGCGTAGCATGGAGAGACATGAGATGTGTTCCGGGAGAGAAGTGGCTCGAATGGCTCCCGACGCTGAACATGACCACCTAGGCCCAGAGCACCTAAGGTGGTTCCGTGGTAAGATGGAAGACGTGCAATGAACTTGGTACGCTGACTTTGGGGAGTAGGAAGCTCCAGGAAATATTGACGTGCTAGCTTGAGTGCAGCCTCGACAGCCTCAGACCCCGAGCTAACCACAAAGAGCTTTGATAGTTTCCCACCAGTTGAGTCCACTAGGAGTTGGGCAAGGTCCTCGGCTACCTGAGTACCGAAGAAGGCGGAATGACAGTAGGACACTTGGTCCATCTGATCTTTGATCATTTGGTTGACTTGCTCGTTGCCGTGTCCGAGACAGGATACAGCTGCGCCACCGGTAGAGTCAAGGAATTTAGTTCCATCTTCTAGGAAGAGGTAGCTACCCTTGCCCCCGACGACCTTTTTGGGGACGAAGCGGGTATCACGGTGGAGAATAGCACTGGTCTTGTTGTCTGGATGGGTAGATTGCAAACATGAGAGAATGTCATTATAGTGCATGGATTGGACTCACCGGTTGCCATTGCTGAAGTTCAAGTGTAGAGATATGGGATTTGAAGAAAGAAGTCTACACAGGAACTAACAGGAACTAACAGGCACATTTATACCCCGTGGATCTAGTTGAAAAACCTTTGGTTTCACCCGAGGCAATGGTCTGCGGGGGTGAGTGGATTCGGCATGCCGAAATTAAGAAGCCGAGTGTTCAATTGGTCCGGGGGCTCGGGGGGCGGACTTTTGGGCTCCGATTTGACGTGGGGGGCTATTCCGACGTCTCTTACATTGCTACGTATCCGCTACTTGCAAATATATACATGTCATTTTGATTGAAGGACATTAAGGCTTCAAGGAATGAGTTGGAATCTAGAAATAAGCCTGATGAGGGCATAAAGTTATGGCGGTAGAGCTTAGTACTATCTGGTTATGATTCCAAATGGTATAGGACGATGATGAACGTGGCATGAATGTTATATAGAGCAGTAACTGATCCAGCTGGATACCAATATACCATACATCAAGTGATACTGCGTATGCATATAGATACTGTTGCTCGAAGCTGGCTGTCCAGCCGTACGGAGTACATTAGACCCACATCCACCGCCCGCACAGACACAGCATTCTGCCCCTCTGACTTGGCCACAATTCCGTGTTCCCCGGACCATCTGCTGATTCCACAAATTCACCTTCAACCCTCATAATGTCACGCCGCGCCCAAATTGAAGAAGTCTCTGACTCTGACCCAGAGGAGGTCGCCCCCGGCTATGATTCTGACGAGGAACTCCCTAGCAATGCCATTCTCGCGCCCGTAAACGTCCCGACCAAGGCTGCCCCCCAACCTCAACAACAACAGATGCCCATGCCATCGATGCCGGTGCCCGAGCCTCAACGTGAAATTCCCCGGCACTTCTCATGCTTGTACCCAGTGTACTTTGATAAGACCCGATCGCGCGCCGAGGGCCGGAAAGTGGGTGCGGAGCTCGCAGTCGAAAACCCTCTTGCCAGAGATATTGTCGATGCCGTCCAGTTGCTGGGCTTGAATGCTGGTCTGGAGCCTGAGAAGCTGCATCCCAAGGATTGGGCCAACCCAGGTCGTGTGCGTGTGCAGGTCAAGAACGAGGATGGTCAATTGGCCAACCCGAAGATTAAGAATAGTACGTGGCTCGTCTCGCTGATAGAGTGAATGGCTCTCTTGTTGGATATGGACTGATAATGTTGCCCAGAGAACCATCTTTATATTCTCGTCGCACAGTACCTGAAAGCCAACCCCACCACCGAACAATCACCCTACCGGCTACGGATCCGTGGCCTACCCATGCCTGAGAAGCTTCCCGCAGCCCCTGCTGCCCCGCGCGGTTGGAAGATCGGGAAAATTCTACCCATTCATTCGCCCGCTTATAGTGGTGGTGGTGTCAGTGACAATCCTCTCAAGGACGCAATGGCCGAGATGCAGGGTATGCAGGGTATGCCGGGTATGGAGGGAATGCCTGATATGTCACAAATGATGAGCCAAATGGGAGGAATGGGTGGACTGAGCAACATGTTGAGTGGACTGGGTGGATTAGGTGGGATGGGAGGAATGGGCGGCGAGCCCTCCGGGGCAGGCGCGGATAAGAAAAAGAAGGAAAAGAAGAAGGGCAGGGGATGATAACGCATACCCTATATTCCGTCTTTCACTTGCATTGTATGGCGATGGGCGTTGCTTTCTTCCGTCTTTGACTTCTGATGCACTTAGGGAATACTTCCTTGATACCATGATCCTGCATCTGAATTGGTCTCATTGTACATTCACACAAAAGTCCAAATCTCCGAGCTTGCCTGTCTGTATCTCGTGACAGAAAATCTGCTCATAGTATATGGACAGCGTCTTTCTTCCATCCCGCCCCTTGTGCTAATTTCCGAAGATCTTGTACAAGATGGGGTGTCTCCCGAGTAACCAACCACCTGAGGATGGAATTTTTGTGCCACTGCAAGGGGCAGCTGTATAATATAACTACCTGCCACTTCACGTCTCGCGGTTATAGCGAACTATTCAACGTGCAGCATCATGGTACTCACCAGCAGACAAACAGGAGAGCTGTAAGTAATGCGATGTTCTTTGCAAAAGCCGTGCCCTAAAAACCATGCAGTCACAAATCTATAGTCGCGTACCTGTCATCGATCGACGCGAAGAGTACAAAACTCTTACGAGAGGAGCTCGCCATTGACAGCAGCTTTAACGATGTCATCCAAAAGAAGTACGAGGGGATCCTGGAGCGAAAATGGACGAGCGTGATGCGGCTGCAGAGACGGGTACGTTCCCACTATACATCCGAGATCGACCACCATGCTGATCTTGAGACAGATACTTGACTTGGAGTCCAGAGTCGCTAGCCTTGAAGTCAAACTTCAAGCTTCACCAACTGCCAAATCACACCAAGAGTCCATCGACTGGCTACCAGGTACCCAGGCAAAACATACACTTCGGTCTCATCGCGCATCCGTCACTGCCGTGGCTCTGCATCCGGTCTATTCCTCCTTAGCCTCGGCGTCAGAAGATTGCACCATCAAGATCTGGGACTGGGAGCACGGCGAGCTGGAACGAACCCTCAAGGGCCACCTACTACCCGTTCTGGGACTCGACTATGGGGGTCCCAAAGAGCAGACTCGGCTAGCATCTTGTTCAAGTGATCTGACAATCAAAATATGGGATCCCAGCAATGAATATGCCAACGTGCGGACTTTGTGTGGGCACGACCACTCTGTTTCCGTGGTGCGGTTCGCCCCGAATGGGGAGTTGATTTCCGCTAGCCGTGATGCGTCGATTCGGATTTGGGATATTCTGACGGGGTATTGCGTCAAGACTATCGATACACAGGGTGAGTGGATTAGAGATATCTCGTTGTCTTTGAATGGGAAATGGATAGTGTCTGCTGGCAATGACTGTGCAGCTACAGTGCGGACACTGTCATCCGGGGAAATTACAGCAAGGCTGGTTGGGCATGCGAGCCATATCGAATGCTGTGCGATCGCACCTGTGGCAAGTCATGCTCACTTAGCTGCCTTAGGGTCGACAAAGTTGGTGGGGGGCGAGACGTTCATTGCAACTGGGTCAAGAGACAGCAACATCAAGCTGTGGAATGGACGGGGGGCCTTGATCAAGACCCTGGAAGGTCATGATACTTGGGTTCGAGGACTGGTTTTCCATCCTCAAGGGAAATATTTGATTAGTGTTGGCGACGACAAAGCCATTAGATGCTGGGACCTCTCGCAAGACGCGCGATTGGTGAAGACAATCACCGGCTCATCGAAGTTTCTGACTTGCATTCGCTGGGGGCCTAGCCTGCTGTCCAATCCAGGGGGCTCACATGTACTTGCCATTGGGAGTGCTGACTTCAGTGTGAGGGTCTGGACGTAGAATCCAAGGGAGGACAAGCAAAGAAGACGTGTTTCCCATAGAAGGAAGCCAATATTTGTACTCGAATAGCTAAAAATTGATATGATTGATATGTTCATGCAGGTGGGCCATGGCTCTCACCGTTGACCAGTGCACTTCTGTTCTTCGGGCTCCCCCCGTTTCTATACTGCCAGAGTCGACTGAAATCCTTTACACGACGGACTCGATTGACCCCATTTACTTGCGGTCGTTGCCTGCTCAGTTCGGGGGGAAGAAACGTCTCGTCTCGGCCTATGATCGGCTGATACCTCGCTCGATGCAGAGGTCCATCGTCTCTGATATCCGCGGTTGCCCACGGCTCAACCTCCATGTCCATGAATGGATTAGAGTCCAGGGCCTTCTTATCAGGACCTAGAGTAAACATCTTGTCTAGGTAATGCATGTTCAGCACATGGCCCGAACCTGGGCGGACGAACAACCGGCCCATATATCGGTTTGGGATATCCACAAAATGGAGCACCCCTCCGAGGGCTACAATGTCAACTGTGTTGGCATAATGCTCGATGTATCCGATCGCCTGATCAAATTGAGGTACCGAGTCAGGTTCTGGGGTCATTCCGGGTCGTAACTTCGTCCACCGTGGATTATTAAAGTGATTTGCAGCGTTTCCAAATGTATATACCTCCAAATGACGGAGGAGGTCGTGTGGTAGCTCGTCCAGCAGCCAGTCTATGACAAGCCCACCTTCTATGCCACCTTGGCTATGAAGAAGGAGAACAACCTTATCACATTCCGGGTCCAAGAGAGCTTCCTTGACCAATGCATACGACCGTCGTATGTCGTCAGTAGCGTATGCAAAGTCCCGTTGAATCAAACATTCGATCAGATCGAAGACAATTCCTGCACTACCTCTTATCAGTTGCGAGCTTGGAACTGGAGTAAGTTGCCACTTACGTGCGATTATGCACGCCTGTCACCTTCCGGCCAAACGTGTATGACAGTTGATCGATGTTCATCTGTACCCATCGATTTCTATGTTTTGCTTCAAGTCAGCACTCAGCAACTGAAAACAATCCGTAGAAAGGTCTTTCCCACCCCGCTGCAATTCCATTTATAAATAGCCAGCGCTCCCGCTCATGGCCTGGTCGCTCGGCTACTGGTACTTGGGATACCAGGATTTGCTGGAAGCCGTTCAACACCAACATGACAATTGCATAGTTGATGGCAAAGCCACTAGCAGCATATGCAAGTATCCACAGGCCTGGAATCATACAGAACATCATAATCGGCAATGAGATCAGGAAAACAATTTGATATACGACAAGAAATACATGGGTCACCACGACAATTCCATTTCCTATTGATGGATAGAGCTCATCCATCGGGCGGGTGCGAGATAGATCCAGAGGCAATAGAATCCATGGAAGAGCCCATATCTTGGAGAAGAACAAGCGTAAGTCGCTCCATAGTAAGTTGATTGGGGACGCTGTGTAAGGCAGAGGGGTTCCCTCCTCGCCCTGGCAAGTCATTGTGAAACGAGTTGATATAAAAGATGTAACGTTGAACAGATCAAAGCAGATCGGATGAGAGTTTAAAAGGAATCTATCATGTGATAACCCCTGGTCTGCTGCTTGGCCGAGGCACCTGACTTGATGTCACTTGAGTCTTGAACGCTGATCTTTTCGATTACACCTGACCACCTCCCAAATCGGCTTTTATTTAGGGTCTCATGAAGGGAAGATGTGATCCAGGGACTAGTTGAAGTTCTATATATATCTTGTTGAATACAGTTGAAATGACTCAGACCTACCTATGCTACGGTGTTACCCCTGAAAGTGACTCAAACTGACCTAGGCAGTATAAAGTCAACCTTCCGTCCTTCCCAGAAGAAATGGAACCTGTCATTCCATTCAGATGCTGAGACTATGTCTTGGTGATAATAGGTAGTTATGTCTACATGTTTCCCTATATTGAATGAAAGAGATTCAAGTTAAATGGAAGTTTGCTCTAACCTAGGGCATGGATTTACTTGAAGTTCAATTTCATCCTTGGCCAGATCTCATCTGACAGAAGGAAGAACTCATCATTGCTTCAGCGACAAAAACATGAAAGTAAGCCTGCCCTGACTCGGGATCTCTCATCAAAACAAATCGAAACAAAACCCATTTGCCATCCTTCGTTGCAACATCATTGCCGATTGAGTCGGCCCAAGCCGTCGACACTCTGGCCGCTTCGCCAAGCCTTTCGGTAGCAGCAGTCCTTCCGGTTTTGCGCACGGAAAAGGTATTGTCGGTTGATCCGCATGCCCGCATGCTGGATCTGTTCCTTGTACCAACGTGCCATGTTCTGGGCTCCCCCGACAATTATGATATCGGTACGTTGCCAAAGTTCAGGAATGGGGAGAGACAGGCAAAACTTCACATCGTGGTGGACGGGTCGGGAGGAGATGATTCCATCTCTTGCGTGAATTCGGGCCAGGACGAGGTCCATCAATTCCTCGTCGGTGAGTCTGCGGTCGGCCCAGTTGAAGAAGACGGTTACCCATTGATATGGGCCGGCCACGGCGTGATCCTCGCGGTAGTTTCGGCCGTCAACATGGTTGAACATGCCTCGTCGGCACTGGGGGCGATGCTTGCGGCGCTGCTGCTTCTTCTTCTTCGTCACTCGCGAGGAGGCCATGGAGGATGTGTTGTTTCCCATTGTGAATGTGTGGGTGGTATGATGAGACTGAGACGTATAGGTAAATATTGATGAAAATAGATGAGACGATGATGGAAGAAACGAATAGGAAAGAAATGAAGGAATGAGACACGATCCAGATCAAGTGAGACGTCGAGAGAGGACATCTAGACCTTATATCGGAAGCACCTACAAGACAATGGCTATTGACAGACTGGTTCTTTGAAACTTGAGTCAATTGTGATTGAGCTGTGGTAGCTACATCTGATCTCTGATTGTTCTCTTTGTTTAGAAACAATCAGCTCAACAACTCCTTTGCTCCCTTATTCTATTGAAGCCGCGAGAGCATTGTCTGACATCAATCGGTCTCAATAAGATCTGTAGGTACTTATTCAGAAAGGCTGCTACCTATGGACAGGTGTATATAACGTACTTTCCCATCCAGTATACTTCCATCTGCTGCCTCCATCAATCAATCGACATTGGCAGTATAAGCCCAGTACCTACATGCCATCGGCTGTCTACCCTAGCCCTACATACAATTATTGTTCACAATGGGCAAATATGGTGGGTTATTCAGGAACTATAGACGAAAAACAACCAGTAGCCATGCAAGCCTATCACCATCCCGTCGAGATATCTGGTTTGTCACTGACCTGAGAAGGGACGAAATGAAAAGACTAACACAGATCCTGCACATAGACATCACAAGAGCAAGACACACTGATGAGATCGTGAAGCGTCTGATATCTGCCCTGCCGAAAGATATGCGACGTGAACGCTGGTCAAGGTCAAAGAAGAACTTATGCAAGGTCCATCAAGGTTTGAATCCCGATATCATGTACGATGTATTCAGACTTTTGCAGAGGGAAGTCGGTCACCACCTTCGCAAGTTTGACGCATACCCGCATCTGCTAAAGCCTCTCGATATCTTGATCCTGAAGAAGCTGCAAGCTATTCGGGGCATGTGGAAGAGGCCAGACCCGGAAGATCCCGATGCCCCAAATGCGTGGGACTATGAGACCAGCTGCTGTCAAGGGTGTATGGTGGCTCGGGTCGCCAGTGACAAGAGTGCACTGCGCAACCTTCGCATCGCCTTGCTCTCTCGTACGCAGACTCGCTTGAAGCATGTTCCTCGCAGACTCATGAAGTTCATCGATAGCTGCATTGACCTGTTTCCAGATGACGTGGACGAGCTGTATGGCACATCCAGCCAGTTCGCATATATCTTAAAGGATACCCGCAAGGCTTGTAGTAAGGCTTGGGCGAGGGACCCGGCTCATGCAGACTCGAGGCGCCGACGGCATGGAGACGGCAGTCGTCACGGGGCCGACAACAGCGGTAAAACCAAGAGGAGCAACAAGAGCGTACGAAACCATAGCCCGACCACAGAGTATAACCCAAGGAAGAAGTATGCTCAACCACCACCACCAATTTCAGTTTCTCACCCCGTAGAAAGGTATGCCCCTAATCCTTCGTTTTCGTCTCGACGTACTGACCCTAACATGGAAGGAGCCAGCACATATCATCCAACGTCAAGCCTTTCAAGGAAAGTTTCAAGTTCACCGGACCACGTCAAGCGATATCGTCGGCGTTCTCCCGATTCAGATCGCATTACCAGGCTCATGGATTTTGCTGACGACAACTACCAAGAATTGGAAGTCAGCGCAGTGGCACGGACTGCGAGTTCTGTGTATGGGCCTCCTGGAAATCCTCCTTCGCCTAGTGTTGCAAGTGCTGCCTATGGGACCTTGGACGAGATTAATGAATTGCTGGAGATGTATCAGAGTTTGGGAACAAATCCCTACTTGGAAGATACACCGGAACATTCATCCCCGTCAATTTGTACCACAAGCTGTGAGTGGACTGATGAAGGCGAGTACCGGAACCGGAGGGAGGCAGAAAGGTCTTCAGCGAGGACCACTTGGGATCTGGTGTGTGAACAGTCGAATATGATTTGACGGCTCCTCTTAACCACTGCCTTTCATTTCATTTCTCAATTGCCTCCGATGCTTCCTATGCCATTTTCAGATATTCCATATCGGGTATCCTTGTTTTCATTTCCTGTATAGATCAATGTATTTGCAGATGTATTGAGTCCACACCGAATACCCATGAAAGCATCATGTAACTAATTGGAAAATGAATAGACATTATTAACAATAGTCATAACAAACCATGTACAAAGCATTGCCTGGCGTATTCCGAAGTATTAATACAATGGGTCACTGATCCCATACAAAGCAAAGACGCGAAGCCCAACAGTCTGGCGGAGACGGCCAGCAGCTCCAAGAGACGGGGTTGGGGGATGCATAAAAAGATTAACACATGCTCAGGGATCATTTCATCACGACTTTAGTTGTGGAGAACACTCCCGGGTACCCCATGACTCGGACCTTTGAGACTATCGACAGTCTTTCGGCGCAACCGAGTGCGGGTCGCTGGTCCCTCGGGCGATACCACCACTCGCTCATGTTCACGTTCCTCGGTACCAGTGACCACCTCAGATGGAGTAGTTTCAGGCAACTGGGCAGCATCCAGATCCACCTGTTTCTGAGCATTCTCTCGAGCTCGCTCATAACGCAGCTTGACCTCGCCAGTCCACCGAGTGCCAAGAAGGCGGTCCCAGAAGATGAAGAAAGGCTGAGAAAAGTTCGTCTTGATACCCCAGCTTTGGTGATGGATGTCGTGGTAAGCGGCGTTGTTCGAGGTAAAGTGCTGCAATGGATCCCAGGGGAAGGCGTAACCACAGTGATCGTCGACAGTCTTGATCGTCGACATAGTAAAGAACCACATGGCCTGGCGAGTGGTCATGCCTGAAACTAGGAATCCGACACCGGTGCCTGCTGTGTCCAAGAGGAAGCCTTCAACCGGGTGGTTATAGAGAGCACCAAAGGCGTAAGGGACGTAAAGACGGTGGTGACGGGAGTGGAAGTTTACTGCGCAGGTTAGTACAATCCGCTGGTCAAATCCGAGAAATCACCCACCATAGAGCCATCGGTTCAAATGCATGGCGCGGTGGAGGAAGTACTGCCAAGTATCCACGATGCAAATTGCCAGCATGAACTGAAGGGCTGGTACAAAATACCAGTAGATGAAACTAGCAACTGTAAGTTCCCAATTCGTGAAAGCGGGCGCCACAATCTCGGCTCCGTTGTCAAGAATCAAGGACTGGGTGGCGCCGGGGTATAATCCGCCAGTTATAGCCCCGGCCAGCATGGTGTAACCGTTTCGGGAAACAACCTTCCCCAGTCCAACGGCGTCGACTCCAAAAACTGCTAACAATGATGGTATAGCCTTTTGGGCGATCCGCAATCGCTGCGCCCACACAGCCACATCGTACTGTTCTCTTCCGACGGTTTCATCGGCATCGAAGTACATAAAAGCAAGTCCGGCCAGAGTTTGGATCACTTGTTGTAAAACAACATCCCGCACAACTTCCCACCGGGTGACTTTGTTTCGCTTCGACACTTCCGCGGGGGTGTGGAGCCGGTATTCGATGAAATAATCATTGACGTCCAAGAAATGATAGATCATGGACATTCCCCAATAGGCGATGATTGGAAGAATTAATGTGAGGATATTGTCGGGTAGAGGAGCAAGCAGAAGTTCACGAGTGGTTAAGGTGTAGCTTGGTAGGGGAGGGAGATCGAACGCGACGGATGCGTTTGCAGCCATGACGATAGACTGGCGATGCGCCGAGTTTCTGACACAGAGAATTCGGAGACTTAGAGTGACGATATAGAGGACCTCGGAAATGAGTTGAACGTTTCAATGTTCCTGAGGTCAGAGCTCAGGGAAAGGAAAAGAAAATGGATGTTAGCAACCACGCCGGAGTTCGGATGCTGACGGGTAGGCGCGACACAGACTGATTCCAATCAGCCAGAGAACTCTCGGCGTTGGCCGGCACAAAACAAGAGTGAAGAATAGAAAATCAGTTAATGATAAAGGAGAGAATACATGTAGGAACTTGAAAGAGATAAAAAGATCAGATGGATCAGGAGACGCCCGGATTCGGGAGGCGCGAGCCGGCCCAAGCAAAGCCAAGACGATACTTACAGATACGGTAAATTTGGCAGCCTGGCTGGCGAAGTTAGTTTATATTGGTATGGTATGGTAATAAGTGGACCAATGCTGAGTCACGGATTTACCTCGTCGGACCACCATCAAGTGGCTGGAGGCAAAAGTAGATCGGAGGTAATCTTGAGAATCACTATCAATTGATATAAATCAACGTGTTCAATGGTTTCTCCCCGTGAAATTGAGGATATCTTCCCCTTTTTACCCCATCCATCAGCGAATAATCCTCGGGAAAGTGCATCGTAGTGCAATGTACTCCGAAGTACTGAGTACCGCACTAACGCACTGCCAGTGGCGGTGGCCCAGACTCCCCGATACCACTTGGGTACAAAACAAACTGAACAAACACCACCCCGCCCTAATTTTTTTTAAAGAAAAACCTTTCCCCCACCCTGAGTGTTTTTCTTTCTTCCCGTGCGACCTTTCTATCCTTTTGCTTCCTTCACATATAATACCAATACCGCCAAAATGATTATCTACACTGTAAGTTTCTTGTCGAGTTCATGAGTTTGCGCCTTCGTTCTATATGTTCCATATGACCAGTTCGCTTTGAATTCATTCAGCTGACATTGTCCACTAGGACATCGTTTCCGGTGACGAGATCGTCGCCGACACTTTCAACCTTGTCCCCAACAAGGAGTTCGATGTCCTCTGGGAGTGTGACTGCCGCAAGTACTTGAAGCGCGCCAACGAGGACTTCCAGCTCGAGGGCGCCAACCCCTCCGCTGAGGAGGGCGGTGATGATGAGGGTGGCGAGGGCGAGGCCACCATGGTCCACGATATCGAGGACCAGTTCCGTCTGCAGTGGCTCAAGGTTGAGGACGGAGCCAAGCCCTCCAAGGAAAGCTACAAGACTCACATCAAGTGTATGTTTGCCGGCCGTTTCTGTTCTCTTGCTAGCGCAAATCACTAATCATTCTTTGTGAACGTAGCCTACATCAAGAAGCTCCACAAGAATGTGGCACCCAAGTTCGCTGAAGCGGAAGATCCCGAGAAAGCCGAAAAGCTATGGAAGACTAAGATCGCTGGTGCCATGAAGATGATTCTTGCTAACTGGGACAACTACGATGTCCTTATGGGCCAGTCCATGGATGGCGATGCTATGTATGTTGCTAAAGCGTCACCCTATCTTTGGTTCCACACTAACTGCTCCTAGGCACGTGCTCATTGACTTCCGCGAAGATGGTGTCACCCCCTATGCTACCGTCTGGGCTGACGGTCTCAAGCCGATGAAGGTCTAAGCAACTCATGTTGTCCTATATCTGCGATAGCAAAGACATACGTATTCCCTACGAACAAATACGCCTTGGTGGAAGAATTGCGAGTCATAGCTTGCCCCCTCTCCTGTGTCTGTCTATCTTAACTCAGGCTCACGCATTCTTCGTATCCCACGTTTGTGATCCGCTGGATCGTCAAGAATTACGCTTCATGAAATCATAATCTCTCATGTCTCCACACTGGCTTATCCTTCGTAACTTCCTTCGTAACTTGATCACCGTGATCGGTTTGGTTTAAATCGTGTACGGTAAAACGGCTGACGTCAGAAGCTATGAATGAAACCTATAGATCTGAAGAATATACATTTGCAGTCAATTGGACGTGTAGGTTAGTACTAAGGATACCCCGACCAATCTTCAGCGCTGTTCCCATTCCACGAGGTGAAATTCATTGCTGTAGTAGAGCGGGGAAGCCCGTTTTCATATGAAGTAGGCAGATCGACCGGGTAGTTGCCATTATCTGTTGAGTTTGCCGCATCCAGAGTATGATCGAGGCCTGCAACTGGATCCAATGCCATCAGGTCATCTGCAACAGGGAGGTGTTGTCCGAATACAGCGTCCCACTGGTCCCAGTCGAAATTGAGGTTGGGATCGGCCATTGACGGCGGTGTAGGAGCGCCCATGGGGGGAATGTTTGTAGACATTGGATCTATGAAGGGTGTGTCGCCAGGAACAGTAACATCGGACTGTAGTTGTTGAACATGTGGAAGGTGCACCGTGGACGAAAGGTTCCCTGTTAATGGACCAGGGAAGGAGGCCATATTGTGATTGGATGGCGATGAGTCGATGCAGGGCGATATAGCATCGATCTCCGAGGTAGGACCAAGCTCAGACTTTAAAGGGGCAGGCAAGAAGTAATCTTGCAGATGGTTTTGATATCGAAGAGGGCTGCTTGTAGCCACCGGGGTAACAGGATTCGAGAAAGTATGGGAGCGTGTAATGTTGTCAAACGTTTTGTTGAAATCGCTCGGTTGAGGGCGTGGCGCCAAGGAACGACCAGACAGTGCTGAAATTGAAGACCCAGCATGGGTAGTGTCCGAGGATACAGAGTCCTCGCTTCCGTTGGGGGCAGCTGGTGAAGCGACACAGGCCTGGATCTGGCCTTGTTCGGTCCAGAGCATTTGGGGATCGAGTCCAGCCTTTTGCCAAGCCTTCTGGCGAAGGCGACGGATCATATCCCAGGCTTCACGCCCACCGTCCTTCAATGGTCGCTGCGTGGAGACGCCGTCTTCACCACCTACAACGCCTCCATCAGGGCCAGAGAGTGCGAGTATGCTGTCGATGAAAGCGCGGGATTTCGATGCCTCAGGGCTGTAGGGTCGCTCATATAGATCAATAAGCATAATCCTACGTCTTTGTTTAGCGTGGTCACCAATATTCAGGAATGAACTCGTACATTGTAGCATGCATTGGTTGATGGTTGCTGGAAGAATATTAGCTTCAAGCCGCGGAAGGTCTACAAGCACAAGAAGGCTTACCCAGGCCAGCTCCAGTGAAAAGGCTGAAAATCAGGTTCCGTCGCAAGCTGTATAAATTTTGTCATGAACCCATGGCAATGGCGAAGTGCACTACAAGGGTTAACATGGAGACTCATTTCATGGAAAGTGTGCAATGCACAAACCTCTGACGGGCCGCTGGCCAGATTCGACTGCGAGCGTTCTTTAGGAAAGGCTGATAGGCCACACAGAAGGCCTGGGAAGAGTCAGTCAGGGCGCATTGTCGAAGCATTTCAGAAACAATCACACCTTGTCAATGTACAGAGAAAGAAGTATTTTTGCCCATTTGTGGAAGCTGATAAGAACAGGCGAGTGATACTGCTCTGGACATCCAGTTGGGCCATCACCTGGAAGCTCATTATCGGAAGAACGGTCGTCTGGTGGGGATTTGGGCATGGAAGTGGAGAATGATCCGGTGCCTGGCATTGACAGATGATTGGAGGCATTTCCTTCGGGAATTCTGGTGATTATGGAATTTAATTTCAACTGCAAGTCAAGGAGGATCGACCGGAGCTCTTCCATGTCCTGCCTGGTCAACGGCTTTGTTCCTAGTTGGATCCTTAAGATTCGGCGAATAGCGCCTGAGAAGAGTCAGCATACGGACATTGGAACAGGCGAGTAATACTTACGAGCCATGGTGTATTTCCCTCTTGCGGTGAGGTAGTAGACGTTGACCATTGAAGGTCCGCCGCAGACAGTGGGATCGTCTGGATTGTCGGGCAAACGCTCTTGCGAAGCAATCAGCCTCGCGTAGGACTCGGCAGCAGGGCTTCCCAACAGCGTGTCTTTGATTTCACTCGTCTCGTTGACATCCCAATAATTCTCATCGCTCACAAGTGGAGGCAGACCGCTGGACATCGCGACGACACAGTCCATGTGGATGATATGCCACCATAACCGGCGCCGATACTCCGCTTCGCATGGCTCTATGCCAAATTTAGCTGGATCCCGATGCAAGCCCATAGTTTGCGCAACCCTCATAGCCAGACTAACGAAGATACTGCTCGTCAAAGGCTCTTCTTCTTTCGTGACGATAGTCTGCACGATGAGATACGCAGCGAGGCCTTGTAACGAGGGACTGCGCGGAAATTTGATCTTTGTAAGCCATCTCGTAACCTCTTCGCTGTATATTGTCGAAAGTACAGACCGCGAGGACACGTCGAACTCAGCTTTGATTGCTCGGATAGAGATCGTCACTGAGCCCGCATACCACATGGCGTACAGCAGTGGAATAAACGATGGGTTTGGGCATGACTCCCCTGAATAACTGGTGTGGTCATACCAATCCCAAAATGAATTATATAGCTTGAGGATAGTTGGGGGGTGGATCACAGGACTGATGGCATGTACACCGGAAATGAATCCTTTGTATAGAATATGGCTCTGTCGCCTAGTTGGAATGTGCTCGAGCATTTCGGGCTCGACCGGCTTCTCATCCACCGAGGGGGAGTCGCCGGAAGGGAATATTATAGACTGTTGGAAGGAATGTGCCCTTGGCGTTACAGAGTATGTCGAGCTTCCTATTGATTCTCTCCATGTTTTTTGACCGTCTGGAAGAGCGTCCGTTATCTCTTCGCTGCTCTTTTCAGGCAAAGACTGGTCGTGCGATCTATTTTGATGCCTGAGGAGCTCATTGAGTTCATTGAGCTAGATGCGAGTTAGTCGATGCTGTCTGATCTGATAGTGGGGCAACTTGAGCAGCATACCTCGTCAGAGATATAAGCCCAATACGTGGTGCCGACATATCTAGCTATGGTCAATTAAGATATCTCCAATGAAGGTTGAGTTCAACTAACCTTGACCGTCCACCGTCCTCCAGGCTCAAATGGCCCAAGTTCAAACTGCCAACCGGGTCTACCAGATCGGTATCCTGGCCTGATGGTATGGGAAACTCGTCACTGCCCGACTCTGCAACAATGCGACGTGGACTGGATGATCGTGACCGTGTCTTGTTCCTGTTCCGACTATCATTCGGCCATGAATCATCTGACTGTGAGGATGTCACGTTCGCATTGGGAGTGGGTGCTTGTATCCCGACAGCTTCAAGGGTTTGATCTCTCCCACCGAGGCGTTCGATCATGGACATAAGCTTGTCAAGTCTCGACTCAATGGCGCTGGATTCAGGCTTCTCGCCTGTGGACCCTGCCCGCTTTAAGCGTCCATAGATTGACTGGATCTCGTCCACATCCTCCTCCAATGTTCGGGATGTCTCCCTCCTTCGTTTGCTGCCATGCATAGGTTGGTAGGAGCCATCGCGCAAATCGTCTTCTTTTCGCAACGAGACATCATATGTGCATTTCGTGTTGTTCTTCGAGCAGTTTCCACATATAGGATGTATCTAGAAAGAGATACATGTCAGCGTGGAACATGCGCCCAGGGGTGGTGCGGGTTAGAACGACATACCTTGTCACATTTTACCTTCCGACGCCTACACGTGTGACAACTATAGCTCGCGCGGTTTCTAGTGATCTGACGACCACCAGCCAAAGGCCCCTTCGAAGATGCCGAGGGAACCGCGTTACCAGGGCTGGAACCACCCTGTCCGGGCTGTGTATTTGGCGGGCTCGGGTTCATAGCCCAATATTGATAGCATGAGAGCGATACGCGCAAGAAAAACCGGCGCTCCGCCGACTGCGGGGGGGTTCTCTTGACGTTATCGGAGATCGACGGGGACCGCCAATCATATCCATTACGCCATCCCGTGGTCAGCATTGACGCCTATTTGCCCAATATTCCAGGCATCAATCCTTTATTCCTCAGGTTTCTATTTGATCACTTCGTTTTGGCGCCGGCCCTAACCATCACTTTGTCCAGAAATTCTGAAACATTCACCCAATGCTTTGCCATGTAACATGTTCTCGCTTCCATCCATGGACCATGGTATATCTACCACTGATACCCGTGCCACGTGTTCTACGATCTCCATGTGAGATACTTACTGCCAGTGTACTTCTGGCGATTGGGCAGTTTCGATGTGCAGCCTCAAGGCTCAGTGCAGGACCCTGAAAACAACACTTCCATGATCGTCTAAGCCACAATGGAGGACTCGATGAGATCAGCAAGCAAACATTCCGGTCTCATGGAGACCATCGCCACTTGGGCAATTCCTCACAGAAAAGTAAACAATCCTGAAACCAGTCTTTGCTAAGCGCCGCTGCTTCTAAGATTCTAGCCAACCCACTGCATCCACCATCGGCGGCTATAATACGAAGGTCGGGGCTACTGGATATCTTCTAAATGGCCATCTACATGCTAAGATGTCTTTTTGTGGCAAAGGACATAGACAACACACACGCTAATGCAAGAACAGCCTTCGAGGGGATGGTCTGTCAACCAATCAATCCCCTGGTTCCTATGCCAAATTGCTGCGCCCAAAGCGCTAACGGGTCTAACATATGGGATTTGCTGTGTGAAAATAACAAGTCTGACATTGTTGGCAGGTCTACTGCCTGCTTGTCTCAGACGAAGGGCAGGTTGTTGCAATTGCTTGCGTAGGGATCGGATTCCGATTGTGTCTCTTTGTTGTTCATAATGTCTCTCTAAGGGGTTCAGGTGGAAGGCTGGGTAGCAGCCTTCCGCCTGACTGCTGACTAAGATACACCACGTGGCCATAGTACAAACAACAGACATAGTATTTAGAACTCAGCGTCTCTCGCACATTATCTCCGAAGCAATATCATATCAGAACTTCGATATACCCACGATGAGTTTCGGGTTGAGCTTCGGAGACCTCGTCTCAGTTGTGACTCTGGCCAATAAACTTCGAAAGGACTTTGTTGGCGCGCCAATTCAATTCAACAGTATTTCCAGAGAGTGCGTTCATTCTACTTGGTCATGTAGTCGGGCAACAACTGACCTCTTCCCTTTGATAGGGTGAGAACTCTGGCAATCATCCTCCAAGATGTTGACGTGCAACAGCCGGACTTTGATATGGATGATCACCACCACAAGCAATTGGAACAAATCAGTCACAGTTGTTGGACTCTGCTGAAAGAGCTTGAAGTTGCAATCGGGAAATATAAAGTCATTGAATATTGCGGCACGTCGCTACATAAAAAGGCCCGGAGTATTTGGAAGAGGATTTCATGGGAGCCCAAAGAGATTGCCGGCCTGCGAGATCGGTTATTAAGTAATGTGACATTGCTACGGGCGTTTTTAAATGCCGTATCCAGGTACTTCCTTCTTTCCCTTCTCCCCCTTCTCCCCTGCTCAACCTTCGCCGCATACCCAAACGTCTAACATCCATAGCCAAACGATGGCTGCGACAAAAAAGACCTTAGAGCAGCTCAACCAGCGACAAGGCAGCCATGAAGATAGTTTCATTCTCGACTGGCTGACACCGGTCGATTACGCTTGCCAGCAAAGTGATTTCCTGAGTCGACGACAAGCAGGGACAGGGCAGTGGCTTCTTGCTTCAAAAGAGTATACGGACTGGCTTCATACTCGCCAAGCTACTCTCTTTTGTCCAGGGATACCAGGTGCAGGGAAGACAATATGCTCTGCTATCGTGATTGACGATTTGACTACGCGTTTTGAGGACAACTCGGATGTCGGCATAGCTTATATTTATTGCAACTACAATCGACAAGATGAGCAAGATGCACCTGCCTTGCTTTTGAGTCTGCTGAAACAGTTGGCCCAGCGGAAATCGTCTGTACCGGATGTGGTGAAAGAACTTCATAGGCGGTACAAAACTACATCGACGCGTCCACAATTTGGCGATATATCGAAAGCTCTCCACTCCGTTGCATCCACTTATTCTTATGTGTTCATTGTTGTTGATGCTCTCGATGAGTGCCAATCGACTTGCCGCGCAAGGTTTCTGGCTGAGATCATGAAGATGCGTGATGATGCTGGACTGAATATTCTTGCCACGTCGAGGCCTACAGAGATATACAATATTTTCAAAGGCGGTAGCTGTCTCGAAATCCGTGCCAATGACGATGACGTTCGACAATATCTTGAGGGTAACATGTTCCGGCTCCCGGGATTTGTGACCCGGAACCTCGCATTGCAAGAGGAAATCATAGCCGTCGTCTCAGGCCATGTACAGGGGATGTGAGTCTTTGTTTCTGAAATCGTTTGTTGGAATGGAAGCTCAATCAACCTGCTTATTAATTCTCAGGTTTCTACTTGCGCAGCTCCATTTTGAGTCATTGATTGGCAGAAGGTCAGCTAAGTCTGTTCGGGCGGCTCTGAGAGAGCTTTCGCAGGGCTGCAATGAATATGCATACGACGATGCCTATGACAAGGCAATCAAGCGCATTCAAGGGCAGTTCACAGAGCAGACCGAATTGGCAATACAAACCCTTTCTTGGCTCACATGTGCAAGAAGACCCCTCAATTCATTGGAGCTTCAGCATGCACTTGCGATAGAAAGAGGAGAATCGGCCCTCGACGAAGAGAATATTTCAGAAATTGAGGACATAATTGCTGTGTGCGCTGGCCTTGTCACCGTTGAAAACGAGAGTGGGATCATTCGACTGGCTCATTATACGACGCGGGAATACCTCGAGCGGAAGAAGCCATCAATTTTCCCCAATGCCGAAAATGAAATCAGCAGTCTATGTGTCACTTACCTTTCATTTGATATATTCGGATCTGGAAGTCGCAACAGCGACGAAGCGTTTGAGGCGCGTTTGAGATCATATCCGTTCTACTCGTACGCGGCAGACCACTGGGGTGACCATGTGAGATTGGCAGGCGATTTACAGTCTGGTGTTATCGAATTCCTGCTAGACGAGCCGAAGGTTGAGGCTGCCGTGCAAGCAAAACGTGCCCCGTCGAGACCCTTGGAGGAGAAGAATTGGAGCCAGAAATTTCCGAAAGGCCTGAATGGATTTCATCTCGCTGCCTTGTTCGGAATTGAAGCAGTCGTGACCTACTTCTTGGAACAGCGGTATCCCGTGGATCAAACAGACAACAGGAACTGGACACCATTGATGTATGCGATCTCATATGACCAACTGAATGTGCCGCGTATACTTCTTTCCCACGGAGCAAATCCGAACGGAGCAGCAGATGATGAGAGCAGTACCCCACTTTCAATTGCGGCCAAAAGTGGACAAAACATTACCGTCAGGCTTCTACTTGAGAAGGGGGCCGACGTTGATGGTCCGTGTGGAGGATGGGATGGGACTCCCCTGATCAGTGCGTGTGAAAGTGGCCAGCTGGAAACTGTGGAGATCTTGCTCCAGAGCAACGCAAATATCAATGCCGAGAGTGAGATGTACGCTAGCCCTTTGGAAGCTGCCGCTCAGGCGGGTCACTGGGAAGTAGTAACTTTCTTACTTGAAAAGGGCGCCGATCCAGATTCCCAAAAGGATGGTGTGGAAACAGCTTTGCAAGCAGCGGCATATCAAGGCCAGAGGGATATGGTGCTCACCCTGTTGAATTATCACGCGGATATCAACCGAGAGGGTGGGATGTGGGGAACCGCTCTTATAGCGGCCTGTGTGGGCCAGCATGAGGAAATAGTACGACTTCTCCTGGACAACGGTGCCGACATCAACGCGGCAGCTGGAGGGCACGGCACCGCTCTCCAAGCGGCATCAAAAAATGGTGATCAGAAGCTCGTGAAAATGCTCCTAGAGAACGGTGCCAATGTCAATGCCGAACATGGGCAACACGGTACAGCACTAATCGTTGCTACTACAAAAGGAGAGTTTGATACAGTGAAACTATTGCTTGACAACGGAGCCGACGTTCACGGTCGTGGCAGGATTCATGGGACTGCCTTGCATGCAGCCGCCGGGTTGGGCAATGTTCAAATAGTGCAGCTGCTTCTTGCCCGAGGTGCCGACAGTACTATTCGTGCTGGCATTTACAAAACACCCCTTCGAGCAGCGGCGTTGAGAGGCCATCAGGGTGTCGCCTCAATTCTCAAAAGTCAGGGGCAGCCCTTGAAAGTCTGACTTGTTCTCGTTTGTGATGTATGGCATGCTTCGATGCGCAGCAATCACCTTTTCTTTTCAAATTTTACAAGGTTGACTCGAATTGACCTAGGACATTCATTTCGCTGGATTTAAGACTGTCCTGGCGATGCACACATGTATAGTACACATCCATTTCTGTGCGCTCGACGCCAATCGGCTACTTTCCATGACGCCACATGGTAGATCTGCGATGACCGTGCGCACAATCGTGTTGAGTCGTTGCTCCCTGGATAATTAGAGATCATAAGATTGTTGAGTTCAGTGCATTCTGACCTAAAGCGCTTCGCTATCCTCCTTAAGCCGACTCGCGGCGACTAGACATTAGGAGCTCAAGGTACAGACCACCGATAACAGCGACGGGAAGGTTGGCCTATATCCAAGCCATACCTAGAGAGTACTCAGAGTAGAGCCTACCTCTAATGTCTATTAAGAAAGACTTAAGATATACGACAGAAAGTCTTGCTCTAGCTCGATACCTAAGTATAACTTGTAGTCCACACTTTCCTGTTTACTCGTAGGCTAGTACCGTATGAGGATATTTTGCTGTGCAGCACCAGTCACGGGACACCGGGGACACTTATCGAATGTCCATTTTACCATTCTTGGCGCCAGTCGTCCACCAACATCGACATCAACATCAACATCAGCACTCGTGTTTGGCGTTTCACTTGCAATAGCTGCTCAGCCTACCTGAACCTCCAAGGCCTCAGGGGCCCCTCAAGCCAAGGGAGAATCTCTTGAATTTGGCTAGCCAAGATGGGCTGAGCAGGTCTAGTCTGGGCGCCAAGACGACGCTTTGCGATGTCATTGTTTCGTGGGCTTTGATTGTTCGACACTTGTTTCAGCAGGGCCAAGGAGATCGCGGAGATCCGATCGTCAGCGTCAGATCTTCCTGAAACAGCAGCAGATGGTGGATGTCATCCGTATCTGCCGCGCCTGGAGTAGCCTCGTTGAGCTCAAATTCGCGCCCAATACCCCCTCGCCAAGCAGCCAGATCGAAGTTATTCGCAGCCTCGCAGGCAGCCTAATTTTGGCAGACTTGGCGCTCGGTAAGGGGGGTAGAAGACAGGCAATGAGATCAGCATCGCACACCCCTGACACTGTGATGGCCTTCCGCCTGGTCCCGATTCTTTGGCGGGATTCCAGTCATTCGACACAGTAGGTCTTGGGTCCTCTTGGATGCCTTTTGGGTATAATTAACTCTCTAACTGCCAAGGTGCTATGGATCTCATATCTCTTTCATGGGAAATTCCTCTCCCGATTTACTTTACTCCTATTTCTCAAATAATTCCTCAATGCTTTATCCACTTCATTCTGTCTTCTTCCCTGCATGCTATCGTTTACCCTTTTGGACATACCATATGCATCAAACATCAAAACAGGTCACTTTGACTTGACGTCGCCAAAGCTCTTGCCTCTAACATTCACTCATGTTGCCTACCTGCTCTCGGTTGGTTCATTCCAAGTCATGGGTTCTCCTCTCAGCAATTATTGCACTCCTGGTGCCGCACACCACCGCGGCAGGCATTTACGTTGACTTTGAGAACCCTGGTATGTGCCAACGATTCATCTCAAGTAAATCAATATGCATGTTCTAACACTGACAGCTAGAGTCGATTAAGTCTGCTGCCAGCACGGTTGCGTATGATCTTGTTAGCTTCTACTCGGGCAATAATTCCGGCGACACACCGGGAAACCTACCTGAGCCCTACTACTGGTGGGAGGCAGGCGCCTTCTTTGGTGCTCTGGTCAACTACTGGTCCTATACTGGAGATGACTCCTACAACGATATCACCAGACAGGCATTAATCCATCAGGCAGGGGCTAAAGGCGACTTTATGCCCGCTAACCAGACATACACAGAGGGCAACGATGATCAATGTTTCTGGGCCCTCAGTGTTATGATTGCCGCTGAGCGAAACTTCCCCAGTCCCCCAGACGACGTTCCGGATTGGCTCGCCATGGTACAGGGCGTTTTCAATCAACAGGCTCATCGATGGCATAATGCGACTTGTGGTGGTGGTCTCAAATGGCAGATCTATCATTGGAATGCTGGTATGTGTGGGGAGTTGTAAGGTGTTCTGGTCTATGGGCATATGACTGATTGTGCCGTGTCATATCACAGGGTTCCTCTATAAGAACAGCATTGCCAACGGGTGCTTTTTCGATATCTCATCGAGACTAGCGCGATACACTGGAAACAAGACATATGCAGAATGGGCTACCAAAACGTGGAATTGGTCTAAGGCCATTGGTCTATTGGGCCCAAATTACGAAGTCTTCGATGGCACGACCGAGGTAGACAACTGCTCAAGTCATGATCATAACCGATGGTCATATAATGCTGGAGTCTGGCTTCACGGCGCCTCGGTTATGTATAACTGGACCGCTGAGACTTCGGAAGTCTCTTTGGATTCGTCCTCGGTCTGGCAAAATCGCACGGATGGCCTTCTCAGGGCCAGTAATCACTTCTTCTCCAAGGCGAACATCATGCAGGAGCCACTTTGCGAGTTCACTGGCAGCTGCAACACCGATCAATTGAGCTTCAAAGCATATCTGAGTAGATGGCTTGCGGAAGTGACACAATACGCCCCTTACACCTATGACACAATAATATCAAACAAGCTGCGCCCAACGGCGGAGGCCGCGGTGGCACAGTGTCAGGGTGGTGAGACAGGCACCTTCTGTGGATTCAAATGGAGCTCTGGGAAATATGATGGTAACGTCGGGGTGGGAGAGCAGATGGGCGTCTTGGAACTGCTTACAGGGCTACTGGTTGCTGATGTTAGCGCTCCCTTGACTGCTGCCACCGGTGGAAACAGTGAGGGGAACAGTGCTGCAGGAACTGGTGATGACGAGCCGGACACCGAATTGCCAACCATACATATCGATAACGGGGATAGAGCTGGTGCGGCCATCCTAACTATACTTCTTGTTTCCCTTATCGCCGGGGCGGTCTATGTGATGTTGTCTTGATCGGGCTCCTCTTGTAATATTCAATGTTCACCTACCTCCAGAAAATTTCACTTGGATCTATTGTCTTCAAGGTAGTATACCACCTGAGCATCTTCAGTTCGAAGGCATACCTACTCCTCTCGGGCAATTCATTTATTTACAGAAAGTGCTTAGGTTAATGGGAGCAGTAGATTTGGAATTGGACAGAAGAGATATATTGAATGATTGTTCTATCTAACTAGTACATGATTGAGACTCAGACAACATCTAGTTACCTCGAATCCGAATCCAAGAAGTGAAAGAATTAAGAAGGAAGGATAAGCTGCTCCTCCTTGGGCCAGAGGGCAATAGTGGTAGCGTCGCCGGTCAAAGTGAACGACAGAACAGCATCCCGCTCATTGTTCAGGGCAAGCTCGTACTTGCCAGGGTAGACAACGCGGTTGCCATCCTCATCAGTGCGAGCCAGGTTGTCCAAGGAGATGGGCATGGTCATGGTCCGGGTGGAGTGGGGCTCAACAGCACCGAGGCGATCGAAGTTGACCAGCCACTTGTTGGGGTGAGGGCTGGGTCCGGCCTTGGTGTTGACAAAGGCCATGGCAGTGTAGTCAGATGTGACCTTGCCGGTGTTCTTGACATCAACGGTGTAGTTCATGAAAGGCATCAGCTCACCGGCGTTGTATCCAGTGTGCGAGCGGGAGAGAAGCTCTCCAATGTCGTAGGATGCCTTCTTGTGGCCGTGAGAGGCAGCGAGAGATGCCTTGAAGGTAGTGTAGAACAGACCGTGGCCGAACTCGTACACTGGCTTGCCGGTGTACCACATGTAGGTCTGGCCAGGGTTGCTGCCATTGGGACGCAGGCTCATGTCAGTCACAGGGAATTGCTGAGCATACTCGGCAGGGTATTGGGTGGTAGTCAGACGGCCAGCAGGGGCACGCTTTCCGGTGAGGATATCCAGAATGGCAAGACCGCCGGACTGTCCAGGGTAACCACCCCAGACGATGGAGTTGACCTTCTTGCTGTGCTTGAGCGACGAGGAGTCGACTTGGCCACCACCCATCTGCAGAACGACCAAGGGCTTGCCGAGCTTGCTCAGTTCCTCGATCAGCTGAAGCTGGTTGCCGGGCCAGTTGATCTCTTCGCGGTCCATGCCTTCTTCCTCGATGGTGTTGTCAATACCACCGGCAAAGACGATGACATCGGATTTCTTGGCAGCCTTGATGGCAGCTTCGAAACCAGCGGTAGAGTCCGAGGAGATGTTGGTGCCGAAAGCGTAGTTGACATCAAGATCCGAATCCTGGAAGGCAGCAAGCGGGCTGATGAGGTAGGGGGCGGTGCTGAAGTAGTTGCCCTGCATGGCAGTGGTGGCGTTTGCCCAGGGTCCGATCAATGCAACACTCTTGGTCTTCTTTGACAGGGGCAGGGTGCCGTCGTTCTTGAGGAGAACAATGCCTTCCACGGCAGCTTCGTGCGCGATGTTCCAAGCATCAGTCTCAACAACGTCGGACCAATCAATGTCACGGTAGACGCTGCTGTTGCCATCGAAGTATCCCAAGCTGACAAGGTTGGAGTAGAAACGAGTGACTGCACGCTCAATTTCACCGCGGGAAATTTCGTTCTGGGTAATTGACTGGTTCAGGTAGAGCTGGTAGGTTGCACCACAATCGATGTCGGTTCCAGCCCGGATGCTCTTGGCAGCTGCGAGGGAGGGAGTGGAGGCATACTCATGGGGGTTGAAAACATTGTACGCAGCGTCGCAATCAGAAGAAACATAGCCATCCTGGACAAAGTCCCAGGTGTCGCGGAGCAAAGTCTGGAGCAGGAAAGTGTTTGCCGATGAGGGAACGCCGTTGACGGCGTTGTACGAGGACATCACACTGTGAACTCTGGCATCTCTCACAGCAGTCACAAACATGGGGGTGAAGTAGCTGGCGAGATCGTAGGAACTGATGGTCAGATCGTTGCCCAGTCTTGAGTGGTTGCGCCAGTTCTCGATGTCATAGCCAGCGTAGTGCTTTGCCGTCGCAGCGATCTTCAGGTGCTCGGGGTCGACGCCACCCTGAATGCCGGTGATGTACTCGTATCCGTAGATTGAGCAAAGGTAAGGATCCTCGCCCGGAGTTTCCTGTCCACGGCCCCAGACGGGGTGGCGGAAGGCATTGATGTTGGGAGAGTAGACATCGAGGCCGAAACGACCACCGTTGTTGAGTGCTCTGGCCTGAGTCGAAATGATGCCAGCGATTTGGTTGACCAGGGTGCGGTTCAGAGCAGCCATGGTCAGGATGGGAGACGGGAAGGAGGTTGTCCAGCTGTAGTCTCCCTCCTCGGTAAGATTGGCTCGTGCCACTCCATGGAGAGATTCACTCCAAACCTGGTAGGGAGGAAGGCCAAGTCGAGGGATGGCGGGCATTTGGTTGCCGGTGCTGTTCACTAGCTCTTCGAAGGTGAACATGGAGATCAGAGCGGCGGCTCTGTCGTGGGGTCTCGCAGTGGTGTCACAGACGATGGTTTCGCTGAGCGGACCAGTGGCGCAGTCGGGGAAGGCGTAATCAATTTTGGCCATAGTGTCGGGGTAGAGATCAGGGTTGCCCTGAGTGTTGTAGTCCACATAGCTTTGGTTGTTTTGCGCCAACGCCGTTGGCGCAAGAGCTGCCAGCACGGCGAGCAATGCGGGAGTGACAGCCATTGTAAAGGGCACTCTCTGAAGGGATGAATGTCTGGGAATCTTTCTGCTCACGACAAAGGCATCAATTTATATTCCAAGCCAAAGGAGAGCTTCCCCACACAACTGAGCCAAGTTAGGAAATCTCTCAGTCGATCTCAATCATCTCACAGGGGGGTTTTCCCGGAATTGTCAAACGTCTGATGCGAATAATTAGCCTGAACATTTTACCGGATCCTGATGCCGGTAATAGCGTTGGCTGTCATGGCTCATGATGCAAGCGTAGGTATTGTCTCGATACTGTCATAGTAGCTGTAGCTATCGATGACAGGGGCCTTTTTAAGATTCGATGCGGCATCCATATTGTCAGCAGAGGGAAGCAATGTCTTCGCAATTAACAGAGCATGGATGCTAGACGTCTAAGAGATGAAGTCACGATGAGCCTTGCTCAGAATAAGCTATTCAAGCTATCCAACCCCTGGCAAGCCATGCACGCCATTCAAGCCATCCGCGGAAGAATGAAAACAAGCAATTTGCGAACCAATTCAGCCTAAAGTTACCCCGGTAGGTACCCCGGTCTATTGGAGTCTCGGGAATTAATAATCCCGCCCCCATGGGGTCCGAGACCTAAATCCCCGCAAAGCCCGGGTTGCGCTCCCGGGTAATGAGCTCGAGCCTCGCGTACGAACCTCGCGCCCATCCGGCAAAGATCTTCCGAAATCCGAACTTTGCCGTTCGCGTGCATCGGGCGTAATCGGATGGGGGAAAGATCTTCCGAAGCTTCGTCGCTTTGATTTTATGATGAAGGAAACTTTGGAGACTCTAAGATTTTGTCAATTATGATAAATACAATCGCTATGAATGCAAACACGTAGCATCTCATAAATACATTGAATCGCTTCCATATTCTTCTACCCGCGCTTGACTTCTTGCTCGAGCTTATCCAAAGCCTTTGCGTACTTGGACTTGAGTGAGTCCAGTGCATCAGCCTTGATCTGAACGCGGTCAATGTTGGAAGTACGTGTAATCCGGCCATCTACACTAGCTGCGATCTCGTTGGCGAACCAGCGGCCTTCACGGTGAGCGACGAGAGTCCATGCAGAACCTTGGCGGCCAGCTCGAGCTGTACGTCCAACTCGGTGGACGTAAGTAGTGATGCTGCTCGGAACATCGTAGTTGATAACATGGGTCAAAGACGGAAGATCGAGACCACGAGAGGCGCGATCGGTAGCCACGATCACTGAGATGCGGCCTTGTCGGAAGGCAGTCAGTGTTTTACGAGAGGCGGACGACTTGTTGGATTTGATAATAGTCCCAATGCGCTTGGCCAGTGGGGGATGCAGGAGAGAGATGAGACGTGAAAGTCGAGAGGCCGACTCAGATGATTTGGCGAAGATGAGAACTGTCTTACGCGATGGCTCAGGGACGAGATCCATGGCGTCTGATTCTGAGTCAGACGAGTCCGAAGAACTGGAGGAATCGGCAGACGAGTCGGAGTCAGAGTCGGAGTCCGAATCCTCCGAGTCTGACCCAGAAGATGACGTGTCGTCATCAGACTCATCAGAACTGGAATCATCATCAGAGCTAGTGTCATCGTCGCTGCTGGAGGTGTCAGGGTCGGATGAATCAGACACATGAAGAGCGCGGTCTCCACTGATCTCGATGTGAGACAAAAGAAGACGCAATAGATAGAGCGGCTTGAGGGATCCATCGCCAACTTGCACAATGTGCTCGGAGAGCGTTGGAGGCAGGGCAAAGTGAGCATCTGGATGAATAGCATAAGGATCTTCTTGATCAACAGTTTCCTCAGACCCGATGATGACCATCTTAGGGTTGGCAAGACGCAAAGAATTGAGCTTGGAGATGTCACGGGTCATTGTTGCACTCAGAACCACCTTTCTAGGAGGCTGTGCATCGATCGCAAGGCCAAGTTCGGACAGAAGCTTGCCACCAGGCCCAAAGGTCTCAGGGGCCTGTCGACTGTTCAGCGAGTTCATAACGACATCTACCCACTCCTGGAAACTTTCGTTCAGGAGACGATCGGCTTCATCAATCACAAGCCATTCGAGATATTTCAGGGTGAATCCCTTGGTGTAGCGAATGTGGTCCACCAGGCGACCAGGAGTGCAAATGAGGATGTCGATGTTAGGCTCGCACTGCTGGATATGACCAGGAAGAGAGTCAGTAGAGCCAACTGCCACGCTGACACAATCTTCCAGGCTCAAATTCATCCAGTCGTTTCCTTTCAGTCCATCGTGTTGTTGTTTCCGAATAGCTGGGTTGTAGACTTGGTCCACACGCATCAATAGTTTCTGCTCGTCTTTAATAGCCACATTACCGACCGCACTCCCGATATGAAGTTTGGATCCAGAAGCACATAGTTCACAGGTCTCGCGGGCTTGCTTCACGAGCTCTCGGGTAGGGACTACAATCAACCCCCTCAGCCTAGAGGCAGGTCTCGGCGGCAAAGCAGTGACTAGTGGGAGAACATAGGAAAGTGTTTTTCCTGATCCAGTCGCGGCAGAGATACAGAGATCTCCGGGGTGGTTCTGCGCGCCTTGCAGTAGGAGGGGAATGACAGCTGACTGGACAGCAAAAGCTTCGTCGTAATTATGTTGTTCGAGGATCTTAAGTAAGTCCGGCTTGATTCCAAGCTCTGAGAACTTCTGCGTGTCTTGGGCTGATTTGCGCAACGGGTTGGCCAGCCAGGCGGGTAGAGATGAATATGTTGGGAGTTGCTCTAGCTCGGGCGGATTTTCGGGCTGAGGCAGTCGTTCAAGACCCTGTGCATAGACAGCCTCGACCGCAGGGACTTCATCTTGAACAGCTTCGGGTTCAGCCTTCTTGGCTTTAGCGCTGGAGACCGTCTTGGTGCGCTCAAATTTCGACAGAATGCCCGCATGCTTGTTCTTTGGTTTGCGCTGTTCGGCTTCGGGCGCCTCGACCACCTCATCGCCCATTCCTCCGGTCACAGACGCAGCCGCATCATCCGAGATATTATCGTTTCCTGTGCTCTTTCGTTTGCTCTTCGTTGTTTTCTTCGTTGTTTCACCGAGGCGGTTACGTGAGTCTGCAACAGCCGTTTTGCTGCGGTCTGACGAGAGAGAACCTTCTTCCCGGGACGCCTCCGGAGAAGTATCTCCTTGGAGCGCATCCTTGAGACGCTTGTGTGTTTTGGCGCTGCCGACAGCGGGGGCCTCTCTGATCGGCAAGCTTTCGCGTTTCTTGGGCTTCTTCGTCGGCGTGGGCGTTGCGGCAGGCTGGGAGCCATGGTGATCTCTCTTGCGCTTGTGAGATGTAACAGATTTAGGAGTCACATCCGCCTTCTTTGCGGACTCAAGTCCTGAATTTTTGTCGACCATTTCCGCGGAATTCTATGAATGTCGAGGTTGTCACGGGATACCTCGTGGGGATCAAATTCCTTCTCTCTGAATCTTTTATGCCGGCAGTAATCAAAATAGTGTCACCGTTATCATCACCGCCCAGATCTTAACGGGGGAGCTTCCAGGCCCACATGTTTATGGATGTCCTCAGAGCATTCGTGTTTCTTGGCTTAAATGGACTGGTGTTCTGAACAGCAGATCTGTTAGCCATGGAAAAGATCTTGACACGAAGTGCAAATCTGACATCTCGGAGTCCTCATCCCGAGAATCGTAGCCACGATGCCGTATAACATCGCGTCAGTATTGCCCAATCTCCTGGCTGTCGCTGCTTGCTAACATTGCATTCCTATAGAATGGTCAGTGACTTCTTTTTCCCCCAGTCAGGTACGCATTGCCTTCTCTCTCATATCTTCTCGCAGTTACTGATCTGTTTAGGTGGAATCGAAAGTCACATATACCAATTGTCGTCCGTAAGCAACCCGGTCCATTGCTCGGCCTACGCTCGTCCTAATCACTTCTCAGAAACTCATTGATCGGGGTCACAAAGTTATCGTAATTACCCACGCATACAAAGGGCGCACTGGTGTCCGTTACCTCACCAATGGACTGAAGATCTATCACGTTCCCTTCTTTGTCATTTACCGCGAAACGACATTTCCCACCGTGTTCTCCTTCTTTCCCATATTCCGCAATATCGTCATTCGCGAGGGGATTGAGATTGTTCATGGCCATGCCAGTCTCAGCAGCTTCTGCGGAGAAGCTATTCTGCATGCGCGTACTATGGGTCTGCGGACCGTCTTCACGGACCACTCTCTCTTCGGATTCGCGGACGCAGCATCCATTCTCACAAACAAGTTACTGAAATTTACTTTGAGCGATGTTGACCATGCCATCTGTGTTAGTCACACTTGGTATGTCTCCTACAGATGCCCCTTTGGACTTCACTAACAGCCTGTAGCAAGGAAAACACGGTCCTTCGAGCTTCACTCGATCCGTTGATGGTGTCGGTCATCCCGAATGCTGTGGTAGCGGAGAACTTTTGTCCCCTATCTCACACTACTCGTGCACCGGACCAGCCCCTTGGCTCACCCCACGATGCTCCAATGTCACCGAGACAAATCGGCCCCGACGATCCGATAACAATTGTGGTCATTTCCCGGCTGTTCTATAATAAGGGTACAGATCTTCTGATCGCAGCCATCCCGCGGATTCTTGCCTCCAATCCCAACACTCGTTTCATCATTGCAGGGTCAGGACCCAAAGCAATTGACCTGGAGCAGATGCTGGAACGCAACGTGCTTCAGGATAAAGTGGAGCTTTTAGGCTCAGTCCGGCACGAAGAGGTCCGCGATGTGATGGTACGGGGTGATATTTACCTCCATCCTAGCTTGACAGAAGCATTCGGAACGGTCATTGTTGAAGCTGCGAGCTGCGGTCTTTATGTGGTCTGTACTCGGGTTGGGGGCATTCCCGAGGTGCTACCCCAGCACATGACTACATTTGCCAAACCGGAAGAAGACGATATTGTACTTGCAACCAGTAAAGCGATTGCTGCTTTGCGCTCGAACAAGGTTCGAACGGACCGATTCCATGACCAGGTCAAAATGATGTATTCATGGCGAGATGTGGCCGCGCGCACTGAGCGCGTCTACGAAGGTATCACAGGCGATATTAGTCCTGAAGAGTTCTATGGATACTACCCAGGTCAAGGCTGGGAGGCCAGCGGGGATCGAGTTCGCAGCTTTGCACTCATTGATCGTTTGAAGCGCTACTACGGTTGTGGTGTCTGGGCAGGAAAGTTATTCTGCCTCTGTGTCGTAATAGACTTCCTGATCTATGTCTTCCTCGAGATGTGGTTCCCCCGAGCCAACATTGACATCGCACGAAGCTGGCCAAAGAAGCAACCGGCCAGTAATTCTCGTGACGCTACGAAAAGTTTCCGTTAGGAAAGGAATCTCAATGGAGAGACCACTGGTCTGTCTCTACCGCCCTACTTCCAGGCTCTTCGTGGCCCTATCTCCCAACTGCATGGCCCTTTTGTACATACCCATTCTCACCTACTATCACATATATAATGTCTACTTAGCAGCCTCGAAGACCTTGGACCAACCCAGTTGTGGTCATTGTCGGTGTGTCCAACCGCAGATAAGAAGACACAACCTAGCAATGGTCACATGTATCCAATACTAATGATCGGAATTTGAATACTTGATATAAATTAACACTAGTGGTATATTGACAAAACTCGATTATGATTAATTAACAAACGCCAGCCACCATGCATTTCGAACGATGCGCTCAACGTCATGTACAAAGAATAGTTGGCTGCCCCAACTTGTATCAACGCATCACCGGCGGACGACCCTCTTTGTTCCATTTGACACGACTTTGTACCCATTCAACGGCCGCCTGGACTCCAGACCCCAGTAGCGCGCTGACCGGCAGCACGCGGCTGTCGCGGACGCCGCTTCCTGTCTCTCCTTCAAAAACCTTGCGGACAAAGCCTTCCTTAATCCGTACCACCTCCACGCAGTCCTCTCGATCTTGCTTATTTGCCAACACCAAGATTGGAACACCAGCAACGTCTGCATTTTGTAACACGGACTCGAGGACTTGTCGGCACTCATCTAATCGGCCGAATTCGCTGCTGGCCGCATTGACTCCGACATTTTGTTCTGAAAACTCCTCTGAATTGGCGGTCCCTCGTGTGTTGTTGCGAGTGAGGCCTGCCCCAGAACCCGTACGTTGAACAAGTCGAGTGATGTCGGGGTCTTGGCCGACATCGGCACTGTCCACCACGAAGATGATCGCATGGCAGCTACTGTAATAGCTTTGCCACAGACCGCGCATGGAGATCTGGCCTCCCACATCCCAAATCTTCAAGTTCATATCATGTAAGGATATCGTTGCGACATTTTGCCCGACGGTTGGGACGGTTTTTCCCGGGTTGGGAGCTGGGGCGCCATCGGGTCGGGGTTGGTAGAGCGCCTTGATCTGGGATAGGAGGGTAGTTTTGCCAGCATTGTCTAATCCAAGCAATATTACAGAGTACTCTGCAGTGCACGTGGTTTAGTATGGGAACGTCATGCGATGCGACACAGCGATCGTACCTTCTTTGCTGGTGGCAGCTAAGTATAGCGACTTGGCCAAGTGGTACATGATCGCAGAACCCTAGGGGAACTTAAGACCAAGCGCAGTCAACGTGGTCGAAGGGGGGATCAGTCACAAACTGAAATCATGACATCGTAGCCTCATCTCTGGTACGCTTTGAAGCTCATTTGACTGGAGGTTCCAGCCTCATCCATTTCCGGAAGGTAGGGTTTAGGGCTGTATGTGAAATCTGGGGGAGATTTCGATCTGAACTGGATAGAAAAATATTTAATTTGATGTTTTCATATTACTGTGTTATATGCATACGGAGTATATGCAGAATATCCAATATCTTCTGTGTATGATGGCAATAACATAAACTGACGTGAATATGACTCCATTCCCTTCCCCGGCCATTATTTCCCTACTTCAACGAGATCAGGAGTAAGGACGGATAGGACCCCATCGACAATTTCCGGCGAATGAAGACATCCCACTCCCCCACTATTCCCGGTTTGTCAGCTTGATTATTGATCGCCGGTTTCTTCTCTCATTCACTCTCTCATCTCATAGTAAATGTCTCCATGGCCTTGTCAACTTCAGGTGAGAAGGCAGTGTGAGGACCTCGGCCTATTTCTGACCGGGGACTTCCGACTTCATCAATTATCTTGCACACCAGTATGCGCCCACGCTAGAGTGCTAGTCTGATATCCATCGTCGTCAATGGAGATTGATACTGTTATCGTCGGTATGTCTCCGCCTGTTTGCGAGGTTCATCGGGGCTCATCGGGGCTCTTCTTACCTTACTGAAGCCCCGCTTTGGGCCCCGCGGCATGAGTGCTTGTGAAGCAGGAGCTAATTGAACTTGCTCCTTCAGGCAATGGGCCGTCGGCCATGATTCTGTCATACATTCTTCATGGCCATATCCCTGTATACTCATCGGACCCTCCGCATCCCGATCATTTACTGGATGCTAAGTTGAAGGCTGCACCGGATCTTCTGAACGCCGATGTGGATGCTCTGACAGCACACTTTGATGCTTCACGTTTGTCATACTCGACGCAGGCCCTTCCAGTGAATGTTTTGTTGGACACACTTGTACGTCCAAGTGTTGATGTGGATGAGCCGGGCAGCATCTCCAACGTCGATTGGCGCTTTCAGCCGGAGAAGGCCGTTCCACATCTTGTTTTTGGCAAGCCCGCGAAACCCGGAGGCCAATGGACCGAAGACCCATTGGGCGCCAGCTGGGATATCCAGACATTGAGTTATGCGGCAATGTTGTCCTTGCCCGGGTACTCCTTTGCCGACCACCACAGAAAGACCACGGGCAAGGAGTTACCGTCATACACGAGACCTACACGGCGCGAGATCGCCCATTACTTTTCCGCTTACCCCCAGGCTGTTCGTATTGATGATTCATTTCGGTGCGGGGTAGAATTGAACGGCATCACCCGTACTGCTGATGGATTTTATATTCGTTCGCAAGATCTCCACTGCAGACGTCTAGTTCTGGCAAGTGGGATTTTTTCCGAGACTCTTCCACCGGAGCCGGTACTCCGCCCATTACTTCAGACCACATCCACACCTACTGTTCCGCTACTCGTTGTTGGATCCGGCTTCACTGCAGCCGATTCCATTATTTCCGCCTCCCCTGACCAACAGATTTTGCATGTCTACAAGTGGTCACCGAATGATCGCCCCTCCCCTCTCCGGGCTTGCCATCAGCAAGCATATCCGGAGTATGCTGGTGTCTACCGTCTTATGAAACGAGCTGCCCTCCAGGCCGAAGCTGCAAGTAAGAATCAGCGACCGAAATACCGACGCGCCACTTCCACACCATTCCTCGAAGGCCGAAATTGGGAAGAGCTCTACGAAGGTCTCCCGAATGTTGAGATCACTGGGGTGGAGATTCTGGGCGACCTGGCAGAGGTGACTTTTCGCCGTCAGGATGGGACGTTGTTCTCTCGACCTGTGCGTGGTCTCGTCTATGCTGCCGGTCGCCGAGGCACGCTCGATTACCTTGATTCCGAGCTCCGCTGTGAAGTGTTGGGGCAGGACAACGAGAAGGATCTAGCGATTACCGGCCAGACTCTCCGTGCGAAAGCAATCGAGGATCTCGAGGTTGCTCCCGGAGTCTACATCATCGGTAGTTTGACGGGAGACTCCCTGGTCAGGTTCTCCTACGGCGGTTGCGTCTACACCGCTGGACATTTGATCAACGGCGAGCGGGACAATCGGAGTGTCTGCAGCAGTCTTGTGTCATCTGCCAAACTGCATGGCTCGTCACTTACGGTGATGAACGGAATGGATGGCCACCTTGTCTATCCGAATGGCGATGCATCAGACCTGACCCGCGAGGATACTTTCAGCAAAATGTCCACTGTCACAGATCGACCTGCTGTCCGTTGGTGGAAGACCTTCTCCCGCATGTGGAATGACTTCCTACGATGAGCCCTATGATCTATTGGATCATGGATGTATACCACGAACCCAATGTACAATTTTAGAAACCAATGGGCACATATCTCTAGTTACATAGTCTGGAGGAACATTCAATTAGTAATACGTCAATGTAATGAGTTAGTTACTAGGTCAGGTATCTCCGCGGTAGGATGTGGTGCCCCGTGACTTCGGTCATGTTCCGTCCCATGGACTGACTCATGGTTACATCTTCGACACGACTCCGCGGGAGCTTATTGATGCGCTTACCAATTGATTTCTAACACTTCTCGGCCTAGATTCAGCTCAGCTTCTATTAAACGAGAAATTCAGGAGAATGTAACTAGCCTCGTGCATCTATCATCGAACATGTCTTCATCCGACCCCATCACGGATTACGGCTTTACGGCCGTCCCCTCCTCATCCGCTACTCTTGCAGCGGATGCCCCAGCAACACCTGCCCCCTTCCTTGCGGTCACTGAGCTTCCAATCCCTACCACACCTCTTGCTCGGCGTATCAATGAATATGCGAAATCGTGTCTTCCTGAGCCCACTTACAATCACTCTCTTCGGGTCTATCACTTCGGTCTCGCGATCAAACGGTACAGGTTTCCTGAATGGACCTTGACGGATGAAACCTACTTCCTTGCCTGTTTGCTCCATGATATTGGAACAACCAGTGAGCATCTGAGAGCCACAAAGTTGAGCTTTGAGTTCTTTGGTGGCTTGAAAACACTGGAAGTTCTGCAGCACTCGTCTTCTGCTGAAGGCTCGGATGCCGTCGCACCCAAAGACCAAGCAGAGGGCGTGGCAGAAGCAGTGATCCGGCATCAGGACTTGTGTCAAAAGGGCAAAATCACAGCCCTTGGCCAATTGCTTCAGTTGGCAACTATCTTTGGTAAGTTCGTTCAGTTCAATCGTCTTCATACAAGCTTCCATGGATCCCAGCCAGTATAATCAATACTCCAAAAGTTGTAGTAGCTTTGACGGAAGTTCACTCAACTGAATCATTATGACACAGATAACACTGGCGCCTACGCCAATTTGGTTCATCCTTCAACCATTGAAGATGTTTCCAAGCATTTCCCTCGTCTCCAGTGGAGCAATTGCTTCGTCAGTACCATCAATGAAGAGATTCGGCTTAAGCCTTGGGCCCACTCTACCACACTCGGCGAAAAAGAGTTCCCTGAAAGGATTCTGGGGAACACTCTTATGGCGCCCTACGAATGATGAGCTTTCAGGGTCATTTTGAAAACGGGTTATGTTGTGGTTATCGTGGCTGCTATTTGTTAGGGCCTCTATGCATCAGAGCACCCGACAGCAACCAGCGAGAAATATGGCTGAGTGACAGGAACTGCGACAAAGAGAGACAGGCTAGTTCAACGAATCTCCATCCTTTCCTATGACTTCAATCGGTAGTGATATTCGAAAAGTCCGAGCATGTTCTTTACCTAACGTCGTTTGTTGATACTTCCGAGTACGTACATGCAAACAAAACATCTTTACGAACGGGAACATTTCGTTAGAATCATAATAAGGCCGTCCTCTGGTTAATATCTAGTTGAATTTATGCATATATCGTGAACTCGAATATTTCGATGTTGGGGTCAGTTGGCTGGCGCATCTCTGAACATCGATGTTCCCTCTGACAACAATCAACATATCGTCTCGTCATGGATCAAGAGAGACCAAACATGATCCGAGCCATTCTCACAACTTTCCTTCTCCTCGTACCATTCTATTGCATCTATAAGCCTCCAAGTCTACTCCTTCGCTACTGTCAACGTCGCTGGCCCGAAGTGCTCTTCCACGTGGACACGAACAAAAAGGTCGTTGCATTGACCATTGATGACGCCCCCTCCATACACACACCTGCAATTCTTCGTTGTCTACAATTACACGATGCCACTGCGACCTTCTTCTTGATAGGATCCCAGATCCCAGGTCATGAATCTATCCTGGTGGATCTGGTCCGAGCGGGCAACGAACTCGCCAACCACGCCATGTATGATGAGCCATCGCGTGCACTCACCGACGTCGTCTTGGCGGATCAGATCCGAGCAGTGCATGCCAGAGTCCAGGAAGCGTATGTTGCTGCTGGGAATCGACCACATCCGGAGAATTGGCTCTTTCGCCCTGGTTCGGGGTTCTTCAGTTCCCGGATGTCGAGTCTGGTAAAGGAGCTGGGTTATCGGTTGGTGCTCGGTGACGTGTATCCACATGATCCCCAGGTGCCCTTTTGGAGGTTGAATGCAAGTCATGTTCTGAGTATGGCCAAGCCAGGGAGTGTGATCATCTGTCATGATCGGAGAGAGTGGACGGTGCCTATGCTACAGAAGGTACTGCCGGAGCTGAGCCACAGAGGGTACCGTGTTGTTACAGTCTCCGATCTATTGAAGGAGAACGATTCGAATTGATGCAAAGGAATAGATGGATATCATAGGCGACAGAATGTACATGTCTTTGGAAACGCTATGGGTATATTTAGACAACCGTTCTCAACACATTAGCCCATGACCTGCAATTGATCCTCCGGAGGCCAGCGAACTTGCGCGAAACTCAAGCACCGCTTGATGCTCTGCAGATACTTGCGAGTAATTTCATCACTGAGAATATGCGCCTGTTGGTCACTCTGATGCAGCTTCTCTCGTGCAGATCGTTCGTGAATACCAACCATCGTCACACCAATGGGCCACGCTCTATAGACAAGTTAGCCTTCTTTCCCTCGCTCCAGACTCAGTGGATCAACGTACGCTTTACCAATGCTCACTCGTAGATAAGCATCGTTTGCATCGACATATCGCCGCTGCTGTGCCTTGTGCACGATCTCAACGATCGGTTCCAATAACCCATCCGCCAGCTCGGACTTCTCGAATAGACGGAATAACGGCTTCATGCTTTCGCGTGACTGGATCATGGCATTGAACGCTTGCCGTCCCTGGAAACTTTCCTTCACTGATATATCACGCTTTGCCAGTGCCATTTCCCATTCCGACAGAACCATGTTAAAGTAAGATGCCAACTGCCGGAAAAGGAACAGTCGGCCCTCCTGGTCTTTCGGAATCTTCGCCGGGATGATCATCTGCCCACCAGGTACGGGCTCTAAGCTGGTGGGGATAGGCCCGTCTGTGATCTTCTGTTTTGGGGCGGCAGCTCGTTGAACCAAACGCCTGTATCGTCGAAGCCGGGCTCGATAATCTTCCCCAAACAGTTTTATTGGCGCATTCATCTCCCGTAGTTTCGTGGTAAGCTCCTCCTCCTCGATGTCTTCTTCCTCGTTCTCCTCGGCTGGGGTGTCTTCCGGCAGCTCAGGTAACCCAAGCCTCCGACGTCGTTCACGTTCCTTTGCTTTCTCCTCCGCTTCTTTCTTCGCCTTGGACTCCTCGGCTAGCCTTCGCCTTTTCTCCTCGCGTTGTCGATTCCGCTCCGCTTCTTCTTCCTCGTGCTTGCGCTTATTTGCCAGGCGTTCTTCGCGCTCGCGAGCTAATCGCGCTTGTTCTTTGTTGTATGCTTCGATACGGGCGGATTCGACATCGCCTCGTCGGAGGTATTTCTTTGTTGGCGCTGCAGGAGAGCCCTTTCCGGTATCTGTGGCGGAGGAAGTAGAGGCTTCACTACCCTTGGCCTTGGAGATCTCCTTGGACATCAGCGCGGCGAAATCCATGGTCGCGAAGGGCACAGCGAGCTGCTGAATTAATGTGTAGCTAGTAAACGAAGAAAGGTAATGAGTAGAGTTGGTGTGTCAGAGCAAGATGTTGTGGAATGAAGATGGCAGAAGCAAAGAATGTTCGGGCACGTCAGAACCCGCAGCTTCGCCGCATTTGAGCTCTCTTCTAGTCAACTCCCCTCCAGCCAACATCTACCTCCATCTAACACATTATCTAAGCTTAGAATCTGCATTAAAGCTGCCACCTTTCTCAATTTCATTCTTCTTTTTTTTGCCTATCGTCAGCTTGCAATTTACGCCCTACCTTCCATCATGGCCGCGTCGCGAGAGGACTCTAGACCCTCGATCAACCGCCAGACCACGGCACCCTTTCACTTGAAGCTTTTCTACCGAAGGAACAACTTCAACCATCTGTCCGACTACAGTATCCCAGCGCCATCCAGTCGCGGAGGACCAGTCAGCGGACCAAATGCCATTTCACCTGCCGCATCTGCAGCGCCGCTACCACCACACCTGGAGATCTACACATGGCAATCATGCACACTACGCGAGCTCTCACAGCTCCTCACTTCTGCACTTCCATCATTACTCCCTGATCCGCCCGTTGGCACTCGCCTCTGCTTCCGACTGATTTATCCCGACGCGCGCGGCGCAGCAATGGGCGGTCCCGATGTCCGTGGCCGATACTTGAGCAGGGACTTGGGCAGTGTTATTGTGGGACCGAGAGACACTCCTCTGCGCACAGACGACGACGAAGATACCCAGGAAACAAGACCTCGTCCTGGCCCGCTCCGGTTCCAGGGCCTCGAAGCCGATAGACCCCTACAAGATGCCAGGTTCATTGTCGGAGACTACATTGAATGCGCTATTCTCGCACCGCTCGAGGATGGATCCGTTGCGCCTGCTCTGAACGGTGCCTCTGGCCCGATGCTGGGACCCAGAGCCGGAGGTGGCATGCGCGCATTCCGTGACAATGGTTACCCGCGTGGTCCTCGGGGAGGTCCTCGTGGAGGCGGCGGTGATCGTGGGCCTCCCAATATGCCGCGAGGAGATTGGCACCGTGGAGAACGGTTGCCCGAAGGTGGCCGAGGTGGTGGCCGTCGTGGATGGGCACCTTATTGAATGAAGAAGTGCGAGGTTCAAAACGAGTTTGTCAGAAGGGCAATGGATACCCCCATGCTAAGCATTGTATGATTATCAATTCCGAGATTAATGGAATCAATAGGATCTACTACGTGTGGTATCTGGTAGCACAAGTCCGACTAGAGACGAGTGAGCTCAAATATGGAGGATGGCTGGGCAACGCTTTATGGACACCTCCGGGGCGCTGTTTGAAGTCTTCTAGGTGTGCCGTCGAAGCATTTCCAGGTAGCTCGCAGATTTCCAGTCGTGATCGGAAGTAACAGAATAAGGAAATCCATGCGATATATGCTTGTAATAAAGTACACGGCCCTGGCAACGGGCATCGGTACGGAAGGAAAGGGTCATTGAGCAAAATCCAGTCGACATACGAAGGCCTTCAACCACAGTGTAGTTCTCCGGATGTCACCATACCACAGCTCGGTACGGACTGATAGTGAAAGGAAAATCGAAAACTTGAATTCATCGCCTAATGTCTACCACTCAGAGATCGTGTCTCCTCTGCGCTTGCCACGGAGCTCGTATTTGCCCTGTATGCCGTTAGCACTTGCCTCTCCGCGAGCATGCGGCCACTGCTGCGAATTCGGCCACAATGGATCAAATCGTACCTCGTACTTGTAGGCAATGTAGCCCAAAACACCAGGGATCAAGCCCATGTAGACAAATGAAAGCATGGCATGGCGCGGGGTCCAGCGCCAGTACTTGTAACGGTTGGCATTGAGTTCTGTGGGTCCGTTAGTCAATCTTCCATCGCAGGGCTATATCGTGGCTCAAAATGCCCGTTTGCGAGATGTGTCCCTGGCAGAGCGCACACATGCATGCTGGGCGAAGCTGGTGCGCATCTCATCTGGGATCGTGGTTCTGGGGATATGGAGGTCGGGGGGTCATGTACCATAGTATTTCTGGAGCGCCGGGTCAAGGATCAAAGCTGGGCAATGGGTTAGCATCTGCGATCGCTGCAATTTCAGGGCTCTTAATACTCACACTTGCTGGGGCCAGCCATTTTTGCGGGGAGCTTTGAAGCGTGAACACGGATTCGGCTACGCTTTGCAAGTGTTCGGGAATGAAGTTGATGTGCACGTGACCGTGAATCAGCTGAATGATGTAATCAGGTCACGATTTCAACCATCTCCAGCACCGCTGCGCCAATCTACACAGTACACAACAAGCTACATGTCGTTTCAAACAATCATTTCATCTTTGTCTAGAGTCAGTCTCATTGACTTGTCACTTGAGTTGATCCTGCTGATCTCTATTGGTGGGAACCTGAGCAAGGTCTCCGAGAGCATACGTCCACCAAATTTCCTCCGGGCCCATCTCAAACACCGAGTTTTTGAAATGACTCGGATAGATGGGAGAGTTATGAACAGCATTGATAGCTTACAATCGTTGGCACTATTTGTCACACTAACTCTACATAGAGGCTGAGAACTTACCCTCGATTTCCTCGACCTTCTTCACGGCACGCTGGTACCCCTCCATACCTTCCAGGCGTTTGGCATACGCGACCAGAAGAGGGTATTTTGCCTTATTCTTTTCGTCCTTTAACATTCGCCCGTTGACCGCAATCACTGGGAAGCTCATCAGGATATCAGCGACCGTCAGCTCCTTGCCGCAAATGTACTGGCCCCCATCTGGGGATGTACGGAGCCGTTCCTCAAGGAATTCGAGGTTGCCGTCGATGTTGCGAGTCAGGAACTGATTCTCAACCTGCGAGGCCACCAAGTTGGTGACTGGTCGAACAAAGAAGGGAGGGGAATTTCGAATGGCTGTTGGGGATGTCAGCGCTGAACGTGGCCATCGAGGCCCATGCGAGAATTGATGGGTGGCGCTTTCCCCGTAGAGACGACTTACAGTCGTTGACCAAGGACATGACCAGGAACGGCATCAGACTGCCCTCCACGTAATGCATGAAGTAGCGATACCGCATCCACTCTTCGGTTTCTCCGCCCACTTTGCCCTCGGCGCCGGGGAGGTACCGTTGTGGTACTAGGGTCGGTCGTCCATTACCGAAGTGGTCGCAGAGATATTCCATGATAGCTCCCGATTCAGCCAACACCAGGGGCTTCGCGGCGTCCGGTGCCTGGATGGTGATCACGGGCGACTTGCCCAGTGGGTGGATTTCCTTCAGCTCTTTGGGAGCCAACTTGTCGGCACGACGCTTGTAGGTTTTGAGCTCATATTTCAGCTGTAGCTCTTCCAAAAGCCAGAGGATGCTTTGGCTCCGAGATTGCTCAAGCCTACAAGGTTAGTTAGTATGATCCTGGACAATGTCGCGGGAAGCTTACCAGTAGAGAGTAATTTTACAGCCTTGATTGTTGTCAGTCATGATGAATCAAAATACTCAAAGGTTGTGTAAAGAGAGAAGTGGGCTTCATATTATTCTTGTACTGGGAGTACACATGAATGATGTCAATACCTATGGCCCGAGGCTTCTCCCAGATAGGATACGAGGCCGAAGATCTGCAGTCTCGGTGCATAAAAGATCTCGATCTTTTATGCTGATAGGTTGAAGTTATTTGATCTTGTGTTTCTGACTTTAATCATATTATTAGATCCATGTACGGGCAGCTTAGGTACCTGAGTTCACCACTTACCTCGGCCATATATATGTCGCACTGATGCCCAGATCGAGGTTGCTATATGGATCTCAGAACCAAAGATGCGCTTACCTGTACCTTACCTCCTAAGTGCCCGAGCACTCTGCCTGATCTGTGAGATTAGAGGAGGACACACCGATAGAAGGGTCCATTCAATGGGCAGCTTTGGGGGTCCAGACTCCAGCCCTGGAGGGCCTACATCTACTTAGGCCCGATGCCATCCCCCGGAATCCACACAGAAACAGGGATCCTGTAGGAGTCATACTTGACTTATATCTACACATAGGTTGTTCCCCGTTGTGAGTTCTATATACTCCTGCTATCATTCCACATGTACGGAGTAGGTTGGGGTCGATCCTTCCCCGCACTGCCGAGGCTTCCCCAGCTATATAAACACTTAACGGGCATGCAGCAGATCTCCAGGACGACAATCATTAACGTCTGTACTCCGCCATGGCCCCAGCAGCAGTATCTGTGAATATTCCCAACTCCTACGAGGAGCTCAACCTCACTCATGTGAAAATTTCCCATCATCCAGCAGGGAGTTCGACAGCCACGCCAGTCGTGATAGTTACGTTGAATCGCCCGGAAAAGAACAATGCATTCACCCCCCAGATGGCTGATAGCTTGGAGTTGGCCTTTCGGACATTTCATCTGGACTCTCGTGTGAAAGTGGTAGTCTTGACCGGCGCTGGACGAATGTTCTGTGCTGGATCGGATTTGGAGATTGGGTTTGGGGATGGGACAGGCAGAGCAGTGGATTTCCGGGATATGTATGTGGCCCTGCAGTGATGACTATGCTATCGTTCTGACAAGCTGTCTCTAGCGGAGGTCGAGTGACGTTGGCTATGCATCGGTGCCACAAGCCCACCGTAGTCGCCCTTCAAGGCTCTGCTGTAGGCGTTGGGATGACGATGACACTGCCCGCGGCTATTCGGTAATACATCTTGCTCATGTTGCATCACATTGAGACTGATCTAACGACTCTAGGATCTGCCATGAGAAAAGCAAATATGGGTTCGTCTTCACCAGACGCGGCCTCACCATCGAATCCTGCGCATCTTATTTCCTTCCTCGTCTCATTGGGCTATCCCGCGCCATGTCACTGATCACAACCGGAAGCGTTTTCCCGGGCTCTTCTAAATACTTTGGCGACTTGTTCACGGAGGTTTTGCCAGAAGCAGGCCAAGTTCTACCCCGAGCCTTAGAACTTGCACAAGATATGGCGGATAATGCTAGCACATTGGCATCCGCAATGAGTCGGGCATTGATGTGGGAGGGTCCTACATCGCCCGAAGCAGCACATCTACTGGAATCGCGCATTTTCCATCATATGACAGGCCAAAGGTGCGTTGTCCTCGAGAGCTACCTGAATCACGATGGCAGCTAACAGAAGGTAGTGACTATAAAGAAGGAGTGAACTCCTTCCTGGAGAAGCGCCAGGCCAACTTCCAGTCCGATCCTTATGAGAAGAGCCCTCAGAACTACCCGTGGTGGTCTGAGGTTGATATCAAGCTGGTACCCCTGGCTTCGAAAGAGTCCAAACTTTGAATTATCATAATTTCTGCTTGCAAGAATGTTTCAACCCTCGCAGTCAGATATGCGGTGCATAGATGCGATATCTCTGGCGTTGGATCAGCGAGAACATGTTTCACAATGTCGAATTTGGTAGATTATTTGATCTCAATACATTTCGCCCGTGCGGCTATCCTTCAACCGTTTCTCAAAGCCTCACCGGTTCTGTGTTAGTGCGAACTAGAACATGTCCCTCCGTGACCAAAGAGTTCTTGCATGAGCGGGCCGAGACGAAATCGGACAGATTACCGAGTGTCACCTCGGCGATCTCTTCGAGTGCCTCGCGAGTAAAGAACCCCTGATGGGAACAGATCAGAACGTTATGGAAGGTCGTCAGTCGCATCAGCACGTCGTCGTCGATGATCTCCCCAGAGTGATCGTTGTAGAAAAGTTCCCCTTCAGCTTCGTAGACATCTAACGCCAGCCCACCCAGCTGCTTCGTCTTCAACGCCTGGATAACCGCGGTGCTGTCGATGAGTCCGCCACGCGAGGTATTCACGAGCAAGCAGCCCGGTCGAATGCATGCCAAAGTCTCCTCGTTGATGAGATGCTTCGTGCCCTCGGTCAGAGGGCAGTGGAGACTCACGATGTGGCTCTCCTTCAGCAGGGTGGGCAGGTCAACTAGCGTCCCGTACTGCCGGAATTCTTCACCGGCGAAGGGGTCGTGCGCGAGAAGTCGGCACCCGAAGCCATGGAAGATGCGCGCGGCTGCCAGCCCGATGCGCCCCACGCCGACGATCCCTACGGTCTTGCCATGCAGTGTATTCCCCAGCAGACCTTCGATGTTGAAATTGCCCTCCCGGACACGATTGTATGCGCGATGGGTGTTTCGGTTCAGCGTTTGGATCAGAGCGACGGCGAACTCCGCCACGGCCTCGGGGGAGTAGGCCGGGACATTCGCCACGAAGAGGCCTAGTTCTTCGGCAGTTGGGAGATGGACATGATTAAATCCCGCGCAGCGGAGCAGGATGGCGCGGATCTTGTAAGCGTGGAGGGAGCGCAATACACGCTCATCTAGAGTGTCGTTGACGAAGACGCACACGGCATCGCAGCCTTGGGCTAGCGGCACAGTCTCCTCGGATAGCGCGAATGCATGGTACTCGATGGTACATAACTGGGAGAAGTTCTTGTCTCGCACTTGATCAAAATAGGTGCGATCGTAGGATTTAGCGCTGAATACGGCCAACTTCATGATGAATATTGTTTGATATGTGTTTTGAGTGGACATACTATCGTCCTTTTGCCCAGGAGTGTTGAGAAGTCATGACGGCATGTGATCATCCGCAAGCAGCCAATTGACCCGGATGGCCAGGTACCTCTGAAGTTGCACATCTGTAACCCCGAATTCTATTGTAACAACTTGGATGTTGGAGGGATTCGTTTCCTACTCCAAGACCGTCAAGACAGTCCAGACTCACAGCCAGCATAGTTACATGGGTGTAGATCCTGGTAAGGCGGAATAGAAATCCCGCTCTTGGCTAGGTAAAGACTGAAACCAATTGCCAAGCCGGACTTCTCACCACCGTCCACTTTGGTCCTTATTACTCCGTACTGGATATCTCGAATTTGAGGCTTTGTGCAGTCCTGTACGGAGTATCCGTACGGAGCACGCAGTACTCCGTCCTGAGTATGGTGTGGGTTCTGGTCGATCGAGAATGGACCTCGGCTTTTCCACTTTCTTCTGGATCATTACTAGTTGGGGATATAATTTCCATTCCCCGAGAAATGATTGGCTTTGAGTCGCCGCAGGACCGGGAGAATACGACGTCGAAAGGCCTTGACCCGAAAGGACAAGCCGGCCCGATGGCCAAACCTTGATTCAACCAATAGCACGGACCGTTAATCGAGGTCCACCAATCACCATCTCATGATAAGAAGAGACGCCACAAGTAGTCTGATTGGTCCTAGTGGGTATACTAGTGAACCTAAGCATTCCCCGAGGAAGGAACGAGTCGGTGTGTCTTTAGGGACTCGATGTAAGGCAAAATAGCGGCATGTAACATGAGAGATGCATATAGACCGTTTCATATATTCGTATTCATTATTGATCCCAGAATAGTTTACTTCAACGACTACCAAGTTTCAACTTATACTACGAGTAACGTTGGTAGATCGAAAACATAATCTCCATGCGGACCCGTAGAGTGAAGAGTGGGGAGACCGCAAAGGGTAAGTTGTCTCATGCTTGCCTCTTGCGGTCTCGACTCACGATCCCAGATTCAATGAAGACAGGAATGTTAGTAGAGAGTAGCTAGAGATTGACAAACAGCGGTCAAAAAGAAAGTCCAGAATCAAGATAGTCCAGATTATGATTTCAGATCCCGAAGATTGTAATTCATGCCGCCGAGAAAGGGAGAGGACGGAGTACTTGGGGGTACTCGGGACTGGGAAGATATCGTGACTATCTTGATGTATTCAGAGGTATTATGTACGTTCAGTTCACAGTAACATGTGTCTAGTCTTCACCTCCTTTTACTTTCACTCTTCACAAAGTTCACATTCATTTCCAACTTATCCTCTTTCCAATATCTTGTTACTCTCCACTCTCCACTGAGCTTCAACGTTCCCGTCTCCACTCAACTCTTGGCCACTTACGACCAGCCCATTTCCTTGCCTTCTTTTGCCGCTCCGGCTGAACGCCGGAACGGTCTTCGAGTAAACGGCTCCTTTTTTTATTATTTTACTTTTTGCCCCTCCGGTGTTTAATGAGAGAGCTCTTTTCGCCGCTGAGGTCAATTGTAAACTCAATCATTATTTTGTGACTTTTATTATTCTTCCTCCCACCTCTCTATTCTTCCCGCTATCTCTACTCCTCTCCCCTCACTTTGCATATCATTATGGCGACTCATGTTATGACCTCAACTGTCCCGGCCAACCAGATCTCGATCTATGGCCAGCCGTCTCCGACCAACTCTACTACAAACTCGACTACCAACTCTTCTACTACCATCTCCGCCACCAACTCTGTCACCAACTCTACTACCAACAACTCTCCCACCTCTCCTCGCATGACCACCGCCTCTCTTCACCAACTCCCTTTGCAGTCCCGTCAGCTGCGTCCTCTTAAGGGCCCTCTTTATGTCCCGGCAGCTCTGCGGCCGACTGAGCGACCTCAGAAGTCCTCGCCCATTACCCCACCCCGCAGCGTGCATGGCTCTCTCGACAGTCTGAACGAGGACACTGAGCCTATCACCCGTCGCTCCACTATGGAGAGTCAGTCCAGCGAGATTAGCCAGGTCGCACAGCACGAATGGATGAAGAATGAGCACCTGGGCATGGTGACCGGGCCTCCGACCCGTGAGCATTGGAAAGTACGTTATTACCTTTTGAAAGAAAAGAAAAAACGAACCCTTCCCCTTCCTTCCGTGTCTTTATAGGATTTTGGTCTGGTTGGAATGGCGCAGTCGTAACGGCAGATGTCGTGAGACCTGGTCATTCCTCGGATATGGCGTGCTTCAGTCCCCCGCCTCAACCCTGTCGCATCATCGTCACCTCTCCTTCCATCGCATGGATCATTTGCTTCAAGACCTGCCTGCTAACCTGATTTTTTAGGCTGACTCGGCTTCTTCCAACTGCGATTCTCCCACCTGCCGCTCTTCTTTCGGCATCTTCTTGCGTCGCCACCACTGCCGTCACTGCGGTCATGTCTTCTGCTCCTCTCACACCCCTCACCTCGTTCCTCTTGACCAGGAAGCCCGCTTTCATCCCGATGGTGTTCTCTCCCGTAGCTGTGATCTCTGTTGGAGTGCCTATCAGCGCTGGGAAGAGAGCCGCTCTGACCGTCTGAGCAAGATTCAAAGCAACATCGACGCCCGGCATGGTGCCTCGGTTCCTGATTTCGAGGGCATGAATGCCAACCCGGGTGCCGAACGCAACCCGAGCGAGGCCAGCGAGGTCGCTGCCTCCGTTCCCCGTGATTGGAACTGGAGTACCTTCTAAATCCGTGGGTGACCAGTTTCCTGGGTCACTGCGGCCAGCAGGACTGCCGCAGCTCGGCGTTCTTTGTTTGATCTTACTCCCATATCTCTCGCCATTTCCGAGTCGTGCTTTTCCAAGTTTCGCATGACTTGGCTTTTTTTTATCTCCATTGGCGACCATGGCATTGGCGTTTCATGGACTCTACGTCCTGGGTTTTGTTTTTATGGCTTTGCATCGTGCAAAGGGGTGTTTTTCGTCGGTCCTTCAGTGACCCGGTTGCTTTTTCTGTCTGCTTTGCGTTGATCAGGATACCCCCGTCGTGTTTCGTTGAGCGGCGCTCTCATTTGATGTTCTTTTCCTTCATAGTTCCTGATCCGTGATGCTCCAGGGAATGCGGCAGTCATGCCATTTCCCCTACGGTTGAATATCTAGTTCGATGTGTTCTGATCTAGTCGAATCATCGATATTGAAACTTTGGCCCTTCTTTCTATGTAATTGTATGTATATTGTATTCTATTCATAGTGTAGCCCGTCGTGCGATCGGTATTCCTTGCATCGATCGTGCGATCCGTTTCCCTGGTCGTAGATCCTCATTTACCAAGAATCACCCGGCGAAACATACCCACATGTTCAATCCCCTCCTCGTCCCACCGACCCAGCGACTCATCCGTTACGAATCCAAGCCCAGCATACATCCTTTCCACATCTACCTGGGCATGCACCAGGACCAAGCCTTGCCACGGCTTCGGAGTAGCAACAGGCGACTTCCCCCTAACCGCGATCTGCACTGCCGCCTCGTTTATCTCCGCCACATGCATAGCCGCCCAGTCCAGCGCCGTCTCCACTAATCGTCGTCCAAGCCCAAGCCCGCGGAAGGCGGGCAGAATCGCCACCCGGGTCAGCTTGATGCAGGGCTCGTGGGTCCAGTCGTACTCCGGTACTGCCTGCTCGACTGCCGCTGGCGGTTCCGTGAGGTGGGCGTGGGGCGTCTGCGGCGGGGGTACGAGGCGGATCACCCCCACGGGCGCCGCGCTCTCGTTAGAGGTCTCGTAGAGCACCCAGTGCCAGCTCCGGAGGTCATCGCTGTCGATCTCGGCGTCTGCACTGCAGTGCTGCTCGTCGACGAAAACGTGTTTGCGGATTATCATTGCATCGTTGAAGATGGTGGGGTTGGTGTTGGGGGTTCCCTGGGATGGGAATACCAGCTTCGCGGTAGGTCCTGGCGGGGGTTGGATTGAGGTTCTGAAGGTTGATTTTGAGGCCATGATGATGGAAGCTTGAATTCGGGTGTCGAGAGCCTTCGCGAGTGCCAATTGGGAGGATTGAGATGGGAAAGGAAGAAGATGTTGGATGGTTTCTTGTATGGATGCCTCATTATCCAGGCTTGCAACATGCGAAGCCGTCGGAGACCATCATCACCGATCTAGCTATAATTAGCTAGTGGAATAGGAAGTAGAAGTGTCGGTAACAGAGAATCTATCATGATTGAAAGCAGATTTGAATTATTCAACCCCGTTGTGATGCTGAGACTCGTTAGAATATGCCATCAGGTGCAAACAGAACAAACAACGTCAAAATATCATCAGGATCTCGAAACTTTTCAACTTCGCTATTCCCTCTCAATTTCCAATGTCGCTATACTTTGATGCGGTTGCTATCTTGAATGCACCCTCCTCAGGGGGCTCGTTCAAGTCCCGAATTTACAGCGCTCGCAACCTCCGCGCATCACCTGCGCAGATCTATGCGCTGGTCACCGAGGCTGCGAAATGGGACACCGTGCTGACGGAGGTTATTGATAAATCTGGCATCCTCGCCCTAGAGCGCAAGGTGAGATGATATTAGAAGAGCCACTGGAGATTCCTACTGACTGACAAAGTGATTCTCATCTAGCTTTCTCCGCTCCTCGCTCTTCTCCTCGTCCATGACCATCTACTTGCGAAAAAGGGCATTGCAGCGCCTGCGACTCACACACTTCGCCAAACTGTGGAGCGTCACAAAGTTCGGCTCCACGCCGAGTTCACCAAGGCGCGCGTGCGTCGTGGGTGCGCCACCGTCGAGCAATTCAAGGCCACGATCCTTCGCGAGAAACGACTGGCAGATGGAACCAGCCATTTCATTTACCCCCGCTGGGTGCGCATTAACAACATCCGCACGACGCTGGAAGAGCAGCTCAACACAACTTTCAAGTCATATCGTCGGGTAGAGAGTTTGGCAGAACTGGCCCCAGACGATGAGCTTGAAACCCGCAAGCCCGAGCCTCGATTGTTCATCGATCCTCATATTCCGGATTTGGTGGCTGTTCCATTCGGCGCAGACTTCACTTCGTCATCTGCCTACAAAAATGGAGAAATTATTCTCCAGGACAAAGCGTCCTGTTTCCCAGCCTATCTCCTGTTGGGCGACCGCGGGCCCAAGGACGCATGGGAGGGCGATCTGGTCGATGGCTGTGCCGCTCCAGGAAACAAGACGACACACTTGGCTTCGCTTATAGCCAAACAATACAAGGAAACGACGAAAAGCGGGCCGAAGATCTTCTCCATGGATGCATCTACCATGCGTTCCAAAACACTTCAGAAGATGGTAGGGTTAGCTGGGGCTGATTCAGTCACCGTGCTGCAAGGCCAGGACTTCCTCGCTCTCGACCCAGAAGATGAACGTTTTGAGAACGTGACCGGGTTACTGTTGGATCCTAGTTGCTCTGGTAGCGGTATTATCGGTCGTGATGATGTCCCTCACTTCACATTACCGACTGCGGGAGCACCCAAGGCACCCAAGTCCCATGGAAAGAAACGAAAGCGCAATGAAACCGCCGACGAACCCGAGGGTGAGCAGTCTAAGGCTACCATGGGAACTCCGCAGGCCGCGCCCACAGATGAGAATGACATCCCAGATGGGACCATCGACCCAGAGCGACTGAGCAAACTCGCAAGTATCCAAGCACGGATCGTTGAGCACGCCCTCAGTTTCCCCAATGCTACCCATGTGACCTACAGTACTTGTTCTATCCACCTGATCGAGAATGAGGGTGTTGTGGCTCGCATCTTGAGCACTCGAGTTGCCCAAGAGCGCGGCTGGCGCCTTCTTCGGCGCGACGAACAGCCCGATGGCTTACGTCGATGGAAGAAACGAGGTGTGCGGGAGGAGCAGCCAGCGGAGGGGGAGACAGGGCCATCAGGCACCGTCGATCTTTCCGACGAAGCATTAGAGGCGTGCATTCGATCCTGGCAAGGTGACGCAGAAGGCCTGGGAGGGTTTTTCGTCGCCGGATTCATCCGTGATCCCGATCATGCTACTCCGGCCGTTTCAGTGAAGAAGGACCATAAGAGCCATCAACAGCCGGAGGAGCATGACACGAGTGAAGACGACCAAGAGGTTTCAGACTGGGATGGATTCTCCGACTAGACATTACGAAATTGATGCAAGCCCCTACCTGTAGTATATATATCAAGGCTATGTGTTTGATATCATACATCCATTCATTGCTTTCCGATATCGCCGTTCTAGCTTTGGACACGCGAACCGGCGAATAAAAATGTCCGTGACTGATTCCGGACCCGCGAACTGGTATATACGTCCAGCTTGACAGGGATCAAAACAGCCTCGTGTATTCCAGTTGCACCCTTCTCCACCCGTATTCGCCATTGCCCTGTGCGAATGATCCAGGGTGTGTCATCCGTACCATCGATTCGTGGCCGTTTGGCTGGGGGCAGACTATTTGTATCAGCTTCCGCCTTATGTGTCGACATGGCCATAGGCTGCTGGTTCTGCTCGCCATCCACTGTGAGATCAGTTTCACAACTGAGATGGATTTTGATTGGGGTTTGATCCAAAGGCGGATGTGCATCAGGCAGGTCCATCTTTTTGCGTACTGTCTGTAACAAACTGGTGATCCTTTGCTTCGAGAGACCTAGAAAGTCAGTGCGCATGCTTTCTCGATAGAATAGACTCGACTCGTCGCCAATTTCAACCACCAAATCAGCAGCCGTCTCATCTACAAAAGGGCGCGCGTATTTGACCCTTCCACCCGCCAGATGCGACTCAGCTGTATCAAAGCCGAAATCAATTCCAGATGGCCGCACATCCTCCAGCCGTATGACAATTTCCGACCGCTGGTTGAAGGGGTTTGTCGTAATCTGATGCGGTATCAACTTCTGTTCCAAGCCGCGCAGGTGGAAATAACGACAGTCGCGCAAGAGCGACGCCCGGTGCTCCTCATTCCTTATATGTATTGGATAGCCGCGCAGCATATGAAGAAGTTCGTCGAAGACGTCGGCAGATCGATTTGGCACGCTCGGGGGGATGATGGCCGGAGGTCGCAAAAGACCTTGGCGGTCCAGGCCAGGAAATACTTCGGAGGGAGAAGCGAAGAAGGCGGCGAACCCGAGAGTGAAGAAATTGGGAGAGTCACCGGGACTCGAAAATATATCGCGGGGAATTTGGAAGTGACGGTCGCCAATTTGGATGAAGCATTCCGCCTCGAAAAGTTGGGACATTAGCCGGGGCACTGTTACCAGTAAGCAATCAAAGCTACCTCCGCGGACTTGGAAGGGGCGATTCGCACATGAGTAGAATTGCGCGTCAGCAAATAGCTTAACGAATTGAGCGCCATCCTGCGGTCGAATATGGTAGCCTAAATGCGCCATCAATTCCCGTCCTATCGTGTTCGTTCATGGACTCATGTACCCTGCAGATGTCTCGCAATTTCGCGAAATGTGGCTGGATCGCGGTCGATGTAGAGAGTTCTAATGTTGGCGACATCCTGAGTCTGAAGCAGTTGATCCTCGAAGAACCGTGAGAAGTAGGATGGAGCTGGTTCGGGTTCAGTTTGAGGATTCAGAGAGCAGACGCGTCCACTGACCATCTGAAGCAATTGAAGCTCCGGAAAGACGAAAGACCTCGGATCCAATTTGAATCGGAAAGACTTTCTCTGTAGGCAGATTACATTTGCCAAAAGCCGAAATGCGCTCCATTTCGTCGATGCTGGGATATAAGGTAAGGAGGAGGACAAGGATGACGAGGATGAGGAGATCGGAGAAACTCCATCCGGTAGTCCGTTCTTTAGACTTGTCACCTATTCAATGACGCAGTACAAGCTACTTCACTTTACGCTCTCTTTCTCTCAGTGAAGACACTGTATTCCATGACTGTTCTATTCACTATTCAGGTCTGGTATAACAAGATGGGTCAAAATGTCCAAAGCCAAGTCTCGATGCAAAACTGTTGAGGTTCACATGGTCTTGGAGCTCGGCAGTTTCCCCGCATGGAAGTTCCCCAGTGATATTTCTCCCTCAGGTGCCCCATTCCTTGGGTGAAAAGTGAAAATGAGGAGATCATCTCTCCATAAGGGGCACTTCGTTGGCCCTGTGGGGGTGGGGTATCAAACTAGGGATATTGACAGGGTGTTAACTGGCCAATACGAGAGACCCGGAGACCCAAAGACCCACCATCACAAGGATTGAAAGGCGCTTGAACTGCTCTCCCCTCAACCGAGGCTCTCTCTTCCACCCTCTCACCTTGCCCCAGATCTTTGGTGCTTCTATTTTTTGGCGTTGTGAGGGCCCGAGGGCGTCAATCGCATGACAGTGGAGTCCCACGCGGAAGATCACACCAACCAGACCTCGATCGCCCTGCTAAAGCTGCTGAAGTTGAGCCACTTGGACTTCGTGATTCCTTGCCGTCATTGTGGGGATCCCGATCGAGCTAGTTGAACTCGTAGTTGTATATAGTCATGCGGCATGCCTGACCCGGTCTCTTCTTCTTCTCTTTCTCTGCACCGACACTCCATATTTCGTATTCCTCATTCTCGTCCTTTCGGTGATTCCCGAGCTTGGCCAACAAGAAAACTTCAGTTGCGTTGGGCTTTGCAGTATGCCGACTCAGCTTGTGTCCACATACATCCCGAGGGAAGTCCCCCTTCCGCCGGTACCTTCGGCCAGCTTCTTCTCTGAGTTACAATGGAAGACATTTTATGCGCTAGCCGACGCAATTGTGCCCTCCATCCACACTGCGGCCACCGGCAAGTCATCGAAGGACCATGTGGTCTCAGATGCAGAGTGGGATATCGCGGTCTCGCGCTTATCAAGGCTGATCCCTGGAACCGATGCCGCACAGATTGCCACCCAGTATCTGCATGAGAATGTTTCCTCCAACCCGCAATTCCGGGCCGCGATCGAGCGAACTCTGGGCCAGTATGTGCACACCGAAGGGAAGAACGGGTTCGCCCTGATCATGACAGCGCTCAACACCCGCGCCGGCTCGCTGATTATGACAGGCTCAACCACTCCAATCCAGGACCAGCCTATCAAAGCCCGGGAAAAGATCATCCATGGATGGGAGTCCTCACGGTTGCCTCCTCTCCGCGCCATCTACCGGGGACTCACGGGCCTCGTCAAGAAGACTTGGGCTCTGACCAGCCCAACTATAAGCCCGGTTCTGGGGTTCCCTCGCATCCCTGTTCATGGCAAACCGGCCGACGGTTTCAAGTATGAGTTCTTGCAATTTCCCCCTGGGAATCAGCCAGAGACCATTGAAACCGACGTGGTCATTGTGGGAAGTGGATGCGGCGGCAGTGTGACTGCTAAGAACCTAGCTGAGGCAGGCCATCGCGTACTGGTTGTGGAGAAATCCTACTCTTATGCCTCTAATACGTTCCCCATGAACCCCAATGACGGATTTATCAACATGTTCGAGAATGGCGGTGCAATCAGCACCGATGATGGCTCGATGGCAGTCCTAGCAGGCTCCACCTGGGGTGGTGGTGGCACCGTCAACTGGTCGGCATCTCTACAGACACAAGGATATGTCCGACAGGAATGGGCCAACGCTGGACTTCCTTTCTTCACCTCCCTGGAGTTCCAGAAGAGCCTGGACCGCGTCTGTGACCGCATGGGTGTCAATCACGATAAGGTTGAGCACAACCGCCAGAATCAAGTGATCCTTGAAGGCGCACGGAAACTCGGCTACGCTGCCAAAACAGTGCCCCAAAATACGGGCAACGGCGAGCACTACTGTGGATACTGCACGATGGGATGCCCGGGTGGCAAGCATGGCCCCACGGAGACATTCCTTGCAGACGCTGCCAGGGCTGGCGCAACTTTCATGGAGGGATTCCGTGCCGACAAAGTGCTCTTCAAGAAGGTCAACGGCAGAAAGGTTGCTTGTGGTGTACGAGGAACGTGGAGGTCGCGTGATTCATATTTGGGGCTTAGCGGTCCAGGTGTCGTAGAGCGTAAGGTGATTATCAAGGCCAAGAAAGTGGTCGTCTCGGCTGGCTCTTTGCAAAGTCCGCTTCTGCTACTCCGCAGTGGTTTGAAGAACTCCCACATCGGTCGTAACCTTCATCTCCACCCAGGTAAGAGAATTCTTCGTTCCATGCAGCGCACACCACAGACTCTGACCCTTATCTACAGTTATCGGATGCGGTGCTGTCTTTGATGAGGAAACCCATCCCTGGGAAGGCTCTGCATTGACAACGGTAGTCACTGAGTTTGAGGACATTGATGGCCATGGCCATGGCGCGAAGATTGAGTCAGTCTCGATGCTGCCTCCTGTGGTTGCTCCCATGTTCCCCTGGCGAGACGCGTTGGAGTACAAGCTGTGGGCGGCCAAAATGAGTCACTGCACGAGCTTTATTCCCCTGGCCAGAGACCGCGATACCGGTCGTGTTTATCCAGATCCTGTCGATGGACGCTGTCGCATTGATTACAAGGTCTCTGCCTTTGACAGTAAACACATTGTGGAGGCCACGATTGCCTGTGCCAAGATTGCATACATCACCGGTGCGAAAGAGTTCCATACCACCTACGGCGACCATCCTCCGTTCATCCGGTCTGAGAACTCCGACCTCGAGTCTCCCGAAGGCGTCAATGATGCGGCCTTGCAGAGTTGGATTGCAGAGATCCGTCGAAAGACTCCCTTGCACCCCGAGCGCGGTATGTTCGCCAGTGCACACCAGATGGGCTCCTGCCGTATGAGCAAGTCAGCCAAGTCCGGCGTAGTGGACTCGGATTGTCAAGTCTGGGGCACTGATGGCTTGTATGTCGTGGATGCGTCCGTGTTCCCCAGCGCCAGTGGTGTAAACCCCATGGTGACCAACATGGCGATCGCCGACTGGGCCAGCCGAAACCTTGCGAAGGCGATAGGTCCTGCTCGGGGCGAGGGCAGCGTGATGGCTCGTCTGTAACGTGGTTACTGTGGGGTTTGCCTTGCTGTTCATGCTGTCTCACCAGGACCGACCGCTCGATACAAGCCTGTCTTGCAATTATGATATCCTTAATATGATCATGCTGTATAATCCGGAGTAAATATTGTTCACAATGTAGCCAAGTTGCTAGCTAACTAACACGCGGAGAGTAGAACGTCTATGAATTTCTTTTCAATTCGTGATTTTGACTGGACGCTAATGCTATTCGTGCCTTTCATCAGATTAAGATCTAAGCCTCAGGACCCTGACGCTTCTCAATGTACTTCTTCTCGCCAAAGGCCTGCTTGACACCCTCAGCCTCGATGGTGCGCTCGTACCAGCTGATGACGGTGGGGTACTTCTCGCGCATCTCGGCATCGATCACCATAGAGAAACCCCAGACCAGAGAAGAGGCAACAGTGATATCGGCCAGGCTGAGCTTATCATTGTCGACCAACCAGGTGCGGTTCTTCAGGTGAGTCTCCAGACAGTCGAGGGAGCGCGCCAGACGATCAAGGTTGGTCTCCTCTGTCTTCTGATCGTAGGGGCGAATCTTGAGGCGCCACAGGGCCAAATGGGTCACCGGGTCCAGGATCTCACCCTGTGCAAAGCAAATCCACTGACGGATGGTGGCACGCTTGGCAGGGGTAGATCCGAGCAGCTGGTCAGCGGCAGGGCCACTCTCAGCAATGTACTGGGCGATGGCATCGGACTCGAACAAGGTTGTTCCATCGGCGGCCTCGAAGGCGGGCACCTTACCCAGAGGGAACTTTGCAAGGAAGTCTGGGGTGCGGTTGGTCTGGCCCATGGTGAATTGGGGAATCGCCAGCTCCAGCCCGTTCAAGTTAGCCGCAGCCTGGGCCTAAGAGACATGGCATTAGCTAGAGCAATTCTGACTGGTCGGATATTATGCCATACCTTCATGATCCGAGGGCTGGGCATGTAAGAGTAAATTGTGCCGAATGGTGCCATTTTGAATGATTGGAGATGATTGGAGGAGATTAAGATGAAGAAATTGTACGTCAAACGGTCCTTAAGAGAGTCTTATGTGTTGAGATCAGTGGGAAGTTGCTCCAGTTGTCAACAGAATGGGGCGGAATCGAGTGGAATCCGATTTCTAAGCCAATTTCAGCTCCAGCTGAGCAAGCAGGTAGATCTTGGTGATGATCAATGCAATGCTTTGTCACTTGTGTGTGTACATGACATATATGTTTTCATGTTATGATGTTTCAGCTTATTGAAAGAATGCGAATCTGCACTAATTAAGGGACATAAGTCTCTCTTGCCCGGGAAAGGGGCAAGTTCCGCATTTCAACTCCCCAATGAATTGGCACTTTCAGCCCCCCAACACATTGATATGTAGCTCATATCAGCTGAAAAGATGAAAGCAGAGATATTTGAGGTCTGATCAGATCACACATGAAGTCATATCAGTATGCAAAATATAATCCATCTGAACGCCAACTCCGACTTTGAGGGGAAACTGGGCACCCCCTTGAACAAAGAAGAGACAAAGTACTCAGGTGTGTATGTGATATAGAGAAGACACCCAAAATTCGCTGTGGCACCCCAGACAGTCAGCATGTCAGACATCTCAGAGCATGAGGTCCATTCAAGGCTACTGTGTCATGCCTAGTACACCTCGCCAAGACGCATATAGTTCCAGCAAACTGCAATCCTTGTCAGCTCTTGAGTCAGAATTTCCACATAATGATAGGAACGTACTACTATGTCCCATGTCTTTCCCAAATAAGCTCTCCATCAGATCTTCACCCTCTCGAGTGCCCTCTCCTGGGGAATAACTGACGGCCTTTTTGCCAAGGGCCAGCCCCATTACCGAGGGGAATGGCTCCAGGGTTTGAGAGTCTGCCTTTGCACCGGTGCACTCCGCCAGCATGTGCTGGTAGATGTTCACACCCGCATAATGACCCATATGCATTGCACCACCACAACGCTTGATACCTTCCCACGCTGTAAGGTCACCTACTGCCCAGTGATGCTCTGCATTGGGGATATCACCGGAGAATTGTAGTCTTGAAAGTGATTAGACATGCTGCAGAAAGCGGAGGAATGGAATGGGAAATTGCTTACGAGCGGTGCACTTTGATATAACCTTCCGGATTCAGTGCCTCCTTTGGCAGGTATGTCGACGTCGGGATGCTTTGCGAGATGGCACTCAAGACATGGCCAGTCGTGAGTGTTCGGCCGTCGCTGAGCGTGAGCCTCCAGACCCGTGTGTCGTGTTCCGCGTCAACAGCCGTGGTCTCGATGACGCGTTGCTCGAGTATGACCTCGACACCTGTCTCACGCAATATAGACAATACGCGTTCGGCAAAGTCATCCGGCAAAGGCTCGGAAGAAAGGAGACGCTTTCGAGAATGGATGAGAGTCACCTTCTGCTGTGGGTTGAGCATCTTCAACTCGGCAGCCATTTCCACACCCACGGCACCTGACCACAACAAAATAGTCAGAATGGGGATTTAGTTTTCCACAAAGTTCAACCTCACGAACCTCCGCCCACAACAACAACGCCATCACGAGCGTGCTTCACATCAGACATATGGTCTTTGGCTTCTTGGAGGAAGTCATTTCGGTGCAAGGATTGAGGAACTGTGGGAAAGGTCCGGCGCAGCCCAGATCCCGCAATTAAATAGTCATAGGGCTCCGTCCGGTTGTTCTTGGTCTCTGCATCGACAATATGGGCAACTTTGCCGTTGAAATCAACCGAAGCAACGGTTCCCTGAATGAAGGCGAGACCTGGATATTTAAGTCCGGGAATATCCTGGAACCGGGTCCATGCCTTAGAGGCAAATTTCTCACAGGCTAGTGCCTTTGGAGACCCGATCAAATGAACTAGATATGTGAGCGAGGTGTGACAGGTAGGGCTTGGCGGATTGGGGAAGCATACAGTAGCCGTCTCTCTTATCAACGACTGTTATCTGGATTGGAATACGATGGGCAGGGGCTTTAGAGTCAGGGCTGCAGTCAAATCGGGGGACACGACCCTGTGAAAGATCGATGAGGGCCAATGCAGCAGCTAGACCACCGTAGGAGCCACCGATCACAAGCACTCGAAATTTGCGGGATACAGTTCCGACAAAGTCGTTAGAAGGCATGATGATCTTGAAATGAAGGATATGACACTGGAGAAAGGAGCAGGAGGGATATAGAAAAGAAAACCGACAAGGAGCTTGCTGGAACGGACCAAAAAATCAAAATAAAGACGACCTAGGTAGGGTTATCTCATCGGATCAGCGGGCCCGGAACTTATCAGATTGAAAGCGACATCGGATATCTTGGCTTTGTCTCCTGTGGCTGGGGTTATCTGATCCGATGGCAGCCGAGAAGGATGAAACATACGATGCCCCTCGGTTGTACTAACCAATTCCCACCAGTCAGTCGCAACACCCAACGTTTCTGGGGCACCCAGACGAGCTGGAGTCCTAACCCATTTGAAGTTGGGCATTCGAATGCCGTCAAATACGTTGGCCTGGTTGAACAGGTGTTGTATATCATCTTTTCCGTTATATGGACGAGTTTTGTACTTACATGTACATGTAACTAGTTCGAGTTTCATGATTCTGTATATTGTACGGTTGACGCCAAGAACCTTACAAGGTTGGGAATAATGGGACCACCCGAGAAGTTCCATGGATGTGGGCCCACGCCCAGGCCGTGGATACGGTAACCTGCATACGGTACCTGGGTAAGATATTCCGAAGTTTTACCTTCCATGGGTCAATACAGCCACCAAAGCAAAAGGGGAGCGATCAGCGATCAGACAAGATGAACATCTAATCTGATTCTGGGAAGTGGATACAAAATGGTCACGGCCAGCTTCACGATTGGTAGAGAAAATGGCGCAATCCGTTTCGAGACCCGCCTGTCGTCACGGTAACTTGTTGTTACTCGATGTTACAAGCGTCGGAGTGAACGAATAGGTAATAGTAAGATCTGATAAGATACGCCCCTCATTTGCATCAATGAAATGTTTTTTACCCAGGTTGTGGAAATTCACCTGGGCGTATTAATTCAACTCTATGACTTCGTGCACCGAGTATCTAGCATCGGGCAACCGGCAACGAAGAAGACTATCCTGTCCTACTTTTCCCTTTTTGTTTATACCTTCTGGCGCGCGGCCAGCACTGCCATCGCCATTTCCCGTAGCTCCACCTTCCGAACTTTGCCGCTCCCCGTTACAGGAACCGTACTCGGCACCCCCTCTTCTCCAAATACAAAAACATGCTGCGGGGCTTTGTGTCGGCCAAGAGTCTCGCGTGTCCATGCGCGCAGTTCGTCGTCAGTCGGACGACCGGCGCCCGGAGCGACCGCGATAAATGCCCCAACAACCTCGCCGTATTTTGAATCGGAAACACCGATCACAGATGCCAGCTCAATAGAGGGATGTGCGGCCAATCGTTCTTCAATTTCGAGAGGATAGATGTTTTCACCGCCTGGATCTCTCCGCATAAGAAAGTGTGCCGACGGAGGTGCGAAGGGGGCTCTAACTTACCGCGAATGATTATGTCCTTGAACCGACCAGTGATGGTGCAGTAGCCTTCTGCGTTGAAAGAAGCTTCGTCGCCAGTCTTGAGCCATTTGACACCCTCGGCGTCGGTGATGAATGTCTCTGCCGTTTTCGCTGGGTTGTTCCAGTATCCCGCAGTGAGCTGGTAGCCTGCCATGCAAAGCTCACCGCGTTGGCCCACAGGGACGATATTTCCCTGCGCATCGATGATCTTTGCGCGAGCATGTGGCATAACCTTTCCGACGGTGGTTAATCTTGTGTGGATGCTGTCGGTGGTGAAGGCGTTGAAGCAAGTAGGCGACGCCTCCGTAAGACCTAAGACTGGATTAGCATTTGATACGCGTCTTGACGAAAAGGACAGTAAGCACCATAGCTACTAGTGTATTCAGTCATGTTCAATTCCGCTAAGAGGCGCTTCATGAGTGGTCGCGGGACTGGGGCACCAGCAATGATGCCTGTGCGAAGATTTGAGGTATCGAAGTCCGAGGGCTTGGGAACAGCGAGGATCGCCTCAAACATGGTTGGGACACCATGCAGGGCAGTGCATTTCTCGTCAGAGATGGCATGCAGGACAGCTTTAGGATCGAAAGTCTCGCTGGGGAAGATGATTTTGGAGCCATGCGTGACCACCGCCAGCATGCCTAGGACCAGCCCGAAGCAGTGGAACAACGGTGGTGGACAGCACAGGACATCGAAAGAAGTGAGGTTCATGCGGTCACCGATAAATCGCGAATTGTTGACTAAGTTGCTGCACAAGAATTAGTTATCTTCAGTCAAGGAGACGAACAGCCAAAACGGCAGGAGATCCAAAGAACTCAGAAAGGATCGGCACTTTGTCGCAGGCGTTTTACATACTGGTGTGTCAACATAGCGGCTTTGGGATTGCCTGTTGAGCCGCTGGTGAATTGCAAATTGCAGACATCAGTGGGCCGCAATTCACTTTCGCGGTCCTGGAGCACATGGGCAGCCTGCGATAGGCCTCGTTCTACGACATCCTGGTAAGTAGTGAAGTTGTTGTAGCTTCCTCGAAGGATCACGATTTCCTCCAGGGATACCGATGTCGCCGATTCTTTGGGGGTGGGACCGAGTTCGGCCAAGACTTCCTCGATATTATGACGTCCAATGCGAGGTGTCATGAAGAGCATTCGGCATTCTGAAAGAAGACCAAAGGAAAAGAACTTAGCATGACGCTCATAACATGGAAACTGGATATCACCCACCACTATGGTTCAGAGCGTAATATAGCTCCGAGGGAGTGTAGGTGTTGTTCAAAACAACCAAGATAGCTCCGACTCGGGCGGCCGCAAAGAACACCGAGATGTACTGCTCACAGTTCCCCGCCATGATGCCGATGCGGTCGCCTTTTTCAATTCCCGAAGCCAACATCCCTCGGGCGAGGCGGTCGCTCTCACTCTTCAGTTGGCCATAAGTCCACCGCGCACCAGTCCAAGGGAAAACCAGACACTCAATTTCACCATACTGCAGCGCTTGAAGTGTCAGCAGCTCCCCCAATGTGATGTCTAGTAGCGCGGGCTCTGTCGGGCCTGCAACAATGGACAGCTGCGGGGTGGTAGGCTGAACATGCGAGAGCGTCTGCTGCAGTCGCTGTACACTTCTTGGGGCCGCCATGCTGAGTTCTAGGAAGTTGAGAAGAATTGACGAAAAACCGTGGAAAAAGCGGGCTTATAGACGTAACCGACAATATCGCCCCAGTTTTCGCACAAGATAAAATGAAAATCTCACTAAATCCATTTATTCGCATCAGATATGCCGTCGACTCCACACCTCGGAGTTTTGTATTTTTGAATTCCCCGATTTTAGCTTTTATGTTTGGCTGGCCCTGGATCTTGGCGTCTTACACAACTCCACTCTAATCTCAGAACTTGGGAATACGCAAGCTCCGAGGTAATTGTCTTGTGTGAAGGCTTTTCCAATGGATTTTGTAAATGCGATCGGAACATCGGGAGCATGTGCATTTGGATCTTCCTCCTTGGAAGACAGGATACCGATACACCATCGTTCTCAAAGGCTTCAGTCATTGCGCGAATTACCAGATGCGGTGGCTTATTGGGATTTGTGACGGACTCTCGGCCGTTGAGAAGTGGCCTGACGGTGCCCGGGGGATAGCAATTTTTTTAATCATTTGACACGAATGATCATGAACTACCGAGTCCTTCAATACGGGATTCAACGAAGGTTGTCCAACATCTCCGGTGATCGTCTGTTGAAGTTCCCATCACGGTAGTCTATGATGTACGGTACATCGATGTACATCGTGATTTAGAATGGTTTGTCAGAGTGCAATCTATGTAACATCTTTCTGATCCACCAAGAAGGTTGAAAACCCTCGTGGCACTGGACTCCACTTAGGATCAGATAACTTCGGTGCAGAAGGCACTCCGTAGGTGCGGGTTTTATCAATCAGTTGGGACTTGGAAGAGGTTTCCTGAGTGGACAACGGTACATACCTTGGGTATTTTTGGCATCCCGGGACCCGAGTCTTGGCATACGTAGCTCGTTCGAAGCTCGGTGTTCGGCTGGAAGACAAGGGTGAGATGGGCCTCAGGGTGTTGTTCAGAATCGTCTCGATTGCAGGCCTGAAGTACCGCATGTGCATCTAGGTCATTCGAGCACCGCGAACTGACTCACAGTGGCTTGATGCGGCCAAAACGCAACCATAACGCCCCTGTCATAGGCTGCATGTATCCGTATCGTCACGCGGATAACAACCCTGGAATGTGTCTTGGCATATCTAATCAATCGGGCTGATCTAATCAATCATTCCCGACAGGGAATTGCTAAGGACAAGCTTCCCTTGCCGACATCGGCGAATTTGAGTTGGACCGACCAAAGGATACCAGCCATATCAATAATAATACAGGTATAATACTGGGCAGACAAGATGAGGCGAACGCAAGGCCGTATCCAGTCGGCGAACCTGTTTCGAAAGTACAGCCCTGCCCGCAGGTGGACAGCGTTCAAGATACGCATCGCACCTGCTAAGAACAATGTCAGCACTAGAAGATAGGTACCAACTAACTACCCAATGCAGAATAGACATATTGTCCATCTGGTCATCCCACAAACATTTCTCTCTTCCCGCTTTCTTCTCGTACCATCTCTAAGCATGCACCTGGTAACAATGGCCTCGCTAAAGCCTTCCTGCTTTGTCTTGTCCATCCTCACAAGATTACTAGCTCCTCATCAGTATCTGAGATACCTATCTCTTAGGCACTGGCTTTTACACTTCGTACGCTGGTAGTCAAGCTCCTCATCTTCTGGGTATCCACTTATTTAGTCAACAAGTCTTCTTCCACCACCGAGACAATTACTCTGATGCCCCAGCCATCTCGCCCCCCAATCCAATTCTTTCGCTTCCCGACCTTCTGGACTTTTCGCACGTCATGCTCCAGCTCTTGTTTCAAATGTGTCGGATCATATGCAACTCTCTGAATAGTAATTGTCAAGTGAAGGCCGAGTTTCTCGCCTTTCTTACCCAATCCGTCCTCCCATCGTGCCGATGGCACAACTCGAGGCTTCGAAGTGTCAATAGACCCTGTGGGATACAATTGGCCCAGGACGAGACCGAGTTTTCCAAGATAACGGGTCCACCAAACTTCTTCCGGTGTCAAGATACCCTGTAGGTGGGACTTGAAATCCATGTCTCTAGGCGGCAATTCTCCGCCATAACGTTCTTGGAGCATCAGGGCCAGAAGAGCGCGATGAGAATGTGGAATACCGTGGGTGGAGGCTAGGATGCCAGTACTGGTGCTGTATAAGGCGGCACTAGAAGAGATTTCTTTGGACATTGTAGCGTGATAGTAGAGCACGTTGGCAAAGGCCTGGATCAGGTGTAGTGTGATAGACGAGGGGAATGACCGACTGGCACATGGCCGAGGGAGCGCAGACAACAATAAAGAGGACAGCGCTTGGGCCGAGGATGGTGCATACCGGGCCGTGGCAACCTCGAGGGGATCTTGCTGGCGGACAACCGGGAGCATCTCGCGAAAGAGCACTCCTTCTCGTACTCCACCCTGGCAGAAATGCGCCTCTCTGATTCCATGCGGTAATGATTCGGCCAGTGTGTTGACTAAAAAGGCCACTGACGGGACTTGCTTGCGCCGCCGATCGGAGACTCGGAAAATCTCGTGGGCCGTCTCAGCCACATCCTTGAGGGTCTCGGTGTCCGCAAAGTCCTTCTTTGGTGCGGAATATCCATTGATAATCGAGATAGGATAGCTTCGGCCTTTTGTCTGGTGCAGGTATAACAGAAGATAGCCCCAGCCCCGGAATCCTCCCCCAGAGAGGTAGAGGGGAAAGCCACCCTGTTCCCGGGCCTTCTGAACAAGCCTTGCTGGGACCTCGAGGGTATCAAAAGCGGAGCGGAAATTATCAGCCATTTCCTTGCGAAATTCTTCCCGTGCTTTGTCCGCAGCCTCCTTATCTTTGCCCCGCTTGAGATCTGCCAATTTCTGTGTCAAGGCAGCTGCTCCATAGGGAAAGCTGACCGATCCTTGCGAACTCATGTGCACGTTGCCAGCATGCGAAGTGATCCAAGTCATCTGCATGCTCCCACCCCCCAGATCCAATGCAAGCCCTTCCACATCTGAAAAACTACTGGCAATTCCCCAAGCTCCAATGACCCCTTCCTCCTCCTTTCGTAATGCTTGCACCGATATCCCAGTCTTGCGATGAATGGCGTCGATGAACTCGGAGGCATTGATGGCAGTCCGAGTTGCTTCTGTGGCGATGATCCGAATGTTCCTCGTGGGAACCCCAATTTGCATGCACACAATCTGAAAACGAGCTATAGCACTCACGATTCGGTCGATGACATGCTGTGGGATAGGAATTCGGTTGCCCGAGTCGGTATCGACTTGAGCTTCGTAGAGCGAGATGTTGACCCGGTGAAAGTGTACTGTAGGGATAACACGAGTGCTCGGGGGTGAAAGGTCAGAGATAGAGCAGCGAATACCATTACTGCAGTATGTAAGCCAATGAACAGTCCCATGATGGAATGAAGAGGTGGTATGTTTACCTGCCTAAATCAACCACGGCATGAAGATTTACATTCTGACCCGGGGCAGATGAGGTCGCTTGAGCACCCATTGCTGGAATACAGTCCCCTCCTCCCATAATTGTAATCAGTTGTGCAGGTGTGCATTGTAGGTCAGACAGCTATTCTGCCTGGATCTGAGAGCGCGCGTGACATCATGCACTTTGACCGCCCGACGCTTTGACCAGTTTTCTGCCACTTGATTAACTCGGACTTCGAAATGTGATGTGAAGCTTAGACCTGGTCACCTGATAAGACATTCTGTGTTTTTTGGAATTCTGAATTCAAACAGCTTCAATGAAACTTCAAACTAGTAAGTAGCAACTACATGGTTATGAACTCAGCATTTGACAAATACATACTGTGTACAGTGTGTAGTTCAGTGACTGGTAGCAGCCGTACATTTGGGGGAAATAAGAGCAAGATAAACATAACTACAGGGCCTAATACCTAAACAAAGCCCACAGGGCCCTCTCTTTCACTCTTTCAACGGATGTCACATGGGACAGGCAAACCTAGTTCAGGGAATTGCAATGCAGTTGTCAATTGTCATTGTTGAGGCCTTGAGGCCTTGATGCCTCAGGCGCTTGCCAGAATGCACCTCCGATCGATAGCGTTCCTCTTTCTTCCTTCTCCTTCTCCCCCCGTTACGTTATTTCCTAACACTCAATCTATAGGGTGCCCGTGGTGCCTGTATCCTGTATCGGGCAATTCCCAAATACGCGCATTACCTGACGTAATTGGGCCCACATCACGTACAGCACGTGACTATTGTCTAATCAATCAGATCTGATAAGACATTCTGCTTTTTGGCAATCCACACAGTTTGGATGCAACTACCTGGTCACACTTTATCCTTGGGACCTTGGGATTTCTGCTTTTCCATGACCATATAAAGTGTAAAGTGTTTCCAATGTGAATATGACTCACACCTGACTTTGCTCTGAAAAGTGAAACTTCAGAAACTATGTACGAACCAAAACTAACCAGTCCCGGGCAATTCTACAACCCGGAGACTTCGGTAATCCACATGGCCCCACCTGATCAGTGCGATTATCGGATTGTGTCTGTACTCCGCTTTTTCGGCCTCGAACGTCTCTTCCTAACCTCCAGACCGAACGCCAATTTGGAGACTCATCATGGCCTTTGGCTGGCTAGTCATCGCACTTGCCCAGGGTGCATGGGCTAGTTCCACAGGAAACGAGCGTTGCGTGACTGCCGTCTCCTCGGCGTACAATTACATATCATTTACTGGCTCTGCCGCAGAAGGCATATGGTCTGGATGTCGAAATAGACTGAAGGTTGCATCTATTTACGCCGCATCAGATATCTATTGCAACGAGCAGGAGCGGTTGATAGGATTCAGTCAACTGGCCAATCAGTGCGAAGGAGCTGACAACCCCCAGGGGCTTTTGTCGAGAGAAGATGTCGCTGAATATCTCACCGAGGATGCAATACGCAAGATGAGGACGGTGGACTATCAGGAGCTGTCTCCCCGAGAACCATCGGATGCCCCTGTCATGCTTTCTGCATCTTACTTCGAAAACATGTTTAGCACAATCGTGAGACCCCCTGTCACTTTTGCAGGAGCGTCAATCTAATCGACACCTTAGGAATACTGGGAATTCGAGATTTGGTCACATCATGCATTTGGGTTAGTCTTCCGAGGAGGCAAGCGGAACATGACGACTGACAGACCAGTTATTTTGGTTACGCCTATTGGGGTGGTTTATTGTTACTGGGGATGATGTATCGTCTGAGTGATTGGGTTCTCCACAGCCGACAACGCTCAACAGAGCGCGCGATAGAGTCCAATATGTATCCTCTGATGAGGGTCTTGGAGCGCACCCCATTGGTCGGGACAGGTCTTCACTGGATTCAGACTCACCTGATTGTCCCATCGCCCTTGGCAACAACGCATGGTCGATATATGCTAGGTTGCACTTTCTCAACCAGAGCCGAAGCGCTCGTCATCACGGGGTTTTGGTTGATTAGCATCATCCTAAGTGTTGTGGGTTACCGAACTTTCACTGGGAATATCTAGTATGTACCAAGACTGTCGATTGCATCACAATTGTGAACCTGCTAACAAGAATCAAGCTGGCCGGATATCCCGAGCCAGATTCTTCGGTACTCTGCAGACCGCACCGGAATCATGTCCTTTGCAAATTTGCCCCTTGTGTGGCTCTTTGGTGGACGAAATAACATTTTCTTGTGGGCCACCGGGTGGAGTTTCGCATCATTCAATATATTTCATCGCCATGTGGCCCGGATTGCTACTGTACAAGCAGTAGTCCACTCTATCCTCTACCTCGTTATGTTTCTACAAAGTAAGTAATGTACTGTAATGACCCCCTAGACGCCAATGCAGACTGGAATGCTTACAGTCACAAACTTTAGCGGGGAAGGCCTGGAGGGGAATGTCCAAGACCTATGTACTATGGGGCATCTTGGTAGGTTGCCGTTCTTCATTATATCATTGCAAGTTGATTGACGTGATTTCGCCCTAGGCCACGTTCGTCATGATTTTGTTGCTGATAACCTCATTGGACCGGATCCGCATTGCGACATATGAGCTGTTCCTGCTCTCCCATGTTGTTCTTTCTATCATTGCCCTCGTTGGATGCTTCTAGTGAGTGACAGCCCGGGTCGAACTTTTCTCTTTTGCCCAACGTTTGTTTCCTAACTTTAGACAGCCATACAGTTATATTCGAGGGGAATGAGTATTGGAAGTATCTATGGCCTTCGGCTACTATATGGGCCATTGATCGACTCCTTCGGGTTATTCGGTTGTGCTACTGCAACCTTTACGTCAGTATCTCCAATAAGGGACCTCTGAGTATTTCTACAAGTCGCATGACTTATGACGAAGCAACCGACGTGGTGCGATTAGAGGTCATCCCAGGACTTCCTTCTTTACAACCTTCACCAGGACAATACTACTTTTTATACCAGCCCTTTCGACTTACTGGTTGGGAGAGTCATCCTTTCACCATTGCAGCTTGGTCGTACGAAGCAGGAGACCGGACACTTTCTACATCAACATCTAGGAGGAAGCCGCTCCAGGCACTTGATGTTTCACACATACCGCTTCTTTCAGGTCGTGCTGCTGGCCAACATTACCGACGACACTGCGAACGTGACTGTTCAGATTCAAATGGAGCACCGAAGCTGAAATTGGTCTTCTGGCTCCGTCCGTATGATGGGTGGACCCGACAGTTACGTGAACAATGTCTGAGATCGTCAGCCAACACAGCCGAACCAATCATCCTTCTTGAAGGCCCTTACGGAGACACGTTTCCTTTGTGGCGGTATGACTCGGTGTTGATCATCGTCGGAGGAACGGGAATTGCATCGGCGGTGCCTTATATTCAAGATCATCTCCGTCGGTCTGCCGAGGGCGGTAGTCTCGCAAACGAGAAGACGCGAGTGCGAGACATGGAGCTAATTTGGACCACGAAACAGCGTGAGTTTATTCGAGACGTTTGTCTTCGGGAACTGAAACCTGCTCTTGACCGAGAGGACTTCCGTGCTTCCTTTTACGCCACGCATGATCCCACCAGATGTTTCGAAGATCTTAACAGTATTGGACTCAATATCCAGCCAGGGAGACCCAATCTTCAATCTTTGATAATAAACCGGGCCTGTGATGAGTGTTCAGCTGGTTCTAGTCTTGCCATCCTTGTATGTGGCCCGCCTGGAATGGCCGACGAAGCACGCGCTGCAACGCATCTTGCCATGCGGCAAGGTTATCGCTCAGTCAAATTTGTGGAAGAGTCTTTTACGTGGTAGGCAAGGGGTTGGTTGATGGGCGTTGTGATATGTACATACATGAGACTATGCATGGGTCCTGTAGACACGGGCACGCGCGCTAAGAATTGGCCTTTTTTCCAACATCAACCAATGTCACACTTCCCGCCTAGTCTTTATTGTAATCAATCGAGAGACTATAGACCAAACAGGGGTTTAACTGGATATCAATACCCCACAAGGAACTGTTCTGGGTATTCTGTTGAAGATCGTTGGACTTTTACAAGATCTGGAGCTCGAATGTCTGACAGGGGTGCGTTATGTATGATTCAGGAGTTCAGGAGGTTCCTGCAGCCTGCGCCATGAATTTGGGATTATTGCATCCGAGTAAGCAACCGGATGAGTCTAAATTGCTTAATTTGACCGGACCTAAATGAAAAAGCCCAAAGAATTGCCCCAACAGGATGTGAGGTTAGAGTCACAGGATGTGATAGATTGACTCCATTAGTATCACCAGTTGATCGCCCTAGACATGCGCAGATCCAAAAGCAAAATAGCAAACAAAAACCAGATAAACAAAAAGCAGAACAGCAGATCAAAAAGCAAAGACAAGACAAATAGGAATCCATGGAGTGAAGCATTGAAGATCTTCTAATTAGCACCCCCTTATAGTTCCCATGATCGTCGCCTAATGTGATCTGTAGATGCATTTTGCTCTTCTTTGCGGGGAGCATCAGGGTAGGATGCATCAATTTCCAAGATGGAGATTGGACAGATTCCACCTTAAGCCCATGATTGAATATAGATCACCCAAGAGCTGAATGATCCATGCTCGCCAAGCCCTATCCTGCGCACTTAGAACAATAAATCACAGCCACCAACCTCATACAGTACTAAGAGCCGAATGCTGAACTGCTCGAAGAACAAACATGCTTACCGGTTGGCCCAGGCCAAATGAGAATAGCCAAGTAGATGGAGAACCGGAAAAGCTATAAAGAGCAAGATCCTCCCAGCCAAGTCAGATTCATCCATCGCTCAACTCTTGCATCTTCAAATCAATCCAGTTACCTTCAAGTTTCATCTTTTCTTCAACCTCTTTTGTGCTCCTTCAAGACAATTTCCAAGATGAAGTTCTTTATTCCCACCTTCCTTTTCGCTGCTACCGCTATGGCGCTGCCTAGCTCAGGATCTAGCGCCGGTGTCGGTCCTCAGTCTGAGAACGAGGTTGAACACGCTGTGAACCAGTGCGGCAACGGTGCCCAGATGTCCTGTTGCAACAAGATCAACAAGAACGAGGGCGTCACCCAGAACAACATTGGTGTCCTATCCAATGTTCTCGGTGCCATTGGCAGTGAGGGCTTGGGCCTTGGTCAAGGCTGCACTCAGCTTGACATTCCCGTCTCGGGTAGGTGATCTATTGATGTGCACGAAGAATGAAACTGACCCCATAACAGTCATCGGTGCTGCCGGTTTGACCGACTTCCTCAAGAAGAACTGCCAGCAGAACGTTGCCTGTTGTCAAAACTCTAACTCTCAGGCTGTATGTATTGTTCTGTTGCAGGAGAGGAAGACCATACTGACTAAATCGAATAGAACGGCAATCTTGTGGGTGTCGCCGCCCCCTGTATCAGCTTCGGCGGCCTTCTGTAAACCTCAAGGCCTGGAGCCTAACCTTTTCCGTCATGAAATTATCAGCCATGACCTTCAAACTTGTCTACTATCATGGTCTCTGCGGGAAAGGTTAGAATGGATACCAGTACATACATGTATACTCGCAGCCTTTGCCATCGAGAGCGTCCCATTTTCTATCTCCCTGGGAGGTTGGTTTTCCCATATTAAGGAATGCCTTGATCTCAAGTGTGGATATCGCCATTCCTTTGTCTTTCATTTGTCACCAGTCTTTGCCCGGGGGTTCTGACCACATATGTATCTTATCTTTCACATAAATGGAAGGTCCTTGTTGTAATTCGCGTTTGGTGAAGTGCCACCATTCTGAATCTTGGGACATCTTACAAAATTCACCTCCAAGCCAACCTTGCCTAATCATAGTTTCACTGATACAAAGGGAAATAACAGAGTAGCGAATTTATGCCTGGACGATGTGGTGCACTTCGTTGAAGCCTAGTGGGCACCGATTTGGTATGAGCGTTTTGAGACTTTGAGACGCTGGTCCATTTTTGACGACTAATGAATGGAATTGAATTTGAAAGAACCATTTTGCATCACCAGACAGTGTTTTGGAGGTCGGAGCGGATTGAGAGCTTTGATAACACACGCCAGGTCGTGAGCTGGATTACTGCAGCTCTAGCCGGATCGCGTCGTATTGTACATAAACAGTTGCCGGAAGAATGGCAGTCTCAGTATCCGTCGCGTTGAAAGGAAGGTGCAGTCGCAGTGTGTTGTCTCCGGCGTGTAGCCAATTTGCAGGGAACCCCAATCTTGTCCTGACCTGGTAGCAGCTGACGGCAGATCGCACAATACAGCTGCTTGATTGATTGAACCCAATGATGAATGTGAGGGGATCTGGATGATCGTTGATGTAGCTTTCCAGTGATAAATCGTTGTATGGCTCAGCGGGATTCCACGCGTCCGTGTTTCCTGCCGCGGTTTTTGCTGCCGCCAGCTGTAAAGTCAATGTTGCTGTTTTCCGCTCTCGCAATTGTTTTGGGCTGAGTTTGAAATGGATATTCCAGTCATACGTTGTCTCGTGTTCGACGTAGGAGTCCTTTGCCGTTGGACCAAACACCGACCAGTGGGCAGTGTTCAGGTCGGTGGCTGGATCGCTAGCGCCAATGGTGTAGTTGATACCATTGGGAAAATCAGCACGCCAGTCATATGCCCCCCAATATATGAGATATTCGGGAGGGTGGAGCGGATGGGTCAAGTCTTTGGCATTGCCATGTCGGAATTCACCAGAGGACTTATCAGGTACCCCAATGCGCCAGACTTCAGTCCCTGCAGACTCTTGGATCCAAGTCTCATGCACTGCGGTCCGCTTTCCTGCACGAACGATGACTCCGTCGCGAACGAAATCTCCAAAAATTCCATCTGCATAGACAGTAAGTCGGTACTTTCCTTCCCGGACATGATCAATGCTGAAGCTTCCATCATGATCGATATCAGTCCAGTACTGGTAGGAGCTTGGAACCACACTATTATCTTGGAAGTACTGCCCGTGGACGGTGAGTATTGCTACTGCGTGCATGGCACCCCTTGGGAGCTGTACAGTTCCCTTGACACTGCCTCGCTGGATCGAGGGAGCATATCCGACCACATGCTTGGCAATGGAGTCATAGAAAGCGGTGTTCCAATGTGGGTTTGCTAAACTTTCTGCTTCAGACCGTAGCTCCTGAAGGGATGTCGATCCCTTCCCACCATTGAAGAAATAGAATTGCGGACCAAAGGTTCGATCGAATCCATGTGTGATGTTCGGTGTTCCTTCTCCATGATGGTTTGATACGAGGTAATTATAGACGATTCCGTCTACTGTTAAGTCGGAATGCAGTGGGCCCTGAGAAATGTCAGTCCCCGAATCACACGGCGTTTCAGGTCACTTACACCGTAATAGGTGTCCTGGTAGGAGATAAGTTAGTTCAAATTCCTCAAAAAGGTTCGTATGACCGACCTTGGTATTCATCACCAGCCATGCTCCGTACGTTGTGCCCTTTGAGGTGCTGCCGTCAGCATAGAGACCATGTACACTATTGTTTCGCCATTCTGGAGGTCATTGGTCAGCTAGTGAAGACGTTTACAGTCTTAAGGGGACAAAGTGGGGGCCATACGATTTGAAAATGTGTACTTGGTAAAATACTCAGAGAAGCTGGTGTAATAACCGTCGTCCGGCGTGTTGTTGAATGACCATGTGGCGTCTTGGACAACGACCTGTTTCGAGATGGCATTTTTACTGGGCAGTGGTGCGGTTTGAATATCGCTTGACGTCAGATGTGTCCAGAGATCAGTGTTTGGCCGAAAGAGAGTCCTAAACTCCTGTAGGTTGCGTAGGTAAGGTGTGGTTTCATTATGGTAGGCCAATCGACTGAACATATGCAACCCCGTCTCGCCATCGCGCAGAAACCAGTACTGTTGAAACTTCTGGCCCGTTGGAGTGTACGTATCACTCAATATCAAGCCTCCATATGTGGTCCCAGTCGAATCCGTGCCCTCGACAATCTCGACGTTCGGTGTTGTTGCTCCGGGTGTGTAGAAGCCGGAAGGAATGCAATAACAGTCAAGATATGGCCCAATACCCGTGGATCCTGACTGAGGGCCCAACAAGTCTTTACCGTCTAATGTCAGATCGACAATTTGGCCAACGCTCTTCTGTAGAACAACCGCGAGGCGATCATTGGCGAGTGTGATGTGAGTCTGGTTGTCGGCAATGTGTAGCGCCGCCGCGCCAGCCGCTGCCGTGAAAGTTAAAAACGAAGCTCGCATGGGATGCAATGGTGTACTGATACTTGTTGGCCCCAGGTGAAGATATTGTCAGTTGTAGATCGGCTAGGTATTATATACCACCCCTGCCGTGGACTCACGGGGGATTAATATCCCGAGTCATGCATATGTGGTAAACAGCTTTCGGAGACGCCATTGCTCTATACTTGAGACTTCATGGGCCTGAAATCCGCCAATTGGGAGTTTCTCCCTTAGCCGTTGTAGGGGGGTAAGGTGGAGACAAAGTGAACTGACATATTGTCGTAGTGTCCGGGGAAGTCGAGGAATGCGGGGTTTGACGGCAGACGGATAAATAGCTCGGCCGTTGATCACCCGAGTCTTGGTCTGAACAAGGAGGTCTCCCTCGAAAGCGATTTGGTATCCATAGCCAAAACGTGGGAGTTGAAAACCTAGGGATAGTATCATGGCCGGCTGAAAAAGGATGCCAGGAACGAGATATTCGAGATATTCCCCATTGAATTGCAAGACCTTGAGGCAAAAGTTTCTAAAACAGGTTGCTTGGAACACTATTCAACCATGACATATCTTGAAAGTCAGGGAATTCAAAATGGTCCATAATGGCCGCGTTTATTGCTTCTCCAAAGGATTCATCATTCACGACGCCTGCACTGGTGTCTATGTTATGGCTGGATGAGTTGTCGGTCGGCAACAGACCTTCAGAGGCAACTTGTTCGTAAAGGATCTCAAGAGCAGCCACACAGCGACGAGCTGATGTGCTATAGGTTTGGTATTTCCGAAGTACCTCGAGTGCGTAGTTCCAAGACTGCGCGATGGAGTTTTCTGTGACCTCGGCAAGTATCGCAGAGCATAAACGGCCCGCGATCAAGACGGTTGCAGAAGTATAAACGTCTACGTCAGTCAGCATCACATGAAGCAGATATCCAGGGAGATTTGGACGAACACAGAATATTATACCACCACGCTGGTAGTGGGCCACCGGTACCATCAGCAGGGACGTTATTGTGGATGAGCTCGATCGACTCTTGGGCCGTCTTCACACAAATGATTGAACATTGAAGCGCCACCCGATGAGGAAAGGAGTCATACGCAGACACCAGCGGACCAGTCGTGGTATTATCTCGGACGGCACAGTACTTGGAAAGAGTAGACCGAAAAAGTAGCATACGCACATGAAGAAATCTGATGAGCATGTTGGTCAGAAATTTCGAGGGCGCATCAGATTTTGGAGTAGAACAACAGACCTGGCGCGCAATACAACTTTTTGTCGGCAGAATATAGGGTTTGCAGAGCTCTCCGATGAACCTCCACGCAAGTGTGGAGGCAGACTTCGTGTCCATTGAGTGAGAGAGCGGTCAATCTGGAAGATAGTTCGCTCCCCCTCGCCTGTAACATTGTCGAAAGTGAACTCATGTGCGTCCTCACTGCTCTCATCAGAGATTGGCTTGTAAAGGCTGAGAAGTACATCATTCATGATTTCGTAAAGCTCCAATGATTTCGCGTAGAATGCCATCATCGACGGACAGTCGGAAGGCTGGGAAACCTCCTTGCTCGAGTCGACGGGGATATACTCATCGTCAACCGCGACTGGCAAAGGAACCGCCCCGCTAGAGGCCTTGGATATCATGGCAGGGCGACCGAATGTCATAGATATAACTCTTCGAAAATATGAAAATCAGAATCAGGCCGAATGTTAGCTAGCGCGGACTTAGATTCGACATACCGATCCATTAAAATACAGCCATGCCATATTTTTCGGGCCAGCTGGCGCTCTCGGAACGTCTGAAGACGAGCAATGTGCTGGGGGAGATGAAGTCCCAGACTTTGAGCATTACGGATTGCAAGCCCAGTAACAATCCAACAATGGTGCGCGGAGTCCGTACTCTGCAGATACTGGGCCATGAGAAGTAAGCACTGGACCAAACCCACAGAGCCAGTATCCCAAAGATTGAATTGAAATAACCCTTTGGCGCGGGAAAAAAAGCATCTGCCGATGCCTCTCGATCTTTTGGCGGAACGAAATCCGCCAACTGGCTGGACAGAGCGAATATAACATTGAGAGTGCACATCAACATGTTCTCATCATACACCAGGCCATCACCGGTCCATATCTTTGCATACTCGGCTTTCAACTGAGCCGGTTCCAGAAACGGATATAACGGGAAGACGTAGTCCCAGTAGACCTCCATCAGACTGTCTGCCATTCTCCGTGGGGGAAGCACGTAGCTTGCCACAGAAGACTGCTGTCTCTCGCCACGCGTCGGCATTAAGCTGGAAGGGATAGGGGGATTAGGAACCGAGCATCGCTGATGAGGTGATGCGACTCTTCGGTCGACCGCAGTCTTGACTTGACGCATGAAACCTGCCGCACTGGAGCTTCCAAAGAAACCTTGATAGGCGCGCTCTTCATCTACAGCACCCATCATCGCATTAACCCCATCTAGTTGACTTGTGGGTGTGGATATGTCGCCTTGACGGTGCGTACTTCGGGTGTAGTTTGCAGGCGTAGGTGACCGTGCTGTGCCGGGTGTCGGAGATGACAGACATGCTCTCTATGCACCCGTCCATTAGATAGTGAATCTTTAGCTGAATTAGTGACCAACCAGTGGGGTTCCTGCTGTTTGAGCCGTCTCCGGATACCGTGGGCTTTCAAGTCGTTGGATCCGAGATTCTAATGCGGCTATGTAACTATCAGAGCAGGTCAGCCAACAGGAGCGCCGTTTGCAATAAATGATATGATACTTTTCATTTGCTCGTTTTTTTTCTAGCTCGCCTGTGTAGACACATCGTAGGCCTCGGTCAGTCCTTTTGCTGCATGGCCCACACACTCCAATCTCGAGTCAGCACGGGTCAGATTCCGAATCGCGTGAAGACAAACCCGGTTGTACTCCATCACAACGAACCTTCCTGGCCCGACAATCATCGCAGGCAACAGCAATTTTCCGACGTTTTGGTCTGGGTTGAGACGCAGACGCCGAGTGGTTCATAATGGCAATTACAGGAGGGTCGAACCGCAGGGAAAAGCTCGGGATCTGATCCGAGAGTCGGAATGTTGGGTATGCCACGTGACTGACATTTAGCCCCATTGTCGGTTTACGCGTAGGATGGATCCGTTGGACCGTTTGCTCTTTCCAAGGACCAAGGACCAAGGTTCCTGCCTGAGTAGGTAAACTTCGAAGTATCAACAAGGATGGCTCCCGTCGGGAAGGTTCCAACCTTAAAAAGGGTCCTTCCTGCTGGAGCAACACTAAAGGGTAAAGCAACATTGGAAGGTTCTAATTTTGGTTGCTCAATAAGGTACGCACTACGCAGGGAGTACTAATTAATGCATTGCGCATTTCATCTTCTTTTCGGAGACCAAAAATAATCACAATTCTACTGCGTATACCTAGGTAGCGTTCTAGTTATCTATGTGTTAAGCTAATTCTTCATCCGCTTCAGGATCTCCAGCAACTCTGCCTTCTTAACAGGCTTGATAAGAAATGTGTCGATGCCAGACCCAAAGGCCTCCTTCTGAGCATCAGGACTATCAAGTCCAGTTAATGCGGCGATGAATGTTTTCGGCGACGTTTGCTGCGCAGATTTCGACATGCCTGCTCGGTGCTCTTTCTCTAGCCGGCGGATTTCCTGGGAAGCTTGGAAGCCGTTCATAACCGGCATTGAGATATCTGGTCTCGTCAGTACTTCCTGGAAGATGATGGAACCAATCCGGGAAACAATGGAAAGGGAGGTCCCAAGAAGCGAGGCTTGCACATACCGATTATAACGATCCGGAATTTACCGGGATGGGCCTTATACAACTCGACTGCTTCTGCTCCATTGCGAGCCGTGGTGTATGGATGTTTGCCCTTGGTGTAGGCACATAGCAATTGGAGGTTGAGTTGATTGTCATCCACTAATAAGACACATGGCTCTGACTCATTGTTGATTTCCCTGGGTGACGTGGAGGGCATTGCATCCTGCGAGCTTGGACGTGGACGTTCTTCTAGTGTGCGCTCATATGGCGGAGCTCGACCGCTTTCGTGTTCGGGGGTCCCCATTGTATCGGCCGTCGGGCGCTTGCTGATTTTGACTCTCTCTTTGGGCGCATAACTGGGCGCAACGTCGACTGGAAGGCGGGAAGACTGAGGCATTTCCACCCATCGTGTGGGCGCATCCGTACTGCCTTGTCCAGAGGGCTGATCAAGCTGCCTTTTGATACAGATGTCCAACGCACGTGCTAACTTGCGAGGCCCACATGGTTGGCTAATAAATTCAAAGTGAGAGCTCTCGTCACGGTTCTGCGCTGTAACAAACATTCTGTGAGCTTCCTCCGGGGATTGGCAAATAACAACAACAGGTGCGGATGAACCGTCTCTGTTGACGAGATATTGACTGAGACCGAACAGGTCTCTTCCCTGTGTATCCTCACAGTCCAGCTCTGTCTGCACAGCCAGGTAGAAATCGTATCGCTCATTCTCGTTCCCTTTGGGCGTCACATTGGTCGCTTCCATGCCGAACCAGTCGTGGCACAGACGCTCCAAAGATGAATACAGGGTTTTATCTCGTTGGGAGCGAAGAGACGAGCCAAAGCCAAGGAATCCAATCGTCTTTCCCTGTGTGTGACTTTGCAGGGAACTGAACACAGAGCTCGAAGACGCGGCATCCGAGTCATCCGACGACCGCATAAGTGGTGTGCGAATAGTAAGGGTAGTTCCAACACCTTGGGTCGACTCAATCTCGATCGAACCGCCGAGGAATGAAACAGCCTGCCGAACGATGCTCAATCCAAGTCCGCTTCCAGAGGCAAGCGGGTTTTCCTGTGAAAATGGGGTGAAAAGGCCATCTTGCAAAAATTGCGGACCGATGCCTTGTCCAGTGTCCCTCACTGTCAGGATGACTTCGAATTCTTGCTCCTCTTTCTCGGACGACTCCTTGGAGGATCCAGAGTCGCGTGGAACCGAACTTAAGCCAAGATAAATATACCCCGAAGGAGTATATTTCAGGGAATTGCCAAAAACGTTCATGAGGATACGTCGCCATGCACCGGCGTGTGTGTTGAAGTCCCATTTGGTGTTCGGCTGAATATCGAAGATGATCGTGACGTGGCTTGCGCGCGGACCAACTTGATCGTCTTTGCTGGCAGGGCCGGCCCATCGTGAAGAAGAATCAGTCAAGGCAGGCGGTGGCGCCTCTGGGTGGGTATAGAAACTGTATCCGGCAAACACACATTCTGCAACCTCCTCGAGTATGATATCCAACTCAACATGCGTAGACGAAAGGTTGCCTCCGCCATCTCCATCTTTCGTTCGCGCGCGATCGAAGTCTTTTGATGGGGCAGGACTGGCCGATGCCTTCTTTCCTCGCCTGCTCTTCCGACTGGGCTGTCTCTTTTGATACTTGGAAATGAAGGTGAGATCAAGCAAGTTGTTGATAGTGTCCAGCAGAGTGCGACCACAGGATTCGATGGTGTGTACCATTCCATGCTGCAGAGCATTCATAGCCGTGTCACTCAAGATATCTGCCGTGCCCAAAATGCCGTGGAGTGGATTCCGAAGCTCATGGGTGATGCTGCTGACCACATTGGTTTTAGCCTTTTCTGCAAGCTCCACGTCGACTCGACGGACCTCTGCCATGATGCTGTTCGTAAAAGCAGAGATATAGGCCAGCTCATTCTCGAATGTGAATATATGCTCCGGATCTTTCGTCCACACCAGCGTTCCGGCAAACCATCTATCCTTGTCGGAATCCCAAATAGGCAGCAGAAGGATGTTCCTGGCACCCGGGAATAATTTGATCAAATCATTCGCGTCCTTCTGGAAAGTGGGCTTGCGTCGCTCTTTGTTTGCTGGACGTTGATCATCGGTGCCTGGTTCAGTGCTTCGGGTCCCGGGCTCGGGTCGAGACGGCGGCATTCGCGCGCTGTCGCTGTTCTCCGAAACGGAACCGTCAGCGTTGTAGGTGAAGATCTTCCCCCGAGGATATCGCCGAATGAGCGAGGTGAAGAGCGATTCTGGTACCACAACCGCTGAGGCAGCTCTAGTCTTGTCGTTGATGCTAGACATTCTTGAGCTCGAATACCCCAGGCATTCACTTGCACGTGTGCCGTCGGTGTCACCGTCAGATAAGTTGTGTTTGGACGAATTAGTTGACTCGCTGCTGTCGTCACCGCTTGATGCCGGTTCTTTGGAAATTGGCCCAGAAACTTTGCGGGTGTTCTGTTTGACAAGGCTGCCGAAGCGCTCGCGGTTCGCATCAAGGAACAAAACACCCTCCGCTCTGATCGACTCTCTAATCAGATTTGCCGCACGAGAGAATATCTTTTTCACACTGTTCGCGAATGTATCATCGTCTAATTGTTCGCCTGCGAGAACACTGCGAACAACTTGAACCTTTTCGTTCGATGCCTCCCTTTCTGGTTCTTCCGCGCGTTGGGCCTCCGGGGCCCTGTTGTTTGAGCGCGACCTTGCGCCATTTGAAAGGCGTCTGGTGGGCTTGGCAGCCGCGTGCTTCCCTTCGGTTTCGTCTTCGCTCAGGCGTTGTAAATCTTGTTGCTGGATATCCAACTGCCCTTCTGTCGTCTCTCCAGATTGCTCAGAGGCAGCGTATTGCGCATTGGCTTCTCGCCACGAATGCCGAAGGGTGGATCGGCCCTCAACAAAGCTGCCAAGGCCGACAATCATTAGTTCAGCCTGGTTATTCTTGCGCCTGGAGTGTTCCAGTACCAAGTGCTCCATCACAGTCGCGGCCATGTCCTTCATAAATCGCAAATCATTCTGGTTGAGGGCCTCTGTCCTTGGCTTACTGTCCATCACGCAGTATGCACCAATGATGGAACCCCGTGGGCTCACAATCGGCACAGCCGCATAGAAGCGCACGTCGGACAGTGCGTCAAGGAGATTTTGGGGTCTGAAGTGCTCGTCCTTGCTCACATCGTTCACCACCAAGTAGCCCAATTCAACCACTTTATCGTGTTCGTTGTAATGCTCAGACGGCAACCCCTCCACGTGATGACAGAATCCTCTGTCCTTGGGAAGGACGCAACATCCGAGTCGTAACCTGTCCCGGTCATCTTGCATATTGCCACCGATCAGACTTAAAGAAGGGGTGGCTTCTGCGATGATGTGCTGATGTGTGCGATCAAAAAGGGAGATCAAAGCGCGCTCGGTTCCGAGTCGAAAAGTGCCTAGCTGAGCAAAGGAATTCAAGGCTGAATCGCGAGATGCCTGTGGGACGAAGGTCTCGCGGCCGGCATGATCGAACGGCGCATACTGCGAGGCGGAATGGTCGCTCGGGACGTATCTGTATGCGAAAGAAAGGTCAGCCAACTTTCATCACGAATCGCATTTTGGACTTGGAGCACCAATGTGGTCCGACGAGCACGTCTTACTTGTGAAAGTCGCGCTCTTGCGCTGGTCTATAATGTGACTGGAGACGCCCGCTTACAGGCATAACGAAGTTTGCCCGCGTTGTCTCAATTGAAGAGGATTGAAGGTTGAGAATCAAATCAATATTTACAGGTCGACATCGTCAAAGTGTCGACGATGGAATATGAACCGGCTTTATTCTCTCCAACTGCCCAGATGATTTTTGATTTTCCAGACGTCATCGCATCGATCGATCGGGGGCTTTTGGATATGACGTCACCTGAATGACGGGAAACCCCACTCCAGCCCTGACCCGCCTAAAATTAGCCACTACCGGGACGTAATGCACGTTGACGTATGTAGATCATGTCTACTCTGTACATGGTGACTTCTAAAGTCATCGTGATCATTAACACAATCAATAAAACCACCGGAAGTTCTCACAGGCCGGCCCGTCCTGAAGTAATTCCGTAGGAATATCCCTTGCCTTGACGTGAACTCCCTGCAGTCGGTCTCTCTTCGTGTTGTCGGCCATCATCCAAGCCCCGAGCGAGAGTGTCAAGATTATGCCGACTGCCCCAAATGCCGCCGTGGTGATCAAAGCTGGAAAGTACTTCGGTGCATCCTGCGTCCGGAATATATTAGAGCTGACCACCCCCATCAAGTTGGCTAATGGGACAGCAATGCTTGTCAAAACCACTCGGCGTCCTTCGTTAGCAGTATTGTTATTATACCAAGCATCTAGCAATACAGAAGGAGCAGAGGTGCCCCTAAGGTAGGCAGTTAGTAGGGGGATGCCATGAGATAAATAGAAGATACTGACCAGGTCATCAGGAAGGAAGCGAAATAGGCAAGAGCTAGATCCTCCTGGACGTCGATGGTCGCGTAAATCACAAATCCCACAAACGTGAACAAGAATCCAAGGGCAATGAATGGAAATCTCCATCTCGTCCAGTCACTGCCAAAGGCCAGGATGAGAAGAACGGCGGCCCCTGAGATGTTGGGGGCGACAGTGTATAGGTTAGTCTTGACAGTGCTATATCCCAGACGCTGAATAATGACTGGAAGGAACAGCTGGACAGACTGCAATGGAACGCCGAGGCAAACCTGGATGGCCAGGACTACCCAGCTGGTCCCATGCTTAAACACACGAAATGCATCCCGGATATCGAGTTTCTCATTGACCACGGAAGAACTATCAATTTGCAGTCGAAGATATGCGAGCTCCTTCTCCTGAGGAGTAAGAAACGCTGCCTCTGAGGCCGACCGAGGCAGGTACCAAAGTGCGAAGAGTGCAAAGATGACGGTTCCACCGCCCTCGATCAGAAAGAGATATCGCCACGGAGCCAATGGACCCGAATTGATGCGAAAAATTCCAAAGGCCAAGAGACCAGAGAAGGCAGAGGCAATGGTTTGAGCGGCATAGAAAATGGCCAATCGGCGAGCCAACTCACCGCGACGATAGAACCTGGGTTTAAATTAGCTTCGCTTATATTTTCGAGATGGCGGGGTATAGGTATTACGTCGTTTGGTAGTAGATCACTAACGGGAAAAATGCACTTTCCGCCATGCCTAAGAACCACCTGATAGCGAGAAGACCACCGAAGTTGAACACGGCAACGACCAGAATGGTACAGATTCCGAAGGCAAGCATCATTCCAGGAAGCACAATGTTTGGCCCATACCTCTTTCCCAAAAGGCCTAGGAAAGGTGCAGTCAAGACATAGGGAATGAAGAAGATGCTGAGGAGCAGGTTGTACTGATTGCCCTTCAATGAAAGTGTCTCTGCAATTGCACGTTGCGTCAAAATCACTCTGCCCTATTCACAAGTTCCACAAGTTCCACTAGTGGGGGTGGGGGGAATACCTTCGAGTCCTGCAGTCTTTGCGTTGCCCAAATTGGACTTATCTAAGCTGTTAAAGAGGTACATGATTGCCAACACCGGAAGTAGACGAAGGTCAAACTTCCAGACCAAAGCACGCTCCGCTTGAGGATCGATGTCTACACTTGCGATAGTGGTCGTAACATGTTGTTTTGGGGCCCGCTGCCCTGACTCGACTTCTGCGTTCGACATGGCCAAAATTCACGGATTGCTTTAATTAGGTTACATACAAGGGCGGGGATTACTACTGCTTATATGAGAAAAAACCCCAGCTCGCCTTTCGTAGAGTCGCTAGTCTTCGTATACGCGGCACACCAAAGATAACCGAAAGATAAGCAATTCCTGGACCGCAGGAAATTGGCCCATCTCTCGATTTTCTCCTAGTTTATTTTCCTCTCTGCCAATCAGATCCTCTCAACTGTTGCTAGTGGGACTACACTCCCCGCTAGTCGGTTAAATTGATACCGAACCTGGATGAATTCATGAAATGTAGATATTTTGATAATGAAATGAGAAAAGAAGAGAGAGTGGGAAAGATCCTGAACAAGTCCTCCTCACATCGGGCCTCTTCTGGTCTTAATAATCACATGTTGGGCACCTAGGCAGGCTTTGCCCTGCCCTCCCGTCACCATACGGAGTACGCGGCGTAGATAATACCTGTAATAAGGTTCTGAGATGCTAAGAATGGCAAGTCTTGGCAGATAAGCGTGTGCCAATCAGACCCCGTCGATATTGCGCTCGGGGGATTTCCAGTGGAGTCAGGCCCAGTCCTTTCCCCCTATCTGACACTCCGTTCCTGATGCGATCTCGGCTTCGACAAAAAGCTTGAAAAGTTGTGGGTAAGGCCTATGACAAACATCTCCAGGGCTCGACGGTTGAAGTGAAATGCTATTTGAACATGAGTCCTGTGATAGACATGCTGGCTCCATGACCTAAGTAGTAATGACTGGATCACACTTCCTCGTCGCTGTTCACCAAAGATACGAGAGTATTAGATGGCGATGAATATTTGGGACGTACTGTGTAGAAGGCATGGCTTATGGCCTGGAGAGATATCTAGACGGTAGACCCCATTCTAATGGAAGATGTTTCAAATGGCAATCAAACCCCTCATGATCGACATTCACACCCACTATCACACCGATGTATTCTAGTATGACCCCGCGCTTGGTAGCCACAGGTCATATCGCAAATTTCCATTTGTGCAAGATCGTCGTTTTGGAACCCGGACCCCAGGGTGAACCACTGACCCCAGACGCATACTACAGCCTAGTGTCCGCTCGGCGCCTGGGAATCGCTATTTAACGTTTGACTGTGACAGGCTCATAATGCAGACGTTGTCCATTCCCATCGATGTACATCGCATTTTTACCCTTTCTGATCCAACTCGGTCACGAATCATGATGAATCAAACCTGGGATAGGAGGAAGTGATCGGCAGAGGTCCGAGAAATACGCACGGTCATGCACACGAGAGGGGTATCCAAATATCTTCATGGCTTTAGGACAGGACTAGTTTCCCAAACTGTTTGGTGAGCACCTAGTTGGGGGATCAGTGGATCTACCTTAAAATACCTCAGGAACGTGTTCAAGTCAAAAATATAGATACTATGGATATACTCCGTGCAATGCCCGTCCTACAAAGACGTTCATGAACAATGGAAGCCCATATGGTAAGAGTTAACACTTGCCATTCTGAAATAACTAGCGGGAGGAACTCTTAGCCTTAACCTATCAGTTGATAGTCTCGTTGAACATCTAAAAGTCGTGAGGCGCCACCAAACCTCCAGCGGTTCCCACATGGGCTGGGAAAAACGTGCGACCGAGGACCCGAGGCTTTCTGCTTGCATGCACACCTAAACTTCAGGGGGAACTGGTGGGATATCTGGCCCGTTACTTGTCAATTCACTGTGAGTGACATGATGATCGACATTTACTCCGGCCCTAAGAAAGGGGCCCGCATTGACCATTCCCCAATATTTCCCCAATATTTCGCTAAGACCGAGGCAGGGTCCGGGGAATGCGAATGAGGGGCTTTCACACTGTGCATGAAGATCACCATAGGGAGCAATATTTATAACTTCTGCCCCGCGATTCTCTTTTAACTACTGTGTTGGCACCGTGAATCTCATCTTCTCTTGTGTCTATCTCCAAATCCAACAACTTTTCCCCTTAACAATTTTCACCAAAGTGTCCCTGATTGTAGTCATGGCTGCCAACGGACCAAAGCCTGGCTACCTGGGCAATCTCAACAAGGACCAGGAGGCAAGCTTACAGAAGCTGTGGTCTGTTCTCATCAAGGCAGGCGAGTCCTCCTTGAGCAATGAACCATCGAATGAGCCTGCCAGCCCGGCTCCAGTACAAAAACGACGCTCGCTTCTGGGTCGCGCACAGAGCAATGTCTCCGGGACCATCGCCGCATCCACTACGCCTTACCAACAACATATTCTGAAATACCTTGGGGAGATGGGCGCAGGTGCCCCAGAATGCGACGCCGTCAAGAAGCTCCTCTCCCAGCTCTCAGGGGCTGAGTTGCAGACGGGAGTGCTGGACTTCATGAAACATGAACACCCTGATTCCCTGCTCCTGCGCTACCTCCGTGCTCGCAAATGGGATGTGCCCAAGGCCTTTGCCATGATGATCAATACCGTTGTTTGGCGAGTCAAGGAGGCAAAGGTTGATGAAGATGTCATGGCAAAGGGAGAACTTCATGCCCTCCAGCAGATTGAAAACAAATCTAGCCCAAGCGAACAGAAAGCCGGAATTGACTTCTTGTCGCAGATGCGCATGGGCAAGAGTTACGTGCATGGTGTTGATCGGACCGGTCGTCCTGTGGCGGTGATAAGGGCCCGCCGGCATCAACCAGGGGCCCAGACTGACGAGTCCCTCGAACGATACGTCGTCCATGCGATTGAAACAATACGCATGGTATTGGTGCCTCCCGTTGAGACAGCAGTGAGTATCTTGCCAGGCCGAGGCTATGTTATAACGCGTGGTTGACTCGTGATAGGCTATTGTATTCGACCTGACGGGCTTCGCGTTGTCCAATATGGTATGTGGCTCACTCTTCCGCACAGCAGGCTAGTTTCCTTTTCTTTGGTTGACAATCCCATGTTATAGGAATATCCGGTCGTTAAGTTCATTCTGAAATCTTTCGAAGCCTACTATCCCGAAACGTTGGGTGTCATGATTTTCCACAATGCCCCGTGGGTGTTCTCAGGTGAGTTCGTCCTATCTTGTGCCGTCGCCAGAGCCACGCTCGGCGTATCAGTCCCTGTTTTATTCATATATTCCACAACTCTGTTGATTGACTAACGATGCAATCTATCTAGGCATTTGGAGACTGATACGAGGCTGGATGGTGCCTGAGATTGCAGCCAAGGTTCAATTCACCAATAATGTGGACGACCTCGACAAGTTAATTGCTCGGGACCAGATTGTGGAAGAAGTGGGTGGCGATGAGAAGTGGACATATGAATTTGTGGAGCCTCGTCCCGACGAGAACCCAAAGATGAACGATACAGTGACTCGGGATGCGCTGAAAGCCGAGCGTCGGTCCATTGGCGATGAATTCTTGGCTGCCACTGCAGCTTGGATTGATGCTGCTAAAGCGAACGACCCAACCAAACTCCAGTCCAGCGAAAGCGAAAGGGCCTATCTGGCTGAGCGACTACGCGTCAACTACTGGAAATTGGATCCCTATACTCGTGCTCGTTCTCAGTTAGATCGGGAAGGGGTCATTCAGGCTGGTGGCAAGATCGACTTCTATCCAAAAGAAGTGCCCGCAGAGAGCCAGGTCGAGGAGGTTAAGTCATTGGATGTGCATCACCTAGAACAGGTTAGCCAGAGCGAGGCTCAGACCGTTTTTTAGATCCTGATGAATCACGGATGTTACGTATCACTGGTTAGGTTTTATTTCAATTGCATAAGGTACTTCATTCTACTTTCATCATTTACCATCACTACAGTAACCTGGTGTTGTAGATTCACGATTTCATTGTGTCGTGAACAGAACTCATGCAGCTGTTGTGACTGGCTATTCACCAACACCGTTTCCACTCACGTTTCCTGTACGCTCATTGGTGGGTTACCTCTTGACTCAGTCTTGGACTCTTCCATGGCTCAGTTTTCACTCAGTTTTGACTTAATGGTTGCTTTCATTGACCGGTTAGGGGCAGTTCTGCCGTCTACACCATCAACCAAATCTATCATGCCTGTACTGTGGCACGCTCATTCGCACGGTGGCGTGACAGCCTAGAACCGGGGCTGTGAAAGAATGGATACAACAGCGAAACCGGGCTGTGTACTGACACCGAGGATAGCAGAATTAGATGTCCAATCTAGAAGACCAATCTGAATGAGAATAATGATGCTGATTCTGACTATCTAACGAAAGAGGATTCAGGGGTTTGTGTGCCGACATCCCTCGGAGGAGAGTTGATCCGATGAGGGTGGAGCACAAACGTCAAGGGCACCAGATGGCACCCTCCATTCCTGAATCCTGACATGGTGCTTCTCGACCAGTGGCTTTCTGCCGTCGTTGCGCTGCTTCGATCTCTGCGTCTGGCCGTAACTAACTCTCTCTGTGTTCGTTGCTTACATGATAATGGTGTCGGCGGTACATCATGAGTACCATGGACGCTTTCGGTACTGTGTGAGCCCCTATTTTAGTGTGTAAGAGGAAGGCGCGGCCGCGCGTTGCCCAACATGTGAGAATCCTCCCACTCAGCTGATATCTAGCCAAGACAGCCGTCTTTCTGCTGCGACCTCTGTGACATCAAGCTTGGCCCCATCACGGATCCCCGAACCTCCATCGAACTAGGTACCGCCGGTGTCACCTCAACCCCAGCCGAAGCGTGTTCATTACTGTCTCTGAAGCCCCATTTGTAAGCAATATCCCATCCGATCTTTGCCTTCGTTATCGTAAATCTCTTCGGCATTATCCACCACCTCGCCAAGTTCATTTCGCGTGAAGGATAGCTGCTGAATGGAGACCCCTAGACCTCGGTCATATGGATATCGATCGTCCATACTGCGGTACTTTGTTTTGGCCGATTGATGTTTATTATACCGTCAAGGATGAGGCCTTTTGAAAATCATGTTGCAAGCGTGGTAGTATACCTCCGCGTCCTTTGCCGGAGCCGCCCCGGATGATACGGCATTGGTTCACTGCCAGTTCCCAAAGCAAGCACGCATGTTCATGGACTATTCCTGCAGCTTAGCTCTGCTATGGCGTATACCTCTACTGGAGGGAAACAAGATGACCGCCGAAGTGAACCTGAAAGGCTGTAGCTGTTCCAGCTCCAGGGTGCTATGTACGGACGAGTTGTACCCTGTTCCCTCTACCTCTCGCGGTCATTTACGGCTCACATCAACCTGGGGAGTTGATATAGGCACCATCTGTTTTACTAGTTAGTTAATTAGTAAATTGTGTGGTGCCTATATCAATTCCCGTCAACCTGGAGGCAAGCGCTCATGATAGAGGCCCTTCACCTGGACAGGAACGATAATGCCGCCATTCTTTCTCTCGGCGTTTCCTGAACGAATATATACATAGCAAGGAAACATTGTGGAACATGTTGAAAAGAATACTACATGTATAGGTCAACACCATCGAAGTAACGGAATCTTCATGTTCAGCAATTGGCTCTCGTGGTCCGGATGAATCTACCATTCCAAATTCTGCCCATTACTCGGCTCCTCAAGCATTCCAATTAGCGGCTCTTGGCTTGAGCTCGAGCTATTCGTAGTCATCTCCTCCCACAGATCCCTACCCAGCAGTTTATAGCCTTCCACAGCTCCCTGTCTCGCAATGAGCTCTCGTTCAATGTTGCCTAGTTTAACCGCAAATTGCTTCCCATTAACAACAACAATCTGCCTCACAACGTCGACATGTATCGCATCTCCGTCAGCAAGCGCTTCATAGAATGCATTATCCGTAATAGTGAATCCCAATAGACCGAGGGTTCTCATGTTCCGGTTGAAGATGAAGGCAAAAGAACGAGCGATCACTGCCTCGATTCCAACACCTAGTTGAGATAGTGCAAATCGTCAGTCTATCCATTGGGGTTGTTGATGATTTCTTTTGCTCGAAGGTTTCCGCACAGGGCTTACCTTTCAGGGCTAAAACGGCAGCTTCTCTGCTAGATCCACAACCAAATGCGTGATCGGATACGACAACCCGTTGTCCGCCCCTTACCCTCCCCCGGAAGTCAGGGCGTGTATATTCGAGAACATGACGTCCAAAGTCTTCGTCTGTCACGCAGCTTGTCAATGACGGCCCTGGCGCAAGCTGTGGTGATTTGGTGTTAGCTAAATGTTATGATCGAGGCACGGAATGGGTAGTGAAAAATAGGTCTCACCGCATCAGTATCAATAAACCCTCCAAGTCTCACAATCTTGCTGTTGATGACAGGTAGTGCAGGCCGAGGGGTATCCTCTGGAGCCGGGTCTTTCAATTCGTGGCCCATGAGAGAAGCGACACTTTGTTTGCTTTTGTGTAATATAGGAAAAGTAGGCTCCATGTAAGAAACGTCAGAGAGCAACGCATTAGAGCTTCTGTCCTTATATATTTGCAGAAACTCGTAGTCCAAATCCTGCATAAATGGTCTCGGGTCGGTCACTGACATGCAGAAGCTAGATGCCGCACACACAACAGCGGAAGACAAATGACCAAGCGATCCTATGATTTCATCAACTTCGGCACTTCCTCAAAGTCATAATAGGAAGGTAAGTTACCTACCTCTGCCCATACGATTCTGGAAATTGCGATTCTGCGAACTGAGCCAGGTCTCTCCTTCCCCCGCTCGGTCAACAGATAGACCAAGGCAATACGAACAACCAGGGGGTCCTCTGGTAAAGCCCGCTTGTGCATAGATTCCCAAGAGGCCTAAGGATTCGAGTTTGGCGACTATGGGCAACGAGCCTGGCACGTAATGGCGCTTGCCTGGGACAATTCTTAGGCCTTGGTTCAATCCGACCTTCAGCACAAGAGCCCCTAGCACGAGCTCCTCCTCCGTCGTTGTGCACGCTCCAATGAACACGCCATCCAGTGGCATCCCGATTCGTTGTGTTACCGGCACAACATTATCTGGGCTGGGATAGAGGGCGATTGTCGGTTCGACTACCGACAAATCGACGACATATTTTCCGGCATAATAAGCATCATCATCGGGTCTAAAGTAGATTGAATGCTTTCTATAACGCCTTGATCTTCTCCTGGAGATAAATTCCATCGTCACACAGTCAGGTATGAATATCCCCGAGATTGCGCCAAACTCGGTGGCCATGTTACACACCGTGAAGCGTGCATCGCAGGACAAATATTTGGCACCCTCTCCACCGAACTCGACGATTCGGTCTGTCGCGACCGTGTTTCTCTTTAGTTCCTTCAAGATATGAAGGATCACCTCTTTGCCAGTGATTCCGGGGGCTGGCCGTCCGTGAAACTCCACCAGGATGGACTCAGGTACCTTGAACCAAGTCTCTCCCAAGATGAGCCCCATCAGGACGTCAACGCCGCCGAGTCCAATTGCAAGGCAACCGACAGCACCACCGGAGCAGGTGTGTGAGTCCGCACCGATGACTAGCATGCCTGGTTCCGCACGCTCTCGGACAAACTCAGTGTGCATAATAGTATAGTTCAAGCCTTGGTACTCGGTCATCTTGAATTCCGATTTCGTTTTCTCAGCTCGGTCGATTAAGTCACGCATGCTGCTTGTTTTAGCTGCAGCAGGGTGCACAACGTGGTCCGCTGCAAGCCAAAACCGATCGTTTCGCCATATACCGGGTGAACGTAGGTCGTTTTCATAAACCCTGGACATTGTCTGTTATCGTAATGTCAGCTAACACAATGCACACGCATTGATCTCCACCTCGTACGAACCGCCCATGAGAGCTCTGACGAAAGAACCCAGTCCAGCCCCACGCGAATGACGTCGCCCACTCGCAGCTCCTCACTTGTTGATGTTCTTCCGATAAAATGTTGTGCCAGTATCTTTTGTGCGAGTGTCATCGGTCCCCTGCCGCTGAGGCGTGTTGAGGAGGTTGTCAGAAAGTCTCGCGAACGATTTTCCGACTCCAATGATAGTAGCAATGCTTCTACTATGAACGCAGAATTTGAGTAGTCTACGTCTGTTCGCACGGTTGATCCACGTTCAACATGCTGATGCCCAATCCCCCAAATTGCTTGTTGGAAGTAATCCTTTCCAGGGCTTCTTTTAGAGCTGTTGCCTCTGCATGTTTCTGGCCATCTTCGAGGCTGGCGGCGATTGAAGATAATATGTGTGGGATGCCTTGACGACCGTCGTGAGCAATATGCTGCAGCGAAGAAGGATTGATACCGCGCTCCCGCTGCAGCAATTTGACGATGTGCGACTCGAAATCATGTTGCTCGGGTCGTTGGGTTTCCATGTTGGTGCCGCTTTTGTCGACTCGGGGCGATAGCGAAGAATTGGTCTAGTTGTGGTCGCCATTTGCCTCTGAGAGATATATGAGCCCTTCATGTCGCACTGGGTTTGAGCATTGGAAAGTGTGTTCCACAGAATGCAACGGGGATCGACGAGGAGGGGCAAAAGGACCCAGTCAGCTAGGTAATCCAGCATCCCGTTATATAAGCGTCCTCATCGCGGGTATCAAAATTCTCGAACAAAAAGCAACAACCTATGGTCTGGTCTTGACAATCTGCCCAGGTGGAGCCGAGGTCATCACATCAAGCTTTTCGCCAGTGCCATGGCCTTCATATCAAGCGCGGCTTCACAGGCACGGAACTGAATAGCTTTGGGATTGACTCTACCCGCGATCGCCATAGCTCGTCATACCATGTGCCGGCGTGGGAACGACTGGCTTCGGGTAATAAGAGCGGCAGTCTCATGACAGTTCTTTTGCGCGATGGGCTCATTTTCATCAAAAGGTCTCGCAATTTGATGATTAGATAAAGCTTTGCCAGTTTCATCTAGTTAACTAACTACCATGTAGTTATTTGGTAATATCCATTGGACAGTGAGGCTGGCTAGTTTTTTAGTTGATGGATGTGTCCCCACGGATGATATTGACTACTTTGCGAAAGGAGCGCTGCTTCGTGATGACTCGTATGCAGGGTATATAGAATATGAAAGCTGTGCCCAGATTAAAACTGTTGCGGTGAATCTCCGGTTTCTTGCAGTGTGACTGTGTGGTCTCGCGGTCACGACCTGTGGACCGTGGTGATGTCGATCATCTGAAAAAAGATTAGTTGTCTTCCTATCTGATAGGCCCGCGTGAGCCAAGTAACTACCGCTAGCTCTGAATCTCAATGGACGTTCATAGGTATGGTGACAAGAGCACGTAATCCCGCGTTGGGCAGCGACGGCAGCCTCTTGAGGTGATAAAGTCTCAACAAGTCTCAATTCACAGCAAGTCCACTGTCTTGGCGACAGCTTATCATGTGATCTATGTACGACCGTTTGATAGACCGCCCACATTTCATGCCGGCAATAAAGAGTAGGGAGTACCCGGCATAATAACTCCCCACCGCCTGTGCGGCGGGTACCTAGTAGGCTGTTGCCAGATTCCCTTTCAACCTTAATATTATCTCGGCTAGGGGCCCAAGTTGGGGTGCTCCAGACCAGAAAGTGATACAGACACACAGTCCTTGAGTTCTTGATTTTTCGCAGCGTCTGCCGCCCGCATAGGCTAGACTTTTGTGAGAATATTATGACATGACATTGACAGGAGGCACCTGGGCTGGGGGCAGGGATCTGGATTCACAGTCAAGATCGAATCAGCTTCCAAGCTATGAAGCCACCCAGAAGCCAGACCCAGCCAAGGGAAGTATTCACCTCGACCTTTAGGTAGCATTAGGATGCTTATCAAGGACGGGGCCTACTTCATCGAGCATAGTAGGTGCTCACTCGATGCAATGTACCGGCTCTACTACTGCTGGAACAACTACTTCACAAAATCCCGTCAGATAGTCAACGACTTGGCAATTGGTGAGGCTGGAATCTGAATATGTGAGCAACACATTCGTTGTTATCTCCGGCGCACTGCGCCTGCTCGTTGACTGGGGCAATTTCGGCCGCTGTCGATTATCAGCACGTCACTGCTGCCCTCGGCTTCCTAAACACTGCTGGTACAATTGGCAGCTCCGCTGGGTAACTACACCATCATGTGCGGCGATTTTGACAGATACACTCGCCAAGGTTCTGGAACATTACCTCCTAGAATCGGCTATCTCAAAATTTGAGAACATTTTCGAAGATCACCATGCAGATTAGTTATTCGCGGGAAGCTCGGTGAGAGAGTAGTCACATTCAAGTGAGGCCATTACTGTACTTGCAAAATTCAACGCGAAGGCGCTCAGAGGTGGCCTCCTATCTCAGCCAGGGGCCCAGCCCAGGTTGTGAAGCGCTGGTTAGTGAATTCAATGTCATTGGAGTCCAATTAGGCGCATTGTTGTGGATTCAAGTGTATTGCTCTCCTTGCTTCCAAACAAAAGCACCTACTGCTGAGTGGGTGACGCGATCAGCGCCAGGGACGATGAAGTTCATAGTGTTCTCTGCAAGAGCCTGGGACAGTGGCCATATTATGTCGAACTGCAATGGGCATTTACAATGCTAGTCTTCTACTATCATTTCATCTCGCCAAGATTTATCCCGGACATATAAACCCCGGCGGAAAGTGGAAAGTGGAGGATCTGCAGAAAGCGGAGAAAGGGGCATTGAATTATCCGACAATCACAACTTACCACCCACATTCCCCAAGGCGTCCATTAGATGACAAGAGATCGATTCCCCTTTACAACCAAGCGTGTATGGACAAGGCATGGAAAGCTGCCGCAGGGTTGCATGACATCATTCAGAAGATGAAGTCAGCCTCGATTGTGCCGACGTTGTCCCGATGGTTACTTCAGGGATACTAGTACTCAAGTGATTTAGTGCATGCACTCCCCATGGAGTTTTGCCTAAATGGGGGTCCCATGCCAGGATTCCACCTCTTCTCCGCAGAACTAGTCTTGGATCAGCGGAAAGATCATCGCACCTTCCTGCACCTCGGATGTACTACCTCCAAGAGTCCCGGGTCAATTGCACCACAATGAGGAGCAAGACGAATTAACCGGCTAGTAGCTCTTCTATGCGCGTAAGAGCTCTGCATATAAATACCTGTACAGCTTGCCATCGAAACTAACGTGCATCATAAGGTACTGAATAGTTGGAACTGCCACTTGCGGGCCACACAGCTAAATACAGCAGAATGCTCCGAAAATACCTTCTTCTGCCGCTTTTGGCATCATATGGTGCAGCTGTCACTATATCGGTAGCAAAGTCAGGCGGCAATGTTACTACAAGTCTGCAATACGGCGCAATGGAAGAGGTATGCCGAGCCTCTTCCGAATGAGTGTATCACATCTAATCCAATGCCCAGGAAATCAACCACTGTGGTGAAGGAGGTCTTTACGCCGAGTTGATCCGCAACAGAGCCTTCCAAGGGAGCACAAAGTATCCCTCATCCCTCGATGCCTGGTCTGCGGTCGGACGCTCGTCGCTGTCTCTGCAAACCCTCGCTGATCCGCTCTCGACTGCCCTGCCGAATTCCGTCAATGTCAAGGGTACTGGTATAGTTGGGCTTGCCAATGAGGGCTTTTGGGGAATTGACGTTCGCCCTCAAAAGTATACCGGATCATTCTACGTGAAAGGCTCTTACACTGGCTCCTTCACAGCCTCTCTCCTATCATCCACTGGCGAAGTCCTGGCTACTACTAAGGTTGCTTCAAAAAGTGTTGCAAATGAGTGGGTGCAACATGAGTTTATCCTGACCCCGAAGAAGAAGGCTGCAGATTCCAATAATACCTTTTCATTGACTTTCGATGGCTCGGTAAGTTTCAACATTGAATCTGCTATGCGGCCAGGCTAATTTCCTTGGATAGAAGACATCAAGTGGCTCGCTAGACTTCAATCTGATCAGCCTATTTCCTCCCACGTGGAATGACCGCCCCAATGGCATGCGCAGGGATTTAATGCAAGCCTTGGCTGATCTAGGTCCTGTAAGTTCATCCCTGGTGGATCCCGATAAATTCTGAAGCTAAATCTAATCGAACACGCAGAAATTTCTCCGTTTCCCTGGAGGAAACAACCTCGAGGGTGATACTATTGAGGGCCGCTGGAAGTGGAATGAGACCATCGGACCACTCAAAGACCGTCCAGGCCGTGCAACCACATGGCAATATGGTGAAACCCTTGGATTAGGCCTGGTCGAGTATATGCAGTGGTGCGACGACCTTGGCATGGAGCCTAGTAAGTGCATCTCGTACCATTAAGTTATTAACGTGGCTGACATTTTCGACGTAGTTTTGGCGGTTTGGGCCGGACTTGCTTTGAACGGAGAAGTCGTCCCCGAAGCGGACCTCGATTTCTATGTTCAGGATGCTTTGAATGAGATCGAGTTCTTGACTGGATCCGTGGACACTGAGTACGGTGCACTGCGCGCCAAGATTGGACACCCAGATCCATGGAAGATCCGCTATGTCGAGGTCGGAAACGAGGATCATCTGAGTGATGGTTTGAGCTCGTACAGGGCGTATCGTTTCTCGGCGTTCTACAATGCTATCACGGCGAAGTATCCTGACATTCAAGTGCTTGCTTCCACCATCAATATGACCATCCCCGGAACTGCCGGTGGGGATTACCACCTGTATGATACCCCGGATAACATGGTCACCCAATTCGACATGTTCGATAATTTTTCACCGGACCATCCTATCTTGCTTGGTATGTCGCCTGATGGAAATGCAATGGTATACACTAACAGGTATCAAGGTGAGATTGCTGCTACCGAGCCCAACAATGCAGGCAATATCAACTGGGACGACACCCATTTCTCTATGTATCCTTGGTGGATTGGCACCATTGGCGAAGCTGTGTTCCTTCTGGGCGCAGAGCGCAACGCTGATAAGATCATCGGAACTACCTATGTGGGTTTACTAGGCACTCACCTTATCGGAAGATACTAATACATCAATAGGCTCCTTTCTTGATGAACTTGGATAGCTACCAGTGGTCCCCAACCTTACTGTCCTTCAACTCCAACCCTGATCAGACGGCTCGCTCAACCTCATGGCATCTGTACAGCGTAGGTTACTTCTAAACCTTGCCAGAGTGCGTTTCTCAATGCTAACTAACTGGGAATGCAGTTGTTTAACCATAACCACATGACCAACACCCTCCCAGCCACTTCCTCTGACGCCTTTGGTCCTCTATATTATGCAACGGGTGTTGATAATAAGACCAATTCGCACATATTCAAGGCGGCAGTATATAATAGCACAGCTGAAGTGCCAGTCTCGCTAACGTTTGAGGGTGTCGGTCGTGGAACCAAAGCCGACTTGACCATCTTGACGGCGCCGGATCCATTTGCTATGAACGAGGTTGGTGGCGCGAACATTGTCAATAGCAAAACTACTCAGATCAAAGCGGGCAAGAAGGGAGAGTTCTCTTTCAAATTGCCTAACTTGAGCATTGCGGTGCTTGCTACCCAATGAAGCATACCTGTTGTTTATGATGCTCATTGGCGTCTTGATAGCCATCCATATACATAGGTAGTAGTACTACAATGAGATACAGGCCTCAGTGCCTGCTTCGTGAAATGGAGGTTCGCTCTTCTGACTCATAGGTAGACGGCCCTTTAGCTTTTGTTCCATCTTCGTTCAACGACTACACAACTCCTGGTCTACGGAGCAACAGGACACCCAAGGCACGCACCTTCTAATTTTCCTTTTCGTCGTTTCTTCTTCGCGGGCTTTACTCTGAATGACGTTCATAGGTTTGGCTTTGTATTGAGCATTTTGCTCATCTTAGTAGGAAGACTGCTATCCGAAATGATAGCTCAGGACTGTCGCCTATAGTGAAGCAACTGATAAAGACTTTCACCTGAAGAATGAAAGACGATAGACATCTTCTTCTCCAAGTAAAGTATAGAAAAAGGCGATGAGGCCGTATCGGTAGCGGCTTGCTTCAAGCTAGCGTACTCGGTGAGGTCTGCATGGCGGATGTGGACATTAGGACGGCTGCCCAGCTCTGCCGCTATCTTCTTCTCCGTCGCAGCTCTGTCGCGGACCAAACCGACGACTAGGTTCTCCTGGTCCTCCGAGATCTGTTTGAGGAGCTCAAACTAGACCACGTTAGATAAAGACAGTGTGTCAGAGTAGAAGGCAGACTCACCCCAATTCCCCTGGACACTCCGGTGATAACGTAAACGGGCATATTCAAACGATTGACTATTCTTACTTGAATAGGCTGAGTTGTGTACGATGCAACAAGGGGCTAGTCTTCAGTGTTATAACTACATAGTTCGATTCATTTGATACGGTACCCCAATGGCTTCAGGTAATTAGTGCGTAGTTACACATTGGCCCCATAACTACAGTAGTTACAATGATACAAGGTGCTTATTAATGATGATTGCTTACCAACATAATCGGAAGCCGAAGCCCGAGGGCGACGTTCTTCGCGTTTCTTTCTTTCTTGGATTAATCTCGGCGTTTGTATCTCTCCGTTTTTATGTCGCCGAGCAGCCGGTGGTACCGGTGACGGTGGATACATGCAGGGATAGGGACTTGCTGCCTTGATTAGGTGACTCTTGAAGAAATATCGCATACCTATGGTAGCTCTGCGGCGGACAGCAGATCGATGGTCAACTTGTGGCTGGACCGGCATGTCAAACTATCAGGTCTGGGACTACAGTCTACAGACCCTTATAGACACTGACGAATGACGATTGCATCCGACAATCTTTGAGGGAGGAAAAGGGATTTGGGAGAAATTGCCATTGGTGACCGCCAACGTTGGTGGGTCACGTGCCCCACTTCCCAGTCATTGTCAAACGAGAGTACGGAGTTCGAGATAGTTTCATCAATCATGTTCTCGAGATCGTTGGCGATCGTGGCATTGGCTACCTAGTGGCCAACGCAGCTTACTTGCCCTTCTTGGACGCCTATGGACCCATTGGTGCATTGTAGGTCTACTTCCATCTGGCCATTGTACGCGTTGATCTGCAGTTAGCGCTAAGTGTCTAATAGGAGCGACAAGGCCGAGGAGGTCGATGCTGTGTTATCGGAGCTAATGCGGATCAATGTCGCTGGTAACATCCACCTCTTTCATGTCTTCCTTCCTCTTCTCGTAAAGGGCGAGATCAAGAAGGTTATTGCCATTTCGACCGGTCTGGCTGACCTCGACCTGACCAACGATTGCGAGATCGACATTGGGGCTTTATATGCATCCTCGAAGGCGGCTCTAAACGTCATCGTGGCTAAGTTCAATGCGCAATACAAGAAAGACGGTGTCCTCTTCCTGGCTATCAGCCCGGGCTTAGTGGATGTGGGCCACTACGCGGATGGTACGTATCCCATCATGTCTTCGAGATTGAAACATTTGGACGTTTTGTTAATGTATAACATAGCGACACCAGAAGAGCTCCAGGGCATGACGGGATTTGTAGGCAAGCTCGTAGCATATGCGCCTCACTTCAAGGGCCCAATCTCTCCGGAAGAGTCCGTCCGGCATCTCCGCTCCACCTGGGAGAAGGCCAGCATTGAGGGTGGGTTTGGTGGTGCGTTTGTTTCGCATTTTGGAAACAAGCAGTGGGTGTAAACCCGGGATGCAGCTCGCTGAATTAGACTATTTACATTCAATGATGCGCACCCAACAATGATATAGCTAGTTGAAATGTCGATAGACTCAATTCCAACCAAGTCAGTGGAATCGGCATGGAGGAGTCATAACCATCCCGTAAGTTTTTCATGACACTTCGAATCTGCATTGGATAATAATTGAAATACCTACAATCGCCTAGACAACTAATTGCAAGATATAGTTGTTATCGGGAGGTCGTGCTCAGTATCTCTAGGCTGTACATGATTTTGCAGTAAGGCCCAAAGCAATATCACATTATTCTGGTAAGATTATATTGTTTCAGGAAAGACCAGAGTCAAGTTCACCAATGTCGTACCACCCACAAAGATCATCAAGAAACGCCAACGAGGATAATATATCATTGTTGTTGCTTGATACCTCGAATTCGGACGCCACACTCCCCTGTCCCTCGCCACCGGATAGGCTTGGCACATCACTCGACCTGGTTCCACCGCTGTCACTCATAGCCTTAGACCCTAGTCCGAGTACATGACGGGCTACTGTTTGAATCTCCCACACGTTTCTCGCCGTCCTTGGCCATATCTCTCCCAATGCTTTCAGGCATCCAATAGTCATTCGGATCTGCTCTCTGGTGATTGATAAGTCTTTCCCCTCCAGTCGAAAGGCACAAGCAGCAAGCAATGCCAGGGTCCCTTCACTGATCATGCAGGTCGTAAATGGGGTGTGGTGAAAATTCAGGGCTGGTAAGGCTAGAAGTCTGATCTGTGCCTCTGCGGACTGGAGAACTCGGTTGGTGTGCACGTTCGCGAGATCTGGTGTTGGACTGTCGAGGGGTGGTTCGCGTGCACAGCTCGAGATACCCTCGGCACGACTGAACTTGAGATCTGACAACGGCCGGTGTAAGCCAATGGCGGCACTAAGAGCCTGTGGTCAGCGGCGTCTCATAGAAGTCAGTCAAAGAAGGATAAGGTAGTAGACTCACACATGTATCAGTAGGTGCGCCTGAAACATCAACTCATCAATCTCCCCGGTCTTGTCCATGACTTGCTTGTGCGTCTTTGGTAGTAGAAGTAGCCACCCATTCAGGGCCGAGTCCGCTGCTTGAATCATCCGCTCCGAGTTGTCCTTCTTCGTGGCCTTTGGCACTGTGGATATTGCCAAGGCTGCACATCGTACGGCACCGACTAAATAAGCGAACGATGAGAACCCGATATCATCAGAAGCAAATTCACGGCTGTCAAACTGATCTAATGTTTTGGGATCTGGAATATCCTGCGTCCGGTCAGCCATCCACTTTGCCCTCGAGACGGTGCACGCACATACCCCAGACTCGTATTCCGACTCTTCGCAGGGCAAGTCAACCGTAGCCGCAATAGCAGAGGCCTTGAAATTCATAGTACCCAAGGTCCCTGCATAATATGCGTCCACTATGTAAAGCATCCACCACGTCCGCCTCCAGCATTCCTGCAAAACGAGATCACCGGCCCCATATTTCGATGAAAAGTCCTGCTCAAACATCTTACACTCAGTGGCTAGCCAGATAGCAGAGTCCACTTGTGATTTAGCGTCGGTTTTGCGTTCAAACCAGAACAGTGCTATGGAGTATAGAAGTCGACACTGGACCATAACAGGATCTGTTGAGAGTAATTGTGAAAAGCTAGCCTTTATGTGATCTTCTAGCGCGATGGGCCATCCTCGTGCAGTATATATGTACCCAACAAGTCGCATGACTGCGGCGAGCGGTCGGAAGCTGGGTTGTCGGCTCGGATCTTGAAAAAGACGCGTGAAGTGTTTCCGCGGCAGTAGAAATGGATGAAATTTGTGGAAGTTGTTATAGTAAGCGTCGATCAACGAATCATTCTGAATATCGGTGATATCAAGTTGATGTTCTGGTGACAAAGTCAGGTCTGAGGTCTCAACGCCTGGGTTGGGACGTTGAAGCTGGCTGAAGCAATCAGGAAGCTCTCCCCCAGCGACCTCCTGGCACACCTGACCAACGGCTGCCCTCTGCGGGCTTGGCGTAGTCACTGCAACTGCATTTCCTGCAGTGCCGACTCTTTTGCGTCGTTCTTCTAGTGCTATGCGGCTTAGCCCACCTCGGCGCGATCGAGCATATTGGCATGGCTGGCCAAGCTCGGCGCAGCGAGTGCATGATGGTTGTTTGCCGTCGCATTTCACGTGACGTGATCGGCAGGGCAAACATGCCAATGGCGAACGTGTCGCTCTGTGGTAAACTGGAGTGCTCGTGGAAGTCATGCTAGTTGAGAAAGTGAAAGTCAGGAAAGCCGTTCGAAGTTCGCAATGCACCTACGTAGGAGGTGCGAGTTACGAAGCGGGGATCCGGGTACTCGGGATTCCGGGAACCCGCACGAAGTTACGAACGTAACATGATCGACGACATGTGGCAGTCCACCGGAGGCGGTGAGTCACCTCAGGCTACCCGCTGAGTACCATGACCCCTCTCACAATCGCCATGATTATTGAGGTAGCCTCGAGGTACTATCTTTATGATTTTCATGAACAGATATCTCAATACAGATCTGTACATATGCTAGCGGCATTTGCAACTTGCTACGTGCTTAATTTCCGGTAAATTGGCGCAGGGCCCTAGCGATAAGCACACTTTTTCCGGGCAATGCTACTCCGTACTCTCCCCCCACAATGCCGTCGATCTCAGGATCAACCCGGTGGATTGCCGGGCAGCGCTCATTGGCCATTAAATAATTTAAAGTTATCGTAATCAGACATCAGCCACAGTGCCACACTTTGTTGACAAGATTCATCATCTCAGGCATCAGTGCCTCCGGGAAAGTCGTAATGCCACCAGGTTGTACCTTGATGAATTTTGGAGCACTTGACACTGAGACTCAGACACTTGCGGGCGAACGGGCGAACGGATGCCATGGATTATATGCTGCAACAGAGAAGAGTAATTTTCCAAGGCTGCGCAAATCATAGTTCGAGGGCAACTGCCAACCACTTCGTGCGGCGTGCCTTAGGTAGTCCGCGCCCCGAATTCCATGATCCCCGAAATCCCGGTTTAAAGTGCGATCATCGACTTGGGTTACAAATTGACCGAAGCCATCTCATCAATTTTCCCTCCTCGGCGTGAATACCAAGCGAACAAATTCAAAGGAAGATCCTTGACTTCAACTACATGGCTTCGGACTCTCAATCGAAGACTTAGGTTTGATGCCAACAGTGTCTGTTGTATATCTACTAATTAAATCTTTCAGGCCCCGACCCCGAGAGGAAGTCAAAGTACTCTATGATTACGAGCTCACGAATGCACCCGGGAAGTCCATAATTGCCTTCGCTTTGGAGTATCCACCTGATGGATTCACCCCTCCGCATAGGCATGGCGGAGCCACTGTTGTTGCCTTCGTGACTCAAGGAACGATACTAAGTGGGGTGAATAGTAACCCACCTCGGGTGTATCAAGCTGGGGAAAGTTCTATGGAGATACCTGGCTGCCACCACACCGTTTCGGAGAACAGCAGCCAAACTGAGAATGCTAAGATGATCGCTGTGTTTGTTGTAGATACTGAAGTAGTGAAGCAGGAGGGGTACGCGGGGCTTACAGTGCTCGATGATGAGTGAGCTTAGTTATGTCGTACCACCATTTTCTACCATAATCTTCCATTGGAAAATAGAAATTCAAATCCCACTGTACTGCCCGATCCAATGAGCCAGTGAGCTTCATAAGTCAATGACCGTCAGCCACAGGTCTGAACCCCGGATCGCCGAAATCATTGATCACCTCCGAAAAATGGGCAAGCTATTCATACCCCAATTTTTCTACCCGAGAGGTGTCCTAGGAGACCTATGATAGGTTTGACATTTGAGGTAGACCAGACGGGCATATGTCCAACTTTTGCAAGCTGGCGAGTTCACATTATTCTCTCTCATGATAGAGCCAAAGCCTATTTGCGTAAGTTGAAAGACTACAGATGGCCCCCGTAGAAGCGGCTAATGGGGACTTTACATACATACATGGACGCCTAGGAATATGCAAAGCTTTGATTCTGTAACTCATCCGACCACTTGAGCTAGCTCTCCAAACAACCTATCGGAATCCAAAGTAACAGGATCAGCTAATCTAAGAGCTTCTTGAATATCGTCCGGCGGATATATCAACTTTTGGTTGATATAGCATTTCACTCGCTTCGCTAAATCTCCCGAAAGCTTGATGCCGTCCCTGTTCCAGCCACTGGCAACCAGCGCACCCCAGGACCCGAGATCAAGGCAGCAGTTGTATTCAGCCTGCGAGTATTCCATGAGAGGCTTACCCAAGAGCACAGCTGCGGCACTGTAGCCTGATACACGACCGAGTTGATTTGCGTGCTGACAGCTCATTAAAGCGTACTGGCTGTGACCGTCGGCAATCGCACAGGCGGCATCACCTGTGGCAAAGACATCGCTTGCAGACGAGACGCGAAGATATTGATCAACATAGAGACGCGCCAAAGAATCCTTCCTGCCCGGGATTTGCGCTGTCAGGGCCGTGGCCCTCACTCCAGCAGTCCAGATCGCTGTCTTTGTTTCGATGCGCTCTCCGGTTGCCAGAGTTACCCCCTCTGAATCAACGTGTTACGAGACTCCCAGGCGCAACCCGCTAATGCGGGGGAGGGGATACTGATAACCAACCAACTTGGATCAGTCAGCAGGAGTGACGTTACGAAGGACCTCCGTGGCGATACGAAGGACCGACTCGTCACGTGACCAATCCTATCCCACGATAGGGTTACAAGGAGAGGACTCATCAACTGATAGGATCGGATCCTAGCACCCGATGAGTCCCGGTCTCATCACACGATAGGGAGGACTGGATATATAAGGACACTCATTCACCGTCATGTATTTAGTTCTTCGCGATCAATCATACATTGTTACTTGGTTACTACCTATTGGACTTTGCACTCTACGGTTCACCCTTAAGACAACCCAACCTACAAGTAGGGGAGCTCATCTTGTGGTAACACTTGGTGACTGACTTACTTGGCGCGCACTACTGGCACATCCTGCAAGATACTCAACAGGACCCGAGTCCGTGTAAGGCTTAGCACAGCAACGGTACGGTTGCGAGATACTCTTGGGATTCGAAGTGGAACTAGGCGAGTACAACCCGGAAGCAGCTCTACTCACAGTGACCAGCAGGCACCGCGTAACAAGCGGATGAAGGATCATCTTCGTTGAGACGGTCGGCAACCGCTTGGTCGTGATCCAACATCCGACCACCACGATCTTTCAAGAATTGTTGATGTTTTTGCAGACGAAGCACCTTCGCCATCGCTTCGTTCATTTTTTGAGAATGTTGAAGAAATTGTTTTTGAGCCTCTTCGAGCTCTTGGGCCAGCCTCTTCTCTTCACGCTGGAGATCCTCCCACTCTTTGTCGGAATGGAAACTACGCTCGCAGACCTGACCACGGCGGGCGCAAGTCGAACACTTCCTGCTGTTGGCGTACGAGCTCATGATGCAAGGTTTCCCCCGAACAAAGAAGATGTGGGAGAACCAGATTGCTCAATCCTGTTGGCCAAACGGTTATTGTCAGCGTACTTATCACGTTTGGGCTTGTGTTACGCGGTGCCTGCTGGTCACTGTGAGTTAGGATAACTTCGGGTTATACTTGCCTGATCCTATCTGCGGATTCCAAGAGTATCTCTCAATCGTACCGTTGCTTCGCGAAGCCTTACTGCGGGATAGATCCTGTTGAGTGTCTTGCAGAACGTGCCAGAAGTGCGCGCCAAGTAAGTCAATCACCAAGTATTGCTACTGGGTGAATCCCCTACTTGTAGGTTAGGTTGTCTTGAAGGTGAACTGTGAAGTAAAGTACTAGAGGTAGTAACCAAGTAACAATGTGAGATTGATCGCGAAGAACTAAATACATGATGCTGAAATGAGTGTCCTTATATATCCAGTCCTTCGTGTTGTGGTCTACAGTTGGGAATGATCGATGGTATACCGGACAGGGTATTCCCTTAGTCCGAGTGGTATACCCAACTGTATACCCCGGGTGTCACGTGCGGGTGTGGCTGTTTCCTGCGTTGTGCCAACCGTCCCATCGTGTAAGCGGGTATTGTTTGTGACGGTTAGTCGCAGGCCTTTTCTGGCTTCTCTTGTCGAAGAGCCTCCTTGGGGCCTTCCGGGGCTTACCCAAGTATACCGAAACGCACGTGATGACGCTAGTGCCTGGCGTCCGTAGAATGATTGGTTCACGGTTGCCCCTCAAATAGCTGCGGCCCCCGCGCCTCTTTGAGGTTCGTAACAAGGGAAAGGCAACGGTGTTCAGCTCCTCCGTCCAACAGTTACTGAACCTCCACATATTGACGACCAGCGGTAGTTTCGTAATAATGCTGTCCCCGCCCATCCTTCACGAGGGTTACATACCTAGACTGATCGCTCATTCTTACGTAGGGCCGACCCGACTGATCCAGATAGGCAGGGGTTGGCGGTACATTGGGGCGGCTCTCCCGCTCCAGGCGAAGCGCTTGCGTCCCCTCAGTTATTTCATTCCCTCCGCGTTCCGTTGCATCTCGTCCTCTTCGCTGGCTGTCTCGGGCTCGCCTAAGTCTGCTCTGGAGATGCGGACCTTCTAGGTCCTGGACATGTCTGGCTTGTGACTGAGACCGAGTCACTACTCGCCGCGCCCTTTGGTCTATGTTCATTCCATGCCGAGCGGCTGTCGTACGGGCGGAGACTGGAGGCGGAGACTCGGATGAATGTCGATCAGAAAGCTCTCGGGAGTCGTCAGGGGAGAGGTAATCGTCATCGGTATACACGCCACCTGGAGAGCCTACCCAGCGCTTGTAGGGCATAGTGTTTTCGCATGTATAATCCCCAGCTTTGATATGTAAACCGAGGAAGAGGAAGCACTCTCGCAGAGAAACCATATTGCCACCTTGGTGGTAGTAAACCACGTCGGAGTGCCACAGAGCTAGCTCTTTCGCCTTTCCCGGGCTTGGGGCTTGCTTAAAGAAGATCGTTTGGTCGTACGTGGTAAGAAAACCGTATTTCATCTTGGAGAGGTACATGTAGCGGGATATCTGCCCTAAAGTTTTACGCCCGTAATCCGTTAGCCCAATCTAAGACAGCGGGGCGGACATAAACCATAGGAGCCCATAATGGCGTGGAGGGACCCTGACATACCGAGACAATGCCTGAACTCCGTTTGATCACTCAGCATGACATTCTTCAGGTTATGCATCCACGGAGTTTTCATTTCTCCCACTGCTTGCAAGTGACCTTGTGCATTTACCATCACAAAATCCGGAACCTTTCGCTCGACCGTGCCGTTCACACATGTTCTGTAGTCACCAAACCACGAAGGGATGTTCAAAGCACGGAATACAGAGCTCGTTATATGACCGACGTTTTGGCCAAAGCGGCCGGAAACGCTAAGCTCATCTCCACAAAGCCAATGTTCTGAGTATGTGTGATGTGGACCGGCATGCTTCTCAGTAGGTGCATATGCGAGGACAGAAGGGAAATTTTTCCAATCTATCCGGTGGGAAAGGGCGCGAACCTCCTTGTCGAAAGTATTCCAGTGGACCAGCGTTGCTTTGAATTCCAGATTATGTGTTGAATCTGATTTTGTTGTAGAAAGTCCCATCCTGATTTTGGGGATGGGTGAATAGACTAGATCTCGAGCAGTGAGCTCCATGGTGATCACAAAAAGACGTATTGAATGAGGAGTGGGGAGGAGAACTTTGGGCTTGTGATGCCTGCGAAGAGGTGGACACCTGCTTTATAATGGACTTATTGACGCTGGCTCCTTAGCGCTAGCCTACACCATGACTAGAACGTCAATGCTCCTGCTTGATTAGGCGCCAGGAACAGTACCAGAATCATCGACCAACCTATCATTTACTCAGCCAAAAAGTTGGCACACCACAACAAACCCGACGATGATTGATCAGCTCCGGCGCTTATCAAAATTTCTCCGCCTTTTCCAGTAGTTACTATTCTTGAGGTTATCCTTCAAGACAATTCCAATGGATTCCATAGTGCTATGGTAAAAAAAAAGATTAATATATCGTTGCGGCATAACTTATTCCGGGGATTTTTAAGGGGAGGTGTTAGTTCTTGGCGTAGCAACACTCTTCTGTGACCTCCAGCCGAGGAGGCGTCACAGGAGCTACCGTTCTGATGTGCCCCTGAGTAAGATGAAAGTAGTTCAACACTAGATAATATCGCTGTAGCAATTATCTCAGGTTCATTTGGCTTTGACGCTACCAACCCTGCTGGTTTATCAGGTTCCAAGGGCTGTGTGTAGTTACCGCTTGTAGCTTGCGGTTGTCTGTAAACGTCTGAGGACGAAATTCTATCTATGGTCCTGTTGTTACTGCCCGAGGTCGGGCCAACACTAGTTTGTTCCCCGTAACTCGCGACTTGCGGAAGATGCCAAGACTTGGTATGATTGGCCCCCTAAGCGCCCGCGATAAGACTCCTTCAACCTCACCCCTACATAACTGCGAGCATCATTTCTCTGCCTCCCCTTAGAGCCACACGGTTGCCACTCTTCCTTCTGCCTTTGAAGTTAAAGCTGCACAAACTACTTGACAACATCTATCGCGGAAAAAATCAACCCGGCCTTTCTAGGACCGCTAATCAAAAATGACTATCGAATCAGACGACATCACTTGGTTCGATGAAGATGAATATATTGGTGCCGAGGTGCTTTTCCCCTCTGATTCGGTATGGAGGATAGGTACGAAAATAAGGGAGCACAGCTATTATGAGACCCAGAGAGATTGTGAAGAGCTAGGGATCCAATCTGAAGCACGCGGGGTGTTCGTTTGCTCCAATGTCTCTGGAGATGGTCCCTGTACCGCCATAATCAAGATTCGTTTACAGTCGGTGTCTCCCAACCACATAAAGAAGTCACAAGAAAACTATGCTTACATTGACGACCAGAATTCCATGGTTCAAGACAGCAACCAAGAGACCTGATGTTCGTGCACAGCAAGCTGTTCGAGAAATACCCACCAGCTTTAATCGGGAACTCGAAGCCCTACGCCACCTGACAGAGAAGCAGTGCTCCAGCACTCCTAAGTTATATTCTTGGAAGGCGGATATACAGACCGACAAAGAATGGGTCCCGGGAGGCTACAAGCTAAGCATATTGATGGAGAAATTACCAGGCTCTGATCCGTCAGATTTGTTTCTCGCTCGTCAGATGTCCGACCAAGAGCGACATTGTTTGAGACAGGCTTTTAAGGCCGCGTGGCTGTAAGTCCTTATTTGGGATTTCACTATCTCCGGCGCTGACTTAGGGTCATTTGGTCCGGGGGAATATATGCTGACGGCGGTGTCACTAGGGAGATATTGGGTTGCGGAATAGTACATGGGGATGGGGCAATACGGAACCTCCTCTGGGACAGGGAAGAGCATAAATGGTGGGATCCCTCCCTATGAACTCTTTTAATGTCATATCGCGATCGCCAAATTCTAACTTCGTGGCCAGCTATTTGGTTGATTGGGAGCACTGGCGTCCTGGGAACGAGAAGACTGTTTGGGAAGACCGTATCTACATTAAGTGGAACCTCGCACGGGAGGGGCCATCGAACAACCTCTTTGATATGTCCGACTGGTGGCTGTGATACATACGACGAAGGTGAATGCATGCCTAACATATAGCTCAGCGCCGAGGATCGCTATTCAGGACACATGCGCCGCAACCAGAAAGCTTCAGCACTGAGGGGCTGAGTAGACAGAATGGACCAATGTTTTGTACGCATTTTAGTAAGGCGGCTTCTGGATATGTGCTTAGCTTTGTTGGAGTGTGCAAACAGGTATGGGAGGCATTCAATCACAAGAGGAGGTCTCGCGCTATCGGATCTATTGAAATAGATAGTTCCACCGAACACAATCTGACAACATGATTAGTGCCCAGAACGGCCCTTGTACATTATCCAGGGGGACAACCACGCAAGACCACAAGGCCGGAGGCAAGAAGCTGAGCGCGCACAAGGATGGTAAAGAGGGGAAGGTCGAGAATTAAAAACAGTTCAGCAATCGAAGGTACTGGTGTTTTTGGTCGTTGGCTTCATCATAGCTTGATACATACTTGGCGTTCATGGCACCGCCCGATTATTATGATTACATTTCCAAAGAACATCCTTCGTCTCACTTTTCATTCGGGTAACATACGGCCCTAAAGAACGCTTCTTTTGCCATACTTTGACAAACTCAATACCACCTGTCTATCGGTTCATTGGCTCTAAATGCCTCATCTTCGCCTTCAAGCATCCACGAGGTACGGCCTGGATCTCTACACATAGAAATCGTAGCATACAGTCTCCGTGCGAGACCGCGTTTCTGGAAAACCTGGGCTGTACGTAGGAGGTCCTTGGCCAACTAGTGGTCGTGTGAACCAATGGGGCATCCTTCTGCTTAAGAAGCGTACCTTGTCTCGATATCTGCCTGATCTAAACCCTGTGTGACAGTAGGCTATTCTTGCAAAAGAGTCCAATTCGACAAGATAACTAGTCTAAGGAAAGGAAGAAGAGAGAAAGAAAAGAAAGAAAACGAAAGAGGCGCGCAACAAAACAAGTCCCTCGTCTCTCCTCCTCCTGTCACATGACCTGAATCGACTCACCGCCTGGACAGGCCTGGCAGAACCCACCTGCAGTGTCACATTTCCCCCCTCCAAGATTCGCTCAGTCCCGTTGAGCGACTTTGCCATCATCCTGGTGCTCATCTGGGTTCTCGTCCTGCAGGGCGCAGTTTATCCAATGCTGTAATCTCGCTGGAGGACCCGGTTTGCTCGGGTATTTCTCATGGAATTCCTGCACCTTGTACGGCGCATTGCGTAGGTTGCCTGCAGGATACCAGGTGTTGTCGATGTCATAGCCTTTCCATTTGACCTTGTACTGGAGTTTGCGGTAGTACAGGCGAGAATCCAAAACGTGGTCAACTTCCCATTCGTCTTCGCCGGCTATATTCACAGGAGGTTCCGGATCTTGAATCTGGCTGGTTAAGGGTGGCTGACCTGGTTTACTGGCCAGACGGAGCTTCTCCGGTGCGAAGACAGGGTGGATATCGTATTCCGGTGGCAGTCGTAATTCAAACGCATGGCCCACCTTTCTTACGACCTCGAACGGCCCAGCGGCTTTGTGGGAGAGCTTTTTGCTGGGCCTCTCCTGTCGTAGGCCTTGCAAGGTAAGATAAACGGAGTCGCCCACGTCAAAATTCACGCTCCTCCGGTGCCGATTGGCCTGAGTTCTCTGCCGGTCTTGTGCTTTAGCCATCTGCTCCTTCGCCGTTTCCCAAGCATCGTGTATGCGCTGGACGTAGTTCCTTGCTTCCACGGTTCCAGGCTGGTCCTGGGCAGTCGAGTCCTCCGAGTCTTGCCAGTCGAATGTCATTCTCGGTTCGTAACCTCTCTCGACGAAAAAAGGAGACATGCCAGTAGACGCTGATGGAAGGGAAGCAGCGGCAAGATCGATCATGGGTAACCACTCCGACCAGTCGTCTTGATGGTGGCTAACGTACGGTCGCAACCTCTGCGTGATGTACTGGTTTGCGATCTCAGTCTGCCCGTCCGTTTGGGGGTGCCGAGCCGTCGATAGCTTCCTCTTAATTTGCAGGACACGACAGAACTCCTTCCAGAAATCAGAGATAAATTGTGGCCCTCTGTCAGATACCACGGAATCCGGGATACCACTCCATCGTAAGATATGCTTAACGAAGAGTTCCGCAGTAATCTTCGCATCGACCTCCTGTTACGCGGTGCCTGCTGGTCACTGTAAGTAGAGCTGCTTCCGGGTTGTACTCGCCTAGTTCCACTTCGAATCCCAAGAGTATCTCGCAACCGTACCGTCGCTGTGCTAAGCCTTACACGGACTCGGGTCCTGTTGAGTATCTTGCAGGATGTGCCAGTAGTGCGCGCCAAGTAAGTCAGTCACCAAGTGTTACCACAAGATGAGCTCCCCTACTTGTAGGTTGGGTTGTCTTAAGGGTGAACCGTAGAGTGCAAAGTCCAATAGGTAGTAACCAAGTAACAATGTATGATTGATCGCGAAGAACTAAATACATGACGGTGAATGAGTGTCCTTATATATCCAGTCCTTCCTATCCCCTGGTGGGATGAGTTCTCATCCCACGATGGGATGGGACATCACGTGATCTTGCTGTTTTCGTAATTCTGTGGTTCAGTCATTCGTGGATGCCTCGCCAGTTGACACCAAGTTGATTGGTTATTAGTGCGTCTTCCCCCGCATTAGCGTGGTGTGTCTAAGTGTCCCGTAACATCATCCCCCCTCTTCTCAAGTCTTCGTCCTCGAAGACCGTTTAAGTAGTGCCGAGCGCCTTCCTTGGTAAGTCCTTATTTCTTTTTGTTGTTTTCTGCGGCGTCGCCATGTCTTCTTCCCTTTCCGTGGGTCATCGCAAGCTTCATCAGCTAATCGAAGACGAAGGTTTCGAATCCGTGACTCCGTGTCGTCGTTGCGTTTCCCTCAACAAGACCTGCATCCGTTCCGACCGGTCTTTGAGGTGCAATAACTGCGTGCGTGGTGGTGGGAAAATTAAGTGTGAGATGCCAGAGTCAACATTCTCGGATGCTGAATGGCGTCGGTTGATCAAGTTCCAAAACTCCCTAGAGTCTGAGGAAGAGGAGTTGTTGGCTAAGGTTCTTCGATTGCGTAAGCAGAGGCGTCTGCTTCAAAAGCGTGCGGGTGACTTCATTGCCCGTAAGTATGAAGAGATTAGCGAGCTCGAGGAGTTGGAGCGTCGCGAAGCTGAAGAGCGCGAGCGTCTTGAAAAAGAGCGTGCTGTGTCTGAGCAGAAAGAGTGTGTAGCAGAGAGTGCTCGGGCCGCTGCCGAGGTTCCTCAATCTGCTGTTGCGACCGATGGTCGTTTCCTTGCGGCGACGTCAGAGGATCCTACTCTGACTCAGTTGCTGAATGATCCTTCTCTCGACTGGGCCGGTCTCGAGAGCTCCTTGTTTGGGAATGCCGCTGAGAAGTCCCCTCCTCCTGTTGATGGAACTGTTGAACCAGCTGGTGGCAGCCCATCAGGTGCTCGATAGGTTCCCATGTATTTTCTGAGGTATCGTATCCTTTCCATTTCACGAGGTAGTGAGGTTTTCCACTGATTTTGTTTGTTGCTAGGATTTCCTCGACTTCGTATTCATCTTTCGTCTCTTCTTCGATTTCCACATTGGTAGCGATTTTGGCGTTTTCGGGGGCTTTTTCGAGTAACGAGACATGAAATGTTGCATAGATGCGTCGCATACTGTCCGGTAGTTTCAAGCGATAGTTGACTGGTCCCAACTTTTCATCGATTTCGAATGGCCCAAGTTTGAGATGATCGAGTTTCGCGCTGGGTCGTTTGGTGCGAATATTTCGTCGTAGGAGGTAAACTTTCTCCCCCTTTTTGAAGTTCGGCGCCTCCTGGCGCGACTGATCGTAGTAGTGTTTCATGCGCATGTTGAGAAACTCGATGTCCCTTGACAGTTGAAGGTGCAACTGTTTTAATCCGTCGACTAGTAGTCTGGATGAATCTGCTACCGAGTGTTTGCCGATTGGTTCTCCGATGATTGTGGGATTATACCCATAATTGGCGAAGAATGGCGTCTCCTTGGTTGTCGCGTGCATGGCGTTGTTGTACGCAAACTGTGCGATGGGTAGCAGTCCCGCCCAGTCATTCTGCTGGAAATTCACGTAGTGTCGTAGGTACTGCTCCAGAGTCTGGTTGACTCGTTCTGTCTGTCCGTTGGTCTGCGGGTGGTAGGCTGTGGAGAGTCTATGCTCAATGCCTATCAAATCCGCGAATGATTGCCACATATTGGATGTGAACAACTTATCTCTGTCCGAGGTAGTCTTGCTCGGTGTTCCGTGATTTGCAAATACATATCTGAGTAAAAGGTTTGCCATGGTTTTGGCGTCAATCTTTTCTGTTGTTGGGATCATGTATGCGTACTTGGTGAGTCGGTCCACGACTACCATGATCATGTCGTTGTTGTCCGAAATTGGCAATTTGGTGATGAAATCTATTGTAATCCATTCCCATGGGCGTGTCGGTGTCTCTGGCGACCTCATCTCCCCATATGGTGCATGTCGTGCTGGTTTGTTCCGTTGACAAGAGTCACATTGTCGAATATAGTTTCTGACTCTTCTGTGCATGCTCGGGATGTAGTAGTTGCGTGATATTTTTTCCATTGTCTTCTCAATTCCAAAGTGTCCTTGCGTTGGTTCATCGTGGTGTGCTTTGATGATTTCGTCCTGAAGGTTCTTTGGGACGTATACTAACCCGTGGACCAGGACTAAGCCGGTGTCGTTTTGGGTCATGTGTCCTTCCTGAAGACCGTTTTGCAGGATCCGCTGAATCACTTCATCCCCTGTCATGGCTTCTTTGATTCGCTCTAGCCAACCATCATCCTGGATTTCACTGGTTGCTGCCAGGATCTGGTGGTTGTAGACGATGTCTCCGTCGTTGTTGGTCGTCAGGATAGCAGGTGCTGCTTCCTTGGTTCCGATTTCATAATCAGGTCGTCTGCTAAGCGCGTCCGCGACTGCATTCTCCGTCCCTTTGCAGTGGACGATCTTGAAGTCGTATTGTGCTAATGTTTCTGCCCATCTGGCTTGTCGTCGAGTGAGTTTCTTTGTCGTGGTGAAGTAGGTGAGATTGTGGTGATCCGTCCTGACGATCACGGTGTGCTTTGCTCCTTCCAGGTAAGCTCGCCAGACTTGAAATGCCGACACTATGGCTAGCAGTTCCTTGTCGTGAATGTCGTAATTGAGCTCTGCTGGGATCATTTTTCGAGACCAGAAGGCGACAGGTCTGAGCTTGCCGTCTTCTCCCGGTTGCACGAGTTGTGCTCCAAGCGCGAAGTCTGATGCGTCGGTTTCCATGATGATAGGTGCGTCGTAGTTGAAGATTGCCAAAATTGACTTTCCTGACTGTTGTCGGTATAGGTTTTTGAGCGCCTGAAACGTTTGTTCTGCTTCGTTGTCCCATTCGAACGGTACTCCCTTTTTGGTGAATCGATAAAGTCCTGATGCGTGTTTGGAGTATCGAGGAACGAGCTTTCGGTAGTAATTGGCTAGTCCGAGGAAGCTCTGAACGTCCTTGACACACGTGGGTGTCGGCCAGTCGAGAATAGCCTTGACCTTGTCGTCCTCCATGCCCAGTCCGTCGAGGCTGATGGTGTATCCGAGGAAACTGGTTTCTTGGACGTGGAACTCGCATTTCTTGAGCTTGAGAGTGACTTGGCTTCTCTCAACTTCTGCAACACTTTCCTGTTGTGTTCGATGTGCTCGGCTTCGGTTTTGGAGAATACGAGGATGTCGTCGAGGTACGCGATGACAAAAACGTCGAGGTATTCTTCCAGAACGGCGAAGATAAATCGTTGAAACGATGCCGGTGCATTGGTGAGTCCGAACGGCATGACCAGGTATTCAAAGTGTCCGTATTTGGTCCGAAATGCCGTTTTCCATTCGTCTCCTTTCTTGATTCTCAGACGGTTGTATGCGTTGGTAATGTCGTATTTGGTGAAGAACTTCGCTCCTTGAATGATGTCTTGTATCTCGTTAATCAACGGTAGTGGGTGTCGGTCCTTGATGGTGATAGAGTTGAGTTGTCGGTAGTCCACACACATCCTAAGTTCTCCTCCCTTCTTGGGTACGAACAGGATCGGGTATCCTGCTGGTGATTTCGACTTTCTGATGTATCCTTTCTTCAGATTTTCTTCGAGGTACTTCTGCAGTGTCGCTGATTCTTTCTGTGACAGCGGGTAAATTGGCATAAACTTTGGCTCTTCCCCTTCCTTGACTTTGATTTCATGGTCAAACGGACCATGCTCTGGTAGCTCACCGTCTGGTGGTGGCGTAAACACATCCTGGAATTCTGCGTATTCCTGCGGGATCTTGTGTTCTTCGTCTGGCGCTCCTGTGGCGCAAATGGTCGTCATATCTTCGTGAACGAGGACGTATTCCTCCAGTTCCTTGTTGGTCATATCCGGTCTTTGCTCGGCTGTCGTGATGTCTCTGATGTCGGTTGTTGCTTTGTTGGGCCTGCCTCCCGGCCGAAAACTCCTCTTAAGTTCGCCTTCGTGAGGGTTTCCATGAGTACCTGCTTCCCCATAGCTAGGTCTCTTCAGCGTGTTCTGCTCGTTCTTTCCGGTCCACACCTTGCTCGTCTGTCGACACGAGCATCTGTCGAAGACTATATTTCCTGTTTGCCAGTTGATGTTTGCATTGTGCTTACGCAGCCATGGTATTCCCAATACCACATCGTATTCTCCGAGGTTCGTGATGTCGAAATTGATGACCTCGAAGTGGTTTCCGATAACCATTGGCAAAGGTCCACTCTCATCTGTGATTCCTGGCCCAAGACTTTCTCCGTTGAGGCCTATAATTGGTGTTGCTCGTGGCTTCTTGATGCCTTTGATTGAATGGCGATTCTGATAGCGTGGACTCATGAAGTTTCCTGCCGCTCCCGAATCGATCATCACTAAGGTTGATCGGAGCGAGATGTTGGCGTTGATCTTCAGATGTTGTCCCCACGCCGTTGCTGCGAGGTGTTGTTCGCTTATCCTCCGGTTTCCGTACCAGAGTCCCGCGTATTCTGGTTTCCAGTTGGGTTTCTTTTCCCAGCGTAGCGGCTTTGGTTCCAGGCCTTGGTTGATCTTCCCTTGGTAGTGGATCATGCAGTTGTAGTCGTAACATCCGATGATTGCTCTACGGCCATGATCGGGGTGTCGTGCATATCCTTGGCATGAGCATCGTGTGTTTTTGCATGGGCATTGCTCGTTGTCTGACTGCTGCTGTAGCAGTTGTTGCTGTAGTTGTAAAATTCCTTGGGGTCGCTCCCTGACGTGGCGTCCGTCAAATTCCTTGGGGTCTTGGTGAGGCTGTTCAGGTGTCGTCGTTTCCGGGATCGCAGGTGGAGTCTCTAGGGTCTCCGGTGTTCCTGAGGCGTTGGTTGAGGCCTCTGGGGTTGTTGCATCTGCGTCCTGGGGTGCGCACGACAGTTCCTGGGAGTCGATGGTATTCCAGGGACCGTACTGGGTCCATCCTTGACTCTCGATGTTTTCCCAATCAATCTCTGGGAATTCTTCCATCGCGTGCTCTGCGCTGTTCAGGCCGCGGTATTCGATATCGTCTGCGAAGGTGTCTGCGGTATTACCCTTCGTGACCTTCCGTATGGCCTCCGCTCGGTCTTCGTAGGCTGACTGAATCTGTTCTTGGCTCAGGCCCGTCCACGCTGCCTGGCTTCCTTCAGGGCTGTCTCGTGCATGCTCCTCCTGAGTGGCTCGTAGCTGCTGGGGCCGGACCTCGTTGCTTTGGGTCGCCCGTAACTGTTGTGGCCTTGCGTTGTTGCGTCCGTTGTTACGCTCACGCGCCCATGGCTTTGCGTTGTTGCGCCTGTTATTGCACTCACGCGCCCGATGTCCTGCTTTCCCGCATTCAAAGCATAAGTTGTTGTCCTTTCGTCGTTTTTCTTCTTCGGCTGGGAGTCTCGCTGCGTCGAGCTCCATTGGTCGTGGTCCATAGGGGTCGCTGTACTCCCTAGGCTGTTGTCGCTGTTGTCCTCGCCTGCCCTCGTGGCGGCGGTATCGGTAAGGTGCGTTCCCATTGCTACCTCCTTGCCGTTGCTCTCGTCGCTGGAGCTTTCGTTCATAGAGTCGGTTGTCGAACTTGACCGCAAGCTCGACCATCCTGTGGAGCTCCTCCGGGGCGGCCCGGGCCGGGGTTTTGGGGGGGGGGGGGGATGTAGGGCTTAGGGCTTTAAGGGCTTTTTAGGGCTTTAGGGCTTAGGGCTTAGGGCTTAGGGCTTAGGGCTTAGGGCT